ACCGAGATCTMCACGTCAATCCTTGGGGGTGCTGGGTTGTTTGGAGCATGCTAGGGGAAAGATTCTCCGCATGATTAGGAGTTGCGGACGTGTGTTCGCTGTTGTCGACGGGCTGGAGAAGTGGTCAGTCGCGGCATTTCAAGATATTGTCTGATCTGGACTGACCGAGATCTCCACGTCAATCCTTGGGGGTGCTGGGTGACCCGCCATGATGTGTGTGGTCGTCGTCGTCCTGCAATCACTCGTGAGATGCTATCATGCAATGCTGATGAAGATGGCTCAGAAGGTATAAGAGATGAGTTGTGTACCGAAAGACATGGTACTTGTGTCTCCCTTTGAAGGGATCTTAGGCGAGGTTCTACTGGCGGCAAATGATGCTTCCAAGACCAGAGTGATTGCTGCGCCTCGTCAAGTCGGCGGCGAAACACTGGCTCCGCCCTCCCTTGGCGGGCAGACTACGACTCGGCGCGGCGTCGACGTCCGCCTGTCTGCGGCCCCAGTCCGGTGGCGATTGGACGTAGCAGCGCCGTCAAGCCTCGTGCACTTCACCAAGCATGCGAGGGGCTGGTATGGCAGAGTCCATCGCTCCGCTTCTTTGTGACATTCGGAGATCGGAAGAGCACACGTCTGTCGGCGGCGAAACACTGGCTCCGCCCTCCCTTGGCGGGCAGACTACGACTCGGCGCGGCGTCGACGTCCGCCTGTCTGCGGCCCCAGTCCGGTGGCGATTGGACGTAGCAGCGCCGTCAAGCCTCGTGCACTTCACCAAGCATGCGAGGGGCTGGTATGGCAGAGTCCATCGCTCCGCTTCTTTGTGACATTCGGACAATGCAAGAGTCGTAAAGGCCAAGGCCAAGGCCGCCAAGGAGCGGAGCTGCTCCGTCCATGCATCACGCCGTAGTGGAAAGTGCACGGTGCCCACGGCCGTGCTCTTCTATCGACCGGTAATCCACGGCCAGTAAACGTAGACACAGGCTTTGATTGATCTTGGCGGCGTGACAGGATTGTATAGCTGCCTGAGGTAGGTAGCGTGCAGTGTAGTTAGCAGTCTCGACCCCACGTCCACAATCAACCACCTAACAAGACACGGTGATCGAAATCTATAAGATGTCCCCACCACGTCGCATGTACAACCACTAAGCTAGCTGCACGCCATAGTGCACCCTTTGCTTTACCGCTCGGCATCGAGCCTCCGCACCTGCAGTCTCTTCATCTGCAGCATGTCGCGTGKCTGCCATGCGTAGCGTGCCCATTCCCCATGGGGTATCCCGTATCGTACGCGACCCCAGGACCCCTCCCTCATGGAGGTGGGTCTGGAGTCTAGAGTGGCCATCACGCTCTCCGCACATGTCCCATAGGCTCAATCGCGGAGTACAGTAGCTGCGCGCCGTGTGCAAGGACGTATAAGGTAGGGTACGCTCAGCTCCTTTGACTTGGGATCGGACGTTCAGCTTGTGGGTCTTGAATCTTGAATCTTTCTCTCCCTTGCAAAGACTTCATCTTACCGACTTGAGCATTGACGCTCGTGTCACGTTTTTTTCCTGCCGCAATCCTTGCGCTGTGTGCTGCTCAGCATGGGTGGCATCACTCTCCATGCCGACAATACCGATGACCCTCCAGCCGTSAGGAACTGGAGGGTACATTGGATGGCCCTGGTCGCCTCGATGGGTACGTGGGATCGCGTGCCATTCTCTTCTCCCGCAGGATACAGTAGCTGACWGAATATGCTCCATAGGTGCCTTGGCCATGGGCTATGACACCAGTGTTATTGGCGGTACCATGGCTCTGGATTCTTTCCGTCGAGACTTTGGACTTGTTGGGCGAACTCAATACGAACGAGACACCATCCAAGGCAACATCGTGTCGACATTCCAGGCCGGTTGCTTCTTCGGTGCCCTCCTAACGTTTCCCGTTGGCGAGCGCATCGGTCGCAAAAAGGCCATCATTGCCGCCTCGTTGATCTTCCTTCTTGGCGGCACGCTCATGGTACGCTATACTATATCGATTTCACGCCCGTCATCCCGCCGCTGACATACAACAGACCGCATCGAATGGCATGTTCGGTTTGATCTACGCTGGTCGCGGAATCGCGGGCTTTGGTATTGGCTCTGTTTCTCTCTTGGTACCCGTCTACATCGCAGAGACGTCTCCGCCTTCGATCAGAGGACGTCTTATCGGCATCTTCGAGATTCTGTCTCAGGGAGGCGGCATGGTGAGTGACAAATGTCTTGGCGGTGCCTCTACAGGACCATGACTAACCTCACAACCTTTTAGCTGGGCTTTTGGATCAACTACGCAGTACGTTACTACCCTCGTTCAATACGACCCTCCCACTGATGACCTTTCTCAGGTGAACCGAACCATCTCAAGCGAGACCAAGGGACAGTGGATTGTCCCACTGGCGTTGCAACTTCTCCCAGGTCTGCTCCTCTTTGTAGGAATGTTCTTCTGCCCTGAGAGCCCAAGATTCTATGTCAAGAAAGACAACCTAGAACAAGCAAGCAAGACTCTTTCCTGGATCCGACAGCTGCCTGAAGATGATCCGTACATCTTGCGTGAGTTGGAAGAGATCCGCGCTCAGACCGCTATTGGCCGTCCGCCACCTGGTGTCAAGAATACCAAGTCGTACTACTTCAAGAGACTCTTCCAGAAGGGAACTCGCAACAGAATCGGTGAGTCTATCCGAGGGTGGAAGGCAAGCAGGGTATTCCGAAATCTCTCGAGCTGCTCAAACCTTAGGCCGTCTAAGACATCGCTAACCATTCTTTTCTTCACTTCTAGGCATCGGTCTCCTATTGAGTAAGTCAAGTAGACAGGGAATAGCATGCGCTCGACGCTGCCTTTTCCGCACCCTGTATACGTTGTCAAGATTTCTAATGTTTTGAACTAGTGGCATTCCAAAACCTTACCGGAGTGAATATCATCACATACTACAGTCCCCGCATCTTCGAGACCTTGGGAATATCAGGAACCGACACCAAACTCTTCGCAACCGGCTTTTACGGAGTAAGATCCCCCCCCCCCCACATCATCACTATCTTCGAAAACCATGCTAACTTGTATAACTCCACTTCCAGGTAGCAAAGACGCTAGGCATGGTAATCTTCAGCGTCTGGCTCGTAGAAAGACTAGGACGTCGTCCAGGTCTAATCTGGGGCGCATTCGTGGGTTCACTTCCAATGTGGTACGTACGAATAAAACCGATCCTTGGAGGAAAACACACACACACACACACACACAAAACCACTCAATCATCATCATCAATCCACAAACGCCGCTAAAACATTTCTTTTCGAACAGGTATCTTGGCGGTTACGTCCTCAAGAATGATCCCACGACTGTTGCTGCGGCAGGAGGAGTTTCACGTAGTGGTTGGGGTTACCTTGCCATGGTGTGCGTGTACCTGTATGGTCTCATTTACTGCGCCACTTGGCAAGGTATCACTTGGGTATATTGCAGCGAGATCTTCCCTATTGGTGAGTTTGGTTGTCCCGAGAGACGTGACGTGTCGCGGTTAGATTGTAGCTGACGTTTTTCGACTTCCAGACATCCGTATGCTGTGCGTGGCTATTACGACCGCGGACCAGTGGCTTTGGTCATTCATCATCAGTCGCACCACTCCATACATGATCACGAGTCTGGGATACGGGACTTATTTCTTCTTTGCCACTCTCATGGTGTGCATGGGCATCTGGTAAGTTTTCCTCCTAGCTCCGTCCTACAAGTTGAAAAATTTGTGGCTGTGCAAAAAAAATGTGGCTGAGTCGCTGACGTCCGTTCTCTCTCTCACTCATAGGTCTTTCTTCTACATCAAAGAAACCWAAGGTGCAACACTCGAGGATATGGAGAGTATTTTCGGCGCTGCTGCTCCGATGGATATCAAAAGTTTTGAGGATCCAGAGGATATTTCTTCGGCTTCGGAAAAGAAGGATTTGACGCTGGCTACTTGTATTGAAAGGTCGCCTACGCCTGAACAACAGAGGTGAAAGATGGTAAAGAAGAACGAACGACTGGTTGGGGTGAATAACGAGCAAATTTTTAGATGAATGAATTATGACTTGGGGGGGATTCTTTGCATTTTAAGTTTGGGATATGATATAGATTGGCTTGTTGTATATACTTTATGCAAGCAAACAAATCGCTTACCATTAGATTCGCTTTTGTGGTGTTCTTGTTGCTGCACAGCCTCGTTCTGGCTCTTATTCGCTTCTCCAGTGTGGTTCGACGCTGATGTGGATGTAAATCTTTATGAGAGATCTGACTGGCTTTCTATGCATGATCGGGATGGGATTGAAGGATGCTAGGGACTGAGATGTGTTGGAGGTATGGAAGAAACAGGGAGGTAGTTTTATATGATATAGTCGTATACGGAGATATTGTGCATGTCTAAGTGTTTCCCAAAGAGGATTGGGGTAGACTGAGACGAAACTACAGAACACCAGTGAACGGGAAATGGAAGCTCACGGTCATTCAATCTGAGTAGCAGTCAAGAAACAGGACCAAACTTATCCTCATCACCTAAACCAGCGTCAAACTAGTTGTCTTGGGTGCTTAAAATGTTCATTCCATGGAAGGAGGAGCGCTGCGGGAGTACTCAAATTGAAATGTCTATCAGGAGCAGCCATATGCTTGGCTTACACGAATTGAATCGCTTCACAGATCTAAGAAGCTCGGACGCTTTACGCGCTCCTCCAGACTGGATCTAGTCTTGTTCGTAATGTACAGGTGCCAGAAGTGTATGCACAGGTTGCATTCGTTTCTGGAAGAATTGCAGTCTCGGGATTCGCCAATTGGGGAGACGTCTTCGAGGCAACAGTCGTTCACAGAGCTGAATTCTCACATATCCCATTGGGAGTCACTGAACTCTTTGTTCCTCTCCTTCACTTCGATCTTGAGTTTAAGCTTCACTGGTATCGCGCTAGATACCTCTGTTGAACTCAAGCAATCCTCCCTTGCCWCCTTTCTCCYAGAACTCCTTCTCCAGACTAGTAGCCTTGACAGCCTGACGCTGTGGGAAGGCAGCCAACGCAAGTGGAAGCGCAAAGATACTCGTGGTCAGAATCAAGCCGAGGTTCACCGGGAGCATTAAACGAGGGTTATTCTTCATCCACTGCATCTTCTGCAACCGCACCAGGATCAGTGGCGGCAGGACCATGATCGGAGATGCGTTCATCACGCGAGATATTGCCGTCTCTCCCACTGCGAGAGTGGCGGCCTTTTTGCTCTTGCCAACGGGTTCCAGTGCTTGATTGGCCTCCTCGCGCTTCGTTCTGGCCTCTGCTGATTCGCTTGGGTAGACGTCGATACCGCGTCTGATCTCCTCTCCTCGCATCAGGAAGACGTTGAGAACACCAGCGCTTGCGACGGCGGCGAAAGGTACAAGTCTGCCTAGTAGCATTCGCGTGCTGGGAGTGATACGCTTCAGGCGTGGCAGAATCGAGTTGAGACCGACTGCGACTCCGCAACTTGCACCCACGGCCAGGAAATACGACTGTACTACGGTGGAGGTTGCCATGGGAGTGCTCTTGTTGGCATTGGAGAAGTTGATGCCCACATTGAGGGACTGGTTGGCTACTTGCCATGCAATGGTTCCGGCGGTTGTGAGGTTTGGGGTGAGCATACCAGCTGTGACGACGAGATTGGATAGGACGAAGCATGACATTCGAAATGGTAGGAATACCGGTTCGCCCGTGTCTATGATTGTTTAGTCTTGGAATCTCCACATTTCTGAAGGAATTCAACCAACCTGGGTGGAGGGTGGAATCCACAATCTTCTTCGCCGTCCATAGCTCCGGGGTCATATGCTGAATCTGACCTTGCTTGTATTGAGTGATGAGCGACTTTGCCTGTTCAAGACCGGCGGATGAAGTGAAGAGAGTGCTGTTTTGCGATGGTCAGCCATTGAATCATGTAATCAATATGCCAGTTTGGCGTATGGAGAGAGTGTCGCAGTCTGGTGTCCACTGACCCGCTTCCATCTTGTGAAGCTTGACCTGACCTTCATGCTTCATTATTTCTCACCTCGGGTCTGAAAGGTCTGCGGAATGCTTCACTCGTCCAAGATACGAGCTCAGATCATATCTGGAGGCTGGCAGATCTCGGCTACCGGGCAGAGAGGCCGACATCTTGGAAATGGCCAAGCACTAGCTTGTTGCTCGACGTGATGTTTGTTTTCGATCCGCAAGCGGTGACTCCCTGTTGTGAGTTGGTAGATAGGCATTTTGTCCTGAGCTAGAGTATAGGCCGCGCCTCGAGATCGGAAAGCCAGGGTTAGGGTTGTGGTAGTGTATCTCACGGCAACGACGTCCACGGACAACATTCGAGATGCCTGACACAGCTGGAACCGATAGCTACTAGACTACTCATATCAGTCGATACCTTTCGAGTGTTGGCATGGCGCCTACCCAGCGATCGTGGCAATTTGTATACGTCCACATATTCAATGGTGGATAAACATAAAGCACCACCATCGTGCATTGGCTGCCAATGGCTTTTCAGAGCAAGATGAGTCTTCCCACCAGGATCCAGCCAAGTCACGTACACTAGCCATTGCAGCACTGCGATTGAGTTGCCCATGCCCACAAAGAACATCCCAGAAAAGGACTTTAATCTTCCGCACCATCGATGCGTCAAGGTCGAAGAGCGATACGCCACACGCCTACAGCGGGGCCACCAAAACGGCAAGAATGGAGACGTGAAACAGCGTAACATTCTCTCACTCACTATCTCTCTGTCCGGACGATTCGAAAACGATTCAAAGCATACGCGCGGAAAAGAGGTCCTGGTATCGATCGATCAAAGCACCAAAAGCAGAAAGCACCCAATCCAAGCAGTCAGTCGTAAGTCGCATTGTCCGTCATCCAAAACACCCCCGATACACCCCAGTGGAACGATAACGCCAGCCAAAGTATAGACAGCCCTAATCAACCCCCATCCTTTTCACTTCTTCTGGGCGGCTTCGTAAAGACTTGCCAACGCACTGATACCACTGCCGAGGAGGACAGCTGAATGACCACCAAGCACCGCCTCGTCGACGCGCTGTGCGACATCAGGATTGATGATTCCCATGAAGTCGACCCCTTTGCAGTAGACGAGATACGTTGCAATGCCCTTGACTACGGCAAACGTGAAGGGATCGACGGTGTACTTCCTGGTCTGTCCACGTCCAACATTCCGGACGGTAAGATTGAAGAAATAGCCGAACAGAAGCGGAAACAAAATGCTCGTTGACGCCCAAAGAAGGGTCGCTGACCACCAGTATCCGGTCAWAAGGACAAACAGATCCGGGAGTTTGACAGCATGGCTAGACGTGTTTAACGCATCAACGGCGGGGATGTCGAATGCGTACTTCCATGGCATCAAGGCCCAAAGCAATGCGWAAGCTTCCAAGGAGCCAAAGGTGAGGTGTACGGCAGGAACGGTCGAGCAAACTTCGCGAAGGTACTCGATGTTCTCGCTCACGCCAAAGTTCTCGTAGAGTTCAGAAATGCGCGAAGCGATGGCCGCGGACTCGTATTCGGCCATGTCTGCAATGTCAGCGGGCGAGGCAGGAAGCTCAGACCTTCGACGAGCGCTGCTACGGGTGGTCGCTGGGGTGCGGGCTGAGGAGGCCTGGGCGTTGTGGGAAAAAGGCGAAAGAACTGCATTGGAGAGGGCCGAGGCGGCGCTCTTTGCGACAGCAGTTGGCGAGGGATAATCGGAGTCATCACTTTATCGTTCAATGTCATCAGAGGCGAGATTTGGCTTGAGAATGTGGGTTATGGTCACTCACACAGGCTCCTGCTTGATCTTCGTGGCTTTCCTGCCGCGCCCACGAACCACGCTCTTGACTTCGGTGACTTCAGGCTCATCGCCCGACGCAACGACCTCGTCGCGGGTCTTATATGGAGTGCGTCGGCCGACAGCAGCTCCGTAGTAACCCTCYAGCGACGCGTTATTCGACAGGCGCGTCGCGTTTTGTTGGAGATAGTCGTGCAGGCTCTCGACGATCTCGTCCTTCTTCAGGCCGTCCTCGCTGGGAACTACATCAGCTTGTAACGAGCCAGCCTTCAATCGTGTCTACCCACAGTTCATAGCCAATCTCGTTGGAAAGATCGATCAGCTCCTGCTTCTTGTGCTTTTGTATCCAGTTTACTGACATGGCAGCGGGAGGAGGTGTCGCGTAGAGGTGAACGTAGTACTGCTGTAACGCTGTGGTTTATGCGATTCGAATGACGCGTGAATCGATGTCTTCCAGAATTGATGATGAGGGTGTGTCTCGAAGGTGTCGGTGAATTAGACGGACGACGTGTTGGTAAACAAAGCCGAGCCCCCACTAGCGCCTCTTTCGTCCTCCCTCTCGTGCTCTGGCGGGCGGAAGACAAATTGGGAGGTACCTAGGTATCCATTGTGTAGGAGACAGGCCGATCGCCAGAACTACCAACATCATAAAGTGTGAAGTCATACATATTGTCATTCGAAGTGCCTCCCATCTTTCCAGGCAGTTAAATGTTGACAGAAGTGCATGTGGTGCTGGAAATAGCAATTCGAGACGTCATTTCTCTGGGTAGGGCAGAGAAATACCTTAGACTTTGAAGGGGACCAACGTCTACCATCACATTAATCACGCACTCATCGCTCTTTCTGTACGCACCACCACCTCGACCACCTACATCGATCTACGGCCGCGATAATCATCCGAATTGCGCCTTTTGTACGCTCAACGCATGTCATCGCAATAACCCGACGCGCCGTACGCCTCCTTCTCTGCACTCTATGGTATTAGCCAGCCTGGCTGAATACCTTTCGCCGTCGACCAGCACCACGTCTCATTCCGCACAATCCCCACACAATGGAGACGAGAATAGCAGTAGTATCATCACRATGGCCGGCAATTCCGCATCCGCATCATCTTTACAACTCCCCGCAAAGATAGACCCGGACTCCGAGGACTACCGTCCACCTTATGCCCATGCCATGCTCGCGGGTGGTCTCGGCGGGACCATGGGTGATATGCTGATGCATTCGTTGGACACGGTCAAGACGCGACAGCAGGGAGATCCGCACATGCCGCCCAAATACACCTCCATGGGAAACACATACTACACCATCTTCCGCCAGGAGGGTGTATGGCGAGGGCTTTACGGAGGCGTCTGGCCTGCATTCCTTGGTAGTTTCGCCGGCACCTGCATTTTCTTTGGTTGTTACGAATGGAGTAAAAGGTTCATGATAGATGGCGGCGTGACGCCTTCTCTGGCATATCTCGCAAGTGGCTTCTGCGCGGACTTGGCTGCGAGTCCACTCTATGTGCCTACCGAGGTGCTGAAGACTCGTTTGCAGCTGCAAGGGAAATTCAACAATCCTTACTTCACCAGTGGATATAATTACAGGGGAAGCTTTCATGCGCTGAAGACCATCTACAGAACAGAGGGCGTATTGGAACTGTTTTCGGGATACAAGGCGACCCTGTTCAGAGACTTGCCATTCTCTGCGCTGCAGTTTGCGTTTTACGAGCAGGAGCAGAGATTGGCGAAACAATGGGTTGGTCCGGGAAAAGAGATAGGAATGCCGCTGGAGATCTTGACAGGAGCTAGTGCAGGCGGAATGGCAGGTGTTTTGACATGTCCGATGGATGTCGTCAAGACGAGAATACAGACGGAATTGGATCCGGAGCTGGCAGCAGCAGCGAGGGAAAAGAAGGCAGAGAAGAAGGCGGAGAAAAAGGCGGCCACGAGCAAATCTTCGAATGTCTCGGCATCATCGACAGGAAAGCGACCCACGCCTGTCTCTTCTTCAGCGCCACCCACCGGCAGAGGCATATCTACATCTGGACCCAGCACCGTTCTGAAGCAGCACGGCCAAGTCCCACTTGATACGGAGTCTGTGGTTAAAGCTTTGCGCATAATATACCGTACAGAGGGTCTCAAAGGATGGTTCAGAGGAGTTGGTCCGAGGTTCGTCTGGACCAGCGTACAGAGCGGTACCATGCTCGTTGTCTTCCAGAAACTTTTGCGGTGGTTTGACGCGAACCCGCTTGTTAAGCTCGATGAAGATGAGGGTCTCAGAGGATGGTCATCTTAATATGCGGCTGCATGGCTCAAAAGAGCAAATGGCGTTCTCTTTTTGTATGCTGGGATGGGCAGGGATACACTACTATTACAGCATCTCCATGCTTGCATTGATAGCGCAGGAGCGGAGTTGGGAGAGAGAGGACCAAGGTGAAGTGTATGTATAGCTTTCTCCCACAACTTGTACATCTAACTCTACTTTACACCACCATACGGGCTGCATTCCAAATCAATCAATCATCATCGACCACCACGAATGGAGCCAAGGACTCTCACCTGACGTATTCAACAAAGTTTACTAGTGTTGTCTCACCACGGCAGAATAGCCGTAGCACAGGGAACCGAGGCAAGATTGCGACTTGAAAGAAAGGCCGCGTGGGTTGTGCAAGCGCTGGCGGGTCCCAAAGCCAGTGCGAGATGAACGTACTTGTGAGACCCGAGAAAAGTCTTCAATGAAGGCGAAAGTGTTGTTCGTAAGCACCGAGCACTGCCGGCAAGCTTAACAATATTGCATGCAGCCTTGTGATCTCCGAAGCCGCAGTCTGAAGTAAGTTACCTTACAGCTCTACAAGTCGGCGCTCACCTAAATTCATTGGTCTCGCTAATGGTTTACAGGCCTCTGAAACGAGCCACCGTCTCGAAGAAGTGGACACCACGCAAGGCACAATGTAGATCCCGGCAACCCGGGTCGAAAACAATCATGTATGCACATGTCAAGTGTCACCATCATCGCTGGGAGAAACGTGGTTAGTGAAAGTCTAGCCGTTGGGGCTGGATCGCTGTAGAACCTGACCTCCCAWCCAGCAACCAGCAACCTCCAAACTCACTCCGCCATTTTTCCTCGTCACGCGATATCACGGAGGTGGGTAGATCAGGACTGTTTGAGATATAGTCGAGACCGCCTTACGTCCGACATTTGAGCTAGTTCAAAGCGTGTGTGTTGCATCTCCTCAGCAAGATCTTTCTCCTTCCCCATATAAGAGACATGGCTGGGCAGCGTTTCTGCTATACGATCTACGCACCTTTTCCACCTTCATAACATACAATGTCTTATTACTCCAAAACCCTCTCACTGCTGGCTGCAGCCGCGTTGTCTGCTACGCAGATTCAAGCTATTGTGCTTCCGCGCCAAGGCTCAGCTGGTGTCACGACGAGATATTATGATTGCTGCAAGCAATCCTGCTCTTGGCCTGGAAAGGCTGCTTTCAGCTCCCCGGTCACAACCTGCGACATCAATGACAACCCTCTGGCGGATGCCAATACTGTTAATGGTTGTCCTGAGCTTGGCGATGGGAATGCGTACACTTGTTCCAATCAAGTCGCATATGCTGTCAACGACGATCTCGCCTATGGTTTCGCGGCCGTCAGTGGTGGAGATGAAGCAGCCACTTGTTGTGCTTGTTACAAGTAAGCATCGCCAATTGATTGTGGTGTTGGTTAATCATGCTGACAACGTTTGCTCGCAGGTTGACCTTCACAAGCGAGGCCATAGCAGGTAAATCCATGATTGTCCAGGCCACCAATATAGGATATGACGTCAATAATGTCCAATTCGATCTCTCCATTCCCGGAGGTGGAGTCGGCGCCTTTCCCAAAGGCTGTACGAAACAGTACAATGCCCCTGCCAATGGCTGGGGCTCCTCGGGTGCTTACGGAGGCACAGCATCCCGTTCTGAATGCGATGCCTTGCCCGCTAAGCTCCGTGATGGATGTTACTTCCGCTTCGACTGGTTCAAGGGATCGGACAATCCGACTGTGGAATACGAGAGAGTCTCCTGCCCGGCTGAACTGGTCGCCAAGACTACATGCAGGAGAGATGATGATGATAATTATCCGAGCGCTTTCAAAGGGGAGGAGACTTCGACTACTCAAGTGAAGGTTGTTGCAAAGTCAAATCCTTCGCCTGAGGAACCCACACAGGAGGTCTATGGGCAGTGTGCGGGCCAGGATTACGCTGGTATCACTGAGTGTGGCTCGGAGGCCAAGTGTGTCTTTCAAGATGAGTGGTAAGTGGAACGTTGATGTGAAGCATATGCTCACGTCGAGCCTCACATGCATTCGAGAATGAGACATATGCTGACCCTTTTTTCAGGTATTCTCAATGCCGGCCTTCATTTTAAAGGTGCCAAAACTTGTTTTGGTGTCAAATTTTGATGATGATGATGATTTCTCTTCGATTGGACACTTTGAGGGCGGGACCGACGAAGTGACGTTTCATGAAAGTCCAAGATTTTGAGCAACGATTTGATGTTGAAATGATGCCGTTTCGTTCTGCCGGTGGATATGTAAGGTATGTATGATGAGGATGAATTTTACCTTTTTTGCTCAGTTCGCTTCGAGCCTGTAAACGATCCATTTCGTCATGCCGTGGTGTGTAGTTGGACCGGAGAGTGGAACTTGACCAGTCGCGTGCTGTTCTTGCATGGAGGGCTGCGGGGAACCACTCCTCAAAGTGGAGAAAGACTCACGCTCCAAAAGAAGCAGATCTCGCCGCTCGACCTTTGAAGACCGTGACTCTCTTCTCAGACGCAGTAACATGCAAGCCAAGTCCCCYTTAATGTTGTTGTTCCCGTGACGTCGACCTCGTCGTCCACGCGTCGATCTCCTTTTGAATGAGCGGCAAATACTGTACCTACTCACTTTGCGGAGAGGAGAGCAGCTCCCTAATAAAAGCATAGACGTACGCGTCCATGCTCTACGTGTAATGATGTTCAGGAGTGTGTCGCTTGATAACACGATGAGATGTGTGACCAAACGCCAAACGAGTAAGATGTAATTCGACAACGTGTCTGCCGATGAAGCGGTCGACTCCCCAGCGAGATTTCGAGAAAGGGGTGACGTTCTTCTCGTGGTCGGTCAAGATGTCTCCACTTCCCGAGATCCGGGATGTCGCCCCACATCATCCCGCTTCATTTCCCCTTCACTTCACTCACCCTCACTGCTTGCTCTTCACTTTGCGCTTGTCTTCTTTGTCTCAATTCACTTGTATTCCATTACCTGATACAATGCACGACTAGGAGGTCAACATCTTGAGAAACCAGATCTGAGCATCATCTCACGAGAGACGACGATTTTGTCGCAGCGGTGTGCCAGACCGTTGTGGACCCGTCCTTTCGTCAACGTCGCGACCGGCTACCAATCATATGCGGGCATTTCGCCGTCTACACTTTGTAGCATGTTCAGCAGGACATCAAAGCGTAGGATACTGCAGGAGAAAGGTGATGCTGTTCTCTCAATTAATCAGAATGCTGGACGTGAGCTCGCCGACCTGCCAGCACGCTTCGKCCAGACGGGAAACAAGATGCGTGATGGAGCATCATTCTCCGCGGTAAATGCATACGCAAATCCCTACAAAGTCAACGATTTCGTATCGTCTCAACGGGCAGCTTGTCATGCTTACCTCTCTCTCCGAATCTACGCAACATTGAAGCCACGCACAACAGCCCGGAACTGGCCGTTATCGTTGAGTCTTACGTTTGACACTTTGACACTGCGCAATACTTCGCAGTCATTGGCGTTATGATCAGCAGCATCTTGGAAGCGTTGCGAATCTCTAATCTGCGATCAAGTCGATTTGCCAACCTATATGAAGTACTGTAAGTGCCGTGGAAAATATCTCTTCATCCCCACAACAACCATCGCCTTCTACCTTCCTCGCCAAGAAAAATGACCACCATGAAGGCTCTCACCATCCTGGCTGCTGCCACAAGCGTGGCTCAAGCCACAGTCCTAAAAGACCTCCTTGCCTCAGCATCGGCTTCTGGCAAAACATCTGGATCTGGCAGCATTAGAATTCAAGATTGGGATTGCAAGGCCTACCCCGACTCACCATTCGAAAAGTGCGATGTGGACGACAACCCCACCACATACGGCGGCAATGACATCCCGACTTTCACCTGCAGTGGCCAACACTCGTACGCGAAGAACACAGACCTGGCTTATGGTTTCGCTACCATGATGACGGGAACTTTCGATGCCCAGATCGTCGGAGCATGCTACAWGTGAGCACCTTGAACGCAAACTGTCGGTCTACCACTAATATCATGTAGACTTACATACGACGTCGCTGTCAACACGACTGGGGACATGGAGATTTCCTCGAGAAGCTCCGATGAGGCAGAAGAAACTTCCATGAAGACTTTGGTCGTTCAGACCACCAACGTAACCCGTGGTGTTGGCGAGGCGCTTTTCGACATTGCCATCCCCGGATCTGGCCGTGGTCCATTCAGCCAGCAAGCCTGCGTAGAGCAATTCAGCGCCCCATCTGAAGGGCATGGTCATGCCGAGACCGAGTCCGACTGCGACAAATTGCCCAAGGTTCTGCAAACCGCTTGCCGCTTCCGCTTCGACTTCTTTGAGGATCTTATTTCCAAGCCGAAGAGGGATGTCGCGGGTCTGTCTTCCGCCGTAACAGGCAGTACCGGATTGAAAGTGGACTTCGCGCGTGTGAAATGTCCTTCCGAATTGGTGGAAAAGTCCAAGTTTGTTCTGCCAGATGACGACGAGTACCCAGAACCTCCATCTTACAGCGATGGCGAGTCTTACTCTGCTGGCGAGTCTGAGGAAAGCCATGAGTCGAATGAAGATGACAGTCCTGCAGACGACGACGAATCTTCCTACGAAGCATCTGACGATGACGAATCAAATGAGCACGGATCCAACTCATACAAGGACGACTCATCTGACGATCACTCCTCTCAGGACTTCTTCTCCAGGATTAACTCCTACTCCCATCACCCGTCTGACGACCACTCCTACTCTTACACAGCGTCTCAATACGAGAAGCGTGATGGACCTCCTCAGCAGGAATACTCGCAGTGGTAAGTTACTGGCGAACACAACCCTGTGCTTTTGAGAGCTTATACTTATCAATTTCTCTAGCGGAGGGCAAGGCTACGCTGGACCGACAAACTGCGCCAGCGGTCTTTCTTGCAAGGTTCAATCKCCTTATTACTCGTAAGTATCTCAACGAGCTGCCAACTTCGCAAGAGATTTCACTGACAAATTTGGCTACTTTTAGGCAATGCTWGGCCAACGTCGCAAAGCTGTACGCACAGTGGTAAGTTTTGATGAATACAAACCCTTCATCATTCAAAGCTTGTACTCACCAATCCCAAGTGGTGGCAATGGATTCAACGGCCCATCTCGATGCGCGGACGGGCTGAACTGCAACATCGTCCACGCAAAGTACAGTAAGTTCATCTCTACGCAACGATGAGCCATCTGGGACGTCGCTAACAACATCTTCCTTCGCTTTCAGGTCAATGCCAGCCTCCACCTAGCACTCCCTCGGCCAACCCCCCGACCCCTGTCGAGGCTCGTGCCTCCGCGCAGACTTTGTACGGACAGTGCAGCGGCGCCAACGTGAGCTTGCACTGTTATTAGGCCCTTGCGCGCAACCGCTGACAATATCTAGTGGGCGGGAGCAACTCATTGCGCGGATGGCCTCCAATGCTTTACTCGTGATGCCACATACGGACAATGCCTTCAGAAAGTTCAGCTTCTGTCCGAGCAGTGTATGTTTCTCCAGGGATGAAGCCATACATATTTGAGAACATCGCTAACCATTTCGCTCTTCGCTTTCTAGGTGGCGGTACCCTATACCTTGGCCCAAACTTGTGCGTTACAGGTGCAAAGTGCAAGAAATTAAGCCCTGAGTACAGCCAATGCCTGTAAGTCTCTTCAATCGATGGACAGAAAATCGGCGCGGCACCCTGACTGAACGACAGACCAGMTGATGGATCTTATACCGAAGAGTCAGCCCCTGCTGCTTACGTTGCACCCACTGAGCAGGCAGCTCCCAGCCCTACTACTTACGAATCAACCATCGAGGAGGCAGCTTCCACGCCCACTGTTTACGAGTCACCCATCGAAGAACCTATTCCCAGCCCCACGCCATACGAATCAGAGACCGAGGAGTCAATTCCAAGCCCTTCTCTTTACATCCAACCTACACGGGGTGCCCTCGACAGAGATCCCAAACGCATCGCAACCGCAGCAGATGGAGTGGGCAACGAGGACAAGTCGCACGACGAAGATAAGAAAGACAGCAGACATGGCAGGGAAGGTCCTCCTACAGTGACAGACGGTGTCTCATTTGAAGGAGCAGCTGCTGACCTTGTGGCGCCTTCTGCGATTCTCGGGCTTGCTGTGCTGGCTGCGGTTCTACTACTTTGATTTTTTGTATAATACCCTGGAGTTTTTTAGTACATAATGTTTCTTTAGAATAACGGCCAGTCAAACAGCTCTCAGCAATACACTCAATCTCGATTCGACGCGTTGAGCGCAGGAAGGTCGAGCACTAATATACCTTCACTCGAGACTCTTTGCTTTTTTTTCCAAAACCAGCCCAACGAGAGCTGATTTGGCGGCTCTCCTACCGAACCAATCAAAATCGAAGGCTCGATCCAATAATGTGACCCGTGCTTTTTCCTTGGCAGCAAATTATTCTTCAAACGTCTCCCGTCRTCCGTACCTCCCTGCCACTCATCTCTCATCACCACACACTCATACAACCATCAAAAGATACCGTGCCTCATAACATATAATCCCTCGAAAACAAGGAGAGAAATTTCCCTTCCATCAAGCATCTCCAAGAAATTCCAGCGGCTCTCCAAATATCCCATCCCCTACTACCCTACCCATACCCTGCCCTACCCATACCCATACCCATACCCATACCCATACCCATAATCCAAACAAAGTCTCTCACCGCGCTCGATCTCGCGCCACCTTTTCTTCGCAGATCTTGAGCTGGATGGTTTTTTTAGCCAACGAGACGAGATTGATAATAAACTTCTCGAAGATTTTTGAGTACGGGAAAGGCTTTTTTGCTTTGCTATAGCTTATCTCGTAATTAATCACTCGATACAAAATAAACAAAACAAATATCCATCACTGTAGTCATAATTTTACTGCATATAAAAGAGAAACATTGACTGGTTTCTCACTGTACAATTGTTTACATTTCATGTCATTGGTATCATCGCTAAAGCGCTTACAATGTGAAAAAAGCAAGTTTTGTACATCTCCATCTCTCGCCAGAGGAGCATCACAGCCGCATGCTCACTCACTCCGAGCATTTATCGATCAGTACCAGGCGCCCCATCCGACAAATAGCGTAGCCAGATTCTTCTCGTCCGAAGCCTGCTGTATCAGCTCATYGACCGTCGCGGCAGTACTGAGCGTCTTGGACAATTTCTTCTCCACAACTTGTAGAGGCCTATCCGCCTCCCCATCACCACCTCCCTTTCTCGACGACAACTCAGTCTCTTCCCCACCTTTATGTCCCACTCCACCCGCTTCCTGCATTCTCTTTGCCCGCAATGGCGATACCGTCCAATTGTACAGTGGATCATACCGCAGGACATTGAGCAGAGTCATGATGCTGTCCTTATCATCCCGCACGGCGTCGAGGGTGAATTCGCAGCAGCGGCGAAACACACCTTCAGTCTTGGTCACGCCCATACCATCAACAATGTCGCGAGTGAGGCGGAATGGAACCTTTTCGGGAATCGGTAGGACACGACCAGCTTCGAATGAGACGCCGAGATCAATGTGAATGACCTCTCCAGTAACTTCATCAAGCAGAATGTTGCTGCAATGTCTATCGCCCAACCCGATGATGTGGCCGAGAATGGACACGCTGGCCGTCGTGCGTGTGTACGCTGTGCGCTTCTGGAACCATGCATCGGGATTGTCGAAACGCTCCAAGAAGAAGTGGCGCAGCACGGGATGAATGCGCTCACACACTTTGCGAAATTCCTTGATTCGCACATCATCGCTGGACTTGTCGCAGGCTCTGATCATGTTACGTGCTTTGCTGTCCTGCAGGTCTTGAGGATGATATCTCTGATGCGCGGGTTTCACGTACTCCATCAGCGGGATCGAGTTGGGAACAAACTCAATAACACCCGCACCGGGTCCGAGCGGAACGACCTTGTACGTGCGAATTTTGAGATCACGCTGTCGGGTCGGCTTGTGGTGTCGAAGCATCTTGCTGACTTCTTCAAACACTTGCTCCATGATGGCATCTTGCCGAAGGTCGTCCCTACCGYTTTTGAAGATCTGCTTGTACTCTTTACCGTCGCTGCCGATGGCTGTGATGAGCTTCGGCGCACTCACACCTCCCAGTATCGAGCCAACGTCCAAGAACCTAACCACAGTGATGATATCGTTGTAGTCTCCATTAGGWCGTAGGGACAAAGTGAGGGTGATGGGCGGAATGCTCGACCGAGTGGCATGAAATTGTCTCATCTTCTCAGACGGCCGCCATTTTTCCAACAAGAACTTGCCGCTGTTTGACGGAGAGCTGTTTGCAAAGTCCCTATACAGCACGTCACAATGAAAGAGTCGCTGCATATAGGTACCGATGCTGTCTTTCTTGAGAGTCTCGTACAGTTTCCTCGAACCGTCATATCTGGACGCAGCGGCAGCCTCACTGCCACTTGCACTCCCGTTCTTAGTGTTGGCGAACAGGTGGTGTAGACTGTGATGTGGATGTTGCGTAAAGATGCGAAGCAACAATCCCGACAGCGCTGTCTGGAACGTGGATTGTTCACCGCCTACGCGAGACATGAGCTGGTTCATCAGGAGCACGAACTTCCAGCTTGGCACCAGTGGCAGGTATTTCAGCACAACGGCGTTGGCATCCGCATCGTTGGAGTATTCCAACCAAAGCGCAAAGAAACGCAGAACGCAGATGTCGTGATCGTCAGATGCGGACAGCGCGAGCAGATAGTTCTGCAAACTTTGTTCGACATACGTGCCGCGGATTGACCTCAAACGCTGCTCTTCGATGATGTCAAGATCGCGCCAGCCGACTGCTGTCTGCCGAGATCTGTTCAGGTCGCTCTTCTCTGTATTTGAGTGGGATCTCCTTATGGCATTCTCAATGGCTTCGACCTCTTCCTCTTTCTCTTGACGAAGTTGAGAAATGCGATTGAACTCCTCAATATTTGCTGGAACCTGCAATTCGTCGTCGCAGAACTTGGCAAATTCGTAGAAGACGATCCCAGCCTCCTTGCCTTGTTTTGTTGACTTGAGATCGCGGATCGCGGGCCTGAGGTATGATTTGAAGATGATATCCGGCTTCTCCAAACGAGCCTCGGCGAGCTTGTGCGCCAATTGAGCCCGCAAGCCGGCCACACCAACTTGGATATCGTGCTCCGCAAGGCCTGGAATGTCCAGTGCATCTTGAAGCATTCTCACAGAAGCTGATGTCTCGCCGGCATCCCACAGGACGGAAGCCGTCTCGGACTTCACAGCGCCTGCTATCGTGAGATTGACGGAATCGCAGACTGAAACCATATCACTGAGGGTCGTTGTGGCTGCCAGAGCTTCCTGAAGGTGGGAGTGTTCGCGAGCGAAGCGCGATTCGGCAAGTAACGCCTCGACTTCCAACCCCCGAGCTTGCTTCTGATTCACGTGAAGATGTTGCTGTAGATTTGCATTTTGAACCAGGACGCCAAACAGAGTTTGTCGATTTGACAAGATCGACTTGACGTCGTCGTACTGAGCCATGCGCATCCAGTCTGATCGTGACTTCATGGCGCTCCATCTGGATATCATGTCCCCTGAGTCCATAGACGACAGTATCTCCTCGGTCTCTGTAAGACTGGCGAGAACTCCGAACCATGAAGGCGAGGCTTTCAACGACCCTCCAGAAGACAGTCCATGTTGGGCGTGATCGACGACCGCAAGCTGCAACCTATCCCGTGCTTGCTGGAGGCTGGTCGCGCGACTCAGCTCCTGGAAAACGGAGAAAGTGATTGATCGCACCCCAGTGGATGTCTCAGGCAGGGGTATGTCCCACTGCTGTAACGCTTGTGCTGCGCCCATCATATCTGTAGAGGTTCTGGAGCTATTCCCCAAGCCGTGGGTTAGMAAAGCAAGTGCCAAGCTATTGAAATTGAGTGCAGACAAAGAGTGCACCATGCCCACAGCGTCGCTGTCCGCGAGCCTATGTGTTTGGCGCATATGGCTGTCCATCTGAGCAGACCGAAACATGAGGCTTCGTAGACCATTTGCTTCGTGATCCAGCCTGTTGAGGACGTTGTCCAGGGAGGCGGGTTGCTGGACTCCGTAGAATGAGTCGGGCTCTTCCAGCTGCTGATATATTGATAGCAGGAGATCATCGGCAACAGGCGGTTGAAACAGTTGAGATAGTGAAGCTCGACTGGACGAACGCTTGTTGGTTTGTGGGACAGGCGCTATTGATTCCGCGAGTAACAACGCACAATGTGGCATAGCGCATCTCGAACCGGCATCGGCGGCGACTAGATAGTCAACATCCAACCATCGAAGACGATCGGCCTTGGTGGCTTCGCGGGGATAAGCTTGACTTCGTAGGTAGAGTAGCAGCTTCAGCCAGAACTGTTGCTTCGAACACAGAGCAGGATCCGTCTCGGTCAGCTGAGAGGTGATCGCAGTGGAAAGTTCCGATCGTAAAGTTGGTTTCTTGTCAATCTCATCAACGAGCAGTATATGGAGCATACTTGGAAGAAGCTCAGTGGCCAGGTCGGGAATGTTCCTGAGCAGAGGAGCTAAGCAGGCGATGACAGTCACCTTCGACGCCCATCTGCAGGCAGTGACCGCAAGCTCCGTCGTCCATTCTTCGAGAGTCTGTGACTTGGATATTTGCAGCGWATCACGCAACGCATCGTCGTTGACCACGGCATATGCACGCTGATTCGCGGAAGGTGGCTCGTAGCCGCATGTACCATCCAGGATAGCTACATAAATGTCTGGGGACAAGACCGTAGAGAATACATTTGCTTCGTTGGCTTCAGTGTTAATGATATCGGCCAACTTCCGCAGAGTGTGCTCGGCCAGGCCAGACTCCAGGCGCTTCCGAGAGAATAGTAGCTCAGACCACTTCTGGCCAATGATCATATGAGATCTAGCAGTTAGCTGTACGTCTTCTGTCAGATTTGGAGGCTTCTGTGGCGCTGACTGTAAGGCTCCGTGCAACGGGAGATTTGGACGTATACCAGTCGAAGCATACGCTCGCCCCAACACACGAGCAGACCAAGCAGTGAACTCTTGTGTCATCGGYAGTGCAGTCATTTTCGAGGAGACCTCCCACAATGGCTGCGCGTACTTGACTGATGCTTCGTCATCACCAACGACACCTTCCACCGCTGACTTTGGAGCTTCGAAGCCCTGAGCGAGCATGCATAACGCTTCGAAGCAGTCGGTACTGGAGCAGAGAGGATTGGGAGAACACCACTGATCAAGGAGGAACATCAATAGTGTACCCTCTGGACTATCCTTTCGAGCATTTCCAGGTAGCTGCAGAATGTCCAAGGCCTTGCTGAGTACGGCATAGGCGGAGCGCCCTTGGTCGTCCAATGTGGCTTGCGTCAGGTATTTGACAAGCCACTTTTGAAAGCCCAGCATCTTGTGAACAGTTGCTATATGCTGGCTTTCCTGCGTGGTACTGCTTTGCCGCGAGTTGGAGTGCTGCCTAAGTTGTAGAACAAGCAAGGCTACTGTACCACCGAGAAAGCTTGGATTCGATCTGAGATGCTCTCGCCCGTGATTGAAGAGGTATTGGAGAATACCCAAGGTGTCGTCCGCGCATTCGCTGTCGTTCACGAATGGCCGGAGTGAGTGAATGAGCATTTCCAATGGAAATCCGCTGAGGGCAACATTCCCAGCCATGCATATCAAAATCCGGAGGCGACGTATCAGGAGGCAGGAGTGTAAAGACCCAAGCGAATCATCTACTGCGTCTAGTAGCATGCGAGCTGCAAGTGTGAACCTGGAAGCCGTCCACCCTACATCCTCTTTGATTCGCCTGCTTAGTCGATCGATTTGCTCACAGAGCTTGTTGCTGGTGAACGCAGGTTCTTGGCTGTCAGGCAATTGACGCGCTGAGTGGCTGTACTGTTTCATCTCCTTGAGAACGCCGAGTTGCCCGCTGTATTTTGGATTTTTCTCCAACCACTTGTCTTCTATGTCATCCTGCTGTGTGGTGAGGAAGAAGTGCCCCTGTATGGCAGACCATTGATCCTTGGTCAACCTCGATTGGTCTTCTTTGCCCCCGACAGCATCTCGAACATAGTGCTCTCTTTCCCGGAGGGGGCTAGGAAGGCCAGAACTCATTCGAATATCGTAAGCCATTGCATATGCGAGAGTCTTTGCGAAAGCCGACTTGACTATTGACTGTGGCAACATTCTCGTCGCCTTTGACAAAAGCTCCATGTCTGCCTTGTCACCGAACATGACGATCTGTGCGCAGACCTCTGATTGGTTGTCTACCRATAGCTCGTTCAAAGAACGATATTGGAAAGAGGCATATGGCAGTTCCCGCAAAGGCATCCCCATTCCCTGCGGCCAAGGTATCTTTGCAGCGGTGTCTTGAATGTAGTCTCTAGGAAGCCTGGGAGCCAGCCATTTGAATAGCAGGTGCCGCGCGAACAGCGTGAACAGAGTTCGAGGAGTTTTCGATGGAAGATTTTTGGCCAAATTGGAGATGCAGAGAGCAGCATGAGGCGCCGAGCCTGCCTCGAAAATGCGATAAACACACCATAGGAGAAGTGTCTGCCATTTCGATCCCAGCTTCACGAAGAACAGCAGTCGAATAGCGATGCCTTCAACATGGTCCATATCCTTGGGCAGGCTTTCCGAAAGGTCTTCGAACATGACTGCGTGTGTAGAAAGGACAGAGCGACCAAAGACCGTCGAGATCTGACCCGCTAGTTGAAATTGCATGGTGATGCTGCCTCTTTTCAACAAGTCGAACAAACTTGAGAGGCAAGATCTGGCGGAAGTGTCTTCGCTATGGTGAGGGTATCCAGTATCGATCTGGCAAAGTCTTAGCAGCAATGTTGCGAGGCGATTCTGGGTGTTCCGCGAAAGGATTTCTTCAGGCAGAGCCGTAGTCGAGTACCATTCGTAAAGCTGCAAGCCCAAGAAGTAGAGCTGATTATTGCCTGGGTCCGTCCACACATCCGCTGTAATTTGCAAAACATCAATAATCGTGCCAAGGGTCACTTCTGATCGGTAGTGCTTAGGCTTGCTCAGCAAATCGCCAAACAATTCCAGTAGACACTTGGCATCCTTTGCACTGAGCATCAAACCAAGACGCGGAAACAAAGTGATTACGCTACGACTGGCCAGGAGGGAGGTCACTGTCTGTGCAAGCAGAAAGTCTGTGATAGTCGTGGACACGGGCTGAGAGGTAGCCTGCGTCAGTTTCTCGTTCTCCTGGGCAATAGCAACATTTGCATAGAGCGTGATACTTGCTCTCAAAGAGAGGAAGCTGTACGCGACGTCGAAGTCGTTTGTGAGCTCGGTGGTTGAAAGCGAGGCTTGACTCCGTCGACTGKCTTGAGAGTTCAAGGGTTCGTCAACGTCCATTGCATCGTCGTTGTCGTTGGCACTTTGAATTGCTATGCGCCGAAGATCAACGGCATTGGCGACAGTACGGCAGATCAAGGTCTCGCACTTCAGTCGCGCAATTTCGCCATTGCCTTGGTTCAGGTCCAGGCCCGAAAAAGCCATGGAAAGTATGGAAAGGAAAGAATCCGCCTTGGTCTCGTCGCATCGTGGCGCTCCAACATACCCAGACAGCGATTTCGAAAGGGTGGCCACTTGTTCCTGCAGCTGCGATTGTCGACGAGCATCTCGAAATTCTACGCATGAGGAAATACACGTAAAGACGTGAAAAGCCTTGCACAGCATTGTGAACGAGTCATGGCTTGGGTTTCGAGCTCGCTCTTTGAACAACGCCGACCAAGTCTCATTGGCCCGTGTTGCTTCTGTTAGCAAATGCGTTAGAACAACGGTCTCTCCTGCAAAGCGACGTGCAGCAGAGCTTTCTGGTGCCAATCCTGGATCTCGATGTATCTCGGGGTTGGTCGGTGGATCCTCAACGTCGTTCAGTAGAAGGTACCCAACGAGCTCTTTCTGCTGCTCGCACGACAACCATGCTCGGGCTGTTGGACCCCAGACCGGGAACCCTGCCRTGTTGAAAGTGTGCGGTTGTCGCCCTAAGCATAGAGTGATCAATGGAACAACATCGACTGCTTCGTATAACACTGTGCTAGAAATGTACTGCTTGTCCTCGATCTTGCTCGGCGTAAATGTGTGAGCTAGCCAGCGCAGAATGCTGTCCGCAGCATTAGGACTAGAATCGGCGTTGATTTGCTGTGAGCAGTTCAAGATGGCGGTCAGAAGCAAAGCCACCGAGTCCGACAGTGAACTGGGCCCACTCAGCTCCATTGCGTTCGTAGCCGTTTGAACCAGATCAGAAATGCTGGCCTGGGAGACGAGACGAAGTTGCAACATCAGATACAATGCGTACGCTGCTGCTCTGCAGGTGGATGCGTTACCAAGGGCACGGCACGCGAGCTGCCATGCAGCTGTCCATCGGGTGATGAGCTTGGTGTCGGAAGCGGTTGTTTGCGATGCGCAACTTCCAAGGGCAAGCAGTGCCCATGATGCCAGATTGCCGGCTTCTTYGTTACACGAGATCAAAAGGCTATCAGTCGCTTCAATTATCTGATGCGGCGTCAACATCGTCCGCTGTGCGAGAAAGGCCAGGATCTGCAGAGCGCAAACGCGGGAACGAGGAGTGCCGCTCGTAGTTCCACGTAGAATGTTGCTGAAGGCGTTGTGTTCGTGCTGACCGTTTCGTCGCTGTCGCTTTCTTGGGCGGTGAACGTCACCATCTCGATTGTCATTCGCGCCCGCGTCGTCTTCGTCTGAATGATGCTCGTTATAGCCCTGCTTCATCGAAATACTGTACAGCGATGCAAGCATTTCTACAAGCAGCCAGTTCGACTCCGATCGCAGTCCAGGTGCCAGCCAGCTCGACTCAGATCGTGGGCCGGAGCYTCGTAGGGTGAACAATGTAGTCCCGACCTTACCACCTTTGGCGTCGTCCACTTTACTGATCTCTAGGCGGAGATCGTCGATGCCGAGCTGTTCACGTTCGAGTCTATTGACATACTCAGATTGCATAGTCGACAACAGACTGTTGAGCTCGGGGAGCAGCCCTACACCTTCGGCTTGCTCCAATGCTTGGAAAATGTAGGGTCGTAACAAAAGAATCGTGGTTGTCATTTGTGGCAGTGCAGGAGACTTAGCTGACCAATTGAGCTTTATGAGGCGGATGAGCGGACAGGTCGTCTTTTGCGTGAGCTGTATATTTTCTGTGCGAGTCCATGACAATAGATGGTTGATCGCGGTGAAGATGTCAAGATGCGAGCGTGTCGCAGCGTTTGATGTGCGCAGATACTCAAGGAGGGTGGAGAGCAGAGGTTCTGCTTGCTTGTGAAGCGGTGCATTGGGTACCGCAGTCAAGAGCCGTATGCAGGCAATCATTTCGTCGGTGACGACTTTGACAGCGGCGCGGCTTCCTTGCGATGCCGCTGGTTCCCGATGGGTCGATCGCGAGGACGGGTAGCTGAGACCATTTATCGAGGAGCCCGCGGTCGAGATCAGCTCAGTCTCTGGCAGACTTCCATCAACAGCCGCGTGTGATGTAATGAATTCGGCACAGAAGGCGGCAATACGATCCCATTCCTTCTGGGTGCGCCCTTTGAGAACCTGGTTCATGAGCTCCACGTGCGGCTGATGACTCAAGACAGCCCGCATGCATTTTGCATAGTCGGGTCCGATCGGCTCACAGACCTCACCAGAACTGAAGCAAATGGTGTCAATGACATGGTCCAGCACGGCTCTGGCAGTCGAGGCTTTGAGAACGGTGGCACCCGCTTCGACAGTGGCTCGGAGGGTGCTCGCGATGTTGGACAACTTGTTCTCCACAAGCGTGCGTGTCGAAGCGGTTTTGGCATTGACCCAATTTGATTGCTCATTGACGGCCGCATTGAAAAGAGTATCGTAGATGGCGTGATACGACTTGTCCTTGAGTGTCGACTGGTTGTGCCGCACGATGTGTTTGAGATCACTGTAGCCCTTGGTGCGATTTTTGGCAACTGTCGATTTAATGCGCTCTATATTGGTGTGGGGATGATCAGCGCGGAACCAAATCGAACGACCGGCAGAGAAATACCTAACGCGTCTAGCAATGTGACCTCCGCCATGCTGCTCCACTGAGCGAACTGGCATTCGTGATTGTGTTGATCATGAAGGAATCGGTCTTGCAAAGCGAGGGAGGCGTCTCCAAGCCGCAGTGGAGGGAAGTGAAACTATTACTGTGCCAATCGTCAGCGAATTGGTGTCGCGAAACAGAGCAGAAAAAAAGTACGAGTGCGTGTGTTTGGAGAGTGTTGGTGTTGGTGATGGAGGTGCGTTGATGTCAAACCCTAGACTAGCGCGTCGATGAACCTTAAATCACCTCGTGTTTCTGCGAGCTCGACGTGAATCTATTGGAAGTCTTTCAATGCGCGACGGACCTCCCTGTCCTATTCAACCACCGCTCTGAGTGCACTCATGCACACAATGGCCGATGACTCTGCACTCCGCAGACTGCAAGTTCTGCAGCGGGATCTCATCGCCTTCACCGAATCTCGCTTGCCAGATCTTGCGCGACTGGCAGAACAGCTGGATGCCTGTGCAGAGGACTTCAAGAAACTGCTGGAGCGCAAGAAGAAGAACAATGAAAGCCGCTCCAAGCTGGTGACGTCTTCCGATCCCCAGCCCTCCAGTATCACCATCGACGAGGTGCAATACAGCATCCAGCCAACTTTTCGCGAAAGTGCACTTCGGGTCGCCGACGAGCTCGATCTGGATGAAGTAGAGGCCGCTAGGCTATGTATCGAGTCGCAGCTTCCATTTGACGATGCGGGCGACTCACTTACACTGCGCGCGCTCCTGCGCTTTCACCAACAACGGCAGGCGCTATTGGACTGTCTACGGATACTACTACAGCTCAGCCTGGACTCCGACGGCGACGAGAACAACGCAGAGGCCTTTGGGGCAGCCGCAAAACAATTGATACAGGGCGAAGGGGGCAGGCAGTCGGAGAGCTCTGCGTATTGGCGCAAATGCTTGGACGGCCTGGGAGATGTGGAGAGTTTTCTTAAAAAGGTGGGAGACTACAGAGACAAGATCATAATGACGGGGCAGGATCTGTGTGGTGAGATGGGGGAGGCTGTGGTGGGYCAGCGCTATCTGCTGACACAACAGCACGAATCTTTGGCCGCGGTTCTATCGTATCTGCTGCGTGGGAATTATGTCCAGCCGGAGGACTATCGTGGATTTCTCAGCAGAGCCGCGTCTTTGGAAAGTGACATGGACATTGCTGTGCATTATCTACCAATTTTGACCGAAGGTGCGGCTTGCTTCGCTTCAGACCACCACACGACCATGGATGCCGCGCGGAACCTCCACAGTCTATTTGCGGCAGGGCCTGGCCAACTTCAATGGAAGAATGCCAGCCTCAAAGCGGCCGCTACGGTTTGCTGGCTCGCCGAGTACAACGCGAGATTCTCCGCCGGTGCAAGCGACCTCACGCAGAGTGAAGCGGACCGTAGCAGTGATGAAGAGGCGCGTTCGAAGTTGTTCTTCGACTGTCTAAAGGACAAGGCATTCCATTTCATGCTTGCTGCTGCCTCATTTCTACGGCCCATCGTTTGGCACGATCCAGCCCGGAAAGGCATAATCGAATGGCTCGTAGATGATGCGGTGGTTATGCCCAACGATGCTCCACGCCCTTCGGATGAGTTTGCACTTCTCGTCATGCGAGAGCTTCAAACCTTCACCGATGCCTTTGTGACCAACATGCCAGATACACTCCGTAAGCTGAAATCTGAGGAGGACGAGCATAGGAGGAACCAGCTCTTCCAGTCCGCGAACGGCGAATATCGTTCAGAGATGGGTCTCGAGCGTTTSATGATCATCATGGCTTACGCATATCAAGACGACGTGGATGCTGTCAGGGATTTCTGGTCCGACCGCGAGAGCAATCTCTATGGTTTCCTTCGTTGGGTGTCACAGCGCCTTCCAACACCGCGGGTGGCGGCCTTTTGCACACTGCTCAAAGCAATCGCATGCGATGACAAGTCCGCGAATCAAGCACACCGCTTCCTCCTCGAAGACGTCGCGATGCCATCGGGCAAGCTTCGCAAGGCCCACGCAGTCAGCTGGGCGCAGATTTTCAACGAAGTCGAGCTTTACGCTTCGAGCGTCAGGGACAGACCGGCACCACCTCAGCCCTTGCCTGGCCAAGAGCACACCACTATGGATGAGGACATTCAGGAGCCTGAGACGAACATCATGCTAGAGGCATATCTTGGACTGGCTGCCCACATTTCTCGCACTAGCCCTGAAGCGAGGACGTGGCTATTGAAAGATCAACCATTCCACATTGGGGAGATGATGTATCAGCTCGCTCGTACTGGCACGGTAGCGCGAGTCAAAGCGTGCTGCCTCGATGTCCTGGCTGCGTTGCTCAYCGATCAGGTGCTCGAGGTTCGAAACGGCATGTGGGTGCTGCTGGACAGCTGGATATCAAGCAGCGGACTYGATGGCTCGAGCAATGCACGAACAGCCGCTAGAGCGCACCAGCCTGCTAAGCAATATCTCCAGCACTTTGCGAGCAATGCGGAAGCCAGTTCCTCCTTGATAGGCTTACTGGACGCGCTCATAGCGCCGTTGACAGGAGCGCCCGATACCACCATCGACGCTCTACCATTCCCGGAAAATCTTGGAGCACCCCATCGCCATGCCGGAATCGACTCATATGTTGACTTCGTCATGGATTCTGTGTTTGCTCGCGGAACTGCTCGCATGATCAGCGAAGGCGACACTACTATGCTCGATGCCCTACGCCATGATTGCCTTTTGTTCGCTTTCAAATGCCTCTCAACATTCAACGAGGACCTCGTGCTTTTAGCAAACACATCAAACGTGGCAGTCGAGGCTGCGATGGAGACAAAGTCCTTGGCAGTGTACGCTCGCCTGCACCCATTTGCACGAGTCATGGAATGGCTGTTTGAGAAAGGCGTTGCTGCTTCGCTCTTTGCTACTCTGCAACGTTCAAGGGACGCACTGGAAGAGGCAGATCCTAATTCGCCTCTGGTTCAGTCAACTCTGAAGAGCGTTCAAGTACTCAATCTGGCTTGGAAGCTGCAGCCGACTTACTTTGATATCATCCGCCCGATAATCACAAGCCAGACATCGCGCGCACATTCGGAGACGGGTGCGACATTCGCCTCAATCGATGAGCTCTTCCTCTCGCATCTAGATTCTGTGTCCAGCATTGCGGATTTCACCAGCTGCAATCATGTCGAAATCGGGCTTGAGTGCCTCACGCTGCTACAGAGAATAGCTTCATCACGGAAGCTGTCGCAAAGTGCAGATGAGGGTGCAATACGTGCTCGACGCACCGGCCGAATCATCGGCGTACTTTCGCCCATGACCGCCAACTTGACCTCACAACTTCGACAAGACTTCATCCTAGACGAATGGGATCTAGAAACGGGTGACGTCCCACTGAAACTTGTCAAGGCAAAAGCGACCCTCGACTTGCTCAACGCCAGCCTGGACGCCTCGAATGGAAAGCCGAGTGTTGCGCACTGCCTTCTCGGATTCAGTTGTTTCGAGCACGTAATCGATGTCCTCCCAAATAGCATGTTCGCCGAGGGCGTATCATTGTTCCACGAGATTGCTGCGCGTGCCGCAACGCTGGATATTATCGGACCCACTGGAAACACCGCGTTCCTCCTTGCGGTCAAACGTGGCTGCTTGGAAGTAGTGCTGAAGCTTGCGGTCTCGCCGCTGACCGTTCATATTGTCCAGCCTGTCTTACGCTCCATGGACTTTCTGGCAGCTTTGTCTCGCCATCAGACACCTGCTTCGCAAGATATGCATTGGGATGGCTTAATGGTTCATGACCCTAATGTCTTGTTCGGCACCTCAGCGCTGGCAGTGCGCGACTTCATGCACGTTCGCGAGGCGTTCTTCGAATTCGCCGCGATCAGTTTGCGTACCGCGAGCGWGCAAAGCGCTTTTTCGGTACAAGAAAAGATTCTGAGCGCACTTCTTGGAACGGTCAACCTGCCCGACGGCGAGCAGATTCCGACACTTTCAGTATTTGAACTCTTCGACTTCTTTGACCTGGAGACTTCAATTGCCGTGGAGCCTAATTGCAAGCACCTTGCCAGTGTCGATTTGTCTGGCTGCACCAAAGACGATCCTGAAACGCTCGTCGCATATGATCCCAAAATGGCAGGAGACCTGTTACTATTGCACAAAAAGGAACTAAAAGAGAAGAGCGGGATCAAGGAGCCCGCCGAGCTCGAACAGATCGATGTGGAGATACAAGCAACGCTGGCGTCATTGGTCAGCCAGAACAACTGGCGGGCTGTACAAAGCGCGCGCTTGAACGCTTTGGAGGCGTGGACCGATCTGCTTTCTCTCATGGTCACGAAGGGTGGCCTAGGGCAGGGTGATGTCATTGCGTTGTCATTGCAAGGACTTCTCGTCGTACTTCCAAAGTTCGAGAAGTGCCTGGCAGATAACCTTGACGCGGCTGGGCTGTTGGCAAAGCTCACCCTCACTTTCACACATGCCATCAGCCCTGCTTCGCAGGACGCTTCCACACAGACAGTCAATGTCGCCATTGAGCGTCTACTCTCCACATTCCGTGTGTCCTTGAAGGTTGTTTGCGACAGCAGCACGGACCTGGCACTGAGGGATGTATGCTACAGAACGTGCTGTACTGTGCTGGCTTCCCTCCCAAGACCATCTACCAACAACCGAGCTACAAGCTCGGCGAGTGCGAAGCAACTCCTACAATTAGTGCAGAATGCCGGAGAGCGTCTTCTCACAATTGTGACCGAGGACGCCTTCTCTGGCCGCGGAATCACTCGCGTGTCTGCACTGCTGTTCCTCGACGGTCTTATCTCGCTGTTCCACAGCCATAAGGCAACCACCTCTATGCTCCGAGCTTTGACCAAGCTCAACTTCGTCCCCGTTCTCATCGACACCAGCATCGGAAGTGTCGCAGCAGCCTTCAAAGGCGAGGACGAAATGATCGCCACCCTCGCATACTTCCACACCGCTTTAGCACTAATGCTACGACTTTGTCAGACTCCAGATGGCACACAACTTGTGCTCAATTCAGGCATGTTTCAGGCCGTTGACGACAGCAGCCTATTCAGTACAGATCCAGACATTGGGCTTGATATCGACAACCCTACAGCATTAAAGGAGTTCTATGCGATACTCGCTGATGTGCTACGACTTGTCACTGCCGCGGTCGTAAGCAAAGGTCCGCAGCCTGGAAAAGCCTTTTTGCAGAAGAATCGGTATACAGTGCAGGCCATATTCAAGCAGGCATCGAGAGGACAGGCCATTGAGGTCGCGGATGAGTTGCAGCGTCTATTGCTCGCTACCGACTTTCTTGAGGTATGTCAGCATGATTCTTTGGATATTTTGACATGTGGCTAATTCTTTCATGTAGGACGATGAGGCGTCTGCGGTGCGAGTTTTGAGGAATGGCTTCTCGTAGACTGCCTGTTTGAAGGCATCTATCTGGATAGGAAGATGGATTTGGTTTTCAGCATAGCGGGATGGTCATTGCGATGATGAATGATGTTGGAAAAGGGCATGGCGAACATAGAGACTTGAGAGACGCATCTACGGGTCGCATCTGAGTCTTTTCTCTGGCGCTGGGAATTGATATGAGGTATATCGATTGCGGATGTGACCTTAATGAGGCGTGTTGAGCCGTTGGTTTCGCATCCGTTAGTGGCTGGGCGGTTGACATTGTCATGTCTGAGGTCAAAGTGGCATAGTAGATTTACGGTCGACCGTGAGAGTGAGGTCAACGTTTGCGCAATCCCATTTGATTGGCTCGGAATTCGGCCGCTAGCGTTGTCCCACGCGCAAGAGGGTAACATTTTTTTGGACGGGGTCGAATCGAGAATTGGGCATACCTATCCTTTGCACTTTTCTCAAACCAAACCAAACCTCACTTTCCTCCATATCCTCGTCCATCATGGCATCCGACGAGATAGTCTGGAATATCATCAATCAGCAGTTCTGCTCGTTCAAACTCAAGCTTCCGGGTAATCAATCGCACCAGAAATCGACCAAGCAGACCTTTTGTCGAAACGAGCATAATGTGACGGGACTGTGCAATCGACARAGCTGTCCGCTCGCCAACTCTCGATATGCCACCATCCGCGCGGATCCATCGAATCAGCGGCTGTACCTCTACATCAAGACCGTCGAGCGGGCACATTTGCCTAGCAAATGGTGGGAGAAGATCCGACTGAGCAGCAACTATACGAAAGCTCTGGAGCAGGTCGACGAGCGACTGATCTACTGGCCGAAATTTCTCATCCATAAGTGTAAGCAGCGTCYCACACGATTGACGCAGGTGCGCGTGCGGGCGCAACGGCTGGTGAAGGAGGAGGAGCGGCTGGGCGAGACCATGGTTCCGAAGCTGGCGCCCAAGATTCGCAGGCGAGAGGAGACACGTGAGAGGAAGGCCGAGGCTGCGGCGAAAATTGAGAGGGCCATCGAGCGTGAGTTGGTCGAGCGACTACGCAGTGGTGCCTACGGTGACCGGCCGCTTAACGTGGAGGAAAATGTGTGGAAGAAGGTTATGCGCGGGTTGGAGCGGACGAATGAGGGACTGCGCGATGAGGATCTGGACGAGGGTATTGAAGATGAAGAGGAGAATGAGCACGAATATGAGAATGAGCTAGAAGAGGGCGAGCAGGATGTTGAGTATGTCAGCGATGTGGAAGAGTCCGACGATGAGGACGACATGGAAGACTTTGATGACTGGCTGGGCGGCCAGAGCGGAGACGAAGCTGCAGCAGGCACCGATGAATCTGAGGAGGAAGGAGCAGATGGGACCAGCGATGAAGAGGACGGCGATGACGATACCGCCGCTTTGAAGAAGAAGCTGGACGGCCTCAAGCGGAAACGCCCCAGCGCTGCACCGCCGAAAGCGCGCAAAAAGCCTACCAAGGGCAAAGGACCCAAGACCAACATCGAGTACGAGTATGTGCAGGAACCTGCACAGCGCGAGATGGCCCTGGCGAAGTAGACCAGTGCACCTACACGCTTGTTCTACTGTGTTGTTGTTAGATGCTAGCGATGGCGTTTGGGGTCGGAACTACCTATATTGCCGAATGGGATGGAAAGCTCATGGATGAAAATAAAAAGTTGCCATTAAATTATGCTCATCTGTTCCACACGGAAATGAGGAGGTCATAATGTAGCATGCATGGGCTGCAGTGTTCGTCGTCTAAGGACATCATGCCATCAAAGGATCGTGGCCGAGAGTGGGCTGCAATACAAACAAATTGTTGACCATGGAATTTTCAAGCATGGCACATAACTTCTTTACATCGTACAGCTAAACTTTTGGTCACACTGCTGGCGGGTATCCATCTCTATTTGATAAGAAAGTCGACAACTCTCTGTCCGAAGCTCCTTTTCACAGGTACTGCGTTCTCGGCAACAATGACATTGCCATGGTCATCCGCAACCAGGTCCTCCCGAGAGACCTCGGCCGTAGCAATGCTCTGGGTGTCAGGCAATCTCGGGTTGCGACAGCACAAGCCGAAGAAGACGATTGGCACACAAAGACAGATACCAGTGATGGTGAGCAGGCGCTGAGAGTGGCGGTAGCCGTCGATGATCGCGTCACGCTCCGGAGTACCGACTGGGTAGAAGAGGATGGTGCTGTATGGGTCTCCGTACATTGCCGCGGCGATCGCGGTGGCATTGTTCGTGACTGGGGCGAGAGCGTTGTTCAGTGACTTCTGAAGCGTATTGGTCCAAATGGCACCAGACGCTGCAGCACCAAAGGAGCCACCGACGTTGTAGAGTGCGAGGTAAAGTGCAGTGACAGTAGCGACGTGTTCGTGTCTGGTCGCGGCCTGGATGCTGGCCAGTGCAGGGTAGGGGAACAAGCCACCTCCAATACCAAGCAGGACTTGAGCGCCAATGAGTCCAGACTTGTTTGAGATTCCAGCACCACCACGGAAATTGATCAGCAGCCCGAAGGCAACCAAGTAGAGAATCGAGCCGACGAATATGAATGGCTTGAGTCGACGGACTTTGAACACGACCAGTCCAGCAATCATTCCAGTCAGAGTGGAGCAGAAGTTGAACAGGGTTCCAATTCGCTGGGCAGATGTGACTGATTGGTTGAACGCGACAATGGAGATTGCGTAGAGGTAGTCGCCCTGCATGTACCAGGAGAAGTTGATGAACAGTGCAAGGCAAAGAGGTCCCCATACAGCACGATCTTTGACAACTGCAGGCAGTCAGTAGCTGCTGCTATATTATGTGATGAGTGAGACTTACGTGCAAAAGGCAGCATTGGGTGCGGTGAAATGGTCTGCCAGAAAAAGAAGACCGGGAAGAGCAGGAATCCAATGATCAGTGGCACGTAGATGTGTACCTGACCCCAGCCTTGGGAATATGAGTTGGTGAGCGTGAACGGCACCAGAAGACAGCCCAGTGCCGCGATGATCAAAATGATGCTGATAACGTCGAGTTGCCAGAAAAGTGCAACCATGAGCTTGAAGGGACCGAGCATCTGGTATGGAGTGCGGTAATTGGACAGGTCTTCGTGTTTCTTCGCTCGGCGATGCGCCATGAAGAGAGCGGCCAGTAAAGGCATGGTCAAGACTGAAGGACGGTCAATGACTGCGGCTTACTTTCAGTTGGTAGGATTGACTTACCTGGAACGATGATTGCCCACATGCCGATACCCCATCGCCAACCAATGCTATGACCAGCACCCATACCAGAAGGGTCACTTACTGGATCTACGATGTGTGCTGCAATGTTTCCGGAGATCCAAGAGTTGATCTACGAAGAGGTCAACATATGGTAATGGCGCCCCGCATGGATCGAAGTCACTACTCACCAAGTAGGGCGCATTCGGAACGAACGAGAAGAACAAACGAGAGCGCAGTGACGTCGTATCGGCAATGATAATCTCAATTAGGAGCGTCATGAGAGTCCATCCGATCTGGAAGAGGACAGCACCAGCTGCGAATGTCTCGACATTTTGAGAGAAGGTCTCGCAAAGTGTGCCTGCAGCACGAGTCAGCTTTGCCACTGTATAATTGCTCAAGCGACAGCCTTACCCGCAAGGTAGAAAACGACAGTCACAACCAGGAGCTCAAGACGACCAAACACATCGGCGATTTTGGCAGCGGTAGGCTGGCCAGCCGCTGCTGCRACGCTTCTGATGACAGCGACTGTAGCAAGCAGGGAATGTCGATCATAGCTAGCAACCGCGTAGGTCTATCAAGCCGTCACGTCAGTCCTGCCCATTGAGGTATGACGATGATGATGATGCAAATATACCTGGAAGGTGTATCTCAGAGTGTTGTCGAGGGTGTAAGCGTAGGCCAGGATGAAGATGGTGATGAAGAGGAAGACGCGGTCCGCAAAGGTGATGTGCTTGGATATGGCCTCGATACGCTTCACACCAGGACTGGTCTTGCCCGTGAGCTTGATATCGTTGGGTACATATGGAGGTGCGGCGTCGTCTGAAGAGGAGGCATCGCCTGCCTCCGCTCGCTTGAGGTCGTGATTCATGGTCGAGCTGCCCGTACGCTGGGAACACAGTAGTATGGAGGTAGACTGGCACGGATGTGCGGTGTGGATGGGAAAGAGCGCAAGATCAGATTAGATGGTAGGACTTCCATATACCTTATTCACCTTCCTCCCGCTACCCGGTGCACGGCACGGATCTGCACGAGCTCTCGTCTGACGCGGAGGGGCATGAGGTTTTCGGCGGAATGGTTCGATGGTTCTAGGTCCAACTCTAAAAAATTGCCTCAGCAGATGAGAAATGGTTAGCCGCGCCGCATGACACTTTATTCCCGATCATCGCGTGGGAGTCGGTCGGCGAGAACTGGCTGCCAAATTGGCGGAGGAAAATGAGGGCGGCAAGGATTCAAGGGTGGCGGCGGCTAGCGCAAGCATCGATAAGATCATCTGATAAATTATGACCTTAATGGGAAGTAACACCGTCAACAAAGGATTTGCGGCGCAAAGAGAATTGACCAACACACGAACAGAAACGAAACTTGCCGAGGATGTTTCTGCGGATTGGCCCAGGCTTCTGGGGTGAAGATCCTTCTCGCGTGGCGGCGTGGGCAGCTTCACACATTTGGCACGCTCGGCGGACTTGCCTTCTACGCAAAGAATTTGCTACTCCACGTGGGATCCTCGCCTCGCAATGCAGCATCCCGAACAGGATGCCACCAGATGTGCGGACTGTAACGGATAGGTCTACTCTCGATGAAGAGGTGGACGCCAGCCACATTCGGCCTCCAATGAGTGCAGGGCAATGAATCCCGCGGGTGGTTTCATTCTTCGATAGCGGTCAAATATGTACTTACGTGCTTGGGACGAGGCACTTCGTGAGACCGGGCAATTCGAAACAATGTGGTTCTTTGATGGGAAGGTAGTTTATGAGGTCTGTTGGCTCGTATAAGCGAAAGCTACGTTGATTGTTGTTGAAGCGCACTTTTGAGGGGATGATTGATCGAACCGAACAGTCTACCGGAGACGCGCACTGCTCGCTGAATCGACGAACAGATTTCTCTGGCATGCTGGAAGCAAAATGTCGTGCCGTGTCGCTTTGGATCCTACATCCCACGCTGTGGGTAGCGAAGCGCCATACTTGATGTGCTCGATAAACTGGTGGCCGATCATGCCCGAGTGATTCCGAGCTCGGAGATGGTGATACGCCAATGCCATATAGGACAGTATTCCAACTCTCAGAGTGTGTGCACGGCTTTGACTGTCATGTGTCCAATTACGAACCAACCGCTCTTTCATGATCGTGATCCCCTCCCCTCGAAGCAGTCTCCTCGTTTGTAAAGCTTGCACTAGCGTCATCCGCCGGCGACAACCCATCGCGAATTTGGCTCGCGTATTCGAAAAAGGTTCCGGTTTTCTCCGTAGCTCGCAAGGCCTCGTCAACATTCCTGTAGAAGTTGTGCTCGCCTCCACACAAATCTACAATGCCCGATTTCTTGAACAACTCCCAGACCTTGGACTTGCGACTCGGAGCTCTGCAAAAGAACACCATGGTCCCGCGCCCGATGTAATCCTTAATGATCTCGTACAAGACCTGCGTCGCTGCGTAGTCCATGCTCGTAACACCATGAATATCAAAAATGACATTCTTGTTATGTTCCTTGCTGCGTACGCTTGGTAGTGCTGGATGGGCGAGATTGGTGCCGTGATCTTCCAAGCGTTTCAGACGGTCCTTGAGAGATCCTGTGTTGGCAAAGGTGAGCGGCTCCGGGATCTTGACAATTAGACAATGCGGGATCAGCTCCACTTGTCCCTCCTGCGCAAGTGTTTCGGCGTTGTCGAATTCGCGGGTACCAGGTATGCGGCCAACAATCTGTATTCTAGGACGCGTTGCGTGCTTCATCAAGCGAATCAGTGAGAAGATGATGCCCACAATAATGCCGCCACGTAGTGACCAAAAGAACGTGGTCAAGAAGATTAGGAGCATGAGGAAAAGCTCCGGATAGCCACCAATCTTCCAGAAAAAGATGATGTCGTGTGGTGCCTCTTCGAGAAGAGATATCGACACGACTGTAATCATGGCAGAGAGCACTCCTTTCTGTGTTTCTGTCAGCGCGTCCCAACAGGAGAGATCACATGTCAACAAACCGGAATGTAGAAGAAGTAAGGCAGCAAGAACAGCGTGCAGATGACCGTAATGAGTGACAACATTATGCTGCTCATCGGAGTTCTGCCGCCTGTGCTCGCATTCACCTTACTTCTGCCATAACCTCCAAATGCAGGAATGGCCATAAAGGTGCCTCCAATGAGGTTTGCAATGCCCAGCGCGACCAGTTCCCTGTTAGACGAAACAGTCATGCCACGAATACCGTCAGCTTCTTCGACTTCCTCCACGGAGCCGTCATCGTTTGTCTTCTGCACAGTTTCAACATTCACTGTCCCAGAGCCCAAGCTCTTGGCAGCTACACAGCTTTCAAAGAATCCAAGGAGTGCAACGATAAAGGCCGTTTCGAAGGCGTCGCTGACATGCTCGAAGTTGGACTTGTCAAAGATGAAGTGGGGCTCGAACATCTTTACCCCCGCCGGTGCCCGTATGTCGCCAAGTATGTCCAGACCTCTCTCGTGCCACTTAAAGTACCATGTCAGAATTGCAGAGAGGACGACGATGATGAAGCGATCGGGAAAGTACACCACCCATCCTAGGCGAGGGAGGGGCTGCAAACGTCGCTTCAGCTCTCGTAGGACTAGAATGATCCCCACTGCGCTGAAGCTCACTGCAGCGGTGAGCTTACTGATCTTGTCTCGGTTTTCACTCATGAAAATGAGAGATTCCAGCGGAGAGCCGTGCGCCTTGGTGGAGTGCTCGGCAGCTTTGTCAAGTCCCATCTCTGGGACCAACTGGTTGATGAAGATGACCAAGCCAATGGAGCTGATGAATCCGCGCAAGAACGGCCGAGAGAGCACGCTGTCGAGGAAACCCAGGCGGAGCAAGCCAGCGAGAAGAATAATCGCCCCGGCCATGCCCGTCACCATGCCTCCGACCTGCCCAGCTTTCATCCCATCATCGTGGGCAAACTTGCCGGCCTTGATCGCTTCAGCAACAACACTTCCCACGAGGAGAGAGCCAGCGGCCTCTGGTCCAACAACCATTTGCGGACAGGTTCCGAGCATGGCGTAGATGAATGGGTTGAACACGAAAGCATACAGGCCATTAATTGGCGGCATATGACTCAAGTTGGACGCATACGAAAGTGCCATAGGAATGTAGAAGCTCGACATGGTCAATGCCGAGATGAAGTCTCCTTTGACAAACCTCCACCGATATTGGCGTATCCAGTTAGTTATGGGTACGTAGTAATGGATGTACCTAGACGTCGATCAGTACGCATCAGACAGGACATTGCTCGCTAGCCGTACATCATTCGTTCGCTCCTAATACCAGCCTTGCGTGCCAGCCAATGCGTCGTTCTTTTCTTCTTCGGGTGCCCAAGAAGGCTGTCTGAGATGGAGGCAGACGCGCTGCCCCCGGTGCCAGTCCGATTAATAGCCACTTCATCGGGGCTCATAAAAGGTCCACCGAGACTCGGTCTATGCTCAAAGCTCCCAGCTTCCGTAGGTGCATAGCTGCTAGAGAAGCTGCCGTATCCTTGGGCATATCTGGGACGATGTCTGAACACGTACGGCTCCGCTGCGTTGTTCCTTTCGGTAGTCGCCGCGCCGTAGTTTGCTAGTAGCGATGCTTGTACATCAGTGCTGTCCTGTGTTCCTTCTGCTACTCCGCCGTGATCTTGAGCCTCCGTCCCGTCCTCCGCCCCGTCCTCCGGCGCATCGGGTTGGGTGCGACTGGCCTCGGGAGACGACGGCGGCATGTGAGATTGTCGCAGATGCGATGGCTGTGCGGGACGATGCTGCTGGTGACCGGTGGATCGTGAGGGCGAGGGCGAGGAAGTGGTACTATTGCCGGTATTGTTACTGTTGCTGGTGTCGATGCTGTTATCCGTGGCGACGCGCGGAGCATTCCCGTCGTTGGCCATGTCTCTGATCCTCCTCTACTCCGTCACGACACAATAATTGTGCGACATGCAGACCTACTTTGTTGTTGACGCCAACGTCTTCAAAGWCTGGAAACTTTAGTGTACATCACCCGTCCGGCCGCCGAGGCAGGTCCCACACGACAGCCCATGGTGAGGGCGGTRCTAAATTGGGCGGTGAGCGTGACGGTGAGCAGCATGATCCTAGCATTGCCGACATTTCTCTCTTGGCTTGGCCAAGTCCTCCTGTGCACGCGACCTTGATCTGTGCGGTGCGATCACATGCGGAGGATGCTATACATCCAGTCTGTACATCGAGATGTGTAATTTGTCTTGGCACTTGCATAAGCTTTGGGCTCGCTTGGCGCACTTTGGTCAAAGTTCGTTCACCTGCGCCAACCGTTCCTCCTCCAGACATCAGTGACTTTTTCAAGCACCGCTCACTCTGTTTCATTCAATCTCTCGAGTCGAGGCAGACTACCTTACCTACTAGCCATGGGTAAGTATCGCCCCTCTCGTTCCCAGGCTCCAGCCATTGGCTGAAGAATCGCACCCGCTCACTGTCATTGCAGCCCCAAAACTCGACCCCAACGAGGAGAAAATAATTCATCTCAGAGCGACTGGTGGTGAAGTCGGAGCCTCGTCTGCACTCGCCCCTAAGATCGGTCCGCTCGGTCTCTCCCCCAAGAAGGTCGGAGAAGATATCGCAAAGGCCACTGGTGACTGGGTATGCATGGAGGATTTCCAAAATTAAGAAACACTCGACTAACACCCCTCTTAGAAAGGTCTCCGTGTGACTGTCCGCCTCACCATCAAGAACCGTCAAGCTGCCGTTTCCGTCGTCCCGTCTGCCTCTTCGCTCGTCATCAAGGCGCTCAAGGAGCCACCGCGTGACCGCAAGAAGGAGAAGAACATCAAGCACACCAAGTCCATTCCTCTCGATGAGATCATCACCATTGGACGGACCATGCGCCACAAGTCGATGGCCAAGGACCTGAAGGGGACCGTCAAGGAGATTCTCGGCACTGCTTTCTCTACCGGCTGCAAGGTCGATGGCCGCAGCCCCAAGGACGTCAGCGACGACATCGAGTCCGGCGAGATCGAAATCCCAGAAGAGTAAATTCATAGCGGCTTCTGAGGAACACGGCTTCTTTTGGAGTCACGAAGAATGGTCTACAAACGGCGGCGTTCAAGGCGCAAATGATCGATATGGGATGATCAAGTGTCTTCTGAGTCGAGAGAACATACTCTTTTGCTCTCCAAAACACTGAATTGCTGGGTCAAAAGTCGGCCTGTGAATTTGTCCGAAAACCGAGTAGCAAAATCCTAGCTTCGCTCAGTCCATGGGCCAGAAAACGAAGCTGTAGTTGATTCAAGAAATGCCCGTATGGTAGACCTACCTTTGATTCGTTTTAGTACAGACCACCTTGTCGTGTTAGACGGCCTCCCTATCATCAAGGGGAACGTATTCGAGAAGATGATGGAACATGCCGGAACCGCGAAACAGTTAGCATCGACGGTTTGCCGAAGTTATCTCTGCGTGTAGTGCCATGGCCGATCGGGCAGTCATAAGGTAAATGCAGGGCGTGTGACCTACGTCACCTCGTTCATCCCATGTGAGCACAAACACTCGACTTCCAGCTTTGTCTCTACTACAGTCATCTCTCTGAGACTCTGACTACGCTTGCTACGACGCAACAACTGGTCGCAGAACATCCATCCATTCATTGAGTATCTAGGACGCAGACATCGCATCCTTGCGGCCAGCAAACTCGACGCCGTACGGCGGCCATCAGCGCGATTCGCCGCACATAAAAACTGGCGGAGCCGAGCTCCAGCATCGAATCACAGGCCCGTTTCTCTGCCGAAGGTGACACCTCACGGTCATGTCAGGTCCCCCACAGCGTGAGCTGGTGTATTGTCATCAGTGCGAAAATGAATGGTATCGCGACGAACATGGCATAATCTGCCCCGAGTGCCAGTCAGACTTCACCGAGTGCATCGAGCCCGACCACGATCCACGCGAGGAGGATGCTCCCGATCCCGACGAAGACGATATTGGTCAATTCCAGTGGACAGGAAACCCGGCGGGGGAGCCGCCTGGTGRGCATTTGCATGGCCACTTCCAACGTACCATCACCCTAGAGCCAGGACAAATCCATGGCGGTGGAGCAGGTGTGGGAGGACTGCTGGGTATCTTGGGGCCTGCACTTCAAGGTATTCTACGTAATGCACAGCCAGCTGGGGAGGGAGAAGCGGGCGGAAATGCAGACGAAGCCCGAGCTGCTTCCACTTCGCCTCCACCAAGYAGGCAGMAGCGTGGAAATGGCCGGACTTTCAGTGGCTCTGGACCTGGCTTTGCATACACCATTACGTCAAACACCAATCTGCGGCCACGAGATGCAGATATGCCACAACCAATTCAGACAGGAGCCGTCGACATCGGGACGATGATGCAGAGAATGGTTGCCAGCTTTGGTGTCGCGCCCGTACATGGCGCGCCAGGTCATCCTACTGTGATGGGCGTGCATGGAAATCCTATGGGGATTGAGGATCTGCTCGCAATGTTTGGGGGTGTGGGGCAAGCTGGCATGCACGGAGATGTAGCGTACAGCCAGCAAGAATTCGACCGCATTATCTCGCAGTTGGCAGAGCAGCACGCGGCTGAACAGGCACCGCCTCGAGCGTCAGAGGAGGCTATCGAAGCTTTGCAAAGAAGACAGATTTCAGAGGTCGACTTTGACGATGCTGCGAAAGCAGAATGTAGCATCTGCATCGGCAAGGTGGACATTGGCGACGAGGTCACGGTACTTCCGTGCGAACACTGGTTTCACCACGACTGTGTCAAGCCATGGCTCGAATCTCACGATTCATGTCCCCATTGCAGAAAGGGGATTATGCCAAAAGACGATGCGAATGGCGACACTCCGCGCGAGACTGGTCAAGCACCGCACCACGACCAGGACCAAGCACCACGAACCGGCATCCCTTCTTCGGGATTGCAGCAGCCTACTCTCGTCGGTATGTTCAATCGGATGCGTGAAGCATTCGGACCTGGCAGTGCTGCAGGTGGCGGCACAGGCCCCTCGAGCAGCGATGCTCCAAGAAATGAATAGTGGCAATTCCAATAACGGCCTTTACATTTGCGGCGTCGGGAGTTTTGGGAATACCCGCGGTGTTAAGACCGCGCATTGCATGAAGCGTTGACAGTGTAATCATAGACGCGACGCCGATTTTGCCAACGGCGATACCGCCTTGGGGATGCTCTGATTTCGGGGGCTGCGCGACCTTCCACGTTCGTGAATCTCAGACCCCAATGCACAATCTTTACGAGCGTTGTCATGCTTTCTATATTTCCACAGTCCATGTTCACTTTCTGAAAGACTCAAACCTCACTTGGAAATTTCAGCACCACGATTCGATCGGGGTTTAGTCCACTACGCTGACCGACCTGCAGACCATGTCGCCTCAACGTCCAATTTGATCGAAGCGGCGAAAGTTGTCGACACATCACTCGCAGGCTTCTGTTCGGACTCAGGCTGCGTTGTTTCTGGAACCATACCGTGCTGTCCGTCGACATTTACGTGGGAACTCAACACCCGGAGCAGGCGCACGGGGAGGTTCACTCTGCCTCCATTATCACTTTGAAGATCAACATATTAGCACCTGTTCCGTAGCCCCCGGCGCGATTTGTCGACAGTGAGGCCCGACTTTCTCAGTGGAGCACCCTTTTGGTCGCGTCTTTATGCGTACAGATCTGGCCTCGTATGACGCACAATAAATTTGTGGCTGCAATACCCTCTGCACAATTTGGRCGGAATTACGGATTCTGGTTCAGTGCAACATTTTGCCAGCGATCCATTTCCGATTCACCTGCACGGATGCTCGATCGACCACCGGATATCGCGATGCACGAGGTTTACAGGACATGTACTCTGTGCTCTGGCAGTCACTGAAAATGTCAACGGTTGCTGGGCCGGGGGCGTTGGCTCTGGGCGTTACACCGTTGCCCATGAGAGCAGCAAATGTCCGCTGCTCTCGAATTCCACAAATGGTGGTTTGAGAGAAGTAGACTAGCTTGCAGCTTTTAAAGTGTCGACGACTCCAAGAGTGGTGTGTTGTCGGCTCAACAAACCCCGAACCTGCACATACGAGTTGACAACGCAAACACAAAAAAAGAAAGGTGGCTTCACAACGTTGTTTCAACGGCTTTGAAGAGACCTACCAGCCTCGTTCGACACTTGGGGGAGCACGTCCAGTTGACAAAGCCATCGTCTTCCTGCGGACAAGGGTTTGTCCAGGGGCAKGGCAGGCACAACGTTCTGGATTTTCAACGATTTCACAGCCTACGAGGCTGTCAATACCAAGCTTTACGTGGACCCCACGAGCGCAGCGGGCCCGCGAACCTCCCTCACGAACGCCCATTACGCATGGAAGACATGCACGGAATGGAGAGGCTGAGGTGGCCAGTCAGGTATATAGACAACTGGCAGGCTGTCCGTGTCTCTTTTAAAACATAACCTGTTCGTTCCTGCTGTTCAATCCTGCAGAGCGTTTATCTGTTTCTCGATTCCATTCTACGAAACCGTTCCTCTTCTACCTTTCAAGAACGGCAGTCATGAGATTTCAAGCAATGTTGTACGCTACCGCGTTGGGAGTGGTATCTGCAAACGACCTCCACCGATGTGGCACCAGCGAGCCGAACGCAAAGGTCAAGCAGGAGCTTGATAGAGCATATGCTAAGGGTACCAAAAATATCGGGAGAGCGTCAGAAATCACAGTTGACACGTACGTGAACATCAWCACAACGACTGCAAAGGAAGGCATGTATTCACCAGATCAAGTCAAACAGCAGGTACGATACTACAATCAACATGATAATACACGGAACACTGACTCGCAACAGATAATGGTAATGAATGATGCATACAGTGTCATGGGCGTTACATTCAACGCAATCAGTGTCAACTTTGTGAGCACACTCGCCTTCGATCGCGTCGTCAACGCAGCAATTCTGRCTATCCTCTTACAGACCACAAACGATGCCTGGGCATCTGCAAGTATGRGCAGTACAGAAGAAGCCGAATTAAAACAAGCTCTCCATCAAGGCTCCTACGCCGACCTCAACCTCTACTTCCTCAGCGACCTGCCGGACGGTCTGCTAGGATTCTGCTATTTCCCCGTCGACGACCCTTCAAAAACCGATCGCACAGTAGACGGATGCATGAACCTCGCAGACTCTCTCCCCGGTGGTAGCGCGACCAACTACGATCTAGGAATGACTGCTGTGCACGAGACGGGGCATTGGTTCGGCTTGTATCACACATTTCAAGGCAGCGCTTGTTCGGGCGAGGGCGACTCTGTGGATGACACGCCTTTACAAAGCACGCCTACGACGGGATGCCCTTCAAAAGCGGACAGTTGTCCAAACTCACCTGGCGCGGACTCGATCCACAACTACATGGTGAGTATCTTCAAGCTCGCGATGGAGCTTTGCTTGTTTTCACAGGCATTGTTAACATCTAGTAGGACTATTCATATGATTCGTGTCTATATGAGTTCTCCGACGGTCAGGTCGATCGAGCGCTTTCGATCTACGACCAATATCGGAAAGGAAAATGAGAAGTTTCGGGCTCGGTGCATGGTGCATGGTGTTTTGCATAGCGGACGGAGTTTGGCCATGCTATTGGACTTGTAAATAGTGGGCCCTGGACGGCTCTGGGTGGTGCATACATTCGACATGATAGCCTTTGTCACGACGCAACATATTCTCTGATGGTTATACTCGCGGAAATCCACACAACACCAACTCAAATTGTATACTCGACGACAATAGTCACACTGCGTGTTACATCTAGCACCCAATGGCGACGGTGTCAGTCGTTATACAAAACTCCTCGACGATGTCCTCGGAGATAACGTCGAGTGCCAACCTTGGAACTCACCTACTGGCCTTTTATGTAATATTACATCCACTTCTCCTGGGCTCGTTCAACACCTTCCTGGGTATAATCATTGCAGTCTGCACCGATGGCGATCAATATCGCTATGAGAATGGGTCTCCAGACCTTGCATGTCCTATGCGAATCCGTTTCTGTCGTTGGTAGTCTTCCTCTTCTTTCTCTCTCTGCAATCGTGCTGTCTTCTTCCTCTCCCACACTGCCTTGATGGTCCGCTTCGTTTGCTCCTGACCTTCATCGAAATTGGCTCTCGCGAGCTGAACTACCGAATCAATCTGCTCAGGTGTATACACAAAATTCCAGGTGCTCATGAACTCGGATTTTGTGGGAYCCACGCCGGGTACCTTGTCGTTCTTGAGGAATGGAAAGTACACCAAAGCAATTCCTGCTTGGGGATCTCTCAAATGGTCATCATCGGAAGCATCGTGCCGTAGACGTCGAGTCGGGGGGTCGTCCATGTACTCCTTACTTTCCTCCTTGACGCCCACCCATACTGTACAGTGCCCCAAATCCTGCATGATCGCACTCTGGCTGACATCATCTCGATCCGTCATTGGAGAGGCGTGAGCGACAGAAGTCGCTTCCGCTGCCTTCATTTCTTCTTGGATCTCACTGGACGACTCGTCTGGCGGCGGCCATCCAGCTCCCATCGGCCATCCTGTGATTCTGCGTTGCTTGACATAGCCGTCCACCACTTTGATCCAGTTGTCGGTCTTAACGTCAGCTGAGGCATCAAAAGCGATGATGACATCCACATCACGACCCTGCCGTAGGAGCGGGTAGATTGGTAGATTATTTGACATGCCAGCATCCATCAGCTGAAGGTGGGAGGCTTTGTGGATGCTTTCCGGGCAGGTTGAGGGTAATTTGTCTTCCAGTCCGAGCAGAAAGTTCGGTATGACCGCAGGGTCTATAGGGTGTACCTTGACAAGGTCGTCATCTTTTCCACTGAGAAGTGCATCCAACTTGCCAAGTCCTCCTKCTTTGATGATGGGTCTGATCTCCTTGTAGTAATGCGACAGGGTGGCACAGAAGGCGCTGCCCCAAATGCCAAGCATCAGAGGAATTCTCAACTCTGGCAGAGCAAGATCATTGTCGCGCCAGACCGTCCGGCCGGCATGGAACCGGCGGCCCATTGCCCATGTTGGGACGCCTGCATTAAGCTCGTCGCAGAAGAACTCGTAGGGAGTCCACTCGAACCATTGGAAGTAATCAAAGTGCTGTTTCTCCTCGAATCTTCCCTGCTTGGCGTCCTTGATGTTGTCTGGCGCGTCGGGGATCTCGTGGCGTACTGCCGTATAGATTGGCATGGGCTGAGCACCGTCTTCGACGTAAGAGCGTTGGTTGGAAACTTTCATGTCGTAGTCACTGACGCGCAGCTCTCCTTTCGGTACCATCAGTCTTGCAGCCAGGAGAAGCCCATAAACATCTACTAGACCAAAGTCTGCATCGGGCACACCACGCAACTTTTCTACGAAGCCGCCGAGCAGAAATTTGTTTGTTGGTGCATGATTGAGCAGTTCGAGTGCTGCAGGGGGGTATGCAATATGAACACCTATCCGCTGCTTCAAGTGATCAATCAGCCGTTGATGGCTGAGTTGCCCAATCGAGGAATAGTACCTAGATTGATAGTGTCAGCGGATCTCATCAATTCGGAGAGCTTGGATCATGCGTATTGACGTACAAAGTCTGGAGCCAACAGCTTCCGCTGACGCCCGCAGTGTATGTGACACAATCGAAGAGTCCCGCTTCGTGGGCAGAGAGGTAAGAAGAGGTCCCGGCCACGAGAGCACGTAGGCCCCCGCCTGATCCAATCATGGCAATTCTGGGCACATCCTGCGGATCAATATCGGACTCTGGTAGTCCAAGATATCGCGCGAGAGCTTTCGCCGTCTGCACACTTCGTCTTCCCAAGAACTCCTGTTCCTGGGGGCAAAGCTCTTCGGACACCCTAACTCGAGCTTCCCATAGTATTTCTGGATTGATCTCCGGATCATGCGCGTCTTCCCAGATCTCCCAGCTAAGAGACCATGGTGCCATTGAGAGCTCGTTCTGTAGCTTCTTAACCAGTCCCGATAGCCCCTTCAACCAGCCGGGGACAACCCAATCCGTGATTTTGTCTCCTAGGGAAGTAATATCTAGACCAACGAGTGAACCACAGACGGCAGAGATTTGAACAGAGGCCGTCTGCCATGTTGAAAGGCCGTCATCGTTCCTTGAGTCGCTGCGGCCGGCTTGCTTGGACTGCTGTGAAGGAGWACCGCTTTGGGAGCTTATTTGGACTTTGCGGTTCCATCTGGAGGCGTCCTGGCTACTGTCAAGCAGTGCTGGCCTTGTGTTTGACCAGATCCCATATCCCGCAGCTACAGAAGACGCGCCTCCTACACTCCAGGCCAGTCTCCTTAAATTGAGATTCTTGATCCGAACAGCGCGCTGCATTTTTGAGTGAAGGAGTGTGAGATATGAAAAGAATCGACGCTTGACGCGCAAAAGTTACGCGCGCATGCGCGCAAATGTTTCTCAAATTCCAAAGACCATATGATGAGGAGGCGAACAATGATTGATCGATTGCAGTGAAGATGAAATTGAAAACCGGTAAATCCTGGCCGAGGTACGTCACCTTTGGTAACCAATCTGAGCGTCCTAGTCGATGACCAATGTGGAATCAGTAGTACTGCTTCTGCTCCACTTGTTGCTTTCGATGCAGAAAGACGGTCGTTGTTGATGAGATGCGACCACAAGCAGGACTGTAAAGAAGACAGGCCGTGTAACAAAGAAAAAACACCGATCAGCCTGTTCCCCCTACCTTACAATGTAAGCACTCGGCCCGCAGCAAGCTAGTGTCGCGCAGACGATCTCCACGACACCACGCGCCGACGTTCACACGTGTGGAGAGGTGGGCCTGAGCTGTCTGACAACGGCGCATCTACATAATTTACAATCCCACCCGACGGTCTCGGGGGCGCCTTGCTTTGGGTGGAAATACGGATCCACGGAATCATTGTCACTGACTGGCCTGTGACATTCCTTCCAACACAAGACCGCTGCAGCATCACAATGGCGGGACAGCGCCATGCCGCATTTGCGGAAGAGTCCGCAGAGGTGGAGGTCCTCTACGCCAGTCTGGACAAGATGAAGTCGGTGTCAAAGAAGATCCAAGGCTCCATGACGCGCCTCAACGAGACCGGACGAACGGTGCAAGATGCGATAGGACCAATCTATGGCAACACACAGCGACTCCAGGCGCAAAACAAGAACATTGATAAGATACTGGCGGCGATAGAAAAGGTCAAACAGCCCTTGGATATGCGTAATAAAGAGGAGCGGATACTAAGGAGTCGGCCGGACCGGGTAGGACTGGCAGAGTACATTGCAAGCATCRATCGCACCAATCAGGCATTGAAAGAGCTCAAGGCGTCGAATTTGCGTTCGAACCAGACTGCCATTTCAGAGCTGAGTAGTCTTCTGGCTGTGGGCACGGGAAATCTCGAGAGCGTATTCCGGGACATGTTGCGACAGGACTCGCAACCGATTGAACCTTTGAAGCAAATCACACAAGGACAGGACTTTCCACGAATATCATCCACGAAGTCGGCACAGCTGCGGTCAATCAACACGAATATTTCCAACTACGCATCACAAGTCGCGCCAGGGGGCGGTCTTACACCTTCGGCGAAAGTGTATGCCCACGAGCGTGGGCAGTACATGGCTCAATCGCTACAGAACCTGGCTACCGCATCACTCTCCACAGCACGGAAAGTCACTGCAGATGCAGTCTACAAACCAGGGAGCTGTGCGATTGAGACGTATGCATCTGGAATACAAGGCATGTACATTGCCGAGTATGATAACATTTGTCCCATTTTCAGTCGGGAGGAATGGGGTCCCGTCTTGTCAGCCACTTGCCAAGACTCACTTCGAGCATTCACATCGACTCTGCGTGATCTCGACGCGCATGTCAGGGGTCATCTCATCACCGATTGCTATCTTGCATACGAAATTGTAGATGTGGTATCGAAAACCTCCTTTCAGATCGAAAGCCGCACAGGCGAACTGAAGCAGGCTATGTCTGATGCATTGAAGCCGATACGCGAGACTGCGAAGACATCTCTATCATCTTTGCTTGTCGATACCCGGACCAAGATCAACCAGATGCTGCAATTCCCGGCAGACGCTAGCCCTTTGCCGATAACCACGGAGATAATGACCAGACTGCAGCTCATGACGTCCTACTTGGGGCCAATCAGCAGCATCATGCGAAGTCTGGGTGATGGTGGTTGGAATCAGCCCAACAATGCCGTGTCCACGGCTTCGCTCCCCACATTGAAGTCCTTCGACGTCGGGGCAGACGGCAAGCAACTTTTCGCTCACTATTGCATTGATGCAATCGACGCGCTTCTAAGCAGTCTAGAGTCCAAGGGAAAGCAGATACAGAAAGCTAAGAGCGTACAAGGCATTTTCCTCTCCAACAACATTGCCATCGTTGAACGCATGATCAGAGCGTCCGAACTCCATACCTTGCTAGGTGGCGCACAACCTAAAGTGGACACCTGGAAGAAGAGAGCTCTGGCCATGTATGTCAACGGAGAAGGCTGGGGCCAAGTCACCAAGGTGCTCCTGTCTGACACAATACATACCTCGAAACACGGTCGACCCTCCTCCACCGGAGGCGCGATTGACCCCTCAGCCCTGCTCAAGTCTCTTTCCAGCAAAGAGAAAGAGGTCATCAAGGAGAATTTCAAGAGCTKCAACCAGCACTTCGACGAACAAGTGGCCAAGCACAAGACATACAAAATGGAGCCAGAGGTGCGGCGAGACTTAGGCCAGGAGTTGCTGAAGACTGTAGAGCCGCTCTACTCTCGATTCTGGGAGCGATATCACGAGGTCGACAAGGGCAAGGGCAAATATGTCAAGTACGACAAAGGCCAGCTGCGGGCTGTATTGGCTTCGCTGGGCTGAGACTAGTTTGGTGGTACTGTAGATAACAATAACCCGTATCGTCGTTCTACAAACACGTGACCTTGTAGACCTGCATTCTCCCAATGAAGCTTATTGGACAGCTCCCGCACTCCGTATTTCCGGCAGGTACGTATGCTGTCGTACGCCGCTGGAAAATGAACAATAGCATTCTTCGGGCAAATTCATTATCCAACTGATAGATCGTCAAGCAGTTGGCAACGGTGTGGCTGAGGTGATGGCCCGACGAGGCGGGATAACAGCCCTGGAGGTGAAGTCCTAAATTAAGGTTGGGAAAAAAGCGGAGARCCAGCTCTCCTTCGGTCTCTAGTGCTTGGCCGTACGCCCCTGCTCATCAATTATTGACCCTGAAACTCCCTTTCTTGTCAACACCACAGCACCCCAGGCCATTCTGCCTCCATCGCGACAGACTCGTGCGCCTCCTAATTCTTCTCGTCCATCCTTCGCTACTTTTCGTTGCCCCGTGGCTCCGACCCGTTCGCAGAAACCACCATCCCATTGCCTAGCAGAACCTCGTACGTACACCTTCCCGCGCATCGCAAAAGCGTCCGCTTCCACTCCTGCCATTGCCGCGCATTTCGACGACAGCAGCGACTGACACGTGGGAATAATCAGAGAAGGCACTCCACGTTGATCAACAAACCCGACCGCTCTCGCCATGGGTAAGTCGTCCCAGCTCCTCAATCCTCTTCCCTCGTCCACCACCGCCCACGCATCTGGCACATCATCACGCCTGCGACGGCCAACTGCAACATTCCACGTGGCTCTTTGCGCGATTCAGTCATCAGAAACATGTCGACGTCCACCAAAGGCAGCAGGAAGTCGGATAGCAGCAGCCAACCCGATTCCAGCAGCAGTCCCGTTCCACTTGGAACGGCGACAGCGGCGGTCGGACGAGTCGTATCGCAAGGGCGGACGGATATGACAGTCCGAGAGCTTCACCTTTCAGCAACTGACTCGAACTCGCCAGCTTCTCCCAATGGCTCCGCCGCGCCGCCTAACCGCGCATCCCCTCTCCCTAACCAAGCGACCCCCAATGGCAACTCTGCCTCGCCGCTAGTTGCGACCAGCAATGCTATGCCGAACGGTGGCCAGAGCACGCCGCAAACCGTCTCGTCAAAGGACCCCAAGGCGGCAGCACAGGCGGCCAGTGACATGCGCAACATTGTTCGTCGGAAATTGACCGGATACGTTGGATTCGCCAACTTGCCAAATCAATGGCATCGTAAGAGTGTGAGGAAAGGTTTCAACTTCAACGTTATGGTCGTTGGTGAGTGCATTCTGGCTTATGTACAAGTGTATCTACTGACATGCATATCAAGGTGAGTCTGGCCTGGGAAAGTCGACTCTGGTGAACACACTCTTCAACACCTCGCTGTACCCACCAAAGGAGCGCAAGCAGCCTTCTCTAGATTTCGCACCAAAGACCGTTAGCATTCAGTCAATTTCCGCGGACATTGAGGAGAATGGCGTTCGTCTTCGTCTGACTGTGGTCGACACTCCTGGCTTTGGCGACTTTGTGAACAACGACGAGTCGTGGCGACCAATTGTTGAGAACATCGAGCAGCGCTTCGATGCTTACCTGGATGCGGAGAACAAGATCAACCGGATGAACATTGTCGACAACCGCGTGCACGCCTGTGTTTACTTTATCCAACCCACTGGCCACTCCCTCAAGCCTTTGGATGTTGAAGTCATGCGCAGACTCCACACCAAAGTCAACCTCATCCCAGTCATTGCCAAGGCCGACACCCTCACCGACGAGGAGATCGCTTCTTTCAAGCACCGCGTGAGTCAAGCCTCGTCAACAAACGGGGTGATTTCGAGTGCTAACAATAACAGATTCTTGCCGACATTCATTACCACAACATTCATATCTTCGAGGGACCGCGCTACGAGCTTGATGACGAGGAGACGATCGCGGAGAACAACGAGATCATGTCCAAGGTTCCATTCGCRGTTGTTGGTGCCAACGCCGAGGTCCAGACCCCAGAAGGTCGCAAGGTCCGCGGTCGTCGCTACCCATGGGGTGTCATTGAGGTCGACAATGAGGAGCACTGCGACTTTGTCAAGCTTCGACAAATGTTGATCCGAACTCACATGGAGGAGCTCAAAGAGCACACCAACAACTCATTGTACGAGAACTACCGATCAGACAAGCTCACTTCCATGGGTGTTGCCCAGGATCCAAGCGTGTTCAAGGAGGTCAACCCAGCCGTCAAGCAGGAGGAGGAGCGTTCGCTACACGAACAGAAGCTCGCTAAGATGGAGCTTGAGATGAAGATGGTTTTCCAGCAGAAGGTGCAGGAGAAGGAGAGCAAGCTTAAGCAGAGCGAGGAAGAGCTTTACGCCCGTCACCGGGAGATGAAGGAGCAGCTCGACCGACAGCGACAAGAGCTTGAGGAGAAGAAGGCGCGGATCGAGAGTGGCCGACCTGTCGAAGAGAAGGGCCGCAAGAAGGGTGGCTTCTCGCTCCGCGGCTAAGAGAAGTCTGGATGCTGTCTGAGCGCGGTGCTTCATGGTGTGGAATGGGTCGTACTAGCGGAAAGGTCGCTGGAGACTGTAGGGTACCCGACGCTTTGCCTTGTCTCGGTTTTCGAAGGAGGGATCAGGGTGTGAGCGGGTCTTAATGGCACTAATACACATCACCATCTCAAGCCAGAGGGATTCAGCTTTTGCCGGCCAGTCGCGACGRGCGAGGAGCCAGTCTTCTAGCCAACAAAAGAAGAGCGCTGTACATCCGGGAGAATGGGCGCTTGATACCACTTCGTCTTCTTCCTTGTTGTTATTTTAGCTTTCTTGCTGCGAATGATATATGTAGCAAACAGTAGTATTCGACTCGCCAAATTCATTCACGAACTTGACCATGTGGCATGTCGTCGCCAGTCCTTCACAGGTGACAGATCTGTACAGCGCATTTTACTCGGGTTAGGGTTGGGGTAGGTCACCTCCCATCAGTCAAGCTCCCGTGCCATTGTTCATCGTGGGTGATTAGGGTGAGGTGCGACTTTTGGCCACTCAGGTGACCGCAACTTTTGCTAGCTTGAATCCTTGCATTTGAGCTTGTCTCGTCTCGTCCCCCGACGGACAGCATCTCGAGCGCGACAAAACACGTCTTGATACCATCCCAAATCCATTGTCATCACAACACCCGACTGTCACAATCATACCTACAACCGTCGCGTTGAGCCCGCGATTGATCAGGCATTGTTGCGGAAAGCTATCTTCGTCCAATTGAGGCTGGAACCACACGAGCGCAATGGAGTCTGGGTTTGCGGATGAGGATGCGCGCGCGCCTGGCGAGGCTTCGGACGAGCTCATTCAGGCGGAAAACGAGGCAGTCGAGGCGAAGCAGGAGCAGGAGCAAGACCCCGACCAAGACACATCGATGATTGAGGATACCGAAGACCCTGTCAAGCAGTCCGCTGCCGATGCGGAATCCGCGCCAGTATCAGACAACCCGCTGGACGCGCCGGACGCACCTGCTGCGGAGAACGCAGAGGATGGCGGCGAGGACGAGGAGATGGCCGAAGCGAAAGACGGTACGCCTGCTGTCGAGGCAGCTCCCATCGTCACCAAGACGGCCGCCGAGCAGTCAGCGCGTGCGCATTTGATTGACCAGAACCACGCCATTATCCTCCCATCATATAGTGCATGGTTCGACATGCATGAGATCCATAACCTCGAGCGCAAGGCCCTTCCAGAGTTCTTTAACAACCGCAACCGCAGCAAAACGCCCGCGGTGTACAAGGATTATCGCGATTTCATGGTCAACACCTACCGGCTTAATCCTGCGGAGTACCTTACCGTGACTGCATGTCGAAGAAACTTGGCAGGCGACGTGTGTGCCATTATGCGCGTTCACGCGTTTCTCGAGCAGTGGGGTCTGATCAACTATCAGGTAGGCTGGGTGCGGACGCGTTGAAAATGTACACAAGCTAACAGACTGTGCAGATTGATCCAGATACACGACCGTCGAACATTGGGCCGCCATTCACAGGCCACTTCCGCATCACAGCCGACACGCCTCGCGGACTGCAGCCCCATCAGCCTGCGCCTGGAAGCAGTGTGACCGTGGGCAAGCCCCACGCTGGTACAGATCGCCTGGCATCGGCTGCTAAAGCTGACTTGAACATGGAGGTGCGGAGGAACATCTACGACGACAAAGGCAAAGACGTCACACCCGCGAAACTGGAGGGAGCAGATGCGAATGGAGCGGCCTCCAAGGGCCTCGAGGACAGTCTCAAGCAGGACGGCAAACAATACTACTGTTACTCGTGTGGCAAAGACTGCACGCGCGTGCGATACCACAACTCAAAGAACCCCCCTGCAGCAGCAGCTACACCGAAGCCGGTCAAGGAACAGCGTTACGACCTTTGCAGCCTCTGCTACCAAGAAGGCCGGTTTCCAAGCTCTACCACAGCCGCAGACTACACGAAACTGGAAAATGAGCGTTACAAGAGCGTCGGTGACAAGGAGTCTCCATGGTCGGACGCCGAGCTGCTGCTTCTGTTGGAAGGTCTAGAGATGTTTGATGACAATTGGGAGTCAGTTGCGGACCATGTTGGATCGAGAACGCKGGAGCAATGCGTGCTCAAATTCCTGCAGTTAGAGATTGAGGACAAGTACCTCGAGGACGCCCCCTCGAACGGTACCGCTGGAGGCGTGGGAGCACAGGATCTGGCATACCTCTCAGGAGGTCGCCTCCCCTTCAGCCAATTTGACAACCCGGTCATGTCGGTAATGGGTTTCCTGGCTGGTCTAGCGGACCCAGCGACGACCGCCAAGGCCGCTGGCAAGAGTGTCGAGGAGATGCGAAGAACTCTCAAGCAACGTATGGAGCATGAAGCAGCACCGGGCGCGTCCCAAGAAGAATCCACCGCTCAGTCCGATGTTGTTAAGGGCGAGGATCGAGGTGAGAGCATGGATGTTGATGACACGACATCACTCGCGACAAGGGAACCGCCAACGTCTCACGACCTGCCAACCACCGCACTCTCACTCACTGCGGCTCGCGCGGCGGCTTTGGCTTCACAAACAGAGCGCCAGCTCACCAACCAGGTCTCTGCCGCTGTTAACCTCCAACTTCAAAAACTTGAGCTCAAGCTCCAGCAGTTCAGCGAGATGGAAGCCCTTCTCCAAGCTGAGCGCCGAGAAGTCGAGCGTATGCGTCAACGACTCTTTCTCGATCGATTGCAGTTCCGAAAACGCGTTCGCGACACTGAAGCTCAACTAGCTGGCATGAAGATACAGCCTCCGGCTGGCGATAAGCTCTCCTTGGAAGGAGGCGAGGGCGGTGCGAGTGCGAGTGCGGAAGCTGGACCATACCAGGAAAACGCACAAGGATTCATGAGACACGAAATGTAGGACGCGTTCTTTTCAGGAATCTAAAGTAGCTAACTACGCAAGCCTCCTCGATCTGACAGTATCGTTAGAGGTACTTCGAGGGAATGGCGTTTGACGATTGCCGCACGGAATGTGAGCTTGACGGTTTCGGCGCAAAAGGAGTGTTGTTGGTTGGGGCACATCGATGGCTTGCCAGGCTTGTGGAACAGAGATGCAGTTTAGTGCTCCAAGATCAGAGATTCTTCGACGATGCAACCTTACTGTGGTACGAACAGTGAAATTCTCACCGAGTCTACCTATGCTTGAAACACGTGAATTTGAATAAGGACATCTGTACGTGGCTGTGATTCATTGCAAGAGACTATAGCAGCAGAGCTACCATTCGCCACCTTTTGCCACATCACTGCTTAGCTTGTGCTGTGCCTTCTGGGGTGTCTCGCTGAATTCCGCTCGTAGACACTGCACAGCCCATCGGCGTTGCACCCCAAGCCGCCCATCCATTGCCACTCGTACTCCCACCGCTACACGGCCCGTCTACTTGAAAAGATCTCTGACGTCCTGCAATCGCTCCGCAACCTCCTCGACCTTGGACCGCTTCTTCTCCATTGAGAGTTTCGCCAACTTCTTTTTCTTCTGCTGGAGTTTGAGGATGCCCTCCTCCACCGATGGCTTCATGATGTAATGCACAATATGCACAGCGCGTGTTTGGCCCAGACGATGTACACGATCGACAGCCTGCTCCTCCACGCCTGGGTTGAACTGAGGCTCCATGACATACACCTTGTTTGCGGCCGTCAAGTTCAGACCCTGACCTGCAGCTTTGATGGATGCGATAAGCACGGTGATGTTGGGATCCGTCTTGAAGGTGTCCAGACTCTGGGTGCGCTGCTTGACTGACATGCTGCCGTCAAGGCGAACAAAGCCGATGTTCGCTCTCTCCAGAGCAAACTCGATGAGGTCGAGGAACGAGGTCCAGCCGCTAAAGACGACCGACTTGATAGGTGGCTCGCCAGGCGCGAGAGCAGCAGTCTCCTCGGCGGACTTAGCCAAGGCTTCGAGGAGCGCTCGAACTTTGGTATGTGGACCGGTGTAGCTGTCCTCGTCCCATCTAGCGGCTTTGATCCTTCTCGCAGCCTTGCGATTGTCGATGAATTGGGTTAATATAGAGCGCAAGAGTGGAAACATCCCAAATCGAACGAATGAATCGCAATGACGGCATCGATGGTGGTTGTCGGCCGTCATGGTACCCTCCACTTCGTCCTTGTACTCCTCCGTGCAATCGGCACAAATGAGATGGTAGCAAGGCGTGATGTGACCGAGAAGGTCCTGCTTAGGCTTTTCGTCCTCGTCTCCACCGTCAGAGCTCTCATCGTCCCCAAGCTCCTGGGCGGCAAGTTTAATAGCATCGTCTTCCTTCTTGCCCAACCTGTTGCCACATGACATACAGCTGTCGACTTCGCTGTCCTGCATGTTAGTATATGCCTCGTACGCTTGTTTCTCCTTGATGAAGCCATCAAACGGATCGATGCCATCACCTGGCTCATCTCCGATATCAAGCACAATAGCGCTGCTGACATCGCCACCCTTGATCTCCTCCATGTCCTCCTCCGTGAGCATTTCACGCCCGTGCGCGCAGATGGCTCGGAGACGGCCGATGGACTTGAGGACATGGGCATACGCCTTGCCTTTGAGCGCACTTCCGCCGCCTGTGATGTTGTGGAAATGGGTCCGACTCATTTTGGCAAATTGGCTGTAGAGGTGATATTCCTCCGGGGCCCAGTCAAGCAATTGGCGCTCTTCTTTACGCTCCACCAGCCCAATGGTGTCTTTTGAGCGACGAAGAGTGATACTGCCAACCAACAGCTGAAGCTGCTCCACCACACTTGCATCTGCCAGCTTGAATTTGGCCATGATGTGCTGCGTCCATGTGTGCGAGTCGWCGAATGGTTTGATCCGGAGGAATTTGATCAGTGTTCCCAGATCGGTGAGGGAATTCTGGACAGGCGTTCCAGTGACTGCCCAGCGACGCTCTGCGTTCAGCGCACAACAGGCCTTTGAAACTTGCGTAGACTGCGTTCGAATAGAATGTGCTTCGTCAAGCACAATGCGGAACCAGTTCACGGAAGCCAAAGCTCGCTTCTTACGAACACCATCGCCAAACTMAGCTGCTGCCGTGTTGTACGACGTTAACACAATGTCGTGTCTTGACAGCTCCTCGGTATCTTGGGTCCGATTGGCGCCGTGGTACATGTAGCATTTGAGGCTCCCATGAACACAGTGGGCGAGAATCTGCTCCTGCCAATTCGATAGGACCGACTTGGGGCAAATGATAAGCGTAGCCTTTGCGTTGTAATCTGTGCTCTTGGTCTGGCCGCCACTCCGACGGAAGCGACGGGCTTCGTCGCGAGTCTCGGCAATCAAGGAGAGGATGCTTAAAGTCTTTCCTAAACCCATTACGTCTGCCAAGATGCCACCTTGAATCTCTTGCGGCCTATCCTGCGTTTCGTGGTTTGTGATTACGTGGTACCAGGAGTCTCGACCCCTGGCATCAGGCTGATACTTCCAGAGGGAGTGCTTCGAGGAGTCTGCATCCACGTCGACGTTGCTCCGCTCGTGATCCACCATGAATGCGAGTCCCTTCTTTTGATGATCAAGGAGGGTCGTCTTGATGATAGAAGTGTTCGCCTCGAGTTCTGGGAGCGCCTCATCATTCGAGATCTTGTCGAACATACTGCTTGCTTCGGTACGCATCTCTTCCGCGGTTCGGGTCACATACGACACAGGTTTAGCTGCCTGCGGTCTCTGACCTTGCCCAATCGTGCCGTAAGGTCTGTGAGGGTTGACGACGGCCTTGCCCATTGTGGCCAGGGGCTCGCTGAGGAAAAGCTGCTTCTGCGAAAGAAACTTGCCGATCTGATCCGCCTTCTCGCGAGCAGCATAAAGAGTAACATCAAGAGCCAAGCTCTGCGACACTTTCTTCCCAGTGTACTCATCCTCATCCTTCGAGCGTCCGTGGAGAGCCATCGTGCACCTGAACTTCGATATGGATGTGCCTGCGAGCAGTTGACTGATGGCGGTGGCAGTCTTAACCTCCAGGGTGCCGAACTTGGCTTTCACAGGGTCGTATAGATCGATTAAGAAATTCTGCGGGGATGGGTTTTCCTTGCGAAATGAAACGAGGATGGGCGGCCAGATATCTCCCTTCACCACGGATTTCTTTGCCGGTGCGGGAACTCGAAAAACATTTGCCGAAGACGTAAGTCTACCCAAACACACCTCTTCGTTGGGGGATCCRGTGGGAATAGCAGGGTTGTTAGTCTCGCTGATGATCACGACATCGTCATCGTCGCCCGCAGTGAGGTCGATGGCTCCGACTGGCGGCGGTGGTGGCGCATCGTTGCGGTTCTGCTGATTGATATGGTCACTGATGACTCCACCCTGGCCAGCGCGAAAGAATGTTGCCTTCGACTTCTTATGCTGCTGCTCGAGCTCTCCGTTCTCGATAGCCGGCGATTTGCGCTTCTTCGAAGTCGGAACATCTGCGCGGTCTGTAAGGTTGTTCAGATTGGCGATCATGCTTCCTGCACCGAAGTCGCCGTTCTGTTCATCTTCCGCTGGCAATGCCGCTGCGGGGCGCGCATTCGATGCCTGCGGGTTTAGCAGCGACCTTGGATCAAATGCAGGCTGCCGCGATGCGGAAACATTGTTCGACGTGGACGCCGGAGGTTTGCGTGACTGCTGTGAACCTGACGAATCGTTGTGATCAGCTTGATCGTCGAAGTACAGGGTGTTGAAAGCTGCGGCGTGGTGGTCGACATTGGCCATGCTGGGGCACAGATGTAGCTGCGATGGGGCGGTGTTGTGCTCGAAGCCTGCGACAAGGACGTGGTCCGACGAGACCAAGACAGGATGTGAGAAGAAGTTGTCGAGAGGGGAATGATGAGCTGGACTGATCAAATCGCTGTTGGAGCGGTGATGTTTGTAGATGATGATTCACGACAGAGTAGCAAGAAGCGTGACTTAAATAGTCGTTGGCGCGGTAGCGGAGTTGAGCTCGGGCGAATTGAGGCAGGTGACGACACCTTTTGCACGTCTTGGCATGTGAAGCTGCAAGTGAAGCAATATGAGAGATATGTAGCGTACCATTTTTCTTGTCAGCCTTCGCCTTCTCTTTGGCGGAGGCTTTGGGATTCAGTAAAAGCGCAGGATTCATTCTGGCGMTGTGGCAAAAGCTGTATGGGCCGTGGCCGTGGACGTAACGATCTAGGAAATCATAGACACTGGAACGTCGCGAATTAAGTTGCAAATGCGCCGGACTCCCCTTCGTCAAAAACAGGCAATTGATGTACAGTCGCGATGGCTGGACGGTATAAGAGTCGGGTGAAGTCGCATGTATCCGCGCTAACCCGTTTAGGTGTCATAGTCGTCGGGTATATGCTGTCAATGCACTGCCAAGAAATTTTACCATCAAGGTGTTTGGGTGTCTGCTTCAACTCGACCAACTTCATTTGTGTTACTATCTACATCAACTTCATCTTCACCGCCTCCATCCTGACACACATTTTATTTTCCACGCGCAAGAAGACTACGAGGTCTCCTTCTGATCTGCGCCTTTCCATGGGCTGCACCAACCTGGTCGGCTTCTGGTGTACAGCTCGACAACCGGTGCCCCTTTTGTGATGGCATCAGCATCGTCAACAGTGCCCGCCTTGACGAGCTTAATACCAGGCATCGCCTCGATATCAGCCACCATGATGGTGCCACACCGACCGCAGTTCTGGTAATTCACGGGCTTTCCTGAATCACCCTCCCTTGAATACAGAAAGTCCTTTCCGGAGAGTTTCTTGAACTTGTCGGCGGGCACCAAGAAGTTGTAGGATCCATTAGCACCTGCGGTTTTCTGGCACGGCTTGCAGTAACACACCGCCTATACACACGTCAACAGGATCCTCATAAGCATCTTCTCGCAGCCACTGACCACGCCCGCTGGCTCGCCCTCGTACTCATACGTCCAGTCGCCACAAACACAGCTTCCTTTTGGCATCTTTGCGTATTTGTTGTCTACTCCACTCGTCAGTTTCGTCATCCCGGGTGCCCGGACAGGGAGGCTAGGGCCTAGCCGTGGGCACCAGGACATGTGTGTACTTACTTCGTTGTGATGATCTGAGATGTGAGGTTGGCTCTTTCGAAAAGTTGATGGTCAGCGATTGCGCGTGGAACGTCGAAGAGGGCAGTGGTCGAAGGTGAAGTGCCGCCGCTCGACACCCTCGGGCCAGAGCCCCGCCTTTTCAGCGAAGAGCGGAGAGTAAGGTATCATTGAGTGAACTTGCCACGCCGCTCTCGTCGCACTCGAGTTATTGCGCACATTTCTATGATCTATTGACAGTAGACAATCCCATCAGATGAACATTGGAAACATCTGTCAATCTGATGTCACACTGTGTCTGCTCGGGGGTCTTCGTAATCTGTGGCCAAACTACAACATGAGGTATTCGCGTCTTGTACGGGAGAGCAGTGCGTCCTTGCTGCTGCATTCGCCCATTTTATCAACTGAAACCGCATACACTCTTATCGTTCATATCTTTACAAGATCTTTCTTGAAATGAGCATACCTTATGCACACAACACCCAACAAACATACAAAACAGCACCGCCACACTGACTAATGTGTGGCGTTGTCACGATCACGCTAGTGTCGCGCTAGTGTGATAGCGAATGATGCGGGGGTCCTGCTACCTTGAACCAACAACCTACTGACCTTACTACCGTTGTACCTCTTGTCCTTGTTCATCTGCGTCGAATTTCCGCAGTTTTTGGACGCCGGATTACTGCGTCTCTTTCGATCGCAGCGTTCTCAATCACCCAAAATGTCCGCCATTCGAGGTAAGTGTATTCTGATCCCCTGATGACGATCGCGCGGGTTGCGGTGTAAGCTGCACTTGATCGAATAGAGACTATCCTGTGCTACTTCCCTTCATACAGTACTGAGTATGACTCCACAGGCATCATTGTTTCCATCTCGATCATCACAGCGTTGAGCGTTGCTGTGCTCGAAAACCCACAGATCCAGATCTGGCTTGAGGAGCAGAGAAGGAAGATTCAAGAACTGCTTCGCTCGATTGGGGAAGAGCTAGATCCACAATCCAGACGAGCAGCGGAAGCCTTTGCATATGAAGGACAGTCTGTCGCCAACGATGCAGGCATCCGGCGGGAGGCGGCGGCTAGCCAGCACGCTGCCGCAATAGCAACTGGTAGAAATCTCGAAGGTGGCAACACAATATACAGAATCCCAGTGAGGGGCCCGATAGATCCGGACGAGGCCGAAGAGAGGCGACGCAAAGGACGGGAGTATCTGGCGCAGCGCAACCGTGAGATGGAACAGAGACGGTCGAAGGTGGCGACTGCAGAGAAAGCGGAGGAACAATCGCAATCGCCGACATTCGATGCCTTTGTTGACGAAGAGGGAAACCTGAAGAGTGATGAGCTTCAACTACCATCGCCGCCCACAAACGAGCCCATAAGTGCGGAGACCGCAGCGGAAATGCAGGAAGTGGAAAAGAACCTCGCACAACCAATGCTTGCTGCAGGAGAGTCCAGTACGAGTAGCGCGTGGGACATGGGGTCTCGTTTCGCGAATCCGTTTGGAGACGAGTTTGCTTTGGAGCGCAGCATCACCCCTACACAACCACCTCTACCACCAAAATTCGCTCTGGAGCGCACGGGATCGTTTCCCGATGATCCCGAGACATCGGTTCCTGGAAGCTGGACAACAACGAACCTACGTTCAGAGCAGCAAAATGAAGTCCACGACCCTCTGAGCTACGAAGAGCAACTCGCGATCGCCATGTCTCTGTCTGAACAAGAAAGCTCTTCTACCAAAACTGGGACAACCCGCCAGAGTCCACACGAGCAGGAAGAAGCTGAGTTGGCGGCTGCGATCGAAGCCAGCTTGCGCGATATGAATGTCCACGAACCAACTTCCGACAGCACGCTTGTGGATCTGAGCCCTTCCACTCCAGTCGCGGCACCCCGTCAGAGCATCTTCGAGACACTGCTTAGATCACAGTCGCCTTTAAGAGAGCAGCAGCCACAGTCACCCTCCACTTCTTCAGAATTAGAGGATCTCTACGGCGTTACCCCCGAGTTGACCAAAGCGCGGCTCGCCAACTTCAACGCCTTGCAAGGAGCATCCAGCCATCTGCCATTTGACCCAGTACGGGATGCCGCGCGTACGGCCGAGCCTCAGCACGCTAGCTTCCACTCCGCCTTCGAAGTCACCCCCGCGCCTACACTCGAACATCAAATGCAAGAAGCTGGCTCAGCCGCAAAAACACCGACAACCCACGCCCATTCATCTTTCGGATCATCAAGTGATGATTCGGATGACTTTCAGGCTGTTGCTCCCCCTTCCACTGCCTCTCGAGCACAATCTCCATCAAGGAGCGAGGTTTCCGGTGTTGGGATTGTAGAATTGCTGGACGACAGCGACATAGATATGCTCTCTGAGGAAGGCGATGGTATCGTGACGCCTGATAGCTGGTCCGAGGTTGGGTCGCGGGAGGCCGATAGCGAGGTAGAGGACAACGGCGCGCAAAGGCCTGCGTCAATGGGACTGTAAACGGAGGCGTTGATGTGTTTCCTGTATCCTGTTGCAATACATCATGTTCTTGGAGCAGATAGAGATGAGGATGCTCATTTTGTGCGTTCTTGGTACTCGGCTAGCCTCGAAAGCACATTTACTCCATTCCATTGTTCCGGCTCTGAATCCTCAAGTCGCGGCGTACCTGTCTGCTCTATTGCGAAGCTCGCCGATATATTTCCCCAGCGAGCAGACTCTACTACATCGAAATCTGTCCGAACTAGACCGACTGCTAGGCCTCCCAGGAAAGCATTGCCTCCTCCTGTTGGATCAACAACTTTGCTGGGATCAGTGTGGCACGCAGGCAGCCATCTGCGGGTCGCGCGGGAAAGTGAAAAACAACCCACAGCCCCACAACGAACGACAACGGCCCCTTTCCCCTCGTTTCCAATTCTCCGATTGAGGAATTGTTCTGCGTGCTCTTCCACAGCTTTCTGGTCCACTTGCTCGCCATGCTGAAAGCCAATCATGGCGGCGAGCTCATCGTGGTTTGGACTTACCACGTCTACGTATTTCAAAGCTGYGTAGGTGTGTTCTAGTTCCTCTGGTGTGCAGAGATCTGGAACTGGCTCCCAGATGAATACGGGCAGTTTCACTGCCGCGCCGAATTGCTTATGCCGCAGTCTTAGGATACTGGTGACTTGTTCGATACATCTTTCTGCGCTGCAGATTAGGTGAAAGCTTTTCGCGCCTAGTAGCTCCGGGGTGAGGTCCTCGGCCGTGATCCGTTTCTTCTCAGTCAAGTAGCGGAAGGACCGATGCTCGTTGCCCGAATAGCCATTCCAGCCGCGAGTTGTGAGTGCTGGACGGGCACGGACTACAGCCGATGTGTTCCATGAAGAAATTGTGGATGTTGCTGAGGGAGGGAAGTCTGTGCCAGCGTCGATAATCCAGCCAACTGAAGTAGATTTTGGAGGTGGAGAGAAAAGGCGAGCTCCGAGGGCCGAATAAGTTCCAGCGCCGCCGATGATGTTGAGCTGAGGTGTTTCTGAGAGATGAATGTCATCTGGAGTCTTGATCAGWCTTGGAATTCGAAGAGTTAGGCGGAGATAGGGAGGTACCCAGTATGAACATTCCGAGGGTGCAAAAGTCGATTTGAGATTCCTGGGGTGTGTCCATTGTTGGCATACGAATATTGTGGTTGTGAGAGCTGCTGCTGCTATTGTTCGTGGCGTTCAGCTCCTGCAGTTTATTTTTGCAAACAGATGAAATGATGTAAAAGGCTCCAGTCTCTATTTGATGTTCAAGTGATGGCAACGCGTGCAAGGGGTGCAAGCTTGACTGAAAGCTCACAAGCTTCGGGGATGAGACTGAATGATCGGCGTGAAACACTGACGTTCCAGCAGCTTCCAACTTCTTTGATCTCCCTTTAGGTCGACAATCCGTGAAGTGAGGTTGTTTGTCCTCTCTTCTAAGCTCTACCGACATACTTAATCTCTCAAATCATCCGCAAGGACGGGATAGAGACCCGCGTGTAATCGATCGATCCAAGCGAACCGCCTTTCCTCCCCTTCACTCACATCCTTGCACGCGAGATGGCAGCTACCGTTGGGGGCATGAACAACCTGACAACTTTGATCAAGCGGTACGTACTTCCGTATTAAAGACCTCTGGCAGTGATATGCCAATGCAAGCATCCTTCATCACCGCTGGCCAGGCCCAGGCACAGCGCCCCGGCCTTGGCTACGGGGCCCCGGTATCCATTCTCCCGCCAGGCAACCCGCTAAGCACCCTCCTCACCAGACTCGAAGCGGCGACCTCGCGCCTTGAAGATATCGCCTCGTCTGCCCAATCCGCCGATGCTCCTCCCATCACTAGCCTCCCGGCCACGGGCTCCAAGGGGCCCGCGAGTGCCAGCGCTCCCGAGCTGCCCACAATCTCGCCGCAGACAAGTACGCAGACCGTTCGTGCAGCCCCGGAACCCGTGGCAGAGCCATTGCCAGCTTCGATACGCGATATGGACGCGATAATCGACTCCGAAGTCGCTACATTCATGGCCTCAAGCAAGGGCATTGACAAGCTGGTGGAGGAGCAGGCTGCCGCGGTCACCAAAGGCTTCGCTGATCAGCGGCGCTTCCTGCTCGTTACAACGCGCGCCAAGAAGCCGGAGCCAAAGACGCTCATGGATCTGCTTGCGGACCTACAGCAGGATCTGGGTGCTGCGGGGGACATCAAGGACAGCAATCGTGGTTCACCCATGAAAGAGCATTTGGCTATGGTCGCCGAGGGAATCAGCACGCTACAGTGGCTAGTCATTGACGGCAAGCCAGCCGATGTGGTGKGCGATATGATTCCTGGTGCCCAGATGTACGGCAACCGGGTGCTCAAGGCCTATAGGGAAGGGTTCGTGCGAAACATGAGATTCTTCCAAAGAGGCATACACTGACAAAAAGCGCAGCGATCAAGCACACGTCAAATTCGTACGCTCATATTACGCCCTTCTCACAGCTCTACAATCCTACATCAAAAAGCACTACCCTTCAGGTTTGACGTGGAACGCTTCTGGAATCGATGCTGCCCAGGCAATGCGGGAACTAGACGCCAAACCCACATCGAACGGCAGCACTGCGCCTCCCTCCACATCAGGAGGCGCTCCTCCACCACCACCTCCCCCACTGCCGGTATTTGACAATTCTACCGCTCCTCCGCCTCCACCTCCGGGCGCTGCACCAAAAGCTGCAGCTGGTGGTGATATGGGGGCCGTTTTCGACCAACTAAATAGAGGTGAATCGGTCACGGCTGGCTTGAAGAAAGTTGACAAGAGCCAAATGACACACAAGAATCCTGAACTGCGCGCGAATTCTACGGTCCCTGGCGATGACATCAGCCGGAGTAGAAGTCCGGGGCCACAGATCAAACCCAAGCCGCAGAGTATGCGCCAAAACACCGGACCTGCCCCTGTCAAGAAGTCAGGCAGGACAGAGCTCGACGGCAACAAATGGTACATCGAGAATTGGGACAACCCTCCCGAGCCCATCACCGTGGACGTGAGCATAAACCAGTCGATCCTCATAACAGGCTGCAAAAACACAGTAATTGTATTCCGTGGCAAGGCCAATGCCATCTCAATCGACAACTCTCCTCGCACACAGATGTTGGTGGAGACACTTATTTCATCCGTCGATGTCATCAAATGCCCGAACTTTGCGCTACAGATCACTGGTGCTGTCCCCACCATCATGCTTGATCAAGTCGATGGCGCGAGTATATTCCTTGGTACAGACAGTCTCGCAACGGAAGTCTTTACAAGCAAATGCAGTTCTGTTAATATCGTGCTTCCACCGGAGCGGGAAGAGGACGACACGGTGGAGTGTCCCTTGCCGGAGCAAATGCGGACTTTTGTCAAGGACGGCAAGCTTGTGAGCGAGATCGTGGAGCATTCTGGTTGAGTGAGGGAGTGCGTTGAACTGCATAGGGAGACTTGTACGATTACTCGGTCTGGAGATACTCATGACTTATCTCTCTGCGGGTTGGACAGAAAGCCACGTTTGGAAGAGACTTGCGTTCAGATGTGCTTTTAGAAGTACGCCGTATTCCACTCGAACATCTTCGACATTGAGAAGGRAAATTGATAGCGCACTATTGGAATTTGGAAGGACGGTTGGCACGCGGCCACCACTGCTGATTACGAGGCTGCTTGTACATGTACCGATGTCGTCGAACCAATCGTCCTAACTCCTGGTGAGCGTGCTCCGAGGCTCGGATTGATATATGGAAGTGCTCACTATACTCAGAAGACTTGATACGACTAACAAGCCCGACATCAAGGTGAACGACACAATCGAGACAATGTGTGGCCGCTTGCGGAGAAAGTTTCGTCTGTTAAATCCGAAGCCACTCGGCAAAGAGTGCCGACCACGTCATTCGTTTGAGTTGAAGAAGCGGTTTTCGGAGAAAAACAAGAGTTACTTAGTTGGATCAATGCCCGATGATGACTTGATATTATTTCTCTCGCAGAAAGGAAAAAGGACAGAAATTTGCTCGTTGTTAGGACTCCCAAAGAAGTGCGGCAAGTGCAGGTACCTGATGACAAGCATTGCCGATGGCGATCATGAACAAGGATCATGCTGGAGCGCCGGACAGAACTCCTGAGCATGGAAACATACACAAAGAACTAGAGGAAGAGCTGACACACCCCGACGAATCCCAATTGAAGGAAGACTACACAAGCCCACACCGCGATTCCGATGGCTCTTCTAGCTTTTCCAGCGTCTTTTCTGAAAGTCGCCATACAGAAGGTCGAAGAAGCATTAGAAGAACCAGCACCTCATTATCTCGGACACAATCAAAGACTCTCCAACGCGCACAAACTGCTGCTTCGACTGTACTTTCAACTATACGATCTCGAGCTCCCAGAGGCCAATTCACGCATCCCTTGACTCATGAGAAAACCTCGACTGAAAATCTCGTTGATTTCGATGGACTGGATGATCCATACAGGCCCATGAACTGGAGTTTCAAGAAGAAGTGTATATGCACAGGATTGTATGGATTCACTGCTATGTTTGCCACCTTCGGATCCAGTGTTTATGCGCCTGCTGTCAATGAGATTGCCCAAGAATTCAATATTGGCACAGAGGTCTCCATCCTGGGGATATCACTCCTACTGGCTGGATTCGGGATTGGACCGCTGATTTGGGCGCCCCTGAGTGAGGTGTRTGGTCGCAAAATTGCCGTGCTGACACCCTTCTTCATCGCTGCCATGTTCACCTTCGGGGCCGGGGCTGCAAAGGACGTCCAGACCTTGATGATCACAAGGTTCTTCCAGGGGTTCTTTGGCAGCGCGCCGGTGACGAACACTGGAGGTGTGCTTGGAGATATCTGGTCGGCAGACGTGCGTGGAGTGGCGATGATCGGGTATGCGATGGCTGTGGTCGGTGGGCCGACTTTTGGACCCGTCATTGGCGGAGCGATCATTGTTACCGGTACGGGATGGCGCTGGACGCAGTACGTGACTGGCATTGGGATGATGTTTATGGTGGTCCTCGACGTCATCGTGTTGGACGAAAGCTATTCACCCGTTCTGCTGGTTAAGAAGGCTCGTGCGCTTCGATATGAATCCGGAAACTGGGCATTGCATGCTCCACACGAGGAGTGGAACGTCACGCTCTCGGAATTGAGCCATAAGTACCTCGTTCGGCCATTCCAATTACTCACGACCCCGATATGCTTTTTGATGGCGCTGTGAGTGTATTGGGGAAAAGGCGACTGATGGAGAGTATTGCTAACAATTCGCAGATACGCCTCCTTCTGTTATGGAATACTGTACGCTTCTTTGGCTGCATTTCCCATTGCTTTCGAGGAGGTGCGTGGCTGGAACGCTTTGGTAGGCACCCTGCCTTTTCTGGCAATGCTCATTGGAATCCTCATCGGCGCGGTCGGCAACTACTGGAATCAGAAGTTTTATGTTGCCCGATGGAAAGCCAATGACTTCCGACCTGTGCCTGAAGCCCGTCTTCCTCCAATGATGGTGGGCTCGGTCGTCTTCGCCGGCGGCCTCTTTACATTTGCTTGGAGCTCCGGCGCTAAAGTGCATTGGATCGTGCCGTGCATCGGCATCGCGTTGGAGGGCATAGGCTTCTTTACGATTTTCCAAAGCGCCCTCAACTACTTAATTGATACCTTCCAACGATATGCAGCAAGTGCGGTGGCGGCCAATACGGCCCTTCGGTCAGTTTTCGCCGCAGCTTTTCCACTGTTCATCGCCCCAATGCTGCATTCTCTGGGTCTCGGATGGGGGATCAGTATATTCGGCTTCTGTGCAGTGGCAATGATCCCAATCCCATACCTCTTCTATTTGTATGGCAAGAGGATTAGGGCAAGAGGCGTTTGGTCGAGGGAAAGCGTTTATCCGGATGAGAGGGCCAAGTGAATTATTGTTCTTAGCGATTTTTTTTTTGGCTTTCGAGCCAAGTTGACGAACAAGATGGATGGGCTATGAGGATACACAATTGATAGACCAATGACAAGAGAAGAATGAGAGCTCACCGTGGTGGGAACAGCATCTTGGACCAGTGCTCCCACAGTAAGCTGTCCTGCCATCTAGGTACAGTCACTTGATAAGAAAGAGTGCCATGTAGAGGACCACGAGAGATTTCTCGATGACCCGACCCAACCTGGAATGTACAGTAGCTCGTACACGTGCCGTCCACGCGGTCCCAAATTATCACGCACAGCCCCACACCACTTCGCGAGTGGTTCCTGTTCCTGGCTAGCAGCTGCCCTGATTGTAGCATGTCGGACAACATGGGAGTCTGGTATGCATCATCGTTGGTGATGTTCAAACGACTCCGACAGACGTCTGGATGAAGTAAGGTGGAAGAAAGTCGTGCCTGCCCGATTACGCTCGCCGCGGCAGAGACCCGCGAAGCCCTCGTCCGCATTGGCCACCTGCAGGAGAGGCCCCCGGCCTATCGAAGCTACCTTACCTTATCATCAAATTCATGATGGATCCCTTCTTTGAAACACCCAACGCGATGCGTTGGCAGCTCTGGCCAGGCAAGTCTCGCTCATGATTCCGCTCTACGCCTGAATTCTGTCTCCCACTCATCGCGGTCTCGCGCCTCAATGCTCCCGTGAGCAGGACACTTCACCATTCGAAATTCCCAGAGCTGTGCGCCTGGAGGAGAGCAGCACGCGGACAAAAGCTCTACGAGCACAAGAGCTTGAGTAACAAACTGCAAGAGAAACTTGCAGCCGGAAGTCATCATCAAATCAAGCCAGAAGATCTTTCAAACACAATGCAGGATCAAGGACAAACTCATCGCAATGCACGAATACTCTCTTCGATCGCAGCAACGGTCATTGCTCTGTCCTGTGGAACCAACTATGGCTTCTCGGCATGGGCACCTCAATTCGCCAATCGCATGGCACTCTCGGCCACGCAGATCAACCTCATGGGGAACTTTGGAAACATTGGCATGTACGCCATGGGAATACCGGGCGGCATCCTGATTGATTCACGAGGCCCACGTTGGGGGGTTTTTCCGGGTTGCATTGCTCTTGCGGTTGGATACTTTGGACTGAGGAACGCGTACGACTCGGGACCAGGAAGTGTGAGTATGTTCATGCTTTGTCTCTATGCGCTGTGCAGCGGTTTGGGCGGTTGCGTCGCATTCTCGGCTGCCATTAAGGCGAGCGCGAGCAACTGGCCGATGAATCGTGGGACGGCGACAGCCTTCCCATTAAGTGCATTCGGGCTGAGTGCATTCTTCTACACAACATTGGCAGGTCTCATATGGCCGAACGACACCAGTGCGTATCTCACACTTCTAGCGTACGGCACAACTGCCATGACACTATTTGGTATGCTGTTCCTACGGATCGTCCAGGAAACGGACGATGACACAGCAGGTGCATATGGAGTCGTGCCAGAGGAAGACCAATCAAGCCTGAAGAAAGATGACGAACAGAGCACGCGGCTGCACAGAAAGGGGAGAGAAAACGGCCACATTCGCGGTCGCAGCCTCCCCACAGGCAGCGCAATCAAAGGCATGGCTGGTCGCACGTCCGAAGAGGCAGGGGAGACATCCTCTCTCGTTGCATCCTCCGAATCCAGCGRGCCTGGAGATATCGACGATGACTTTATCGCCGTGCGACGAAACTCACACTATTCGGTCCACTCCCATCGTGCAGGAAAAGAAATAACGGGCACCGCACTTCTCCAAACGTCCAAGTTCTGGCAGCTTTTCATCCTTTTGGCACTTCTTTGCGGAGTCGGTCTCATGACGATCAACAACATCGGCAACAGTGCGCGTGCTCTTTGGCGCCACTGGGACGACACTGCGTCTTCGGATTTCATCCAGAAACGACAACTCATGCACGTCAGCATTCTCTCCTTTTGCTCTTTCATGGGCAGGCTAGCGTCTGGAATCGGCTCCGACTTTTTGATCCATAGGCTACATGCTTCACGGTTCTGGACACTGGTCGCCAGCGCTTCGATCTTCGTCGCGGCACAGTGTGTAGCCATTTATCTTGAGAATCCCCATCATCTATTTTGGCTGAGCGGTCTCACTGGATTAGCGTATGGATGTCTCTTTGGAGTCTATCCAGCTCTGGTAGCAGATGCTTTCGGCGCCAAGGGGCTTGGAATTAATTGGGGATGCATGACATGGGCGCCAGTCATATCGGGCAACATATACAACCTGGCGTATGGAACTATCCTGGATAGACACTCCATCTTCAAAGGTACGCCGTCTGGTGGTGGAGAGCGAAGTTGCGACGAAGGCCGTGAGTGCTATGCGAGTGCATACTGGGTTACATTGATATCTAGCGCGGTTGGTGTTGTGTGGGCACTTTGGTGTATCAGACAGGAGAGGCTTGAACACCTCAGAGAAGGTAGGGAGATACGCAGGGATCATGAGCCTTGAGCGGGATAATTTGTGTATTGAGTTTAGATTTCATTACTGATAGACGTGGAGCTGGCGACAGTCCAGTATAGGTGGAAAGGGGATGGGCACCCGACTTCCAAAGCTAGATACGTAGAAGTCCCAAGTTTCTTTCACTTGCCGGATGTGCAGTTTGGTCTTAAAGTACTCCGCGGCCCAGTCCCATGCCATCATTCCTACATCATGCCAATCGAGCTGTTCAAGATTTTAGTCGATCGGTTTCAACCCGTCATGACATGTCCATCTCATCAGCAGCTTGCCCACGCTTCTGCTTTTCCTGGACTCTCTTCTCTGTTGCGGCCTTTGCATCATCAATCCATTTCTCATAACTTCCGTCCTTGACTTTTGCGGCCGTCACTCCTTTCATCATTTCTCCGATGAACCCAACGAAGTTGTGCCTCCGCAGCGCATTCTCGTTCCGCCAGTCTACCCGCTTCTGCTCTTCTCTCGCCAGCCATTCCTGATCGCCCACCTCTCTTGCCCTTGATCTCAGATCCTCGCACATGGCTAGGAGGTTGAAGCGAATCTCAGTTTGTGGGTAGCGTTCTATCCGCCGCTGTAGGACAGGGATCACGGCGTCACTGAAGATCTCTGCAGGACAAGCACCGGGATCGCCATGTCTGATCGGAGCAGGTTGTAATCCATCGAGTTCGTAGAGTGTGCTGTTGATCGAGGCGTAGGCAATGAAATGGTAGACATCGTCGTCGGCGGTAGCCATGCGGGTCTCATCGGAGACAAAAGGCGATGAGCGAGCAAAGGAGTTGTGAACGTTTCGTATGATTTCGGAGTTTGAGAGAGCCTCACCGCGTAGCTGTATGTCATGAGAGTATCAGCCGACGTTCATTGACCAGGTGAAGTCATATCACGCAACTTACGTCTGAGGGAAAAGCGGCGGTGAAGTCCTTGAAGTCTTTCAAATTTGGGCCAATGTCCACTCCGCCTTCATCTTCAACCCCATCTTTGTTGAGTAGTACGCTCAGCAATGCTTGCGTTCCACATGCATTTTGAATCGTCTGCGCGGCAAACCAGACCGGACCGTCTTCGCCATCCGGACTTTGCTCTAGGGCAGCATAGTCGAATTCGCCGTCGAGAGGTTTCTCTTTACTTCGCTTCTCATCCGTCGGATATTTGAAGAGGAAGATGACACCCTTTGGATTGAGCTGCTGCAGCGACTCCGCGTCGAGCGAGATCAGCTCTTCGAATTGGACGTTCTTGACCCCCAAAGATTCTATGAGGAAAGTGAAGACTGGGGTGCCGTTTGTTAGCTATAAGAGCGCCGCTCGGAGCGTCGAGGAATACATACCTCCCTGGTATAACGGTCAGTATAGTCTTTCATCGGATGGCAGGGAGTCTCAAGACGTACAGCGTCCGACTCAATCGTGTTCCAGMCGCCCGACATGGCGCAAAGTGCAGGAAACCGGGTTGGGATTGATCGATTGAAGAGGATCGATCCGAAGGTTTGTTCGGATTTAGCGAAATCGAAGCATCGGAGCTCTGATGTGAGCTCCAGCAAGGATCGCCGAGTGGCACGCCGCGAGGTTACGTCACAAATGTACGTGAAGGACGAAAGCCACTCATCGCGCGCGAGAAACAAGGAACCAAATCCTTTAAGCAATCCGCCAGCCACATCCACCTACCGTTGGACTTTACTCCCCGCACCCCTTGCGCAACGAGTGAGCATTACCTTATCCGAAGAGATTGAATCGACTTCACCTCGCTTCCACATATTGAGACTTTTTCCAGTGTCCGGCATACTCGATCGCCCCAACAGCTCCGTTGACTCGGACACACACTCCATGGCCTCCAACATGAGCAGCTACGCCGACATTGCGGCAAAAGGCCCAGAACAGACTGATGAGGAGGTGAGAATAGACGATACGCATATCCTCAATGTGTCGCGCCAACTAACAGCCATGACAGAAGTACGATGATCCCCTGTGCCTCGTCTCATGCACATTATCCTAACCCACCCCTAGGACTCCACACGCCATGCCTGAAGTCGAGTTCGATGATAGCCCAGCGATTCACGATCCTATGCACGAGCACTCGCCTGCGCCGCCACCTTCATACGCCGATCAGCAGCTACAAGTTGGGAAATCCGAGAAGGCCAGGCGTGCCTCCGAGAACAAGGGCAACGAGATCAGCAAAGAAGCACGGGAATTCATGGAGGCCTCGACCGCATCCGCAGCTAAGCTCAGCGGGTCTGGTAACAGCGGCAGTGATGTAAAGAAAGACGTCCAGCAGACTGCCAACCAGGCCGAGAAGGATGTGAAGCAGACCGCCGACAAGGCTGAGAAGGAAGTCAAGCAGACCGCAGAAAAGGCCGAGAAGAATGCCAAGCAGACTGCTGATAAGGCGGAGAAGAACGTCAAGCAGGCCGCTGACCAGGCTGGGAAGAAATATGAGGAGATCAAGGATAAGGCCGTCAACGAGTACAAGGAGGTCAAGGACAAGGCTGTTGACCAGTACGAGAACAATGTCAAGCCAGCCGTGAAGGAGGGCGTGGAGAAGGGCAAGAAGGAGGGCAAGAAGGCCGAGCAGTGGGCAGAAAAGAACAAGGACAACCCCGTTGTGCAGGGCAATGTTKTTGCTCTTGCAATTCTGAGCGGAGTCTTGGGCATTGGTGCGTATCGCCTACACAGCAGAGGTGCACTGTCCTGGAACGTCGTTGGCGCAACGTTGGGCGCGTTGGGCGCATTCGCTGCCGGTGACTACTACGTCAGCCAATTCTTCTTCAAGAAATACCCACCAAAGAACTAGAATCTTCTACGACCATGGATACGGAGCTTGAATGAATTCAATGCGGTAGGAAGGCTGGCTATGATGGCAAGACGGGACGAGAGCTAGATGATGGGATTATCAGCCTGGTTGCAACATCGGGTATGAATGCCTTCGACATGCAATGGAGGCGCTGTAAGCGGACACATCTTTCCTCATGCGCAATTTGAGAGGCAGCTTGGCCTGGAGTAATAGTGTATTATATGTCTTTCACTCTGTTGGTTGTTTCAATCGGATATTTCCAACATCCTTTTTTTATTGGACGTCTTTGTGGTACACCGAATCGCTCCACCAGTATGGAGTACTCAAAGGTGAGGTTCCTCCTCAAGAGCGTGCTCCTACTCGCTACATTAAAARGCAAAGACGACACGCAGCTGTTTGTCTGCTTCATTACTCAAATCTAACAGCCCTATTCTCCAAGTTCAGGCTGTTAGCTAAGACCTCAGCTAGATATATCTGGCATGTTAGTCTATTAATTACCTTCGACTCGCTAAAAAGAGAGCAGAAGTGGCTTTATAGCGTCGAAAACCCTCCTATTAGTAACTACCTTACGAGATATTAACGCTTTTAGGTATATCCCTAGTTTCGAATGCTAGTCTCGGGATGTGTTCTATAGGCATATAGCTACTATTACGATAGATCGATATTACAAATCGGTAAGATAGGGTACAAGGTTAACGGCAGTTTGCTACTATATCCTCTACTATCTAACTACGGCCGGACGAGTAGATTGCAAAAGGCTATTGCTTTTACGAAGATTGCTAAACGGCCCCTACTTAAAGTACAGGTACTTAGTAGATGTACCTAGGTACATGTACATGCTCCTACTCCTCCACAAGTATCTAGGGATTTCGCAGGTCTCGCTGGCCCTTCAAAATGGCATACTCATCACACTCACAACACCAACCATGACATTTACGCCTCAGCTTCCGCAGCCAGGTCGCCTTTTCCCAGTATGCTGTGCTGCGGAGATCCCTCCTTCCGTAAGTATATTCCTTCCGCTCGCGTAGCAGCTTCACCCGGCTAAGATGGTAAACCCAGGTTGTGGATCGTTACCTGATGTCCATCTTCGAATACAAGGACATGGAGGCCGTTTATTCTGTCATCATAGACGACCTGGCGGAGAAATACACAAAAGAGTGCGATGTCAATTCGCCGAGGACTGCCGCAACCAAGGCGCCATTCAAGGGCAAAGATTTGTACGAATGTAGTAGTCTTCTCCAACAGATGTGTCGCGATGGCTCAGACATCGATTACTCCTCCTTTGTGATTATGGATGAGAGGACACTGCATGATGATACTGTGCTTTTCGCCGTATCAGACTGGCAAGATGGGCAAGAAACAATCCGTAGCATTAGATCTGCCTTTGAGGTTGTGGAGGAACGTTTAGGCGGGTACGGTGTGGTCCCCGAGGAATTCGAAAGGGATCTGGCCACCGCTGCGGAGGCGGAAGATGGCGTGCTTCGAGCGCATGCGATTGAAGCGAGAACGAGTGCCCTAGGGAGGTATGAGTGAGCATTAGCTACCGGTATCGAAGGCTGGAGTCCCCACCACCATTGCATTTCTACCCTAGGAACTGAATCTAATTGCGATCCTGCAGACAGCGACCGTATTCGCCTTCTACGAGCCTTGATGTCCCGCCCCGACTAAAGCAGTTCAAAGTCGTTCTCATCGGTGATCCTACAGTAGGGAAGGTGAGTGGTGAATCTGTCCTAGTCGCAAAGCGGGAGCGAAAATTAACCCCTATTGATTGCACAGACTTCATATGTGCAATACCACATGACAGGGCATTTCGACGCTGAGTATACCACCCAGCCCGGTATCCAGGTCGACAATTTACGTTTTCACACGGTTCGTGTGAGCTGCCTTCTCAAATTTTGATCCGAACTGATTTGAAATCAAGAACATGGGCCTTGTCCAGTTCGACGTCTGGGACGTTGCTGGTCAGCAGAAGTTCCATGACCAGCGTGACAGCTACTATTCCAACACTCATTGCGGCATCATCATGTTCGATCTCACATCCCGCATCACTTACAAAAACGTACAGAGTTGGCACCGCGACCTTCTACGGGTCTGCCGGAACCTCCCGATAGTTCTCGTTGGGAGCAAACTCGACAAACCTGATGCGTACCATCGAGACGGAAACATCAAGTCTAAAAGACTCAAGTTTCACCACTCAAGGGATCTTCAGTATTACGATTTGTCTGTCAAATCAAACAAAAACACAGAGATGCCGTTTCTTTGGCTTGCGCGGGAGCTCGTTGGTGATCAGTCTTTGGTAACATGCACAGGTCCGTACACCGGTGTAAGCTGACGATATGCAGGAGTTTGTCGCTGAGCCTGCTCTGACTCCACCAGAAATATCGCTCGGCCAAGTTGCAGTGGCCAGGTATTTGAGGGAGGTGGAAGACGCTTCGATCGTACCTCTACCAGACGATGTCTATGGATGCCTCTGAGACGGATTTCACCTCTGAACTTGATCTGATAACTTGACGGATATGGAATTCCAATCTCGGACGGATGAAAGATTGGACTGGAATTGCGATCTTGAGGATTTTCTTTTGTCGAAAGACGCCGGATAAGTAGATTGCAAAAGGCTATTGCTTTTGCGAAGATTGCCAAAAGGCCATTTGGTTCACTCAGTCGAGGTCTTCTTGCTTGTTCGACGTGCTCCCTCGATGTCGGCATACGTGGCGCATAAGGGGCAATATCGTTTGGTGTTCTCTCTCCTGAGAAGCGACTAATGCAAGTCGAAGATTTGTTTCGGTACTTGCTGGAATCTCTGTTCAAAGGCTTCGTACTCGTCCTGCCAATCCATGGTCCCGTCAATATAGCAGTTCCCGATGAAAAGATAACGATCACCATCCGGCCGTAGAATGGTGGGAAAGTGACTGCCATCCAACACAACGACAATGTCACCGGGGCTTGTCATCTTTGGAGCAAGACCTGCTGTCTGTGAGCTTTCGTGTTATGACGAGAAGTCCTGGAATCGGTGAACGGTACGAATCAGGTTTGGTGACGACATACCTAAGAGATGATTTCTCGTCCTGACTATTCGCCTTGGGTACCAGCGGGTAAGAGCCAATGAGTATTCCCACGCCCGTCGACGAGGATCCTCGGGCGGAAAAGAGTCCCCGGCCGAGAGACTCACACCTTGCTGAATACACGTGCGCATCTCCGTAAATGACAGCAAGTACTGGACAGAGCTGCTCCGTTTTCGTAAATGGTTGGTATCTGCTACAAGGGTTCGCGCTAGGGCTTCCACGCCACATTCACTTGACATTTCAAGTGTAGAATCCAGCCATGCACTGAAGATTTTGAAGGACCGCGTCGCGTTTTCATCAAGCAGCGTCGACGTTGCCGAGATCTCATCTACTAGTATGCCCTCGAGACGTAGCAGATCACTCTCGATTGTGGAGGCAACAAGCACTTGGTCAACGTGCCCAGTAGTGTGATAATCCCCATGATAGGGCAGACTATTCGCATCTACCTAGTTGACAATAAGTTCTCATTATCTCCCAAAAGAATCCGCACTGTGATGGACCAAACATACCGTGAAATTCCATTCTCGATCAAGCCTTGGTACCCAGGAAGGAAATCCATCAGACTGCAAGTCTTGCTCATGGCGGTGGAAGACTCGATTCAGTAAGAATAGCTGGTCGAGACGGCCTGACGACAAGATTGAATACCTCACAGCATCCCTGAATACATTCGCAACGGATTTGGTGTAGTCGGACTTGAGTAGTCGCCGTTGTAAGTGATTGTCCCCGTCGATTCCTWCGATAGGCAATCCGAGAATGCCAAACACCTTGTCCCGCGGATCGAACGCTCGAAGGCTCCAGGTTCTGGTCAAGACCGTGTTCAAGAATACATGGGCCTCTTGTGAGTGCCAGTACGCAAGGGTCGATATGTTGCTAGCTCTCGCTAGCCCAGAGTTATACAGCGAATCGGATATGTGATTTGAATAGTGCACGCCCAGGAAGAAAGCGCAATCTAGTATGTCGACCATGTTCCTCTGCATATGGCCGCACAGACAGGTGGCTTTTGGTGTAAGAACTACCTCCTGAACAACCCATACACGACTGCCTTCGCTTAATCGTTGTTCATGACAGGGTAGAAGATTGTGAGCTCACCTGAACCATGGCCGCGAAAAGAACGACGCAAGTGCGTAATCATCGATCGGTGTGCAAGGAGCTCTTGCGGCGTAAATTGGGAGTCCTTGTGGATATACCAGATCCTGTAGTCCTCGGCGATCGCCGGCTGTACTTACGATTTCCTTGTGAACTTGATCCAGGTTATCCAGGGCTCTCTGTGTAGTGACATCTGTACGTTGTAAGCGTGCATGAATGAGTTGTGCAACGTTCACAGAGCTGACGATACGAGCTTCGTTTAGGGACACGAGATGTCTCTGGTTCTTCCATAGACCCGGCACACAGGGAGGGTTCCCGCAGCCCAACAAGGGCGGCTCTGACGCAAGGCTGGGCGGAGAAGAGTTGAATCGAAAGCTGCATACACACCTTCCTCGCCGATGTACACCCAAGTCATAGTACACATGGAGTATAACTTCCCCATCATAGCAACCTGTTGTCCACGTTCCTCAACATCGTTCTGATTGATGCACACAGCATCAATCCATAGGGTTCTTTCCTCTCGCGCAGTTGCACAGCGCAGGGCCATTTCTGTATTCATTGGGACATTGAAATCGTGGCCGTCGATTTGGATCTGACGACACGGAGTTGGGTCGCCCCAGGCGTATGAGATCGTTTCATACTGAGGAGTAGGATGTGTGTCTAAGGAGATTTGGCGCGCGCGACAGGCAACTTTGTCTTGGATTGACTTGGTACGAGCGACATCCAGAACCCTTATCTCGTGCTTCTCGGCGTCCAGACGCCGGTATTGCATGGCCGGGTAGTTCTGGGAGTGGAGGATGATGATGATGGATAACCGCAGACCTGCGAAATGTGGGCAAGCTCAGCATATCGTCCGAGTCTTGCGAGAACTGCACCACGAAGAAGTGGAGTCCAGCACCCTACCACGCCGCCAACGTCGCGTCAGTCTGGCAAGTGCGACCTGTTCGTCATACCGTGTCGATACAACGGGGAAGGGGTCTCGTTATGGCTTGAATGTCCCGCAGCATCCAGCATGAGTCCCCTTCGAGACGGGGGGATTCTGAAGGTCACGCAGCACAAATCATTCAAACTCATCAAAGCGTGGAAAGTGTAGCTTATCCGCTGCCCTGACCCTAACCCTAGCTCGCACACGGAGTAAGGTCCCACTAGATTGGCCGAAGGTGTTCGTATAGCACAAAGTAATGTGTGTAGGGCAAGGTGTAATTTCTGAAATCGATCGGCAATATCGACGTATGATCCACATTTCTTATCTGATAGGAGACTTTGCGAACGACGACCGCATCAACCTCATCGCGATGCACATTTAATATCTAATGCACTTTGTTGTCAATCGTTATCCAGTACTTGTATCAGCACGCAGACTGCTACTTCCTCATTCTCGAAGAGTCCTCACACACCCGTCAACGCGCCGCAAGTTCCAGTCGATAGCCATTGGCGTGACTTGTTCACACGCACGCCGCGAGAGCAACCAGAAACTCCACCGATGTTACAATACGCCGCTCCAAGCGCTACGCAGACATTCTCGAAGTCGTCGTCGATTTTCTCCGAGCCGCCATCCAAACGAGCCACCTCAGCATCTCAATCCTTCGAAAGTCATCTGACCAGCTACAACACTCCGCGCCCTCCTGCAAACACCTCAATAACAAAGCACGACGAAAGCCGACGATCGTTTGGTGGTGTGTCCGACTCAGACGCATCAACGGCATTGTCGCAGCTTGCATCGCTGGCGGCCCAGGCTCCAGCTGCAGCGATGAACCCTTCCAGCGGCAGCGGTGATAGGTATGTACACATGGAGTCGAGCCAGGGCTGTGGAGAGAGAATCTGCATCTGTTGGGAGATTGAGCTGAGGATATGAGCATATACATGTTGAGATAACCAGGAAGAGGGCACTTCTTGCTTCGCTCCCTGATCGATGCTGCTGCTCTCGCACACCGGCATGTTGTCGAGAATTTGCTCTTTGCCAAGTTCACTCGAACAGACGGCGGACACTGCGCGATTGCTCTCCACCCGAGACTCTCGACTGAAATGCTGGTAGCTCCTGCAGGGATCTTCGGCTCGGCCAAGAACGACGGGACTTTTTGCTGATACACTCCAACTTCCAGTACACGTTCTGGCACCCCAAGCACTCACAACGCTGCCTCCATGACGGCCACAAACCCCGCGCAATATGCCGCGTCAAGCAATCAGAGCAGTCAAAACGTAAGCTACAAACCATAACGCTGGGAAATCGATATGCTGGTTTAGTTCTCACCCGAAGCCCTTATCGATATCAATATCATATCGTATCCCACGCCCCACTAGAGCCATTGCCATTCTGTGTGCGAGCAAGGCATTTATCGGTGKAGCTCTCGCTTGGTTCATCTTGCTGACAATATCTCAGGGAGGCCCTCCCGTTTGCCAGAACTGCCAAAGTATGTGTTCTCCACGCGCTATCATGACTCCAGCCCCTAATCTTTCACAGCATCCACCACCCCGCTCTGGCGCCGTGACGAGTCTGGTTCCGTTCTTTGCAATGCTTGCGGTCTATTTTTAAAGCTACACGGTCGTGCTCGACCAATCAGCCTCAAGACAGATGTCATCAAGAGCAGAAATCGGGTCAAGACCGCGCAGCCCAAGAAACGGGACAGCAACGGCGATGGGCTAATGCATGCCCCAAATGGCTTCGCCGCTGCCCATCCCGACATGGCCGCCCACCAACACGGTCTTCCGATGGGTATGGGAATGGAGCACATGCAGAGAGTACCGTCACCCAGCGCTGCCTCGCGCAGCAACACGCCGCAGATCTACGACAATATTCCAGACACCTTCGCAAGCCCAGGACTTTCGGCCTACCATGTCCGGCAACACAGTCCACCTACAAGCTCTCTGAATAATGGCACCACGGGTGGTCAAATGGATCATCGACATGGCTACGATGCAACGATTCAGACGCTCCGGACACGTGTGAGCGAACTGGAAGTCATCAACGATCTTTTCCGAGGACGCGTGTCGGAGCTGGAGGCCAGTGAGCAAGATGCCCGACGAAATGAGCTTTCCAAAGCCGAGGAGGTCCAAAGACTGTCCAGTGCATTGGAGGCAGCGAACGCAAAGATTGCGGAGCTTGAGGCTGAAGGTCCTGCAAGAAAGAAGTCGAAAACAGAGAGCGGTGACAGTACGCCAATTGTATGACGAATGACGAGACGAACCAAAAGCGCTGGTGTGATGTTGTGGTTGGCCTCTTTCCAGCAAGCGAAGCGCCGGTCTGTAAAAGCGGATACCCAGTCAATTAGATCAACTTTGATTCAATAATCCAACTGAAGAGAATCCCCACTGTCTTTGTCCCTTTTGTGATGCAGCAATAGGATTGTGAAAGCGTACCTTACTGTATGTAGCAGATAAGGTATGTTTATTTAGAAGCGGGTCCGCGGATCATCCGCCCGACATTAAGGTAACGTAGGTTGGCTTTAACTCCGTCGGCGAATTGTGAATGCTCCCCTCTCGTTCCAACTTCCTTGAACCATGAGAAGGTTGACACGTTCAAATTTGCACAATGCCCGGGAAACGACCAGCTGCATCGGGATATGCTCGAATAGCTCAGGCCGAGGAGGAGGAAGAGGAGGGCGAGGAGGGGGAGCGGCCCTACTCGGATCATGAGGACGACCCTTTTAGCGATTCCAGGCACACTTTATCCTCAAGCAGCCCTCAGTATGCGCCCGTCCAACCCAGCCGCCGCGAGCAGATGCGACATCCGCACAGCGATAGTCTCAAGAGACCCGGTCAGCGAAAGCGAACAAATAGCGGTGTCGACATCAAGGCAATCAACGCGCGATTGGAGAGATGGGCGGACGAGATAAAGGACAGATTTACACGACGACGAGTCAAGGGCAAGAGTTCAGAGCAGGAGCACCTTGAGATACATCACTCTGTATTCCAGCCGGTGGATGGATATCGGCCAGCTACGAAAGAGGTGCTAGAAAATGGGTACGACGATGAGGGCGACCGGATGTCGAAGCTGGAATTCGATGACTTGGTAGAGGCCGTCCGCACTGCCATTGAGCTGGGAATGCATCCCACACTGATTGCACAAGGTAGCAGCGGTTCTTACTTTGCTCGTACAAGTGGCGGGAAAGTGGTAGGTGTCTTCAAGCCAAAGGACGAGGAGCCCTATGCCAGCCGCAATCCCAAATGGTCCAAATGGATCCATCGCAACCTCTTCCCGTTCGCATTTGGACGCGCGATGCTGATCCCAAATTTGAGCTACGTGTCGGAGGCTGCAGCATACGTTCTGGATTGTCAGCTTCGGACAAACCTGGTTCCCTACACAGATGTTGTTGGCTTGAGCAGTAAGAGTTTCCATCATGACTGGATTGACAGAAGAGCCTTCTATCGTAAAGGTCGACCTTTTCCCGAGAAGCTGGGGTCATTTCAAGTGTTCTTGAAGGGTTACAAAGGGGCTACGGAGTTTTTCCGTGAGCATCCATGGCCTGACCACCAGAACAACCCACAAGCCTTGCATGCGCGGAAACCACAGAAGAAGCGTTGGGACAATTCTTGCAGGCCGAGTAGAGCGAGTACGACACCTGAGATCTCTGGCGATTACGACAGCGACGATGAAGCGGAAGGCACGCCCGGAAACCATAACATAGCCGTGACCGAGTACTGGAGCCCGGAGCTTCAGCAAAGCTTCCGAGWAGAGCTCGAGAAACTGGTCATATTGGACTATGTCATGCGGAACACAGATAGAGGYACGGACAATTGGATGATCAGAGTGGACAAGGAGAAGAATCAGGCGACCATCGTGAAAGAGCCACCACGAAAAGATGGTGATGGATACAATAGAAGAAATGAGAGCATGACGCCCACACCCGAAACAACTGGCGGCGGCGATGGTGCCATTCCCAGGATCGGGGCCATCGATAATAGTCTCTCGTGGCCTTGGAAACACCCAGATGCGTGGCGAAGCTATCCTTTCGGGTGGCTCTTCATGCCAGTATCTCTGATAGGACGGCCGTTCTCCGAAAAGACCAAACGTCACTTTCTGCCTCTGCTCACATCAAAGGAATGGTGGAGTGACACACAAGTGAAGCTACGCAAATGCTTCGAAATTGACGCCGACTTTCAGGAAAAGATGTTTGCAAGGCAAATGGCGGTCATGAAGGGGCAGGCTTTCAACGTCGTGGAGACGCTCAAGACTTCAGACCACGGACCACTGGAGCTTACTCGCCGCAATCGTGTCCTCGTTTGGGACGACTTGGTTGACATTCCCGTCGCCGTTCCACTTACCCGGGCTTCAGAAGAGATGCGAAGGCGAGCGGCCGCTCATAATGCTTCCAACGCAAGCAGACGTGCCAGAGGACTCAACCCATCGGGAAGGACCCTAAGCGAAGAAGAGGAAATGGACATCTCTTTTGCACACCCCGATGCATCTAGCGCGTCGATACCGAGTGGAGACCTCCTTCTCGACATTCCGCGCAACAACGGCGGCAACAACCGCTTCAACCAAACTCGTCAACGCTCTTCTCATGAACTCGGCCGTCCCGAGATACAGGAGATTACGAGCGAGAACCTCGCGCCGGGTGAAGAAGCTATTGCAGGGACCAGACCTGGCGCGTATCGCTCAAGCACCGGTGTGGACAAACTGAGCGTCGACGTATCTCGGCCGATGCCCTGGCAGAATGCTTCCTCTCCGGCGCAGGCTCGAAGTAGACGGTTTAGCTTCAACTTCAACTCCCGCAGGGCAAGTTTCGGCTTTGACGAGGACGGCGATTTGGGATATGCCGCTGCTACGACACAGGAGGGTAGCATGCGCAAAGTCATTGTCGAGAGGTTGGAGGTCGTCAAAAGCAAGACGCCTGTATTTAGTTGGTGCTAGCGAGGTGTTCAGAACTTGTAAAAGCGACGACAGAGGACCTAGACCGCCTGCTCGGTTGGATAAATTCATTCACGAAATTCTCAAGGCTCTCTGCGTTCTGAAGGTCAATGCTCTTTCGCGTTATTTGGCGGTGTGGTGTTTATTCGGYGCTCGACGCCTCAAAGTTATCTGGACGATCGAGCTTTGACACTGCATACTTCGTGGCTTCGCCAAGGGGTGGAGCAACTGACAAGACACCGGACAGATAGCACAGCTCGAATGTGTTTCATGAAATGAGCTGTTTCTTTCCTAGCCGTGCATGCATCGGAGGAGTGCCCAAGATGATTGGGCTTGCCTCCAGCCAGACCAACATCGTCATAACACCGGATCATAATCCAGACGCACCACAAATCCCCGATGCTACCAGTACCGTGCGACAAGCTGCTGTGCACTGTGATGCAAACCATATGCATACGCAAGCCATCCGTTGAGATTCGCGGGCCCGCTCGATCGGCCAGAATGCAGTGCCAGTACAGCGACAAGGATTGCAGCGCCGGTCCACCGAGCCGGACGCCGGTAACGGTGTGCCAGCGCTTGCAGTCGTTGTTTCGCGTATCGGAGTGCATCTCGCGTCTGGATCTCGGCAGCGTGCTTGGCAAAGTGTCGCTCTCCATCTTGCAAGTCCTGAGTGGCCAGCGCGCGAGCATCGCGGGTCGTCTTGAGTACGCTGTGGGAGCTGACGCTCCACCATACCCGGTTGGGTAATTGCTCTGGTCGGAATTGGGCGAACAAGTCTCGTGCGCTACGAATTAGCCCCTCCAGGTTTAGCGGCTTGGGCAATTTGGAGAGTATTGAGTGGAGCATTTCCGGCTCGTCGTGGTCAATCTCCAGGAGCTCATCCTTGCGTGACATGACGATCTTTCCGGCGGCGTTAGCTGATGCGGGCCCTGCAGGTGTTGGTGAAACTCACGGTTGCGAAGAGGTACACTGGTAGCGCCGCCTCACCAGCCAGTAGAAAGTCAAAAAGTCGTGCAATGTCTCCATACTCCTCAATGTCGTGTGCGTATAGGGTCAGAGTGGCTGCAAGAGCGAAAAATGGCGTTGGCTTTGACGCTCCTGATAGATGTCGGTATAGTTGGTTGTCGGCAACATGTAGAATCGCCGGTAAGAGGTGTAGATGCACTTCGGCACCCGCCAAGGTCGGGAGCATAAAGTCCCGAATACGTAGCAATGACAGTCGTGCTGCTGCTGGACCCGCCGCATCAGGCCCCAGGACTAGGAGAAGGACCTGCACGATGTCGTGGTAGCCCTGAAAGTAGCACAGCAGTGGATGTTGCCGTAGGACAGCGGTGATGACGTTCGAAAGCTCTTGTTTGCGGACCTTCATGGACGTCTCGGTTTCGTCTGTGGGGCGATCAGTTGGAAACCAACACAGGATGCAGACATGGAGCTGCTTACTTTCGGGGTAGTACACAAAGGAGCGATGTACGTCCAGTTCCACCTGCTCTTCATCCCTGTGTCGCTCCAGAGTAGACCAGTCCTGTTGCCATGCCCCTTGGCTCTGTGGGCAACCAAGTAATAGTGGCCCTGATCAAAAGTCAATGAGCGCATCTGGCTTGAGGGTAGGTTTCATGCGTGTTTACATGCTGTACGCCTGCAGTAGTCCTCAACAAGCCCTCCCTCGGATGATGCTAGCTCTGCGAGGACTTCAAGGTCTCGATCACGACATGCTTTGAGGATACGGTCGACCTTGTGCCGGTCCAGTCCCAATAGTGCGAGGTTCTCCCGTGAAGTCGAGTTGGGCAATGTTGAATGCGCGGTGGTCTTCTCGCCACACTCAGCATCCGACAGCTCCGTGCCGCCTTTTTGTGATCCCGCCATTCGGTGGTTCGGCAGGTTGAAGATGGAGGTGCTCCACTTTGTTGAAGTCGAGAACTCAACGACCCGCAAGAGGTAAGGAGGCACTACGACTTGTTGCGCATTTTGTGTTCGGCGGCCTCCAGCACAGTGTAGCTTTATGCCCGCTACCCGTCTTCGGTAAACAGCTACCGTTTCTGTGGGTCCCAGTGAGACTGCCTGAAGAGATACAAGGATAAGACGGATGCAAGGTGAGGTGACGATGGCGACGGGAAGAAAGGGTCCAGAGAGTTGTTGTTGTTTGCCCGCACGGCATTTCGGTCTCGAAACGCCAACACCAACACCCACACCGGCCTTCAAGGTAACACCGACTCACCGGCTGTGGCTTTGCTACCTTACATGTTTGTCGGGATCTGCGACACAAGACACCTTGCCGCCGATCCAGCTGTGACAGACTTGCGGGATAGGTAGAGGGGAGAAAGGTCCTTCGCCTGTCATCGACATCCCTGCACAACAAGCGCGAATCTGCAGAAAAGCGACAGGTCAGTGCGATCGATCTCCATGTGACGATGCGCACCGCGCTACATGGAACTAGGATAAACAGAGGCTCATGCGCAGGCGCATGGACTGACCAAGGGGCGGCGTGTTGTCAATGATCGCCTCGCGAGGAAATCCGAGGTCGAGACTGCGTGGTCTCATGTGCTGAATGTCCTGTAAAGTGTGACTCGAGTAACGCGAGCTGCAAGCAAGGGCACTTCGCTGCACAGCATATAAACTCGAAACGAGGCGGCTCATCATCCAGTCAGTTGCTTATACCAGGCCGCCCTTCCGACTTCATCAGCATTGTCGCTGTCCCCGGCGGATGAACGGTGCGCACAGGATCCCTCGCGTCTACGAACCCGAAGCTACCTACCTGATCTTTGACAGGCTTGGCGGCCCGCATATGTATATGCAGATCTGAGCACCCCATCGCCCGGGATATACGACACTGGCCGCACTTCGATGAATTTGCACGGCCTTCACTCGGACATTCAGGAGTGATCACACATCACCACCACCAACTCTTTCGGCCAAAGTTACGCGATGGCGCCACATGAGCCACATCGCTCCCCCGTGGGTGTCTATACCAAGGTATTGACTCGCAGTCCGGTCGTCCGCTGGATGTTACACGGCCGCATCCGCCATCGACGACTAAACGATGTCATTTTCGTGGGAGACAACTTCATCGAGGTCAAACAAGTCGTCACAGAAGGACGATTGCAGGACATTGCCTCCAAGCACGACTTCGACACTCAAATCCGGGCTGCGGCAATATTCTCGAACGAGGAGGACGACTTCCTGGCAAAGGTGAAAACGGAACACCGTTCAACATATCTAAACGATGGTAGTATACCTCCGCAATCGCTCGTGTTGACGCTTGATTCCAACGATATGGTGTTTCTTTTCCTCCGAACAGACAGCGCCGGTGTCGTTCGGTTCGTCCACCAGAGCATACCCATCATGGCATTCGACCAGATAATATTCCAGCCTGGCGAGCATCTTGCGGTCGATCACAAGTCTCGCGCCCTCGCTGTTGCGGCCAATGAACGCGAGGTTGTGGTTTTCACTGCGAAACCTCAAGATGAGATCAAGAGAGAGCTTCAGCAGAAGGTGCCCAGTTCTGTACCCATTGTATCTCAACGACTTTTTCGACTCACGGGCGTCATACAGCACATGGACTTTCTCGTTCCGGCCGAGGACGACAAAGACCATGTGATTCTTCTGCTCATTGTGATTGAACAACGCCGAACGAAGGCTGTGTGGTATGATTGGTATCACTCTCTCCAGCCCCAGGATGTCCAGGTACATCCTGGACAGCCTCTTGACACGGCCACGAGTGTCCCGAGCATGCTTATTCCCCTCCTGGATGCGGCGTTCCTTCTTGTCACAGGCAACGAGATGACCATATGGAGACATATTCTCTCAGGGTCAATCACCGATCAAACACTCATACCTACCACGGAGCCACCCATGTGTCCAGGAATTTCCAGCCAGGGGCCTATATGGGCCAGATGGGTCAGGGCACCACGCACCAAGAATGCCCGTCGAGATAAGGACTTTCTGTATTTGGCCAGAGAGGATGGGAGGGTGTACCTCTTCACAATCAGTATATCAGGAAGCATTCAGATCAGCTGTGCCGGTGATTTCCGATGTCATGTGGGTTCGGCATTTGCTTCGCTCGGCGATGAAGGCGATCCGGAGCTTCTCGCTGTGGCGGGTGAGACTAGTGGTGGGAAGGTTGTACGCATGGGACTCTGGCCATCTGACCGCCTTCTCCCAGAACTGAGTCGAGAGCAGTCAATGCAGATGGAGGAGGTCGAGATCCTACCCAACTGGGCATCTGTGACGGACATGATTTCCGCGAAGTCGATACAAACCAGCCGAGGCCCAAACAAAGACGATGAGACCGTCCTCGTTACATCTGGCCGGCAGCCCTACGGCACCATTACCGAGCTTCGACGTGGAATCGCTGCGCGAATAGCTGCTACCATCTCGATATCTGACTTGCGTACAGTCACTGATATTTGGTTGGTTCCAGATTTGGAGGGGTCCATAGCCCTTGTCATGTCCAGCMCTTCATCGACCAGGGTCATGAGGATCAAATATGATGCCAGTGCCTGCGAATATTGCGATGAAACAATGGCGTTCGACACGACCAGAAGGTCGCTCGCTGTGGGCTTTGCAAATGGGCAGCTTGTTCAAGTAACGAGTGAAGGCATCTGCAGAACGAGTACACCAAGCCGCAATTTCGAAGATACTGCGGACGAGACGTTTGGCTCGGGTATAAGTGCGGTTGTAGCGACGATTCTGACAGAGGCATCGATGATTTTGACCGTGGAGAGGAGAGGAGACGAACACCGCATCATCAGTCGATCAATCCCTTCCCCAGACTCTACAGATGGCAGTCAGCGCAGAATGATGGCTCATTTCGAGGGCAGCGCTACTTGTATCGCAGCATTGCCTATCGCGGATGGACTCTTGGTCGTTGTGTCCGACACAAGTGGTTCCATCACTGCGATGCTCTTCCACAACAGTAGGTCATCCCCTGTGATCTACAGTTTGTCACTATGCTCGATAACAGACCGATCTGCCGTGTGCGATTACTTGGTCATCCTTCGAGATGTTGTTTGCAATGACGACGTCGATAATCTCCTGCTGGTATGCGGTCTCAGGGACGGCAAGATTGTCAGTTTCGCTGTGGATCAACACTCGCAAACGCTCTTGGCTGATCACAAGRTTTTCGACCTGGGGTACAGCACTGTCAAATTGACGAAGCTACCAGCGAATCCCGCAACAGCCTGTGCAATGACTGGTGTCAGCACATACCTTTTGTACTGGGATGGAAAATCGTCATTATCGGTCGATAATGTCTGGCTGGCCGACATGAATGACCCCGACTTTGCACAGACATCGATCGTTACATGCGCCCAGTGTCCTTCAGCCATCTACCTCCAGTCTGACGACCTAGCTGACTCTCTCATGTTCGTCTCCGGAGACACTGCGATTGTGGCCAGCTTGGACAGTACAGCATCATCAGTAGCTCGACAAACTCCAGTAAGCGGCACGCCCAGTCGTTTGATCTTCGCCGAGACACTTCGATGTGTCGTTTGTTCTTCTGTGCGCGCAGAAGTGCGGTCGTTTCCATCATCCAGGGCACATGGTCCGCCCGAAGAGAGACGGCAGATTTGGCCAACATTGGACTTTATTCCGGGAAAAGCCGGCATTCCATCATTTACGCACGCTATGGACCCTGGTGAGCGTGTCTACGCCCTGCTGGAGCTTTCCATTTCCCGAAACAGTGATAGGAAACACACATGGATTCTCGTCGGAGGCGATTATGTCCGTACCAATGGCTCTCGACGAGGTCGAATCACATTCCTGCAGCCAGTCAGCAGAAATTGGGAAGTCACAAGTATCAACGAGCGGAAGCATACGACAAATTTCGACAGCACAGTCTACAGCATGGCACTATATGACTCCACCACATATGTTGCTTGCTCCGGTGAGAAGATATATCTATATCGGCTTCACGTCTCTGAGATGAAATGGGATCAACTGTGTGTGCCGTTCAAACTGGCCAGTCGCGGCGTTCAGGTTACCGTAGAGACGGATCACCGCGATCGAAAAGTCATCGTCGTATCCACTCAGCGAGATTCGCTTGTAACATTGAGTGTGGAGCCAATCGATGGAGGTCAACGCCTAGTTGCCGTTAGTATGGCTCCTCGCGGCCATGACTCGCTCAGCCATCTCGTGATTCCACGGCCGGATGCTGCCCAACTGTCTCTTCTGTCAACTCGAGATCGCCATCTCGTCGGTATGGTAGCGCCGGTGTTACCTGGGCATAGCGGTATGCAGTACTCGTCTGCTGAGATTGTCTTCGACGCAGAACTTCCGAGGTCCTTGACACGGCTCACCTGTTCGAACCTGGCCGCGCGCAAAGGGCTGCCGCCAAAAGGCGTGAGCTACAGATTCACGGCATGTGCCACAGATGGCACCTTATATGGTATCCTGATAATCGAGGAGGATCTCCACAAACGTCTGTTCTGGTTACAGCGGTTGATCGAATGGAGCGAGGAGCTGTCGCCTCACTCATGGATCGAGCCGCGCTACAGTACAGATGGCTCGGGAGGTTTTTATCACACTCAGCGAGAGGTGTCTGTTGGATTTGCAGGTGTTGCGACAAAGTTGCTCCACACGAGTACCGAGAGGGAAAACGACATGCACATTGATGCGGACGTTCTAWAGCGAGGTCTGGGGGCGAATGGCGAACAGGCGATCAGAAGGGTTCTCCGAGAGTATGCTCACGAAAATGATGCACTGGGCGCTTGGCTTAGAGTGCACATGGAGGAAGAGGTTGCTGCCATAAGGGGTACCCTGGCAATTGTAAAAAAGCTGGATGACTGGGCATAGACACGGCGTTAGGCAGTGAGTCACGGAAGCCAGGTCTTGAAAACAATTTTGCATGGAGGAATGAGGAGATGGGGAATCAAGATGATTTGAGCAATGCAGCTTTGCAAGCGGTTGGTGGATTGTAGATTGGCTGTGATGAGGAAGAGACTGAGAACCAACTCGAATCAGGCAGCGTCTGGCTCACTGTACACTGCGTTTTCTGCGGGTCGGCCATGACCGAATGCACAATTCTGATAGATGTTCTTCAGCTGTGCAAGGATAAAAGGATTGATGTAAAGTGAAGTGAAGAAATAAGGTACATATGTGCCAAGAATGTAGACTGCACCGCCACAGGGCAGCCACAGGGTCTTCCCAAAACATCCAATCTTTGTCCAAACGTTCACAATTTTCCCATCCAGTCAGATCGATAGAATTTTGCAAATGGCCGACACTTTGATCGCATATCTGCGTGCAAGTCTGCCCAACGAAGTGGCCGCCCTCGCGGACTCGTACTTGCAGAAGGTCGAAAATGGCGAATACGAACAGCTATTACAATGTGCTGAAGCACGGGAAATTCTTGGACACGAACATGACTCGAAATTGCAAGGCATCAAGACCGAAGATTTCGATGGTTGGAACGATTTCATCTTCCAGCGTCTAGGTGCTTTCCTCGCCGACCGATCGCAGCCGGAAAGACAAATCGCCGTGTTCTGCATCGGATACGCTGCCTTGCTCGCTTTCGTTCAGTCGAATGTTACGGGACCGCCGCTGAAGTTTGTGCCTGCAAGCCTTATCCTTCCAAAGGATGTATCCGAGAATGAGGAGCGCCTTCAAGCCGTCCGCCAAAAGATGCTTGCTGGATTCTCAATTGATGGAATCTCTGCTTATAAGTTGACTCCAAACATCGAGCTGCTGTGCTTGGCGGATGCGGTCATGACATGCCCTCCAATATTGAAGAACATCAGACCTGCGAGGTGGGCCAAGTTGAGAGTTTCCTTCATGCACCAGAGATTACTGTCCGAAGTGTCATCCACCGTGCAAGATTCAATCTACGACGATCTTCAGCTCTTGGAAGCGGATCTCGACGGCTTGAGTGAGAACCCTAAACAATTCAAAGCGGAATTCTTGCTAGAAAGGTCGACCATTCACATTCACCACGGCCTGGACAAGCTCGCGCGTGCCGACTTGGACGAGGCCAAGACACTGCTTCGCTTTGAATTTGCGCTGACTGGCTTGCTGGGAAAGCGTACAAAGTTTCAGCAATTCGAAACCAGCCAGCTTGTCGTGCTGGCAAAGAGTGCCTCCGATGGTGAGAGCTTGGAGACTGCCTCAAACGTCGAGAATGGTGCTCAAGGCGACACTGCCGCCACGAAACCCACAAAACTCGATCTCAACGATGACACTTTGCTGGAGTCGATATCGTTTTCCGAGAAAGCTGTGGATCAGTCATCGACCGATGTCATCTCAATGGACTCAATGCCGCCATCACTCAAAGAACTAGATCCCGCGAATCAGCCTCAACTACAGCCTCTCGATTCGGTCGTACTTTTGTTACTGGCCTCTTCCATTACCAACACATCGGCTCAAGACGGACTCACTAGGGAGGAGACTATCCCATACGCTACAAGAGTCCTTGAGGGCGGAAGCTCCAACTGGCAAGTATATACGCAAGCCCTGCTGGTTCGGAGCAGAATAGAAGGTCACAGATCCCGGACTGTTGAGCGTGGCCTGCTGCAGTTACAGGCCTTGGTGGACCAAGTCATCTCCGAAACCACCGCGGAGGGCTCTTCTGGAAAGGATACTGCGGCTTCGGAAGTTACAACATCGACATTCCTGGCCAGGAGCAAGGAATCCGAGAGCGCTCCTGTTACTGAACGTGTGAAATACGTCTTCCAACTCGCATCACCAACACGATGGGAGCTTGAGGCAGAATTGGCAGCACGATGGGTACAACTCGGCGGCCTTAGGTCTGCTCTCGAAATCTATGAGCGCTTGGAAATGTGGGCAGAGGCAGCCTTGTGTTGGGCGGCGACAGAACGCGAGGATAAAGCTCAGAGGATTGTCCGAAGGCAGCTCTTCCATGCTACAAACGGAGGTCCTGATGTTGCCGAGACTGKTCTCAGCGAAGATGAGGAGTGGCATGGACCTGCACGTCAACCGCCACCGGCCGATGCACCACGTCTCTACTGCATTCTTGGTGATATCGGTCCTTCGATCGAAATGTACGAGAAGGCCTGGGAAGTATCGAAGCAACGCTATGCCCGTGCTCAGCGTTCCATAGGCCGTTACTTCCTCGCGGCAAAGGATTTTTCAAAAGCGGCAGAGGCTTACGGCAAAAGCCTCAAGGTCAATCAGCTCAATCAAAGCAGCTGGTTCGCTCTTGGATGTGCTCTGCTCGAGTTGGAGCAATATCAAAAAGCCGTGGGAGCTTTCTCGCGGGTCGTTCAGCTCGACGATACTGACGCTGAAGCCTGGAGCAATCTTGCTGCTGCGTTGTTGAAAACCGACCCAGAAGATGCACCGCCTACGAAAACCACCGAGGCTAAGGTGAAGCTTGACGATGAAGAAGATGATGCGATAGAGACCGCTCAGACACCCGCTCAGCGCCACCTGGCGCTGCGCTACGACGCTCTTCAGGCTCTCAAAAGAGCCGCGACTCTTAAACACGAGTCGTACCGCATCTGGGAGAATGTCTTGATCGTAGCCGCCTSGCTGGCTCCACCAGATTATGTTTCCGTCCTTGCCGCCCAAAGACGCATCATTGACCTACGCGGCAAGACAGAGGGCGAGAAATGTATTGACGTTGAGATTCTGCAGATGCTGGTCTCCCATATCATCACCATGAACGATACGTACGACCCGTCACAGCATGGAATCACTCGCATGATCGTCAAGTTCATCGATGATACAGTCGTGCCGCTCATCACGGGCTYAGCGGCTTTGTGGCAGCTGGTGGGGAAGTTGGCGCTATGGCGAAACAAGCCGACCACTGCTCTCGATGCGGAAGAGAAGGCGTGGCGTGCGATTACAAGTCAGCCGGGGTGGGAAACAGAGAGCGAGAAGCRGTGGAATGAGGTCGTCGAGGCCACTGTTCGATTATCCGACTCGTATGAGAGTCTCGGACCGAAAGAGCGCACAGAAGGTATGGGAGCCGGAGAGGTCGTGATGAAGGATTGGAAATTCAAGGCTCGGAGCGCTATCAGAGGTATTATGGGTAGGGGGAAGGACAGTTGGGAGGATACTGATGGCTGGGAGAGGCTAAAGGATGTTATGGAAGGACTGAAAGGTTAAAGTCGAGACTTTGCTGAGATAGCTGTCGTTCTATCAAGCATCCTATTTCCACGCTCCCTGTCGCACTCGTTCACACAGCTTGACCAAAGCCTTGGCGGCGAGCTCGTAGTCTTCGAGAGTCAAGTACACAGCAGAGCTGATCCGGGTGTAGATCTTATCGTCGTGGAGGAGAAAGACCATGAACGTGTTATGCTCGTCCAGTAGCTGCTTCGTCATCCATCTAGAGCAGTGTATTAGCATGGACTGTAATCCACGAAGGTTGGAAGGATGACTTACTGTCCAATCTTTGCTGCATTTCCATAGTTTCCGCCAGCATCGTCTGAGTATGAAATTGGCAAGCGAACATTGACAAAGTTAGTACCGGCACTTAACGTCCCTTTTTCGTTTTCAAGAAGCTCAGTGCCCAGCGCAGAGGCTACCAGCTTTCCTCCTTCAGCCGACAGCTGGCAACAATAGTCCAATATGGCATCTTCGCCCGTCTTCTCCCCGTAGGTGATCTTGCTACGCCAAGCAATAGCTGCAGGAATACAGAAGTAGGGAGACCAGTCCACAGTTCCCACGAATTCAAAAGCATTCACGAACTCGCTCTTCGTGCTGGGTGGTAGCGGATTGTTGATTTTGCCTCCGGTCTTGGGGATGAATCCGTGGCTGGTAGGCAACGAAGAGCGGATGAGGTGCTGATGGCGGACAGGCACGTAGAATACTGCACAGCCTCGTGGGACAAGGAGCCATTTGTGAGCGTTGGAGACGAAGAAGTCTGGATCCAGCTTGCTGAGGTTCAGTGGGAGTTGACCTACTGAGTGAGCGCCGTCAACAAGACTCAAGACGTTGTTGCTGCGGCAGAGCTCCGTGAGGTGTTCGAAGGGCATCCGGACTCCCGGCATGGAGACGAGAGTGTCGAATATGGCAATCTTAGGGGTCTTTCCCTCGGACCTAATCTTTTTGAATGCGCTTTCGTACGCCTTGACGACATCATCGTCTGAGATTGGATAGTGAAATTCCACCTGGTGCGACTCCGCGGGCGTTGTTTCCACAATGTATTCCACAGTCTTATGGCACGCACCATAGATTGTACTGCAGTAGATGATGACATCTCCCGGGGAAAAGACCAAGTTTCGAAGCACAATATTGACGCCCGTTGTGGCATTGGGAATGAGAACAACAGTCTCAGTAGGAGCGTTGATGTGTTTTGATATCGCTTCTCGGGATTCGTCCATGTAGTTGGGTAGCTTGTAGCGAAGGAAATTGTCGGGCTCTTGTTCGCATTCGTCTTGGAAGCTGCGCATCACGCTCCTGACCTCCAATGGGTAGGTACCGAACGATCCTTCGAAGCATATGTTAGTGGCCGTGGTGCATTGGGATGCTCAGTCATATGGTCTCTCACCATGGTTCAAGTTTTTGTAACCACTGCTAAAGTTGAAGTGCTTTGCAGCGTCTGCGCCACAGGAAATTTCCTTGAAATTATCAATGTCACCGCGACGGCTCTTGACCAATTCCATTGTATTATTTCTCATCTTGTGTAGGGATTGAGGTGGAACGAAGAAGTGATGAATGTCAATGGCGAAAGCTGATGTGAGGTAGATGTTTATATGGCTCTCGCCTATTCCTGCGTCTTGGCAGTGACTCAAGTGTATTGCGGAAAGGCGTGTTGACTCATGAGAAGAATTCGTTATCGCCAACAACAATCATGTACTGGCGTTAGAGTATTGCCAAGAATAGGAGCATGAAAAGGTTGAACCATCTTCAACCAGACACTCGACTTTCGGACTGCGGCCCATGCATGCCTTGCAGCGAAGTATGGAGACCAGAGCACCGCGCTCCCATCCAATTTAGTGAGATGGCTCCGGTTAAGCGGCCGTTTCTATCATGTGCGGGCGGGATCAAGTCCCCAGCCGGCGCTTTATACATGTTCGTCACCGACATGCCTGTCAAGCGCGATTCTTGGGCCACTTTGTTCCAGATGAATTGCAGTACTTCTCCCTCCTCAGTGATCTGCGCGAACCCCAGTGGTGCTCGACTGCGGTACAGACCAGCTATCACCCCGGGCGTGGCGGGATCGCGCGTGATGAGCATGAGCATGACGTCCGCTCCCTTCCAGCCGGGAGGCGCACCGGCGTACGCTCCTTCCAGTTCTCGCACATATGAAGGGCGAGGCTTGGAAGCCTTGCACTGAATCAGCACGCGAAGCTCGCAAGGTTCTTCCGGAAGAGTCCACGCGCCGATCAGATCAATGCCGAGATCGTTGGAGCGGCCCATCCTTCGCAGGCTGAAGTTATACCGTTGTTGAAGTGCCTCTGCGACGACGTATTCATAGAGAGTGCCTCTGTAGACACTAGTGTCCTTGTTCAATTCTGCTCTTCCGGCGTATTCAAGGAAGGATTTCAGGTCGTGGTGATTAGGCCGCAGTGGTAAAGGTCGCTGCTTGAGGCTTTTGGTCCGTTTCGCAGGGGATGTCTTCGCAGCCACTCTCTTTGCTCTATCATTCTTAGAGACGATCGTTGTGGCTGTTTCTTTGCTGCTCTGCCCATCTTTCCGTGGCGGCTTCCCAGACCCCGTGGACGGTACATCTACCACTTTTATAGCTTTCCTTGGACGCCCGGGTCCTCGCTTTATCAGCAGCTCGCCGGGTGCAGCATTGGCAGCATCTTCTTCTCGTTGTCCCGTCGACTCGTCCGCGATTGTGATGGGGGTCTTCCGCGGTCGACCTCGTGGTTTTGGTGCTCCGGCGGCGGTGGTGGAGAGCAGGCGGGAGAGAGCCCGACTTACGCTCTGCCGGAAGACGACATGTCTGCAGAGCATGAGCCTCTAGCTCATCCCCTCCAATGGCAGAGCAGGCGAGCAGTGGGGGAGGAAACGAGGATGGAGATGTCGCGTCGTTCTCGCGTCTTGCAATGCACTTTTGAAATGCCGAACAGATTCCCGAAAGCCGACCACACCTGAAGATTTGTGTTGTCTCTGGATCTACTGTGAGCGAACAGGTACCGGTCATGGTACGACGACTTCTTATCCTCGAGCCTCCTATGTCTCAATGATTCCGCATTAGCCCCGTCCAATCGTTGTCAGCGGTAGGGTGTGCAGCTTCCTTTATCCGGTCGCTTCGACATCGTGCATTCATCACCATCACCTCAAACGAAACTTGGAAGGACCTCCTCGAGCTTCGCATGCATACCCATGGCTGCATGCGGTATGCCTTCGAGCTTGGGATGCGTGTGAGTTGAAGTGCCCAACAACGACGATTCCAAGACCTCGGGAGGGTTTTGCAAAAGATAGGACGCAAAAGCCGCCAAGATTAGCTGGCCTCTGCCCCTGTATTGACGCTTCTGAAACGGCGGAATTGAATGGTTGGCAAGGACCCAGGGGTCTATACCGCATTTTTCACCTCACTGGGAAACGTACAAAGAACAGAGGAACCCGATCATGATGGGAGCTGGCTGCTCTGTATCGCCCACAGGCATATACCTTCTCGAGGTACTTTAAAGCCTACCGTCGATAGAAGCTTTGAGAACATACCTTGAGCACCGAAACTCTCCAGGAGGAACTTCTTCTTCGGTTGGATCGAAGTTTCGGTGCCGTTCGCCAACAAAGCGCCATTGCAGCGCCCACAACCAGCGGGCGGATTCGATCACTGAATCGATTGGTCTGGAAGCTCTCCCGTTATTCTATCTGTAGTGACATGCGAGATCTGTCTATCCAAATCTCGAACCTACGAGCGGAACTAGGTGAGACTATAATGCGGCTACACTCCACTTGGTTGATCACAAACAGCACTTCTGTCGCAGCAAGATTGACCTAATGCAGAGCACTGCCGACGATATCCCGCGACACATTCGTTTGCGGATAACAACGACTCTGAAATCCCAGCATGACGGTGTCGCCATAGGAGAACCTTCAGTATGGATCCCGAGATTCAAGACGATCGACTCACGCCGGTCCCTGAGCAAACTCTTACCTGTCGACCTGAAGCGCTACGTTGAGCACTACTCTGCGAAGGATGCAGCAATGTCGAAGCATCTCGCCGATGGTAGTCTTATCACCCTGTCTTGTACTCTGTATGCGCCTGGAGATGTGGTTATCCCGCTCGACAAAGATCCACGGGTAGATGTCCTTGGCGACTTAACGCAGGACCGCCATCCTGAGGAGACTGTCACGATTGCAGCCCACCTCACACTCAGTCTAGAGACTCGTTCGAAGACCAAAACGCTGAGAACCGATACGATTGAACGAGTCCACGCCAATTCATATCTCCCAACAGAAGAGCAGCAAGAGTGGTTCCGTATCGGCAACGTTTTGATTTTCGAAGAGGATGGCAAAACTCAGGTGATCAAACGAGCAGCTAGACAACACTCTGAATGTGTCGCCTACGCACAACCGCTTCTTGCATGCCTAGACCCTCAGACTGGAAAATTCCAGATGAGCAGCATGCACGCTTATGACTTCATCGACTTCGTTGTTGGCGATCCGAAAGACCGCAAGATGCGAAACAGTCCAGGGTCCAACAGCCACTTTCTAGGCACATTTGCACATGTCGTATGGACCCAACGAGATTGGAGGAGCAGGTTTTCGGAGAGCTTCTCGGAGTATCTCGCGCAGAGAGAAGAGGGMGATACGATGAGCAGTGGAGTGCCCTTTCTGCCGACTTTCTGTTACAATACCTTCCATGCGGAAGATTCGGAGCGGCGGAAGAAGTGGCCGGAAAATGGTATTGACTTTGCAGTGAGATGTGTGAATCACTATGCTGACACCAGCGACTTGAAATTCGTTGAGTTCCCGAGAGACATCAGACTGAGCATTTGGGCACATGAGACAATGGAGACTCTGTGTGAAGATGTGGCGGAAAGTATCAATGTCGCAGGATTATTCGATGAAGTGGAGGTCAACTCCAAGAAATTGTTCGATCGCAAACACCAAGGCAAGTGGGTAATGGAATTCTGGGTGATGCCGCAAAGACAGAAGAAGATGTACCGATACACACAGGGAAAGTTGAATCAGTTCTTGGACTACACCTCGGACTTCACACGGTCCATGGACAAGAGGCTTTATTGTGAGGCACACATCGTTGCCAAAGAAGAATAAGTCGCTGTTCGCAATACCGAGCATCTGTCGAATCATCTCAAAATCACCGCACGGTCTAACTTTGGCGATCACCAAGGTGGACACTATTTCCATGCCCTTCACTTTCTGAGGACCAAGCTTCGTGTCCCGCCCTTCACGTAGCGAGGCCTGCCGAAGAAGCGCGGCATAGCAATGTACTTTGACCTTGAACGCAAACGCGTGGACGCTGCAAGCATTGACCTTGTCCTAGTAGATCTTCGGTCGTCGACTCAGCGCGGAAGAACTTGCGGGCAAGAAGCATGCTCTCTCCGGGACCACCGTCACTTGCATGCTTGGAATTGTACTCGGTGCCTGGGCTCGGAGCACCAATCAATCAAGAGATCGTCTCGGGCACGCCATTAAGACGCCCCACATCTTCCCATATCGCTAAATCGTTCGCATGGATCAGACTCCATCGACAACTATGACTTCGCAGATTTGTCGTCTTCTTGACCCTTCATGAGCTTGCGGATCTTGGTAACCTGCCGCAGGAATGTCAGTTGTGCATATTAATATCGCCGTGAACAGACCAACCATCTCGTCAATTTCGTACGGCTTGGAGATCACATCATCCATTCCACTGGTGATCATCTCATCTTGCTGCTCACCCCTCACGTTCGCGGTGACGCCGATGATTGGCGCTCGCGGGAGCTGGCCGCGGAGCTCCATCTCTCGAATCTCTCGTGTCGCTGAATTACCATCTAGGATAGGCATCTCCTTGTCCATTAGAATTGTATCAAAAGCACGGTTGTCGTCGTGACTCTCGTGTGCGTCCTGCACTTTCGAGACGGCTTCTTGCCCGTCGTTCGCTGTCGTCACTTTGAAGCCTTTCTTCTCCAACTTCCGAGAGAGAAGCCGCTGGTTGATTTTGTTGTCTTCTACAAGTAGCACGTGCTGGGGACGTGATACTGCCGTCCCGCCTGGCTTGACCTGGTCGGAGCCTCCATTCTGGAAGTCGCTAGTTGTCGAATTTGCGCTTCCGGATTGTGTTTGTTCCACAGCACTATCTCCATTTTCCTTGGCGCTCATAAAGGACCMTCGCACCTCAGGAATGTCAAAGAACGATGCGCGCTCCTTTGAGGGGGTAGATGTCCATTCCTGTAGGCAAAGTGCAGAAGTCAGCATAAGCTCTGGACCTCTGAGCCCGGAGAAAGTTCCGAAGCATGCTTACGAATGGTTCTGTCCCAATTTCTGGAACCGTTGTGGCCTGGTCTATACCGTCTTGGACGCTCTCACGCAGCCTCGCCTCAGTGTCAATGTCCTGCCGTGCTGTACCCTCACCATTCTCGTTGTCTTGAAATCGTCTAACTTTGAAGAAGAATCCAAACGTACTGCCCTCTCCTTCAACTGATGAAACACCAATCTCCCCACCGTGCAGCTGGCAAATTTTTCGCGAGATGTTGAGGCCGAGGCCACTGCCGCCATAGTCGACGCCAGTCTTCGGGGTTGCTTGTCGAAATCGTTCGAACAATCGTTGCTGATTGCTTTTGGAAATCCCTAAATATTTGATAACTATAAGAACATATTCCTGAAATGATTGCGAGGGAGACGTTACCTATTCCGGAGTCCTTGACGGCTACCATGATGTATAATGCATCGCCTTCGCCCCAATCCCTGTTGTTTGTGGCGTCCATTTTCGAGAGATTCTCCGATCTGAAGAACACTATATCTGGAGGGTAGGACTCTGGTCGAGTCTGGCGGAATGGTAAGTATGACATTGCTGCAAGCCCGTGCGGTGGGTACTGACCTCCCTTGCCGAAACAGCACAGGATATGAGCTTCTCACCATTGCCACGCTGGGTGAACTTGATTGCATTCCTGGACGGACCTGTAAGTCAAGTGTGTCTTCAGGAAGGTAATAAGCTCGAAACATACGTCTAGATTAACGTGTTAGCCTTGAGCTTGCCACAAAAGGTGGCACAGACAGTTTCGACCCCAAAAGCTCCGTAAATAGCCTGGAGGAGCAAAGTGTGTTGGCATAGAGTCTACGCACCATAAGATTGATCAGCACCTGCCCGATCCGTGGCATATCGGCCAGTACGCTACCAACAGGTATAGCGTCGTACCCCGGCTCTACATGGAAACTAAATTGCAGCTTCTGTTTCCGAAATTCATGCTGGAACTGCAAGTCATTTCTGTCAGTGATGAACAAGAACTAGTGGAGGGTGCGCTAGCTCACCATCTTCAGTGTCGTGTCTAAAGCCTTTGAAGGCTCGCAGATTGCCGGTCTCAGTGAAAGTAAAGAGGCGTCCAGCTTACTGAACGACAGCACATCATCGACAATGTTGCGCTGATGCTTTACGCAGAGATTGATCGTTGCGAGTGCCTCGCGAATCATACCAACGTCGACGTCTTTTGTAGCACTGCCGTTTTCTCCGATTGCCTCACCGATGTCTTCAGCGCAATGTACTACTGCGGAGAGGGGGTTTCTTATCTCGTGACTAGACCGAGAAAGTGATCAGCTTCGAGATTCTTGCCGATGTCGACTACTAAACAGGCCCTAATGCTGAAATGGTGGATGTTTGTTTTGTTGGAAAGGTGATGACCCTGACTTACGATATCATGTCGATGAAACGCTCCTGCTGCTCCTTACGTTCATGAGCCTGCTGCGCTGCTTTCCTCTCAGTCAATTCTGCATGCTTTTCGGAACTGATGTCGATGATACTGCAGATAAAGCCACCGCGATCGCGTGTGCTGAGCTGATAGGGTTGTTCATCCCCTAGCGGAGTCAGCAGCAAGAGTCGCCAGGGTTGAGGGTCGTCCCTCGCTCTGAACTCGATCCTGAGCTCTTTTTGTGAGGAGAACGCTTCGTGGTAAGCACCCATGACTCTGTCATAATCGTCCGGATGGATGCTCTGTGGCCAGGAAGTGAATTGCTCATCGTCTTGAAGAGTCGTCAGGTCCCAAAACTTTTGGTTTACAAAAACGGCCTTGGCATTCCGGTCGAGTATGGCCAATCCTGATGGTAATAGCTCGGAGAAGCGCCGAAAGAATGGGTGCTCGTTGAGCGGGATGTTGTCATTCGGTCTATCGCTCTCCTTGGGGTGCTCGTTCGCATCCGAGTCTGTGTTTGGGTTGGAGCCGGAGTCTAATTGATGTGGTCGAACGAGATGCACCAGCACGCCCCCTGCACGAAGAGGACTGAGTGTTACATTGTTTACATCGCGACACCCAGAAGCAAGTTCGTCGAAAACGTCACCGTTTCGATGCTGCTGGGAAACTTTGCTTCGTGTTGCACTTTGCAGCGCCTCTCGCAGCGACTTGGAGAGGACATGTCGCTGTGGTTGACCCTGCTCCCGGATGATTGACTGTGCTTCTCCCCAAGACGAGTTCCGGAGTAGGATGTGGTCTTCGCCCCAGAAGATCGCGGCAGGATCAGGCAAATCACATGCGGTCAGAAAGTAGGCCCGCAAGGACTCTGGCCATGTTGTGAGTGGTCCCAAGGGCGAACGTTGCCAGATGGAGTCCTGGTCTGCATGGCTTGGGAACGGCGCATCGTCCCTCATGTTTGCGCCTTGGGTGGTGCGCAGCGATGTCGATCTTTTTGTTTAAACCATGCACGCCGATGGCGTGGGCCGCAAGGCCTGGCCTGGCCCCGGTAGAATTATTGATCCGCGGCAGGGAAAGTGATGTCGTCGTATGTCGTCTTGATGACACGCATGCGTAGTCAGCAGGCGCATCACGCTTGCCTAGTCAGCAGACATCTTTCGGTCCAGGACCTTGCTTGGAACTACATCCTTCCGTCTTTCACTCATCACATGGCTTCATTATCAGCCATCATGGGATACGGCAACATCCGGGTCGCGGGACTGGAAACATGCGCGCAAGATGCTGTCAAAATCCATGCTTTGAAGCATGGTTTGCGAGCCGTTACTCATCATAATAGGTAATAGAGATTCGTGCCGAACGGCCTCCGTCTCTGTATGCCTTGTTCTCAGACAAACATCCTGAGCAGTGACACGTCTGCTACCACATCATACCCCGGCCAGCCGCGATGTCATGCGAGCGGTACTCCGAGTACGTCTGCCGCTCTTTCTCTCGACACATCCATCTCCAGAAGCCATCCCAGGCCGACAATCGTGTCAATGAGCGCCTTGTTGGCAACTTCCAGCCCTCGCATCATTGGCCAATGCGCGTGTGGGCATCCCGGATACAGATCTAGCTTGGTCTGCACACCAGCAGTCCGCAACATTTCATCATAAATGAGACCCTCATCTCTCAGCAGGTCCATCCCGTCTACTTGAAAATACGTCCTACAGGCCATGTCAGAACGCGTGATGCCCTGTGAGGAAATGGAGGACTTGCCTTGGCTGTTCAGAAATATCCGTCTTTGAAAGGGCAGCAGATTTGAGTTCCGATGTACTGTCCCATCTGAATCAAGGGCTTGATGTCAGCGTGTTTCTTGAACTTCGCCAGTTCGAAAGTTTGACATACTCGACAGCATCACGCATTACATCCGTAACTGCGCGAGAAAGCATGGGTGTATTGGCATTCTGTTGGTGCGAGATCAAGAAATTTCTGTACTCCACAGGGCAACTATTGATGTCCATGACAGATGGTACAGCGAGCCACTGCCCTATCAAGAACGGCAACAGGATCAGCCCAGGTTCCAACATCGAGACGGTAAGCTCTTCAACGTACCTGTCAGCTCATGAGCCAGTTTATCCACTTGGAATTGTCGAGACAGTGCTGCCGTGATGGCGGCACCCGCAGAGACACCGCCCAGTATGAAGCCTTTGGTAGGATCCGCTGCAAGCACATCTGTGGTCGCGTTTTCTGCTATCCACTTCACGCTGTCCCAAGCATCAAGCTGCTGGGTCGGGAATTTGGCCTCCGGTGCCACGCGATAGCTGATGTTTACCACAGTGGCGCCAAATAGTTGAACTGAGATTCTCGCTGTCTCTGTCAACTGGTCGTGGTCCCCTGCGACGAATCCGCCGCCGAAGCATAACACTACAAGAGGCCCGGGAGGACCGCATCTAGGCTTGAAAACTTTTAGGGTGCTCGAGGTTCCATCCCTCATTTCTATGTTGTGATAGAATTCCAGCATGTCCGGTGGCGCTGGACCTAGCCTGGCAAGCGACATCTCCGTATTGCTGCGAAGAAAGGCACGATACACATGGACGTCAAACTTTCTTTGTGGTTGTGGATATCTCTGATAGAACTGCAACAACCAATTAGCCGGCAGATCGAGGTCACGTTAACATCCGTGCGGGTTCCATCTGAAAACAACAGCGACTCCTCTTTCGAAGATCAACATACCTCTGCGACTTGTGGATGCATTTGCGCCGTCTTGTTCAGCTCTTCGATAGTCAGCAACATGTTGAAGTCCGATTTCGTTATTGGTAGTTTTGGCAGATATATCAAGCAGTCTATCAACATGGAATCAAAAGAGCGCACTCTAATGTACTTGAGTTGTCCTCACCATCGGCATCTCTGCTCACACCTACAAGTTTGTCTCCAAGGTAATGTAACGACCATCAAGGATGCTCTTTGCAAACTCCCTTTTGGGAAGACGCATCATGCTGTAGCAAGGCATACGAACCATACGAAGCGGCTTTGCGATTTCCGCATTGGGAAGTCGTCAAGTGATTGGCCCGCAGCAGCCCGCGCCGCTAAGGAACCGCATTTTGAGAAGAGCACAACAGTGCCGATTCACATCAAGCAGGCGACTATGACAGCCAGTCCAGAACCGTCTTCTTCTCCGGAAACAAATCACAAATCTACAATCCTCATTTCCAACGACTCGCTTCGAAGCGCTTGGGTGACAACCCTGGTGGCCAACATGCAGAAGCATCGGACTTCACGCTCCTGCTTCCTGCTTCTAAGTAATACATGATGACGCTCCTGCAGATCATTCTTATCAAGGCATACCCGGGGTACTGAATATGAGGAGTTTGAGAGAGTGTTCAAGACTGATGAATTTCAAGATCACTAGTTTCAGCCATCAGACCAGCCACGAGACCGGTCAAGCAATCGACCGAGTATCTCTCTGCCGGTCGGTACTCAGCATTGCCCGCGTCCATCACAAGCCCGCAGCCAAAATAGGTCGCATTGCATCAAGAACCAGCCCAGAAGTTGGCGTAATGATCCTTGTCTTGTACATGATCACCACGGCATGAACAAGCCCGTCATTCCCTGTCATCACCTCCGCTACTGTCTTCGTGCAGTCTGGTTTGTTGTCCAAGGAGACAAGCACACCGCCTATCATGATCGCGCTAGTTAACATGACGTTGCTCTCGTGGTCGTGGAGGTAGTGTGACATGAAACACTGGTCTTGAGAGGCGCTTCACAGAATCTCCGAGCGGAAGCGGTCTGGAAGTTTGACAACAGACATATTGGCATCAATGTAGAGTTGGGTCGGGTTCCAGGCATATGGGGAGCACATTGCCCAAAGTTTTTGTCCTTGGATCGTAGTGCCCACTCTCATTGAATGAGAGCTCTATCCTGGTCTGCTGGGGCGTGCTCTTGACAACAGTGCCTGGCTCTCCCGGCTCAACTGCCGCCGCGACCTGTCCACTCTCCATTTGGAGATGCAGCATCACGCCCTTACTACGTCGCTGCGTAGCATGTTGCACGGCATCGTCGAAAAGCGCTACTAACGGCCTCTGCGTGCTGCAAACTTCTCCCATCAGGTGGTAGCTGATACTTTGCACGCCTGAGTCCAGATATCCCATGTGCCGGAGAATATCATGCTCCACTGTTTCAACACTGGGCCAGTCATTTAAATCGAGCGCGTAGATGAGCGGGTTTCCCAGTGAGTTCCGGGACACGTATTCTGTGTCTGGGCAGCGTTTGAATACGCAAGTTCGCTGCGCTCGGTGAAGTTCGGGTGCCATGACAAACTCCCTTTTGAGCGAGGTGCTGGTTTGTGGCGTACTGATGTGTGTCCTGCTGATGTCTGTCGCAAGTAGTGAGGCGAGTTGCTTTGTGGGTAGTGTCAAGTAGTTGCTGCGGCAATTGAGTTCACGGTCTCAAAATGGATGCCTCGCTTCACATGGACAGTTTAGTTCATCCATATAATCATGCGCACCTATCTCGGTCGAGCTCATTCTACGAATCAAAAGTGAGTGAAACCATCAGCCATGCCAGACATGCGAAGGAAAAGAGCTCGTATGCCAAGAGTCACATGCAGAAATGCCTCGCAGTCGATCTCGCGGCAGGAGAATGCGGTCCTTGCTTCCAACCTTGGCCACTGCGATGAAAGTATACCCATGGTATCCATCGCTCTGCCGCAAAGAAGAACTCTTAGCAAGACTTGAGATATACACATGATGAAGGATACAGTTGTAGGTGACTTTGTAGCTGGCGGGCTCTTCGCGTTACGTACTACAGCTTGTCAGCCTAAAATAACGAGGGTGACGAAGATGCAGCTTCCTCTCTACTCTCATCAAGTCTTGCTCCATCCCGGTCTGAYAAACCAAGTCGACTGTGCCATGCTCGTCCAAAATATTTCATCATCGTGACCACCCAACCACACCTCTGCCCAACTTGCTCGCCACCCACAAGAGGCTGCTCCTCGACGTGTTCTGTCGTTTCCTGGGCTGGGTATCGCTCCAGCACCTCGATCAGGAGTTCCGTAGCAGGCCGCGTATACTGCGATGAGAAGTAAACCTCATGCATCTTGCAAACTTTGCTCGTTGGGCGAGTCTTGTAGCATGGTGGTGGTATTGATTCGGCAATCGCATCGGATTTGGGTTCGGGATCAGGGTCTCCGCGAGGATAAAGGGCAAGCTCGCGACGAACTGCTGCTGAAGATGACTCTTCCTGCGGATCCATCGTAGAAGCGAGGAAATGGGCGATTCCAGCGATGTTGCGAGATGAATGCTAGTCAACGATGGAACCAATGGATGTCTTTGGGCTTATGGTCCGTAAGATCAAGCTGTCGCAAGAAACGCTTCTGGCTAAGACAACGAGTATTGCCTTCGACAACCGCGAACTTGTGCTGACCAGAAGGGGCGAGGAGCGGAGTTCCGACGAACGCTGTTTCCAGCAGATGTGTATTCTCAAGCTCCAGCAGGAAAGTGGCGCTAATATTGTTGAAGCTACTTCCGCGTGCTCAAGACATCAATTGCGCCTGTCACGTTCCCCGTCAATGCCAACTGATAGCGTGGTTGCATCGTGTGATCTAGGCGCCCTCGAATTCTTGCTTCATCACGCATGACTGCAGCTGGTATCCTCGCCCTCGTAAAGGCGCCCGGAGCATGTCCACATCAACTGACCAACATGATTTATATCCCATGGACATCGTCCATAAGTTCCATACAAGATTTGAAACTTCGTGGTCCCAAGAAACGGTCTTGAAGGCTGCGGTTTATTCCATGCCCGTGGTCGTTGGTGCAATGCTACTTCGGTCCGGGTTTCCATGGGGAGTGCAAAAACGGATCGCTGATAAATCCGACAAGCATTTGGAGAATGCAGAAATGCCATCGCCGAGACAGAATCCAGCGGCCCGGAAAATATGGTTGGGACTCAAAACTCGGCGATGACCACTTCGCTCCCATCCTTCAAGGCACCCTCTTCACCCGACCAATAATCTCTCCCAGCATATCAACCATCTTCTCACGCTCAGTCTCCTTCTTCGCCCGCTGTTCCTCAATCTCCCGCATCTCGACCTCAAGCTCCCGCATCCTCCGCTCTTGATCAGCCTCGCTCGAACCAATACCCGGTAGCTGGTTCACAATAATCTCGATTTGTTGCTCCTGCAGAACCACATCCTGTGCCATTTCGCGCAGAGCAGCATTGAAGACCCGTTGCTCCTCGGGAGTGGGCGCGCCTGCTTCGTGACTGCCAGTCTGACCCTCGCCTTGCTGTGCGTCGCCGTTCGCGGTGCCGTTTTCCTGCCCGGAGGGGTGTGGGGCTTGTGAGGGTTGGCCGGGGATTTCACCGTAGGGGTGACGGGTATGTACGTAGTTCAGCGATGCAAACATTAGGGTGTTGAGCTGCCGGGGCGGTTAGTGTGGGCAAATGACATGTGTACGGTTGCGGAGAGCACGCACAACATCGATGCAGTCTTGCAGCTGGGTGAGGCGGTCGGCCATGACTGCGTTGTGTGGATGTATGTATATGTCCAGGTTTGATCGTTCTTCAGCGGTAGTCGTTCTCGGTGGAGAGGACCTTGATGCCGCACCGTCACCGTCACATGCTTGTGTGGAGTGAATGTTGAATGTTTGGATGACCTGAGCATGAAGTCAACTGGAGAAGTGCGGCCAATTTCCGCGCTTGACATTTTTCAGCCAATGCTGTAGATGTAGGTAGTCTACCAGCCTAACAACACATGAATACAGGAACAAAGAGCTGTGAAACGCTGATAAAAAGAGATTGTGCGTGGCGCAATCTTTGATACAATCCCCAGCTATGGAACACATGTCCCAAATATCTATCTTTTCCTTCGTTTCCCGCCTCCAGCACCCCCTGCGGCCCCCTCCTCTCCCCAGCCTTTCCTCTTCCTGCCCTCCTTCTTCCAGAACTCGTCGCGCTCCTTCTTCTCCCTCTCACTCCTCTTCTCCAAATTCTCGGCAACCTTTGCTCTGTACGGCTGTCTTCTCTCCTCCTGCTTGGCTCTCCTCTTCTCAACCTTCTCCTTCCTCAGCGCTCCAATCTGCTGCATCAGTCTCCTGGCGACCTTCTCCTCTCCACCGACCACGACTGCGCGCTTCACTACATAGCCCTCCTTCTTCACAGGCGCCATGCGTGTAATCTGGCTCTTGAAAGGAAGATCAGCCTGTAGCTTCCTCGGCACCCGTAGAGGGTTAAAGTGCCGCTCCTGGCGCTCGATAGGTCGGTAAGCAGAGTTCTTGTCCTTGGGCGTGGGAATGTTCTGAGCTGCACGAACGACTCCTGTGAGCCTCATGCCCTCCCAGCTGTTGTCCGCGCCGTCATTGTCCTCCTTCTTTCGATCAAGGAGTTCGGTGACGGGATTGTAGAATCTGTGGGGTCGGATAGGGTACCACGCTCGCAAGAAGACGATGTCAGACATCAGTACCTTGTCTTCAAAAGTCGCACGAAAGCAGCCCTCGGGTTTCGATAGAGCTTTCTTGATCTGTCCCCTCACACCACTGACGGTCTTGATGCTCGCACCTTCAAACTTGGCGATCTCAAGTGCGGAGCCGAACATGTCTTTGATGAAGGCTGTGTTCTTGAAGATCTTGTATGGGTGTCCCGTGAGTTTGAGTTTCTTGACTATCTCCACGCTTTCGTCCACGTTTAGCACAACGCCAGTAGCGGCGATACGGAATCCCGGGTTCTTGTTGCTGAAGCTTTGAACACAACAGAATCCTGTATTGGGCGCCGCCAAAGGTCCATAAAATGTTCCGAAACAATGCATGTGCTCTGGGGTGTATTTGAGCATACGATTCCGGATTCGGGAGTCCGATATCGAATATACGGGAGTTGTTTGGAACCTCCGCCAGCCTAGAGAGAAGATCAAGGGGTCGTTGGTCTTGAGAATCTTCTTATGCCAGCGATGGCGCTTGATGCGCACTTGGACAAAGCCCATGCGCTCCTCCGTAGGTTGGAGACCACCGATAAGAAGTGGGTACCGGGCGTCGAAATTGGCCGTGAACTCATATGGAACGGAGGTCAATATGAGTCGCGCGTAGGTGCCTGCACGGTAACCTTCTGCTCGCACACGCGAGGCCTCGTCTAGAGCTTCAAACTCTTTTCGATTGATTTCTTGTTGCTTTGCGAGGAGCGCTTTCTGGGAGTCGTACCATTCGTCTTCGCCGTACTCCTTCTCGGCTGCTTGACCGTCAGCGTCCCGATTCGTGTTCTTCGGATTGAGGAAGCCTTCGCGGTCTTCTTCTTCGAAGCGCTGTTTGAGTTCTTCTTTCTTGCGAGCGTTCTTCTCGCGCTCTGATTCGATGGTTGCCTCTCCTTCATCCTCGTTCTCCTCGGCCTCGAGATCCTCAAAGTCACCATCGCCCTCGGACTCATCATCGTCCAGACCTTCAAACTCATCATCACCTGATCCGGTGTCTTCGGCGTTGGCTCCTGATCCTCGAGTGTTGGCGAAGCGTTTGCGAAGGTCCTGCATATTTTCCTCGTCGGTCCACTTCTGTTGTAACTCCTCGTAGTCGTATGTGGGGATTAGGCGATCCTCCTCTAGTTCATCGACATTAGGAACTCTTCGCTTGAAGAATTCTTCCTCGTCCTCTCCATCTTGCTCAGCTTCTTCGTCATCCTCGCCTCGCCACTTCTTCACGATCTCGGCTGTTGACAACATCTCATCATACATCATTTTGGCCAGTTCCGCAATCCGGTAAGGCTGTTGCTTTCCATGCAACGCTAGAGCCCGTTCTGCAAGATTGCTCTTCCAGCGGGAATCACCGTCTTCGTCTTCGTCTTCCTCCTCGTCTTCCTCCTCGTCTTCCAAWTCGGAATCGTCTTCCAGTTCCTGATCAGACACAGAGGACAGAGACCCGAGATCGCTATCTGAGTCGGCGAATTCCACGTCCCCCTCAACTTCTTTATCCTTTTCCTTGCCCTTTCGGGACTTCGACAGCTTCTCCGGCTCCTGCTGCAAAGCTTCCAAATCTGCCTCATCATCCGTATCGCCACTGACAAAGCCTTCGTCCTCTTCTTCCCCTTCATCATCATCATCCCTTACAATTGCTGTCGGCTTTCGGGCACTTCTCCTTCCAGTATCCTCGGCATCACCGTCGTCCAGCTGCTTCAGACGTTCACCTCGGTTGAAGAGCGATATACCTTGGTCATCCTCTCCTAGCAACCTTCGCTCGTCCTGTAGCCCCACAACCATTTGCTCGCCGAGACCGCGCTCCTCCCTCTCCTCATCATCCTCGTCATCCCGATCGAAGGTGTTGCTCTTGATGTCGATGTAGACCGCATCTTTGTCTACCAGGACGCCACCCACATCGCTCATGGGTGCATAAATGAGCTTCTGCTTCTCGCCTAGTCTCCGCCTCTTCTTCGAGCCCTCCGCCTTCTCCTGATTTTGCAAGAACTGAGGCGTTGGGCACGGATCTGGTAGAGATTCCACCCTATCCACCGTCAAATCACCAATGCCAGGAATGTGTACCCGAGCGTCGTTGGAGGGGAAATTGGTGCCGCGGAGATATCCATACAACGCTACAGTACGGTCGCACTTGGGATCAGCCTCAATCTCAGTCGGCGGGGTAATGTCCAGCATGCGATCAGCCAGAGCGTAGGGATGGGAATTACGCCAGACCAGTGGGCGCGGGTTCTTCATGACACTCAAGAAGCGCGACAAGTTTAGAACCTCGCGATCAGGATATCGGCCGTTGATCACACCCGACAGGTAGAAGAGCTTCGCACCCTGGTACAACTCGGACCAAAAGCGATGCTTGAGGCGTTTCTTCTGTGCCTTGAGCGTATCCTGCTTGCGGAATAGATCAAGATGGGTGAGAATGCCGAAGACATTGCCAGGCATACCGGTACTGGACAATACGTTTAGGAACTCCATGGTCTCCATCTCGAACCCATAATTTCCGTCGATCATCAGCAGCACAATATCCACAACTTTGGCCATGTCGATTGCAGAAGCCAGACTGTCGCTAGGGCCTTCGATAAAGGTCAACCGACGCTTCTTGCTGGTAACGATGGTAATGGGACCTGCGGGTTGTGTCACGGCCGTCTTGGTATATCGGCGAATCAAGCTCTTGATCAACGTCGTCTTTCCCACGCCGGGCGGTCCCACAACTCCGACGACCAAGGGAGGTGCCTCCTCTGGCAATCGATCGACCAAGGGAACGTGAAGTCGCTTCTCTTTGACATCGTGCGAGCGGGCGGCCTGCTTGGCGAGTCGGCCGGGAGCGGCGAATGCGAATGCTTTTGGGTTGGGTTGTGATGTATCGTGCTTCTTCTTCTCTTTTGTGGCGCGATGCACCTTGTGCGCCTGTTCATCACCCGCCATGTTGGGTGGCGTATAGTCGGGACGTAAAGGCAGTCTCGATTCTTCGCCAAAAAATTATTGGAAGTCAAAGCTCGACAGATGCTGCTAGCGAAACTCTATCTTATCTTATCTCATCTGATCTGATCCTGAGCCCTCGGGTTAGAAACTAGAAGTTAAGCCGAAGATGACGTGCAATCCATCGTGGGATAGCACGTTACCAGCAAGACGACAAAACCGGCTTCTCCATTTTCTCAGCTCGCTGCCTAAACATCAAACTGTCTTCCTCACTTATCCGCAGACAATTCATCACAAGAACCGCAAATATGGTCAAGATCAACGTACATCTCCTCTGTTCCAATGCCATGTCGTATCGCAAGCTGACACCAGCCCTCCAGGTTACCCTCAAGAAGGACGCCGATGCTGCTCAGCTCGACCAGGCCAAGAAGCAGGTGACTGAGCAGGGTGGCAAGGTCACTGATGAGTACACCCTCATCAAGGCATTCACGTAGGTAAATCCAAGATCAATCTGGAATCGTTGAAACTGATGGGGGAGGAACAGTGCCGAGTTCCCCGACGATCAAGTACACACCCTTGCGTCCAACGATCACATTACCGTTGAGAAGGACCAGGAGGTTAAAACGCAGTAGATGTGTTCAGCCAGCATGAGATAATGAGGTACGGTTCGTAGACGAGCTTGGAATGTATACCATACCATATATGAAGATGACTGTGTTGTCCCCAAGATGTTGATTMGCATGCAACKGACATGCTGTTGGAATTCTTACCGTGTCTCGCGCTCGACTCGTAGGTTTCACCACTCGAAACAAGGCTGTGGAAGCTAACAAGTAGAGATCTTTGTGAGGAACTTGTACAAGTAGCAGTATCAACAGACATCCAACGTCTTGATTCATGTAATTCGAAGACTGCGAGCAATACGATGGATGGGCTTCTCAGTCGTTGGGTAGCAATCCTGCCCCACTATTGTCACATGCGAGTCGTGCACGGACTGTTTTATGCGTCACCTTCTAGCCCAAACGAGAAACAACTAGTAGCTTCCACTGTGAACTTGACATTTGCCAGTGCCAGCTCGAGTCTTCCACCCTGGTACGGCGTGGCTATATCAACCTACTCTGCTTCCTTCCCTTCTACAAACAACTGAACATCTGAATCTGCATACGGTCTCCACGAGCAAACGAAATAACGACTACGAACCCCCACTTGTCGACAAACAAACCTCACCGCAACCGCATTCACAACCGCATTCACCACCGCAATCATGGCGGCCAACATGAGTTTCACAGACAAGGCCACCCAGGCCTTGGCCGATGCACAAGAGATAGCGACACAACATGCACACTCGCAGCTGCTGCCCATACACCTGGCTGTAGCACTCATCGATCCGCTTCCCGATCAGTCCAAAGACCAGCAGAACAACTCAGCACACGCATCACACGCTGCCGGCTCGGCTTCACTCTTCCGCCAAGTCGTCGAGCGTGCACATGGTGATCCACAAACACTCGAGAGATCGCTCAACCGCCTTCTTGTTCGAACTCCCTCGCAGGACCCGCCGCCAGAGCAGGGCCCTAGCGTGTCCCCTGCCTTCTCCAAGATCTTGCGAGCTGCAAATGATCTCTCCAAGACACAAAAAGACTCCTACATCGCCGTGGACCACCTCATACAATGCCTCGTGCAAGACAGCACCGTTCAAAAATGTCTTGCCGAAGCGAACGTACCCAACCCAAAGGTCATTGACACGGCAGTTCAAGCGATACGCGGAACGAAGAGAGTCGACAGCAAGACCGCCGACGCAGAGCAAGAGAATGAGAACTTGAAGAAGTTCACAATCGACATGACGGCAATGGCCAGAGAGGGTAAGATTGAYCCTGTCATTGGACGAGAGGAGGAAATTAGAAGAGTTGTGCGAATCCTGTCAAGACGCACGAAGAACAACCCAGTCTTGATAGGTGAACCTGGTGTCGGAAAGACCACCGTTGTCGAGGGTCTTGCACGCCGAATCGTCGATGCAGATGTCCCACAATCACTGGCCGCCTGCAAGCTTCTCTCCCTCGACGTCGGAGCTCTCGTTGCTGGCTCAAAGTACAGGGGAGAATTTGAAGAGCGCATGAAGGGAGTCCTCAAAGAGATCGAAGACAGCAAGGAGATGATTGTCCTCTTCGTCGACGAGATCCATCTCTTGATGGGTGCTGGTAGCTCAGGTGAGGGCGGCATGGATGCAGCCAACCTGCTCAAGCCCATGCTCGCCCGCGGCCAGTTGCACTGTATCGGTGCGACTACACTTGCTGAGTATCGCAAATATATCGAGAAGGATCAGGCCTTTGAGCGGCGATTCCAGCAGGTCCTCGTCAAGGAGCCCTCAGTCATTGAGACGATATCAATTCTGCGTGGGCTGAAGGAGAAGTACGAAGTTCACCACGGTGTGACCATCCTCGACGGGGCCATTGTTGCAGCTGCGACCCTTGCTGCACGATACTTGACTCAGCGACGACTACCCGACTCGGCCGTTGACCTTGTCGATGAGGCCGCAGCCGCGGTTAGAGTGGAACGCGAGTCACAGCCTGAAGTTCTCGACAATATGGAGCGTAAATTGCGCCAGCTTGAAATTGAGATTCACGCTTTGGATCGCGAAAAGGACGACGCATCTCAGTCGCGGCTGAGAGAGGCGCGTGCTGAGAAAGCCAACATCGAGGAGGAGTTGAAGCCTCTCCGAGAGAGTTACGAAAGCGAAAAAGCACGGTCGCGGGAGATTCAGGATCAAAAGATCAAACTCGACCAGCTGAGGAACAAGCAGGAGGAAGCAGAGCGGACAAGAGATCTTCAGACTGCTTCCGACCTCAAGTACTACGCCATTCCAGACGTTGAGCTGAGAATCAAAGAGCTTGAACAGCAAAAGCTGGTCGCCGAGCGCGAACAGGCTGTTCGATCAGGCGACAACGAACAGACTCTAGTCACCGACGCTGTCGGTCCGGACCAAATTAACGAGATTGTTGGCCGCTGGACTGGCATTCCTGTGACTAGACTCAAGACGACCGAGAAAGACAAGCTGTTGCAAATGGAGAAGGTTCTCGGTGCTCAGGTGGTTGGTCAGAAAGAAGCTGTCACATCGGTGGCAAATGCGATCCGCCTGCAGCGTTCAGGTCTCGCCAATCCCGGCCAGCCACCATCGTTCCTATTCTGTGGTCCTTCAGGAACGGGAAAGACACTTCTCACCAAAGCACTGGCCGAATTCCTCTTTGACGATCCCAAGTCGTTGATTCGTTTCGACATGTCTGAGTACCAGGAACGACATTCGCTCTCGCGTATGATTGGAGCACCACCAGGCTACGTTGGCCACGATGCAGGCGGTCAGCTCACGGAAGCGCTGCGGAGACGACCCTTCAGCATCCTACTGTTTGATGAGGTTGAAAAGGCTGCCAAGGAAGTCCTTACCGTCCTCCTCCAGCTCATGGACGACGGCCGCATCACTGATGGACAAGGTCGTATCATCGACGCCAAGAATTGCATCGTCGTCATGACCTCCAACCTGGGCGCCGAGTACCTCTCAAGACCAAATGCGGCTGACGGTCGCATTGACCCCACAACTCGCGAGCTCGTCATGACTTYGCTCAGGAACTACTTCCTGCCCGAGTTCCTCAACCGTATTTCGAGCATCGTCGTCTTCAACCGACTTAGCAAGAAGGAAATCCGCAAGATCGTCGATGTCCGGCTCGATGAGATCCAGAAGCGTCTCAATGGTAATGGCCGCAATGTCAGTATCACCCTCACAAATGAGGTCAAAGACTACCTGGGATCGGCAGGTTACTCACCTGCTTACGGTGCTCGTCCTCTGGCGCGTCTCATCGAGAAGGAAGTGCTCAACCGCTTGGCGGTTCTGATCCTTCGTGGATCGGTACGGGATGGAGAATCTGCGCGGGTGGTGCTGGAGGATGGACACATCGTCGTGCTCCCGAACCACTCAGATTCTGACGATGACGATATATCCATGTACGATTCCGAGGACGCCGTCGAGGAATTGAATGGAGGCATGGATGATGATGACTTGTACGAGTAAAATTTCTATGATGTGATGAGAATGGAGCGTTCAAGCGGGCAAACATGGTATTAAGCGGGAAATAGTTGATCCTGAGGCATTCTATAGATGTTAGGGCAGATTAAATAATCGAATCATCCTCAGTAGTAAAATCTTTCGATGCTCGTGTTTGGTGAAGTACCTAAGATCTCGAGGCGGAAATTTCAAGTCTATATATCGGCATTCATATAGTATGCCTAGCTGTTTGCCGGGGGACATCTCATATCCATCGAGACTCTATCAAAACGCCAGGTATGTGCTACACTCGCTACATCGCTGAACCGCTCGCTCAAATTGTGACGGCATAAAAACATAATAAAAATCGTTTCATCAAACGATGCTCGTATTAAGAAACCCCAATTCGCTGAAAATGGCATCCGCCATTGGGCTTTCACGCTCCTCTGAAAATAGAGTTGGAGTTGGAAGTTCCGCATCGAACACGGTGGGCATAGGCATGTGGTCGTGTGCCGAACGTGTAGTTGGGGAGATATTGGAGTGGCCCTTTGTCAGGGAGTGCGAACTCTCCACGGCCTGTGGGAGGGCGTAGTTCATGAATGAGGGTGGGCCCCGCCTGGGCGATTGCGCGGTCTCTGGGCGAGAGTTTCCAGTGTGATGTCGACTTCGCAGTGAGCGTATGCGATTCGCGAATCCTGTTAGTGCTCCGCCGCTGCGAGATGCGGGGCGTGCGTCTCTCTTGATCGAAGTCCGGGGGGATAGGTGTGGTGGAGACTCCTCCCCCGCCGAGCTGGCAGTGTCTAGTGAAAAGCTTGGTGATTCCAACTCCAACCCCAAGAGGTTGCTGTCAGGGCTTGGGCCTCCATGTTGATACTGGTTTGTGGGAAGTGAGTCCAGTGCTTTTGACATTGGAGACAGTTGTGGACTTCCTCTGCTGGTATTTCTGACTTCTGAATTTGGTAGAGAGTAGACTCTAGGACGGTACTGTTCCGGATCCTCATTGAGCCTTGTTCCGGGCCGCGATTCATTATAAAATTGAATGTTTTGAACAGAGGTGGGACCAACGCTCAGCGCTGAGAGGTTCCTCGTGAGATCTGGAATCATAGTTGTGGCCATGAGGTGTGCATTATCGCCTGAAACTGGCTCCATTTTTGGCATAATTGTTTCGGGTATTGAATCCTCAACCAGCTCAGGAATCCTATGAAGATTCGGTGTAGTTGCATTAAAGGAAGGAAGATCTGGCGGACGTTCACCCTGTTCCTGACTTTTAGGTACAGGAGCTGAGCACGAGACTTCTTGCGAATAGACCGAACTGTCGCGAGAAACGCCATTACGTGAGTCCTGCCGATCTGCAGAATCATGGCACTCTAATTCTGGGGTTGATGGCCGAGAAACTGCTTCCTCCAGAATGCTCAAGGGCTGGTTCTCAAGTCTGCCTTGGAGAGTGCCGTCGGAGAGAGATCTAGCATGGATCTTAGATGCGGGCGGCGGTTCCAGCATCGCGTACTTTGTGGCTGGATCAAGAGTCTGTAATTGCTGCCAATTACTTAAGCTCCCCTCAATGTCCGAAGAACTGCAGCATCTTTGGGGCAGCTCCTCAAGCTCAATGGGGACTTCAAGAATGTTGACCACCTGGCCTGGTATCAACGGACATGAGAGCGTACGCGGATGTCGGTCGTCGTAGGTGTCATCGTAGGAATTCAGTCGATAGTAATACCAGTATGTAGCACCTTGTCGAAGGCCTTTTACCAGATTAGTGCATGCGACAATGGCTAAGATGTGTTTCCGTATTGCACGTACCGCCACTTCGTGGTTTTGTCCATTGGATGTCGTCACCATCAAAGGTGATGTTCTCGAATCTGAAAATTCCCGACCAGATACCACGGCGTCGGTCATTGTGCATGCGATAGGGCTGGGCGAAGTTGTCCCAGCTGCCCAGCAGTTCCACTGTTCGGGCCTCTGCGGGTGCTCGAAAGAGGAAAGTAACCAGCGTCGTAGGATCCATGATCAGATGCGCCCAGAAGGCAGGGCTATGATTTCATGCTGGGCTGGAAGGAGGGGAATGGTATGCGCAAGAAGAATATCTCACAGAATGATCTTGCTCGCTTGGAGGCGGGCAAACCGATGATCATCAGCCCGGACACGCCAGAGATGCACGCCAACTTTTCCCAGCTCCAAGCCTTCAACGGCGCGCGAACCAAGAATCTCGCGCCGGTCGCAGATCCGGAGGTCGTTATCAAGAGCTCTCTGTGGAAAAGCCCCGAGCTCTCACGCATACCCAGTAATCGTGAAACCCTTTCGATTGGTGCTCATTCATCATCGGAATCGCTGAAGTTATCGATGTTACACAGACTTCGGGACGATCTCATGTCGCCACGAAGGGAATGGAATCTCTCGGCGCGTGCGAGGACAGCCAGTGGCCGAGCCACAGCATTGGGGTTCCAGGAAAAGTACAGGGGTTGGGTCCACGATCAGGTTAAAGCTTGGCCGAAGGTACCGGCATCGTGAGGATCATAGGAGAAACATCCACATGTAGCCGCCGTTGAGATGAACCCTTCCCAATCCAGCACAGCAGGCCTTTGCGGCAGTTTCCTGAATCATTGCCGTCATCCGTCACCCGCATTTGACACGTCGATGGTGCATGTTCTCGTTGCGGGCTGGCATTCTCGCCGTGGTACCCCAAGGTGAGCGCCTGGAATCCGTTGTAGCGGCAACGTCCGACAKTCGTACCGCACAGAGTTTCTCCACGTCTCACCGAACCATAGTCGCGTGGGCGCCACTGTCCCTCGAAATGTACCATGGCTGGACCATCGCCAGCAGGCGGAAATCGAGGGGGTGAAGCAATCTCGGTATGCGGGAGGCCCGCGTGGGTCGTTTAAGCAGGGCAGTTGTGAAAGTCTAACCAAAAGGTAAATCCTTTGAGCTCTCCCGACTGGTTCATCCCGACACGTGTGAGCTTCCGAGATACCTACCTACAGGCTACAGTACGGCGCTCCGCAGTCGCATAGCTGCGTCTACCTCTGCTCGCCTTTACACATGTATACCCTCGCAAGACGTGAGGCGTGGCTGCCTTCATAGTCGTTGAACGGCTGGAGTCTAGCATTGGCTGATAAACGCTGTCACTGTCGAGCAAAAGCGACTCGAGATGCTCAACAATTAGCTGCATGCTTATCCTAGAGGCATGCATATGCGTGATGCAACGGTTTGTTGGATCTCATCATCACAGTGCAGGGTGTGTGCCATGGTCCATGACAGCACGTCACTAATAAGCGGTGAATGTCGGATGATCGACGTATCGCCATGCTTGTCAACGTTCATGATGGCTTTGTTATATCATCGGCTTATTAGATTACTGATTATGGAGATCGCACTATCAAATCTTTAAGACGTGATGYGCTCTCGGTCTGGTTGCAAGGCTATTGCCCTCGCAGGCGGCTTGAACGAAACATCGACCACGCACGATAGATCTGCTCGATCTCACAGGTTGGACTGATACTTCTCACCAGTCACCTCCTCGATCTTCTTGATCGATGCGAGATACCCTTCATGCTGCTCTAGCATCTTGATGTAAGCCCTCAACTCACTGCAAAATGCCCGTGTTAGTATCGATAACTTGGAAGCACGATATGGAGCAATAGTGCTTACGGGTTCTTTCCAGCTGGGATCTTCTCCTGCCCGCGGATCAGAGGGAACGACTGGTGACCATAATCAGTTCTGTACATAAACAGTGGTGAGTGCCATCATACCATGAGAATGTCAGCTGCGGTGAGGTCCTTTCCGCAGAGAAACTTGCCTCCACCTGGAGACGATGCAATTTGGCTGTTGAGGAAGGCGAAGTGCGTGGCGTAATTTTCGTTCAAAAACATCGAATCAACGCGTCCAGCAATCGTTTTCGTGATGGGCTTGATGAAGAATGGCACAGGGGCATTGCGGATTTCTGTATCCGGTGTTTAGTCCATGTTGATAACCAGGGATATGGTACTTACGATCAATGAACAGACCGATCAAGAGGAGAGTCATGAGCGAGCCCTCGGCATAATGCATGTAAAAGCGGTAGCGAAGCCACTCCTCCGTCTCGCCGCCAACCACGCCTTCCTTTCCCTCCTGGTATCGTTTTGGAATTAGATGCTGAGCGAAGTGTTCGCTGAGGTACTCTGTCAGAGTGCCGGACTCCGCGATCACAAGAGGCTCCTTCAAGGCAGGGGCCTCGACAGAGATGACTGGAGACTACGACATATGAGCTTTCGGGCGTGAAGGTGGTGAATGATGACTGAACGTACCTTTCCAAGTGGATGGACCTTCTTCAACTCGGGTGGAGCAAGCACTGAAAGCGAAGGGTAGAAGGGTTAGCGATGTCTTGGATAGCAATATGGTACAAGGCCTGGGTAGCTCGATAGACATCTTCGAACCAGCCTATATGTCTTCTGCCCCTCGATTTGCTTACTGTTGACTCGTTTGTAGACATCAATCTTGTAGTCGATGCCCTTGCATTCGTTGAGAAGCCATACAACCCTCTGCGACCTCGACTGGTCCAACCAGTGAAGTGTAATCTTGGGCTTCGCGATCTGAGTATCCGCCATATTTTCTCGATTGCTTGTTCAAGGTGTCCRGAAAATTTCTCACGAGGAAGAGAAACAACCTTCAAGGTGAGATCTTCTATCAGCCCAGTCCAACCGAGGCCTTTCCTCCGTGGACTAGCCCATAGGGTAGACATGGGCATGTGAAAGCCGCAAGCAACACCTTGCGTCCGTAGGACAACTATACGAGAACGACATGGTGATAATTGGCCGTTGACAAATCTTTCCCTATCATAAACTGCCAGGGAGTGCGATATGTGCGTGATGACTGGATGTTGCACGTCCAATGTTTCACGGCACGGAACACTTGACAGCACATCCCACGACTTTTTCACTGTGGTCACGATCGATAACTAACGTCAGTTCCGACAACCGCATTGAAGCACTGAAAACATATCACACAGCAGTCAGATATGAGGCCCACATTCCGCCAGATGGCTGGCCACAACAGTGAGATATTGCGCTGAATTTGGGACTTGGAATTGAGGACTAATACGGCATGGCAGGCGTCCACATGGACCCGGCGCTGGTCAAATATGCCAGTGAGTAGACCCGAGACACCACCCGGTAGCGACCTGTACTCGATTACGACCTGTTCAAAGAGAGGTGGAAACCGAGAGGAGGAGAGCAGAGAGCGCGGGATGTGAGGGTGGACTCCGAGGAGGACGCTGACGGGTGACAGACATGTTCGTGAAGCGTCACGAGTACTTCAAATGGACACCGCGGACTGCATGGCTGAGTGTCGTCTATGTCATTGCCGTGCCATCTGCGTTCCTCTACATGGCTTTCAAGACTGAGGTCAGTTGCTGCATATAAGGGGACAATGTGGATGGAGTATCACTGACAGGACTCGCAGGGCAAATGGGATCYCCGTGGAAAGCTGAGAGGAGACACCATTGCTGAGTTTTAGGCATGTTTGGAGATACCAGTAGGCGTTTACGAGGGCAAGGAATGGGGCAAGAGTGTAAATACTAGTCGGGTATTACAGATTTGTCTTTGGTTGATATGACTTTCAGAGATGGATTGATCCGGCTCAGAACACCATGAGCTTACGGGCAGGACTACATGCAACCATTCACAAAGAATCCATGCGAGTCAACTTTCCCTCCTATGGCTCTCCATCCTGAACGCCGCGCTAATGACTTTCCCCGGCCGGAGTCCCTATCTCATATTGCTTACATAGTTGCACCACATCGGTCACATTGGACTTTTCTCTAGAGTTCCTTCTTCCTCTCAGCGCGACCTTTCTGTCTTGGAAGGCCCAACTTTTTCCTGTCCCGACGGTCGCCCTCTGCGAGCCATTTACTCGCTTTAATCAGCTGAATGACATTGACGTATTGCTTGAAAAGCATGATCGGGGCGCTGGCGAGTGTGAGCACCCATGGCACTGCGGAGTCCATCTTGTTGGCGCGGGCGAGCTCCATGGCAGCCGCACTGAACGGGCTGGAGAATAGCAGAGACGGTACGGGCTCCAACGGCGTTGTTGGGGTGGTCTCGCTGGGCCATTTCAATGCCGGGGTTACAATCGGCGAGCTGAAGCAGAGTAGGTAAAGCGCGATGAAGAAAAGCTCATTAGCAGCGCAAGCGACGAAAAGGACGGMCTGAGGATTGAGGTCAGCTTGCAAGCCGCAACAGAGCATTGGAATGGACATACCTTGTTGGTGTAGTACAGGTTCATGATCCAGCTCCTCTTCGCATCCACATTCTTGTGGCTCTGGGTCTGGCCTCCCATGACAAGGGTAGCGTACCTGTGGAAGTCAGCATTTGCCCGAGACACAGACATGAGGGGCTAGGGGATGYGCCCTATGCCTCCCAACTTCGATTCTCTCACATGTGCATATAATGACTCGCAAGATCAAGGGAAATTAGGCCCTGAAAGATGATGCTGTATGCCGGCTTTGCAGTCGCGAGGAACACGAGCAGGCACGTAGTAGTGCACCGATCTGTGACCATGTCCAATACAGCCCCAAATCGTGTACTCTGCTCGAATTTACGTGCCGCGATCCCATCGAGCGCATCCAGCAGGCAAGAAATGGAGTATAGGAAGCTGCAGCGGCGGGGATGCAGCGGCATGAAATACAGCGAGGCGAGGCAAAGGACAATTCGAAAGTATCCTACATGATAGCATAGTGAGCATAAACCAGACGACTGCTGCAACGGATGAGAGGTGCTCACCAATGAGATTTGGGTAAAACAGGAAGATGTTCTCGTTGGTCTGGTCATCTTCTGCATCTTCCACCACGCTTTGTGCCGGTGCTCGAGGCTTGCCGTTCATCGGTCTGGCGTTCGCGAGACTTCCAGCCGCGCGCGCGAGTTCCCTCTCGTCTACAACGTCTTGAACCATGCTGACAGCTGTTCTCCTTCGGATGCGCCCGGGATCGGTGTGCTGCTGCCTGTCTATGTTGCGAGGAGCCGACGATACCACTCGATGGAATGTTGAAGTAGATTGGTGGATTAAATGGAATATTAAATGCGAACTGCGGYCGCCCGAGTGCAAACGCTTGACCAGCGCACACGTTCGTCGAGCTCTGGGATCGCGGAGCAGGCCTGGCTGGAGGTAAGATTATCCTTATCGCGATCCGCAGGATTTTCGGATGACGTGGTCTGCTGTAACGCCGAGGCCAACAGTTTTTGGAGTAAGAGGAGGAAAGGAGTGTGTTGAATGAAGCCCGCGACGCGTTTGACAGACTGCGGGTGTGATGGTCGTCGAGAGGAGAAATATTTTGAATCCAGCGACCTGGAAGATCAGAGTTGAAAGTCAACAGGGGTTTTGCGGACCCACGCACGTCCCCGCCCCGATCATCTCCCGGCTATCCGAAGAACGTGGCCACGGGCGATCTGTGGGCGGCGATATGCCAACGACGCTTGAAAGCTGACGAAGCAGCCATTACGCAGCTGCAATTTGAGTATCGGATTGCAAGGTCCCTTGCACATGCTGTAGAAATATTGGTATCGCAACACTAACACGTACATTCACCCCAACATGTTCTAAAGCTGTAACTAGCTTTCTTTCTGTTCTCCTCCTCCAGACCTGGAAGAGCAACGTGTCCCTGACGTACCGATAAACGCCTCTCGTACATGCGTCAAGACATAATCAAACCCATGAACTCCGGTGCCTCCTTCACGAGAGCACGCAAACGCCCTGTACAAGTAATCCCCACTCATCGCTCATGCTTCGCGTGTCGAAAAAACCGCCCAGGAGCATTCACCTCCTGATGGGCGGCACTTGGTCATCGCCTCGTACGATCAAAGTTTTTAGCACCCACGTGAACTCTTCCGCTCTCGACAGTCTGCGCCCGCCTGGGCTTCCCGAAGGAGGAGCTCCCTTCGCCGCCTCCTGCATTCATGCTCACTCGTTTTCCATTGCTGTCGTCGAATGATGTTCGCTTAAAATTCGAACCACTCGTGTCATCCTCATCGCTATCATCATCTGCTAGATCTTTCAAAGCGTTGGCTTCTAGATCGTATGCATTCGTTTGATCGGCAGGATCACGATGACTCCAACTTGTACTCCTCCGGTTCATGTCCCCGCTACGACGTGACTGCATCGAGAAGCGGGTTTGAAGACCGGCGAGTCCGTCTGTGGGGATTCCATCCACTTCTTGATATGCTCCGCGATAGTCGGACGGCTTGGCCCCCATGTTGCGGCCGTCAGGATCTTCTCGGGAGAGATTGAGTAGGTACACTCCAGTAAAAATCGTGAGGAAACCGCAGAGAAGAGAAATGGTATTGATAGGATCGGTGGTGTTGAAAYCTCTGAAGAGAATGAACGAGGCGACCAGGGTGAAGGTAGTGAATGTCACATAGTAGAGTGGGTTTACACTGGAAAARTAGATCATCAGCTCGCGATTCTTCAAGCCAGTGTGGAGATGGCTTACATGTTGGTGTTGAATTGGCTCAAAGCCTTGTTGAAGTAATTCATCTGCGTGAGAATGCAGACAACGACGACAATGGCAAAGACATAGGTCGATGGGTGCGAGAATTGATTGTTGCCACTCAACGTGAGCTTCAGCGCAATACCAAAGCCCTTGATTGCCATGATGGAGATGGATCCGACCGTCGAGCAGATACTGATGTAGATCATCGGGTTCTTCTTGCCATATACTGGCGCAATCTTGTATATCATGACCAGCGCGAAGATTGTCACAATCGCGACGTACGTGAGGAAGCCTGGAAAGCTACTGTTAGCTGGTCGTGTATCCTCTCCGCATGTCCCTCATATCCCACTTACCTAGCTTCAAAGCATGATCCAGCAGCTCATCGATATTCTTTAGGTCCTCGTCCGGCGGCGCATGTAGCACGATTACGACACTCCCTATCAGACATATCGCACATCCCACCCGTCCCAGCACGCCCAACTTTTCCCCCAGGAAATAACTTCCCAGCACCGCTCCAATCAGCACGCTCAGTGCGCCCAGTGGTGTCACCAAAATGGCAGGGGCGAAGGCGTATGCGGAGAAATTACAGATCTCGCCAATGACCATGGTCACGATACCCGCCCACCAGATGGGATTCCGCAGATAGGCGAAGCCATCGCCCTCGAATCCGTGACGCTCGGCGGCGGCATTCAGACCCTTCTTTGTGATGACGAAGGATGCGCCAATGCCGATTGTGCTGGTGACGGCCAGCGACAGGCCGATGTATTTATCCTCTATCATCGCGAGGGCTCCCGGTGTTCGCTATCGTTTGGGGGGTATGGAGGATTCTTTGCGCACAGTGCTGTCGCGGCTACTGCGCAGACATGTTCCAGCCGCGGTCGCAGAGCCGGTCGCAATTCGTGGTAGTCGCAGTGGCGAGGGTTATGGTAGATCACACGAGGGAATCTCGCGCGTAGAAATGGGTTGGAGGTTGGATCGAGTCGAGGAACGGCCGGGTAAGGGAYATTCTTTTCCACGTCCAAGGGTCGGCTCTTTCGTGTTGAAGTCGTGTCCTCCACGCAGGGTCCACAAGACGGCGTCGTTTGATTCGCGACCCAGATTCTCTCCGTCAGGTACCAGTATGATTGAAAGTAAGCACGGCGATCATGGATATAGTATGGAGCTCTCGAGGATTGCTCTGCTTGCTTTGGGTTGTTACGGACTGAGTCGTGACTTCGTTGTTGGCGCCTCCACTCCACTGTTCCGTAACAGGCCAGGCCCTCTTTGGCCCTCCTCGGCTCGCGCTCATGCCTTTGAACCAGCCCTAATCGGGCCCAAAAATAACTCGGGAATTGCGCAAACGCGTGGAGGTGGTACTACCATACTACCATAGAGCCATAGAGATTGCTGTACCAAGGCGGTCTACCTATGGTTGCCAATCCCACAACCCTGACAGTTACTCCCTTGAAAAATGCCCTTCCAACGCGTATACCTGTCGGGATCGCGTTGATTTGCGTATATATACGAACGAAACAAGTCGACGATAGGTAATCGCAACAGCAAACTTGAAGCGTGTAAGCAGTCGTAGAAGCCTCTCTCATGCAAAAGAGTGGCCTCCGTGACGGCCGGGTATCATTCATGATTCGTATCTGAGCATTGTACATTCACCCAGCACAACTACCTCATAGCTTCAATCTCGCATCCCTGGCAGCCTGTTCACGAGCCCCCGCCGCCCGATCCAAAAAGGCCTCTCGCGCCAGGAAGCCTCCCCTACTCTTACCATACTCATCCAACTCCTCCCGTAGACCCTCCTGGTCAACGTAACCTCTCCAATCCAATGCGCTCTTCTGCACCGTGCTCATCTTTTGTGCATTCTTCTTATCTTCCGCTCTCTTGGTGGCCATGAGCACATCCAGTCTRCTCGGGGCACGCGGCCGTAGCTTCTCAGGCGCAACTCCCTTCACTAGTCCTCCGGGGTTTGGCTCAAACATGGACGGTCGCTTGAGAGGCCGTTGCACCCCAGAGGGGTCCGCTGCGAGCTGCTTCATGTCTCCATCTGCCTCTGGATGTTCAGCAAGATACTTTTGCGCCTCCTTTGAGCCGCGAGGAACCCGGTCTTCGACCTCTGTGACTTCTCCAGCATACTCGATGCGTCGTCTTATGGTGATCATCTCCTCACTCGACGCTTCAGGTGCATTCTCCTTGTCTTGATCCACGTCGACTTCCATATCTTCATCAACAGGCTCTGGTGGTGGTAGCACCGTTCTACCGACAGGTACGCTGCTGAGTTCCGCCCAGAGCTGATCCACATCGACTGTGACTTCTCCATCTCTTGCCCGTTTGCGATGTTTCCGCTCCTCCTTTCTGCTGATGTCAGAGATGATCAAGGGAAAGCAACGTCGGCTTCGACTCACTCTGCCACCCTCTGCGCGCGGGTCCTAATAAACCCGCCTTCTCCTGCGCTGTCCTCATCCTCGACATCTTGTTTCTTCCGTTTCTTGCGGGCCAACGCTTTAATTGTGGCTTCATCTCCAGAGTCCAAGTCTTCATCTAGAGGTACCTCTGACTTTCGTTTCTTGGTCTTTCGCAAAGGCTTTGCAACAGCTGCTTCGTCTTCGTCCTCGGAGGAGGAGGATCCAGCGGGGTCTTCAGTGGCCTTGTCCGGGTTGAAGTCCTCGTCTGCATTTTCGTCATATTCCTCTTCTTGTTCCTCATCCTCCCTCGCGTCAACGTCCTCCATGTATTCGTCCATTGGGTGCTGTTTCGATGCTGAGGATCGGCAGCTTCGAGAAGAGCACCGTAAACACTCGGCTTAGTAAACGCTTACTTGATCATCCTTGGGTCGATCCTCCAACTCTAAACGGAGATTCCACCCCCACCATCGATGCTACCGTACCTATTCTTGAATACTGTGGATGGACCAGGTAAGTATTTCAACGACATCTGGAATGGTAAGAGATGGAGTTCGAGCCTGACACGTAAGAATTATCTGGGCGATGACTTTCAAGCCCTCCAATGAGTGGAACGACAGGTATGAATGCGATCCAATATAAGGCTACTTATACAACATCTCACGCTGAGTGCCTCTGCAGCTCTTGCGGAAAGTCCTGGTCCTGCGGGGGCCCTCCGTTACAAAATGAATGATCCAAATAAAGAACCAATCTCAAAAAGAGTCGCGGTCTTTTATAAACGAGATTCCCCCAATCTAGCTTGATCTTGCTCTGACCAGGTGCAGCACCGGTGAGCGGTCCTCCGTTCATATCTTTGTTATCTCGCCATGTCATCATAGAAGTCACAAACTTTCCATCATCCTGGGCATATGCGATGATGTTGCCCATTACATCGGCGGCGAAATCCGATCCGTCGAAATTTTGCTGTTGGCTTTTTAATGTCCGTGTGAAGACGTCCAGTTTCCGAATCTCCACAGCCTCCATGCCTGATCCTCGAGCGGCCGCTACGTTGATGGCTTGTAGTATGAGTGGCAGCGCTAGAATTGCCGAGGCACTGATGGGGAGATACTGGACCAGGCGAACCTGCACGAGCTCCTGTGTACGGCGTGATACGTCGTTATTGGCAACCTCGAGGGCGTCTTTGGCCTCATCCAGAGAGAAGAGGCTTTTGGCCGCTGGGAACACCTCGCTGATGAGCAGTAGGTATGTATTCAGTCCAAAAACCGCAGAAGAATGATACGAAAACATCATGTTTGCGTACACACATATGGGCTCTGGCGCATCGTCTAGGCTGATGGGGAAAGGGAAGGACCGAATTGCTTGATCGTGCCAATGCCGCAAGGCCTCCAAAGCGCGCTGAATGTCGGCGAACACTGCAGGTAGTGTCGTAGAAGCAAGCTCCAGTCGGTCGTCCAACCGCTCCGTACGATACAATATGCGGGTGGCGTTGGATATACATTGCATCAGGCGGCAGGTAACTGTGATCATATCGACTATGCGGAGCTGCGTGTCAGTGTCGTAGACCTGCGATTTTCCAATCTCTGACTGGAAGTCATCGGCGGTCAATATGTGCTTCTCATCCTCCCAGGAGGCGTCGAGGTCCACCTGGGTGGACCGCCGGAGGCCAAGTGATAGAATGCGGTCTCGAAATATTACTCCCCACTGTCAGATCAAAAGAAGTCAGTGCGTGTTGCGAGCATGATGTGATTACGTTTTGGGAGCGGCTGATTGCAACCCGGATGAATTCAAGAAAGCCTTGACGCAAACAAAGAGGAACAGCAAGCGCTCAGTTTCCCTGCGTCTCGGGATTCTCAAGAAAACAAGCAGTATCGCAGCAGGCTGGTGRTGTGGAGTGCGTCTCTCACCCAGATCCGTTTGAGCAGTCTCGACCTGACGGGGTCTTGTATGCGATGATACGAGTTGGCTCGTACAATTCTCGCAAATCGAATCGCATTTGTGACCCAATAGGTATTCAGTCGGAGCATGTTGTTATTAGGGGCATTGTAAGATAGTAACAAACAAGCCTGAGCATTTGCGATAGGGTCGCGTTCAACGCCGAAGGAGAACAATAACTGTACGAGACGAGATTAGCATCGTGATCCATGGCCTAAGACCACTGTGCAAACCTTTGTTAATCGGAAGTGAGTGTTTCTGGCTTCACGCTTGCTCACAAATCCTAGACCGGTCAAGAAGTCCAGCTCCATGTACTGTGAAGGACGATTAGCTTATGATGAGCGTCAGGAGGCAAGCGACATACGCTAGTGGCTGCGAAGATCATGGCCCTCAGCAGAAAAAGTGAGTGTTGCCCAACGTTGAACTCGTCGCCGCTCCACAGCAACCAGAATTGATCCTCTGCTATTATCGATAAATTAGGTTGCACCATACGGAAGTACATGCGCATCATCGCTCGGAGCATATGCCCAGGTGGCAGCTCAAAACACCCTTCGCCTCGGAGGTACTCCTGGTCCCGCGGGTTGAGACCTGGGACGTGGACAGTAGATCCTCTGCAATTTATTGGACTCATTCCCAGGACGTGCGGACCTGGGAGATGTCCTGGTGGACTCATATTCTGGTGCGGATATGCATTGGGAAACGGAAATTCAGTTTGTGTCACACCAGGGGGTAAGAAGCTGTTGCTAGTGAACGTGAAGATGTCGTCGAGGTCCGTCAAATGACTAAAATCGCAACTGGCCGAAGAGGTATCGACGACTGCGCTTTGATCCCATCCGAGACTGGGCTGGACGTTTTCTCTCCATGGAGTGCCCTCGCCATTCGGAGGAGAAGCAGACGAGATTGACTGACWCCCCACATTGGTATTGTACCGTCCTGTTGGGCCACCGCTGGCCACGCTGGGTCGATGGCCGGTACTCTGATTCCATGACGCAGCACTAGTGGGTGTGGGCACTTGCCAGCTGGGGGATGGATCAAGAACCATCTGGCCTACGTGACCATCCGGTGGTGTTGCTTCACGTCTGTACCGTGGTGAGTTCCAGGGCCTCAATGTCTTCGGCCATGGTGCTCACCTCTGGTTTTTACGTCGGCGTATGATACATGTCGTACCCGCGTCGACACAATTGCTGCACGGCGTCCCGCTATCGAGGACATTGCAGCGGATCTTCCGCGTGTGGCAGTGTGAACAAGCCTTTCTCGAGCGACGCTGCTTTAGCTTGCCTCGAGCGCTCGCGCCCGGGCCCAGCAGTGTGTCTTCTGTATGCATCCTAACCAATCGCCGTCGTTTCAGGTTCAGGCGGCAATCAACAAGGGATGGAAAATTGATCAAAGCCGCATTTGCCGGGGAGGCAGTCTTCTATACTGCAGCTCTGCTTCGAGTAGCGGATTTTGAAGTGCGGCGACTCCTGACAGCATTCAAAAAGCGGAGTCGGGCAAGCCTCCCAGGTGTGGCCTGGCCAGCGACCGTCTGCAACCTTCCCCGCAACATGGGAAACGCTGTGGTCCAGCCAAACTCACATAGACGCTACATCCGCAAAAGGAGAGATCTGTTGCTTGGCGAAGTCAGCAGAACGGCTTCAACTGCAGACCCACCAATTGTACAACGACCGTTGGTAACTCAGCTCAGCCCAGCTTCTTTGCATGTCAAGTTGTCACCTCTATCAGCAACATATTGCCCTTGTGCCAAAATTAATGAAGGAGCCGCTCGAGCCGGGCTGCACAACGAGTGTGGCCRAAGGAGTTCCTTCCGATCCTCGCCCACTTCGCGATTCGCGATCTGCGAATCCCGTGTTCTACGAAGGTGCTCCAGCCCGTGAGAGCTTTGGGTGCGCCAGATGACCGATTCTTCGGATCGTCTAAAACAGGCACCTCACTTATCGTGAAAGATTTTGGGTATGTAGCAGATCCTTTGCCCCAATGCATATGAAATATCGGATGCGATGAAGTGGAGCAGAGCTGGCGATATGAGGATTACCTTGTTCATCGGAACAAGACATCCTCTGTCATCCCCGCAATATTGTCCTAAGGCCTCGCTTTCTGCAGGCTCGACGGCCTGCTAGAGTCCTTGCTACTAGCAGAGTGGCTTATTAATCAACGAGAGAACAGATCAGGGCGCTGCTCTTGTTGATGGTTTCTGACATCGACAGCTCTGAAGTGGAGGATGTCATGGTATGAGCTATAAGTTGTGCCACCAAGATCTCCCGTGACGATGAGACCATATAAGGTCGAATGACTGGCTAGACTAGGTATGCGGTGGCGTCTCTGCGTTTTGGACATTTCCGAGACAAGACGAGATGCGAGACCTCGCGTAAAGCCATGGTGTCAGCCAGAAGGATACATCTGCTCATCCTGAATTGCTTCTATGGGTCGAGCCATCTGACTGCCACAAGCTCGCTCAACTTCCAAGTTTGATTCGCCATTGATGCTTGCGCCGAGATCTGTAGGATCTGATCGACGCAATGGTTGAATGGTCAATTACGAGAGGGTCTTGGTTGGATCATTTATCGGCAGTCATCGGATGGTACTTGATGGATACACTCTCGAAGTTATGGCTCTCACCTCAGATCCGGCTCCGTCATCCAGTCAGTTAGTTTGATGTTATTCGCCTCAACCTTCTGTGATCTGGCCTTTGGTTTGTCCGGCAGAGGCTGCGTTTTGGCGCCCCTCCGCGGGCTCCTCTCCGGGGCAAGAGCTGGTACCGTCCTCCTGCTTGTGTGAGTGTCGTCCCTGGAGAAGAGCTGAACAGCGCGAAGATGTGTGTCTTTGCCGTTTTGGTGATTCTCGAGGATTCGTACCTGAATCAAGAAAGCTCTAAGGACTGGCTGCTTGCTCCAATCAACCTCTCTGCTATCTCGATCATCGTCGTCGCCATCATGCTCGATGGGACCAACGTTGGTGAAGTCCACATCAATCCAACCAGTCGGTTGCTCAAAGCTCATCTCRGCGAATTCCTGAATGTCGTGGACTCCCATGCCCGCTAGGAATTGGATCTTGGTAGGCGTGTAAGATTCGTCATTCGAAAAGTCCAAGAAGACTCTCATGTGGACGATTGACACGAGCTTGAAGAAATGGATACTTAGCAGGTGAGGTTGTGGGCCATCTGACTGCCAGAAGAGACTGGTGTCTGGGGAACGTAGCGCAGCAACACCATTTCCGGGCTTTGCAGTGCTCACTGTCCAAGATGCCAGGGACGAGATTTCCTTCAAACCAGGAGGCGGAAAGGGTACATCTTCCATTTCGGGCTCTGCAGCAGAAAAGAACATTAGCGCGTCAGAGTACGCGAGACAGACATGGAATTAGTCTCACCCTGGATCTCTTCATCTTCGTCTTCTTCGTCTTCTTCTTCTTCATCGCCTTCGCCGTCACCTTCGGACTCTTCCGCATTCTCGGTCCCGTGGGACAGAGCGTCATCGCTACCGCTGTCTTCCATATCGAMGACATTGACAACAGGCGCGTTCCGCGCACTGCGCGTGCTTGTTGGCGTTCGGGAGGCCATTATTGCCGCGGGAGCTCCCACCTCGATGGTCGTAATGACTCGAGCGAGAGCGCAGAGTCGCAACAATGCGTCACGGTGGGCTTCCGAGTGGCTCGAAGATTGATGGTGAACGGGGCGTGTGTGATGAGCATCTGTTTCGGAGACCGCCACCGGGTGATTGTCGGCGGCTCTTGAAACCAAGTCCATTCCCCTTTCGCACCTGCTCCCTTGACTTCCTGACCTCATGCCAACCCCTCGGGCTCTCCAGTCGCTTTCGAAGGCGAAGGCACCTTCCTCATTAAATATGATACAATGAGAATCCCTGGCGTCACACCTCGGTGCCAATGGCTGTCGATTTTTGCCAAGCAAGAAAGATTTGTAAGACATATCGTTACCCAAGATATCGTGGCCATGTCCTCGCCATCTACGGCGTCTGCCGCACATTGATGCTGTTAGGATTGGATCAGGCCTACTTTGATGTTATGTGCACAATCCCCAAACTTGGAGGTCTTTCTGTGGATGCAGTGTGCATAGATTCACATCCAACCAGGATCATGCTGTCCGCGCACGTCACGACTCGAGTTCACGTTTGAATGGAGCCAAGTGCCACGCGAGCAAGCCATCTTGCCCCAGATACACTCACGCCGGCCTCTGCAACACCCTCGTGTTGGGAGTTTTTTGCGATTTCTCTCTTTTAAAAACCAACACATTCATTAGGTTGACGAGCGACGGTTACACATTTGTAAAGAGGTGCTTTTCAGCGAGCCTGGATTTCCCGGCTCGATTTGCTTATAAGCCGTCAGCATCAGCATCTGGGTGCTCCGTATCGCGGAGTCAACGATGTTTGCATTCGATACCTCGGGGGCTCCAAATGCTCGCTTTGCACTCTTCGGTAGCATGCTGGGATGCGTATGGATCACGGTCTCCCTTCGTATCTCGGCCTGCACCAAAAGGAGTTTCACGTGGGATGATGGGTTCTGTCTATTATCTGCTGTTGGTGGTCTCTTCGATGCGCAACGAGTATCCCGCTGACAGACGCAGCTTCTCTTCACGGGGTTTTGTACAACCGCCCTCCTTGTCGAGGTGCATCTCAGCGGCGGCTATAGCGACGCTGAGCGCCGGTCAGCATTGGTTGCGGTCAGTTCATTAGCCGCATGTGCACGCTTTCTGCTCGCTGATACGAAACAGCTCTCGATGACAAGCACCGAATTATACGTTGCAGCGATCGGTCTCTTGAAAGTATCCATTGGCCTTTTCTACTTGCGACATCTCGAAGGTGCCTGGCAGCGTTACACGGTTCACACCGCAATAGCTGTGAACATAGCCAGCAGCGTTCTTGTTGTCGTCGCGACAGCGCTCGAATGCGGCGCTCTCCTGAGCTCCGCACAATCTCAACAGAGCAACACTTGCTTGCAAAGAAACGTGTTGCACATCATCGAATTGGCGACAAGCGTGTCGAATGCCGCTAGTAGCTGGACATTGACGATCATACCGGTCTTCATCGTGGCCGCTCATTCCCAGCACCTGTCAATACAGCAGAAAGGATGCACCGGGTGCGCAATATTGCTTGGAGGCTGCGCTAGCGTCATGTCAATCCTGCGACTCCTTTGCGTGGTAGGAAACAGCGCGAGCAGCGAAACCTATCTGGTTCCGCTGTCGGTCCTCGAATTCGGAATAGCTATTATCGCGGCGTCGGCCGTGACTCTGCAGCCACCGTTCTCTTGTCTGGCCCGGCCAGTGACATTATCCGACTACATCAGTTACTCTGGGAGCGAAACGACTCTGGAGAAAGATCATGAGCACCTCGCAAATGACCGGATGAAGCCCATCAAAAGCCACTTCTCCTTGTTTAGCGAAGCTTCGGGACCAAGAACTTGGTTCAACAGCTTGCGCGACGAGAGTACGACCCATGAAGCTGCTCCTACGCTACCCGATTGGGGCCATCCACATAGCCACCAGAGGTCTATCCACAAGATCGATGGCAAGTTGGTCATATCAAAGCCTGTGGTAGATGCACCTCCACCGCTGAACCGAACGGAGAGCCAGCAATATCTCCTGCGTGATAAGCGTAGCGACTCGATCTTGTCGTCTGAAGATGGAAGACGGCATGTGCCGCTCTTTGTGTACGGGGGAGAGGATTGAACTGTACAATAGTAGCAAAAATGTATCACAGCACGGCAGTACATTGCATGGGAATTATGATGAGAGCAAGGCGGGCGCATGCCTTCAAGAAATACTGAGAGTCTCGACGCAGTAGACAATGTCATGGTCATGAGCGTTGCCATAGGCCTGATCGAGGCGCTTCTTCTATAACGATTTATGATAGCATGAAGAGACCGGATAGCTTCGCGGCCATAGCAACAAGCATCAGAAACAGGAGTTTACAGGCTCGCAGATGGAGTTCWTCACTTCCGACAATATCAATGTCAGTTCGAACGGTCTCTGTGGTTTCAGTTGAAGTTGGCAAGGTAAAAACACACATCATTGCAGTAGTTGCAAGGGGAATTCCTTGATTGCGGGACAACTTTGACTCGACACCATGGAAGAAGTTGTATGGACACTTTATAGGCCTGGTTTTACTTCTTGCACTATAAGGTACAACACATGCTTGCAGATACGCGCCTTGTCGACGAGGCTACCATCAGCCATAAGAGGCTTCAACTACCCCAACCCTAACCCTACAAGTCACTTGGCAGCAGTCAACCCTCCGCATTGTCCGTCGCTAACAATGCTCCTTCGCCCCGCTACCTCTGACCCCCAACATCTGAATGATTCTCGCAAGAGCTTTTCAGACTGCGCAAAGAACTGCGGCTGTCCAGAAATGGTGGGTGGCGGTGCGGAATAACAAGCGACGTGCAGTCTTGAAATCTCCGCGTGGCATATCAACAAGAACTCCCTCACGGGCAGTAGCTCGTGCAGACCCAACATCAAGATCGCGCAGACATGTGTCATTCAACCATAGCCTGGATCCGACCATATACGCCCTTTCATCGGCGACGGGAAGGGCAGCAATCGCTGTGATAAGAATATCCGGACCAGCTTGTCTCGACATTTACCGAGCAATATGCCCTGGCAAGAAGATTCCCCAACCTCGGATGGCAGCTGTGCGCACGCTGTATCAGCCCGGAGAGTTGCCCAGTCGCGATACAGTCTTGGACTCCAGTGCATTGATTTTGCACTTCCCATCTCCAGCCACAGCGACTGGAGAGGATATACTGGAGCTGCACGTACACGGTGGACCTGCGGTAGTCAAAGCTGTTCTGGCTGCCATATCAAAATGTGACGATCACATCCGCTATGCCGAGCCGGGAGAGTTTACACGACGGGCCTTTATGAACAATCGACTGGACCTCACTCAAGTGGAAGCACTAGGGGATACGCTCTCGGCAGATACAGAGCAGCAGCGGAAATTGTCGATTCGAGGCACGACCGGTGGTCTCGCGAAGCGCTATGAAGACTGGAGACAGCAACTGCTGTACGCGCGCGGTGAGTTGGAAGCTCTGATTGATTTCAGCGAAGATCAACACTTCGACGAGAGCCCGGCTGAGCTATGCGCCTCTGTCTCCAAACAGATAGTGGCTCTCAAGCGGATACTTCTTATTCATACCCAGAATGCCGTGCGTGGTGAGCTACTTAGGCATGGTATTAGCGTCTCGCTACTAGGACCCCCAAATGCTGGCAAAAGTTCTTTGCTGAATCGCATCGTTGGAAGAGAAGCAGCGATTGTGAGCCACGAGGCTGGCACAACTCGTGATGTCGTTGAGATAGGCCTTGATCTGGGGGGCTACTTTTGTCGGTTCGGCGACACTGCCGGTCTTCGTCTGGCGAAGGAGGCAGTTCAAGGAGGGCAGTCGATACTGGAAGCGATCAACCATATCGAACAGGAAGGGATGCGACGAGCCAAAGCGAGAGCTGCCGACAGCGATCTTGTCATCGTTGTGCTTGGATTTGAGACTGTCAATGATCACACTGCGCTCAATTTCGATGCCGAAGTATGTGCAGTTGCGAACCAATTGCACCAAGAAAAGGGCAATGTACTTCTTGTCATCAACAAGTCCGACTTGCTCCCCATGGATGAATTCCGAAGAGACAGTGCTCTTCGCATAGCCCTTGATCACTTCCCTGGACTTGCACGGGATCGCGTCTACATGGTTTCATGTATCGATGGACCACCAGCCGACGCATCAACGCCATTCCAGTCATCAGACCCGGGGGGAATACAGAAATTTCTCCAAGGCTTGATCCAGCAATTTGGAAGGCTGACTGAGGCCGTCACATCAGAATCCTCGGCCGATGAGCCGGATCCTTCAGTTTGGCAGGAGGCTTTGGGTGCGACAGAACGCCATCGTGTTCTTTTGGAAGCATGCGTTGGTCATCTAGATGCATTCCTGGCAGAGGCTACGCCTTCGACAGCTGCTGACGGTCAGCGCTATCGTTTCGACCCTGCCGGCGGACTTGATAGCGCTGATGCTACTAGAGATACTGCTGCCGATGAAGAGGCAGATATTGTCGTTGCGGCCGAGCATCTGCGGTTCGCTGCAGACTGTCTCGCGAAAATCACGGGTAGAGGAGATGCTGGAGACGTCAATGAGGTTTTAGGCGTGGTTTTTGAGAAATTTTGCGTCGGCAAGTGAACGACCACCTGAAGGAACAGCTCATTTGATAGAGTATAGATACCTAAACCGCCGTCAGAACGACCTGCGTTGCTGTTTGAGAAATTTCCCCAAAGTTCCAAGATAAACGCCTTGTAATGCCGCTAAGTAACACCCGTCAACGCAGATGCAGAATTACACCCGCTCATCCATTTATTATCTTTCCTGAAATGCTGCAACGCTAAGACCACCAATGCTCGCTAGAGTACTACTGTCATTCGTTCCTGGCCAGTGGTCCCGCCGGGAGCCGTGGGATGCGTAGAATTCCAAAAGCGATGCCGTAGGCGCGAAGTAAAGACAGCCGTCCGAAAGGGAGTTGTTGTTCAAGTGTTGTATCGAGACCAGCCCGAAGTCCAACATCATGAGAGATTGACGTCCACCGAGAATGTGAGGTATGATGAAGAGAAATGATCATAGAGGGGTGTTGTAGCCACTGTTGATACCTTGTTAGTGAATGGTCATTGCGGGTCTTGATTGCTGTAGCGTACCCTCGCCCATCGTCATTGCCGTTGAGAGACATGCTGTTCGTTGCTAAGAATAATGCTGGAGTTGCTCCTGGTGTTCAGCCCTGGAATGTGTTGTCGCTGCGGCAAGGCAGAGAGTTCCCGGTGATGTAAAGTAGAGTCCCACTTAGTTGTAACCTCCGCGACCCATTTCGTTGATATTCTGATAAGGAAAGAGAGGTAAAGAGAACAGCTGCCGAGGCAAAGGAAATAGCCTGCGCTGTAGAGAGACGGTAGGAGATGGAGAGATWCGATCGTACTGGATAGATTTGCTGAGTGTTGCCGATGGATGGATGTGCTGTTGAAAGGAATCAAGTGTAAAGAAATGGAATAGACTTGTTGATGCTGTAATGTGTTAATGAGATGAGACTTTGAGATGTTCGGTCCCTCAGGCCTCTATATAGGAAGTGATTGTTCCTGGATGCAAGTGACGAAATCCCTCTCGAGCCTCTGGCCGTTCATGACACAGTCATCTATTCCGGTAGACATGTGTACCTGCAGYCGTCTCTGCCACGCTCCTTTCGTAGCGCTGCACGTTCGGAGAAGAGCGTATCTTGTCAGCTCCGATGTGTGTGATGGTATGATGAAGTTCCCTTTCCTCTGCCAAAAATAGTTCGCGGTCGTGCCTGAATCCTATTTTGTGGCTTTGGAAGAATCCACAGATTTCGCCCACGAGAACTTGGAAGACTAGCACAAATAGAGTAAAGCTTTGCTCGTTCTCCAAGCGTTTTCCACGGCTGGTGCTTATACTCGTGGACACCATTTGCTCCCACTGCGCCCCAACTTTCCCTTGAACAATGCGAAGCCGCCAACAGAGCTGGAGGGCTCTCGGCCTCGACCCGCGCTTCCTTGCTGCCTTGCACTCAAATTGGAAACGAAAATCCACCGGCGACAGGGAGCTGAGGTGACATAGCTACAGGGAAGACGAAATGCAGCCCTACGGCGGGCCCACGCCATGCACGCCGGTCGCCTGCTTGCCAACCACGATTCATCAGCAAGGCATGAACGACAAGTGTTGCCGGACGGTATTCGCAACTCTTCACAAGCAATTGACGGATGCAAGACGTAGCAAATGACAGCGACAGCGGGTGGCTGGTCTCGGTTCAAGGGCCCAGCAAAACTGTGGAGAGTCCGCTCAGCGCCATGCAGCTTCGGAGCTGCGCGAAATCGCTGCAGAGCTGAGAATGCCAAAGTCAACACCGATTGTAACATCTCGTCTAGATGTCGATGATGAGAGCTGTCATATGACCGAATCGACGTTACATTCGCAAAGAGTCTTACATCGACCATTATCAAGCAGGAAGAATGTGTCACTGTCCGACTCATAGGGCTGTACGCGAGCCGTGGGTTGAGCCACAGCGTAGGGCTGCCGAGGKGAAGATCGACAGGATGCAAAGCTGAACTCTCCTCGAGACTCGAAGACATGAATGTGTAATGAAGCACCGCTCACGACTGCAGCACAAATCCCCGAAGAGGTGGATTGCGCCATTTTCAACAGCCGTTGGATGGCCGGGTCGCGAGAAAGACAGAGGCACCGTGAGCGGCACATGCTCCATCCAGAATCTCATCAACTGTCGACGTCCTCTCGCCTACGTGGAACAGCACAATGAACAGAAGGTGGTATCTTTATTTGCTCCACATACGATTGCAGTCTGTTCTGCTAACATCGATGTGTCCATTATCCTGCTAATATCCACATTATGCCGCTCACTTCTTGTCAATTTGATCACGCTGACCATAAGCCTTGGTGGCGTAGTCACCCTTGTGAACAATCAAATCCTGAGGCCTGTAGTCCTCACGTCCGCTGAAGTATGAATCCAAGATGGCCTTGGTACCCGCGGCGTATCGTGCCTGTGCATCGATTGAGGTACCGGACATGTGGGGAACCATGGCATTTCCACCGCCCCAGGTCGAGTATGATGCGGTGCGGAGTGGGTGGTCGGCTGGTGCGGGCTGTGGGAACCAAACATCACCACCGTATCCTCGAAGGTGACCGGATTTGAGAGCCTCGGCGACATCCTCTTTGACGACGATGGCACCACGGGCAGTGTTGACGAGCCATGAACCTTGAGACTTGTTAGCAATGGTGACAGTATTAGCTGGAGCAAGAACACATACCCTTCTTCATTTTGCTGATGAGCTCCTTGTTGAACAAGCCACGGGTCTTCTCGTGGAGAGGGCAGTTGATAGTGACCAAGTCACACTGTGCCAACATCTCCTCGAGGCTGTCAACTCTCCGGCAACCAATCTCCTTCTCAACCTCTGGGGACAGAGCCTGGTAGTCGAAGTAGAGGAGCTCCTTGCAGTCGAATGGCTTCAGTCTTCGGAGAACTCGCTCGCCGATACGGCCAACAGCCACGGTACCAACGACCTTGCCCTCCAAGTCATACTCGTTCTTGGCGACTTCAGCGACGTTCCAGTCTCCACGGGCAATCTGCTCGTGGGCTGGGACGAAGTTGCGGACAAGGACAAGCGCGGTCATGACGACGTGCTCAGCAACAGAAACGACGTTCGATCCAGTGACCTCGGCGACGGTGATACCGCCATTGGTCTTGTTGGCAGCATTGAGGTCAACGTGGTCGGAACCGATACCAGCCGTGATGGCGATCTTGAGCTTCTTGGCCTTGGCCAAACGCTCCGCAGTGAGGTATCCTGGGTGGAAGCTAAGGGCTGTTAGCCCAAYCTTTCCTACTGAGGATGCACCTCTCAAAACTTACGGGGTGGTGATGATGACCTCGGCGTCGACGAGCTCCTGGTCGAACTTGCTGTTCTCGCCCTCCTTGTCGGAGGTGGTAACAAGAGTGTGACCCTGGTCTTCAATCCATTTTCTAATACCAAGCTCGTTCTCGGTCGTTCCTAGAAGTCTAGGCTCTTGCTGAGCGTGCTCATGGCCCTGCAAGATTTGGTCAGTAGCTGAAATGTGGGATTGATATACAATTGAAGGTGTAGCTTACATCGTAAAGAACGAGAAGAACCTTGCCCTGTTGTGAAGATGTCGCGGTCAGCGTTCGGACGCCCCCAGTCTTTGCAAGTAGAGCTCCGCGCTGTGTGAAAGCGGGAGTCGCTCTCTGCGAAAGCAGAGAGGTGGCCGGACGGGCCAAACGAAGTGAGGAGCGTGCAAATACCATGATGTCTGTAAGAGTGCGGAGGTATGCGAGGGTGAGAAGTTCGAAGGAAGATGGATCTTATGTAGGAAGCTTCGTGCAGCTCAAGCTGGTACGCGGAAGTCTGCCATCGTCAATGCACGTTAGCCGCTCGATCCCGCGCTCCCATCAGACCGATGCCAATTGCGGAACTGATGCGGGGAGACTTGCCTCTTTCCAGGTTGTTGTCGCGTGTGTGAGGAGTTGAACGCTTACAGATGACTGCAAGCTCTGATGAAATGATTTTATTTTTCGCGAGTTGGCGCTGGAGCTCTACCTATATACCCACAACCTTCGGGAGCTTGTGAAGCTGTGAAGAAAGCTAGACAACACGGCTGAGTGATGCGTTTGTCGCTCTAGTTTTTCACCTTTTGTTGTTCGCTTGAGCGTTTAGCAGCTGTGACGTTGTGGTTCAGCGGCGACCCCACTTTCAGCAGCGATGCACGCCGAGACCAGCAAGGAATGCCAGGTAGTGAGACCTTGTTCCATGTTTGTTGGTGGGTCCAATTCCACATGCTAGGCGATGCCACGTCCCCTTCGCGCGAGGGGTACGCTCATAGCGGATAATGGGAGCGCAAATCCGTGTGATGATGGATGTATTGCGGAAGTACAATGACAGGGAAGCTAGCTGGCTCCTTGGCAACCATCGCAGTTCACAGGCCAAAATCTGGGGAAAGGTAAGGTAAATAAGCATTTGAGCAAGTGGGGTCGAATTGATGTGAGCAGAGCCTATCGGGGATCGTCACACAGAGGTGGGACATGCGGCTTCGGCAAACTGTATGCTATTTGGGACAAACGTCACCTTGATGCCAAGTTGATGCCATGGAAAACTGAAGCAGTGCCGGTCTATATAGGTGTGGCAATCCCAGACTCCACATGGACGTCATTCTGTACCTCGACGCGAACGGTTCTGGAAAGGTTGTTCTTACCGTTTCGAACCGGCATACGGAGTGAACTCCGTCAAGGAATTGTTGGGTGCTTCACCTACCTACTTCATACAAACTGGTGTTTGCGTTGAGAAATAAGTCGCCCGTCGCCTAGTCATTCGTCGGACAATCGTAGGACGGCTTCTGCTCGGACGCAACTGTTTCATGAAGCATGAAGTAACCTACCTAGGTATTGCAGATCAGGACCCTGGCCCCATTCTGCAAAAGGCCCGCGAAACATCCACTGCCACGACTGAAATGATCTGCAACTATTAGTCGGCTGCCCGCTACATCCGCAATACTTTTCCATGATTACTGGGAGGTGAAAGGGCACACAAGAGAGCAGGGGCCACTGGAAACGGCTGCTGCAATTATCGCATTCCAAACATGGCTTTCTGATCCGCTGGCTGACGCAGTTTGAAAGGGCCCAGGCAAGTCCGCTATGATCATATGGTCATATGGTCATTGTAGCCTACTCGATCGTTGATCTGGTTTACCGCTTCGCAGCTTCAAGATCTTGCCCTTTGATCTTGATGACTGAAGGAGCTCGCGGAAAACAAGCCCAAGAGCAATCTCGACTCCCATTCTTTCCCTCGATCTCGATAGATTTAGTGTCTGTCATTTGCAGGCCCAAAAGCGGGAGCGTGTAGCGACTATCAAAATGATGGGACGGAAGTAGGACCGGCCCAGGAACCTTAGGAAGCCATATAAAGCTCACTGGCTAGAGTCTCGTTCCAGCCCACCTGGGAGTTTTCCGAGACTTGAAGGCCGTGCGTTTATGGGTTCACGTAGCCACCTTGGAGCTCTACTGGTGTTGATTGTAAAGGGAACAACGGCAGAGCAACCGACGGCTGGCCAAGAAGATGGAACAAGGCCCGGAAGATGAAGGTGGGCTCGAGAGTTGCAGCCATGTGTACGGGCTGAACAACGAACGTGAGGAGAGCAGCTGACGAGAGGGAAAGCGTGTTGAACACCATCGTTGCGCTTGAGATGCTGAAGGAATGAAGAGATGGAGAAACTGACTGGTGATGTTGAATCTGACTTCTTGTGCTGACCTGACACAAGCGCATTCGACAGCGCCGCTGATCCACAAGGTAATCGATTGCTCCGGAACCCGACTGTTTGAATCCCATTTCTGTGACTCCGAAGGCAAACTATAGGTAGCGTAGACCTGCATCACCATTCAATCTGCGTGGCAGCTCTTCGGTAACGGCTTGGCTGAAATGATGCAATGCAGGCTCGACCGTCGCCTTGGTATAGATAGGTTTGTGATAAGGCTCAAACAGCAGGCATGCTCAACGCCTCGGAGTGCGGCAGTGTCTGGTATCCTCGAGACTACCTGGCAGCCGGATATCTCAATCAGGAAGCGGTGGGCATTGGAAGGGGGCACGGGGATATGACTTCTCACAAGTTTTCCTCAAACACACCCAAAGCCCCCGAAAACGATGCCATCCAACTCTGCGGACATCCACTTCTCGATCTGAATGCATACACTTACTATTCTGCTTTTGGCCCTAGGAAGCTGGTTCGTTGGCTAAATTACAGGCTCAACTCTGCCCGAGCGTTTGACAAGCCTGCACTACTTTGCTGCTCGCTGTTACTGTGTGCTGGCGCAGCACTACATACCCTTGCGCCAAACCTCGGGGCGAACAACTTTCTGTGCTTGTTGTCGTTGCCATTGCCGCCCAGTTGGTACTTATTGTGCCGGATCCAGCTGGGTAACGCATGTTTCCCAGTCCCTCGTGACAGTGGCTCTGTACATTGGTACGGTGAGACCACAGAGCGGATGCGAGATTGCAATGGCATTGCTGGAGAAGATCGCTGGCCAAAGGAGACCGTTGGCTAAAGACTGGAGTGTCGGTTGGCATGCATATTTGAATGGACTGCTATGCTGTAATAGATCCAGTCGCCTGCAATCGACTCGCGGAGCAGTTGATGGTGATGTGAAGAAGGAGGAGGAACGGAAATAAAAGGGAAGGAAGTGGGGTGGATAATCACACGCTAAGGAACCTTAGTGCCCTCAGTTGAGCTACTCACGTTCACAGCATTCAGAATCACTTCCCTCTAGCTCAGCGATCCAAATCATGCCAACAACAACACCGCGCCAGAGCTATAATGTCGTCCTACATCAGCAATCTTCTAACCCACACAACGTCGCGGTATAACAGTCTACGGCGCACGCTCCTTTCCAGCGAAGACGACGGCGACACTGAAGACGACACCCACATTTGCCGTGTCCTACGAGCATACTACACCGAGAAAGGGCGATCATATCCACAATGGCTACCGCCCGATCCAAACGACCGCAAGTCATTGCCTCCCACGTCTTCGCAACAGTCGGGGTACTTCACAAGTGCGGGAGGAAGAAGTCAGTACGGCAGTGCACAAAATCAGAGTCAACCTGGGCAAAGGGCGAGTCTGAGTGATCTTTGGGATCCGCCATCAGCACCTCAGAACAATACCCCCGTGCAGCCACAGAGTCTTCGAGCGTCACGACGACCCATGAACGCTGCTGCGCCGGCAGGGACATCCTCTCTTGCTCCACCACAAGCGCGACCACTACCCTCGCAACGGGCAGGGAGCTACCAGAGCGTATCATCACAACAAAGCTCGAGTCGGCCATCGAGTGGCATGAATGCGGACGGTGGTCCTGCTAGTGCCGGCACGGCTCAGGATAGGCTCAAAGCCAGGCTATGGGGTGGTGGGAGAAGTCCTGCGCCTAGTCAAGTAGGAGCGCCAAATGCCTACGAGACGGGTGGGAATGCAGGCGCTGGGTGGGGTAACGGTGGAGGACAACAACAGCAATATGATGGAGGTGGTGGATCGAGTAATCGGAGATACGGCCGACAATAAGTGTCACGTCGTGCCACAAGAGCGTGACAGTGGAAGGCGGACTCTGGTTCGCAACCCAGCATTTGACTATCGACGGCCTTGATGACAGACAAGGGACATGACATAGACTTCATCATGATTGCGAAACCCTGGAGGGGCACCAAGTACATGTAACTCATGTTCTGTTGGTTGCACTCGGCATTCTCCCACGAACCACTCAATCTTCTTTGTCGTGCAACGAGAAACCCTGCCCAAAAACYGGCCCCAATTGCAGAAGTGGTTCCTTCCATTCGGAATGCGACTGATTAGGTCTTCAAAGCCGCAGCAGGCCTCGCGCGTTTTGAAGTTCTGGCAGTTCTTCTCTGATCGATCACAACGAACTCGTATCACAACCCCCTCAACCTTCAATTTCTGGGCCCGCCAAATAGGTGCGCCTACGTACAAGTTTGAGAGAAGTCTCAGTTCTGTGAATCGTCATCTGTTTCGTTCCCCATCTCGTCAATTTCATTCACTTCATGCTGCGTTTGTTCTTGGCGCTAGCCCTCGATTCGACTACTCGATTTCCTTATACGAAAGCGGTCCGGCCGACTCGGCACGGACTGCAATCGTTACAAATGAGATAATCGGGACATCGACGGATGCTAGCCTCTACTTCGTCCCGGCATCTGTCACAGGCTCAGACGCCTACTTCGTCCCAAGCCCAACTTTGACGACTGTCCCGAGCGCCAAGGACTGTCAGATTCAGCCTACAGCCCTCGCCAACTACGAACCGCCGAGGACAACCAGCGCATCAAGCCCTAGCCAAACGGTAGTCTTCGCCGCAGACAAGTCAGACTCGTCTAGATAGGGCCAGGGTGTCACTCCCAATGCGGCGCCCACGAATCAGCAAAATCCCTCGAGCACCGTTTCGTACGATAACACCGTCGTCATTGCCGTCACTGCGAGCACCACAGGAGATATCAGTAGCGCCGCAGGTCTGACCTTCAAGCCCATCGCCGACCTAGTCGAGATTGGTCTACTGGGCGTGCTTGTTCTGTTGTGAAACATGACAAGATCTGACGGAGATCACGCTTGGAGCTTGGGGGTTGGCACGATACATGAAAAGCTGCTGAAGACTGCAAGTAACATCGCCTTTGGAACTGAAAACTTYGGACGACTTATTACGAGTAGTTTAGGATTGATAGTGTTTGTGATCCAAAGATCGGGTTGGGGTCAACTCAATACTCATAGTTTTGCATCACCACCTTGTGGCGTGCGTGCTTCCTTTCAACATCTATTCCAGGTCGTGATATGTACACCTCGAGATCATTGCTACATCCATGTCCCAGCCTTTCTGAGGCTCAGAGACTGGCCATTATAGTTTCGCTTTCAAATCATCGCTCAAAACCCGGTCCTCGAACCTCCTCATGAGCTTGTTTGTCTGCTCCGCCAAGCTCAGGGTAAGGATGGTGTGCGGCAGGATCCGTGCCAAGTGAGCGAAGAATCCCTTGTAAAGTGCAAATATGCCCTCTGTCTTGACGGTCTGGGACAGGCAGTCAAAGGCGCTCTTGTAGAGATTTCCGGTCTGGTTGTACATCCGGCTCATGACTGTGTCTGGAGGATGCATGACTACGCACACCACAAAGCCGGACGCGGTTGAAGACATGAAGTGTAGCGGCGCTCCGTCTTTGATGTTGAAGTTACGTTGTAGCACTCTCTTCGCGAAGAAATAGGTAGGGAGCTGGACGGACGATCCGAAGCCCGTTCTCACCATTGCTGGTATTACACCTCTCCATAGCCCTCGAACGCCCTCGGCGCCGTATATTTGGCGCATACCGTCCGCTGCGTTTCTGTATTGATGTTGGGWGCCTACAGGAAGGAAGGGAGAGAACGACTGTAACCGCGTTTTGACAAGGAAAAAAGGTGATCCTAGCAGAGCACCCAGAATTCCCGAAGAAGCTCCAGAGGCAATGTTGACGGGCAGAGACTGCATATTCTTCACCGCTTCATCCGTTCGATTCGTAGGCGAGCGTGTGAGAATGAGGGAGTTGAGGGTCGTCCGAATAGGATCGTAGAAGCCAAGTCGACAGCCATTGAGCGTCATCTGGTAGACATAGGCGCAACTCAGTCCGCGCAAGAGGCCCTTGAGACCCTCATTGGTGTAGATGACCTTGACGCCGTGCAGAACGCCTTTGTACATTCGCGGCGCATCGCGCTTGGCTTGCAATTCTCCCTGGAGTTGTAGTCGGATCTTGACCGTCTCAAAGGAGTGGGTGACTGTGACGGCGCCGCACGCCGCGACGCCGCCGGCAATGAAGGATCCAATCGTGGTCGACATGCTCGTCGGCGCACGGGGGAGGGGGTCGATGCTATCGTACCGGCATAGAGTTGACGCAAGGTGGGAAGAGAGTTTGTCGCAGTTGAGACATTAAGCTATTCGGCCGTCAGGGCCCGGCCGTGATCGGCGCCGTGAAGTTCGGTCGTGCTCCAATGTTCAAATGTTCGCGACGACTTTGACAGCATCGGAATCCACCTTGCACCCTTCCCTTCACCTCGTCTCCCCCACTCCACCCGCCACCCCACCCATCACCCCGACCACACCACTCCGGCCATCCATGGCGCCCGGAGATCCGCCGCCCGCGCCCGTGGCCAAGGTGTCGGATGTCATTTCGACCTTCCGGCCCACCCGCCAATTCAAGGCACCGCAAGGCACAAGCTACACATCTGTCGATTTTGACGATGGCGGCGAGTTTCTGCTACTCTCGCGCACCGACGACACCATCCAGCTGTACAACACCAAGGCCGGCGCTCATGCTAAAGAGCTTAAGTCGCAAAAGTACGGCAGCGCCCTGGCTCGCTTCACCCACCACAGCACGTCCATCATCTACGCTTCGACCAAGATAGACGATGGCATCCGCTATCTCTCCATGCACGACAACAACTTCATTCGATACTTTCGCGGACATATAGGAAGGGTGACCAGCCTCAGTCTCAACCCCAGCAATGACACATTCTTGAGCACCAGCATGGACAACACGGTCAAACTGTGGGATGTGCGGTCCTCCAGTGCCCAGGGTCAGCTCAACTTCGAGTCTCCATGGTTGAGCACATACGATCCGAGCGCCACGGTCATCGCCGTTGCCAGCCCGCCTGCTCAGACCGTGCATCTCTACGATTTGCGCAACTACGACAAGCCGCCGTTTGCGACCTTTGATCTCAATAGCCTGGAAGCTCGTTTTGAGTCCAAAGGTCAGCGCCAAGGTGCAGGCTGGACAGGAATGGAATTTAGCAATAACGGCAAGCTGTTGCTGATCTCCACCAATGGCCCAGGGCATTATCTCCTCGATGCCTTTACGGGTGACTTGGTTGCTTACCTACAACGGCCAAGCGGGCCCGACCCGGCACATCTTGCGCCTGGAGACGACTTGCCAAATCATGAGCCAGACAGTCCGACGCCGTCGTTCGTCCAAGCTTCGGCATGCTTCTCGCCCGACGGAAATTTTGTGGTGGGTGGTAATGGCAGAGCGAACGGCCTCTCGGTGTGGGATGCTACCATAGTCAGCAACCGGCCGGATAAAGCCCTGGAGCCCATGGCAGATCTCCCGAGCCAGCGTCCAAGCAAGCTTGTGGCTTACAATCAACGGTACAACTTGCTCGCGAGCGCTGAAAAGGAGGTCACACTGTGGTTGCCCGATAACGATGCTGCATGAACAATGCTTATTTCATTCTGGTTCTGCGAATTAGCGAGGAGTTCGACGGGGACATGAGAGTCAAGGAACGGGCCGCGATGAACACTCGCATCTAGGAAGATCACGCGAAATGACGGATGTCACGGGAAATTGGAGTTGATGTTGTGGGACCTTCAATCTCGGTGCTGGAGTTCTGGAGAATTTCTTAACAGGTATGCTGGACTTCGTGGTGGTCCCAGAATGATAGAACGGTATGTCGGAAGACCTTTCAGTATTCAGTCTCTGTATCATTCCTCTTATGTGTCACCTCGAGAAGCTATTCATGCCTACGATTGCGAGAACGTTGGCTGTTTGCCGCATTTATCGCCTGTGTATTTGCGTCTTCCTTTCGAACGCCATCATCTTTGCGAATTGTCAAGTTGGTTGTCAAAAAGACCAGCTCATACTGAATGCAGACAAAGGACAATCTGCGGAGGATGTCAACATTCCAAGTCTTTCACTGGCCGACGGCCCATGACATGGACTCCTGGCATTACCGTCCGGAGAATGGCACGAATAGCAATCCCATGATCGAGTAGATTCGCCCGAGTGCTGTCTTCGAGTTTGCTGTACGAAGCATCAAAAAGGATGACCGCAGCTTGGACGGTGCTATCACGCCGGCGTGTCTGGTTTCTCTGGCACCATGGGCGAATCTGCAAGACGTGCCGTTCATGGGATATGCTCGGTATTCCCAAAGAACGTGCCAGGCAATGTACGGCTCCCAACAAATCTGCGAGGTTCTTCTCAACTTGCTGGTTGCGAAAGGAGCATGGCAAGAGTGGCGGTGTCATGTATCCGCTCACACATCAGGATGTATTTCAGATATGCGCTGCTCATGACGATCAGGCTGGAGCGGTGGTCTTTGCAGGATACGCGTATGAAGCGAAGATAGACTGCGCAGGGCAGAACAGCCCGGAGACACAGAGGATGAAGATATTAATGGAAGCTCCGTCGGCTGATCCGCCATATGTTGCTTATCCGAAACTTCGCTGGAAGTCTGCGAAGGATGATAGGCCGCTTGGTATTCGCCCATTCGAGTTCGAGAAATGGCTTTGGCGCGAAAGAGGGAAGCAGCAAGGAAACTTATGTCGCCAACTTACCTGCACCTGCAGTCACTGATCTTCTCTTTCCCCCATGATCCCAACTAAACGGTGAGGAGCAATTACGAAGGGAGGACTTTCGCCGACTGGAGACTTCATCATTTTTGTCCACCCGGAACCCCATCATCATTGTCCATTGGAGATCTCATTATTGTTGACAAAGCGCATCTGTTCTCGCACTGCATCGCACATTTCCGACAATGGCTTCAAACAGCCAACACTTTGCTTCCGCGCGCCTCCCATCACTCCCGTCTCAATGCGCCTTCCCTTTTGGCCGGAATACTACACATGCGTCGGTCTATTGGCAGTTGGAATTTGAACGGATTTACAAGCCCTCTCTGTGGAATGGGATTCCGATAGTCATTGAATCAAATCTTCGAGGATTCTGTGAGTACAGTAAAATGGAGAAGACTTTTGTGTTTCCTCTAGAAGAGCAACCACCTCATAGCTGACCCTTCGCTTTCAGTCACTGCTAGGTCCCGTTCCGGAATACACACCCCGGTTCTCCACTTGAACACAAAGCAAAGCCCATCGACGAAGGCGCAATACGCAGACTTCCTTCTGTTGTGCTCCAGATGCCCCTTGGCAGATGTAGTTGAGGCGCACCGCTCTGCATATCCCCACAGACCAATCGATGTGATGTTCGTGATGAGCAGAGTCGACCTAGCGCTTGATAAATTGGCAGGTTCGTCCCACAGTCACTTCCGAGCCAGTCTAAGTGCAGAGTTCGATCTCGCCAGATGGTACACCGAAACATGGTATGTGCAGCCCCTTGTTTACACCAAGAACATGTGCTACGTTGAGAGGCCGGAAGTGTGCCTGAGAAGACTTCAGAAAGGCTTCACATGTGATGTCGCGTGCTTTCATTGCGCGGAATCTTGCTAACGTTTTATTGCTCCCAGGAATATCGATTGTTGTGATGCCGCGGAGGCACAGGGGCAGATGGTACCCAAATACGTCGGACCTGCAGATTTGCCTACATTTCCCGGGCCAGGAGCCCCACTCGTCCGATGGAATGACCACCCTTCTCTGTATCCTCTGTATCCTCCCACTCCAGCAGGGCATCATCCTCCTCCAGCAGCGTATCCTCCTCCAGCGGGGTATGCTCCTCCCCCACCGGAATACCATCCAGCGGCAAATCCTCCAGCGGCGTATTCCCATCCACCAGAATCATCTGCTGCTGCTGCTGCTGCTGCTGCTCCTGCTCCTGCTGGGGATTCCATACAGGGGCCATATCGGCCGAGTCATCCTAGGGATCTTCCCCCACCTCGCGATGTTCGACATCGGATGCCCTCTTCCTATCCTCCAGCTATATCTCTCGGTCCTGTCGCTGCCGCCGCTGAAACTACCACACAGTCGCCATTGCCGCCAATAAACGATCTGATTAGTGATCGTGTGACTTTTGGTAACTCACAAGAGCCTCTACCGGCAATTCACAATTCGCCCAAGAGTTCGGAGGAGCCTCTACCGGCAATTCGCAATTCGCCCAAGAGTTCGGAGAACGGACGTCGTGATTCAGCGAAAACGGGTGAAACCAGCGGACCATGGCCACCTCAAAGTCGCTGCTTGGGGTAGACGATGCCCAACGAGGGGTTGCGAGAGCGCCGCGAGAGCGGTGAATGGAAAAGGCTGTCATTATCCCAAGCTAAGAACAGAACGCTATCAAAGGTACATTCTCTCGCTTAAACCATAAGCAACGCTGCAATGCCAGTCAACCCCAAGACCGCCGCGACCACACCCGTCTTCCTCCCAGCATCACCCTTCTTGGCCATTTCATTGTTCATGCTCGCCGTCGCCACAAGTTGACCATCCTTTACAACACCACTCGTGGCAGTCGGATCCGCTACAACCCACGCCTGGCTCCCAGTAACACTTGCAGTATAATACAAGCTAACATCCGTTTTACTCCCGATCGGATCCTTGAACTCCGTTGTCTTATTCGAAGAAGTATCATCTGAAGAGTCCAGCTCTCCAGCAAATTGAAACAAAAAGTCCGCAAGCCCCAAAGTTGGCTCGGCGCTCGCATCACAGTACCTCCTACTCATGCTTTCCACCGCATCCTTCCCCGCCGATTTCTCCAATTCGTGATCCCCATGAGCGGAATAACAAGATGCACAAGCGGTCGTGAGATCCCAGAATTGTGATTTGCAGAAGCAGATTTGTTGCGTCGCGTTGTTTTGTGCGCGGGGAGGGCTTTCCTCGTGTTGTTGTGTTTGAGGAGTGGATGTTGGCTCCGCCTCTGCCCCTGTGATGATGTCGAGACCGGAGGGACCGTAGATGCATTGTGCTTGGATGGCTTGCACGGCGTTGCAGGGAAACGCGAGGTCTGGGAAGCCGCTTGCGTTGCTGGGACTGCAGACTGAGTCTATGTAGGCGTAAGGGTCGGATTGTGCTTTGGTAGAGGCAATGGTGCCTGCTAGGAGGAGGGCGAAGTGCAGTGTTGAAGGCATGATTTGAAGTAGAGGGAGAGAGACAGTGTGTATGAATGAATGAATGTGATTGTTCTCGTCCGAATGTATTAAGAGTGTGGAGGATGATAGAAGTGAAGGATTGATTGCTTTTTAAAGGAGAGGAAGAGCTGAGAAGAAAGACAGATTTCAAAGGTGACTTACCTTACGACCGCCACGACGGGGCAACCGTATTGTAAGCAATTGAATGTCGAGCTCTCGGTTGGTTTCCCTGTCAGAATGTGTTTCGAGGTGAACACCAACGGCTGTGATATTTTTTCACTGGCGCTTGTGCGGGCATCGCTAACGTTTGCGGGACGCGAAATGTTTGGACAAACTTCACGTAGGCGACATGCAGACCGTCTTCTGAAACAATAGTCAGATATGTACTTGCCGCCGTGGGAGTACGAAATATTCTCGTACCAAATTCGCAACAAAGTGGACGGTCGCAACACAACACAGTCAAAAATGGCGGTGTCCTCGCACCCGCTATTGATTCATGCAAATGTATCCAACCATTGACTCCATCCATATGCGTGCCATCCCAAAAAAACACCCAGTACATGCGGGTTCCGTAAATCCATCGCTAATCAATCCAAAACATCGCTCGCTTCATCGCTAACCAAGTCCAAAAGTGGACCATCGAATATGCCGTAAAAATGATAGCCATCATTCAACAAAGGAAATTCAACTCTGATCATCTAGATCAGCTCGCTTGAATCGCGAAAGAAATCCATCCACAGCACCGATCTCATTCTCGTTCGTGCTGTTCGATTCCGGCCTGATCAGCGGACTCCTCGGACTGATACTCGCATTTTCCTCGCCCTTTCTCTTTCCCGAAAAGACATGAGCGCTTAGTTCATCAATGCTGCCTTTGAACCATCCGGTGCTGGGATCGAAATGCGGACTGGGCGCTACGCCGACCCATGCAGTCCGCTCTACCAAGACACTGTCGTCATCCTCGTCTTCGCATGACGAGGACATGGGCTCTCCGAACCTGAATTCGTAGTTCTCCGATCTCGGTCTCCCACCGTCCGAAGAATCGGAGTCGGATCCGGTTGTCGTTCCGTATTCACCGCCCAAGGCATAATAACTGGCCTCCTCCCCATCGCTACCCGCAAAGCCAGAAACGACATAGTCGTCTTCGAGATCTTCGTCTTCGTCCTCGTCGTCCCGTTGGGAGGCCTTTGAGCGTCCGAGGGCAAGCTCGTGATTGACAGCGCGCAGTTCCTCTTTCAGACGTCCACGGACATATGCGCTTCCCGCCTGCTCAATTTGCAGTTCGAGAGAGGCCGCGTGTGCTATGTTATGCTGGATCGCAGCATCATCGGCGGRGACAATTTGAGGAGAGGCAGCTTCGGATTCCATCGGGGAGTCTGGGGCAAGAACGTCGTCAAAGATCCTTCGGAACTCTCTCGCGTATTCACTGTGAGGGATTGAGAAGACAATCTCATCTATGCCCTCCCATTGTTCAGCATTAGGCCGTCGTTGACGAGCACTGCCAACCAGAACCCGTCGCCATAACCGTGCGACTTCCAAGACCGGATGATTGAGGGAACCACAGCCCCATGCGCCGAGAACAAGTCGTTTGCTACCCTTCGATTGAGCGATACGCAGCACGGCCTTCATTTTGCGAAGGACGACATCGCGATCCCGATCGCAATAACTCACCCCGCACGAACACTCTGCGTCGCGATCACTATTCCGACCACGGCCATCAGGGTGTTTGGGAATGCCGGCGGTGATCACATTGATGAAGAAGCGATCTCGTCGGGCGAGGTCAATGGCGTTGGTATCTCGGAAGACTAGCACGTCTGGGGTGTATACACCTCCAATCTCGGGTAAGGGATAAAAGTCGTCGAAGAGAGAGCCATGCAGGGTCGTTCGCGCGCAAAGAAACTCTTCCTGGCCGTTGCCGCCGTTGAGAAATCCGCCTCCTGGAGTCTTGAGTGACGCCATGTTGTGTACGGTCACATTGAGTCCCGCGTCGTCAGCCTTGCGGCTTTCCGAACTTCGTTTTGGAGCATACGGACGGTCCGAACAACGAGCGGCGGCTTGGAGGACATCGCCCGTGGTAATGCGAATCTTCAGGTCGGGTCGTACCACTGGTGTCGATGCACTCGTCGGGGTCTTTATGACGGATGGGGGGTCGGCGACGAGGTCTGCTTGGGAAAGTCCATGCCTGGCTCGTGGACTATTTCTGAGAAGATCGGGAAGGGCACGGTGGACGGTATATCGGGCTCGGGATTCTCGGTCTGCTCGTCCCGAAGAAGTCATGTTTGATTGCGTGTGCGTGTGGGTGTGCGTGTTCCAGTTCCAGTTCCAGCCACCCCGCACTGCGAAAGCGAAGGTAGATGCGAGTGCTATGTCCTTTGAATCCTGCGACGCTCAGATAGGGTCGAAAAGAGGAGTCTGGTCACCGGGTGGAGCACAGTAAATGACCGAATGACGGCAGCTGGGTGCGGGTCGCTCGTTAAGACGCATGTGAAAGCGCCTGATGTTCGGCACAACGCGTGAAGTTGATCGATCGTTGGTACGCCGTGTTCGCGCCGATCCACCTCTGCTTGCACGGCCGAGGAGAGCAATTATCAGGCAGGCAGGCGGGGCGAGGGAGAGTGTGGGGATGAGGAGGCCAGATAATGAGGAGGATTATTGTGAGTAGACAAAGACAAGCAGAGAGCGAGCGAACGAGAGGCGCAACGGCGCCGTGATGCATCCATCGAGAGAAGCTAAATGCGTGTACAGTTCGGCTAACCCCGATCGTCGGCTTTCACATGTCAAAAGCCTGCGCGCACGGCCCGTTCACAATTGTCAGCTGGAACTTGACGTTGCACGAACGACATCGGACATCCCTTTCCATGGAACAGACATCATTCTAGAAGGCAAATCCTGGACACCCTCTCTCCCCTGCCCTGCGTGGCGGTCCGGAATCAGGCTCTGGCTCCATTGTCGCGGCCGGGACCTTTCGTTTGTTGCGCGACTCGGATACGCTCCTCCACTCGCTTGGCTCAGTCGGGCGGGCTGGGAGCATGGACGCTTGCGGTGCATTTTTCCGTGGCACGCCTTCATGTGACGATTGAGCACTTTTGCAGATCGGATCCCTCGTAGATTGGCTCGATTCATGTGTCTTCTGTAACTACGCTTGCACCTACACCTGCACTATTATGACATCCCCTACATAATTGTTCCATTTCCAGGTGAAACACTTCCATTCCTCCGGTGCGCGAAGGACTTTGAGATTCGGGACTCGTTCGCTACCATTGAACAATGGAAGCTTCTTTGTTTGGATCGTCGATTCCCTGGAATTGTGTCCGTATAGCCGCTAGGTTGCACGTGCAACTCTGGCAACGGCCGGCGTGCGCTGTCAGCTGAATTTTAAATGTCGTACTGTACGGAGGATAGACAAAGGCAAACAATCCTTGCATAGCATCTCATCTGCATCTCCGTGAATCTGACTCGCATCATCATAGACGTTGCAATTGCCTTCATGTACATGCAGTACGTGCCCAAAGTCGAGGCGATGCGCGGTGACAATTATTAGAAATCGATGCTGAGCTGGTTCAGCTGAGTCAAAACTAAATCGAGAGCATTCAGCGGGTCCATCTGCTCCAGGTCATGCACACGTGCAAATGTAGAAGTTGCATGAGGTGTGAAGAAGTGGTACCGATCAAACGAGGAATGGCGAGAGCGTGGTGAGTGCCAGAGTGGGCCACGGTCAGCATCCTTCCGGAAGCACACCGCCCGGCATTAAACACAAACACATCCGACGTCAGTCCATCTTCACATGTGAAAGAGTGCTGCCACCACGAGACCTCTGGGACCAGCGTGACTACACCAAACATGCCCGGCATGCCACCGTCCCTCCCCGCGGCCCACACCGCCGATGCTGCATCACCACCGTCCGCTGCACCCATCCGACCCGCCAAACCCGCTGTGTCCTCCCTGCGCTACCCCTCCAGCCGCAAGACCATCTACGACCGCAATCTCAATCGCACCAAGACGTCGGAAATCTCACTGGCTTCTTTCTCGTATCTCTTCAACACGTTGATTACCTACCACCACTCACGCTCCGGCTCCGTGTCCGAGATTGAAACACGCCTCAACCGCGCCGGCTATCCTATAGGCACCAAGCTCCTCGATTTGCTTCTCTACCGCCAGCCTCCACGCACCGCTGCTCGACCCACGCGTGTACTCGACTTGCTGCAATTCATCCATGGCGTGCTATGGAGGGCTCTCTTCAATCGGCCCGCCGATGCTCTGGAGCAGAGCAACACAAAGCGCAATGAGTACATGATTGTAGACAATGAGCCATTGGTCAATACCTTCATCAGCATCCCCAAAGAGATGAGCCAACTGAACTGCGCGGCATTTGTGGCAGGCATCATCGAGGGCATGTGTGATGCTGCTGGCTTCGCAACTGAAAGCGTGAGCGCGCATTGGGCGGGTGTGGAGGACGAGATGTGGCCGGGAAAAACGATTTACCTGATGAGATTCAAGGAAAGCGTACTGGAGCGAGAGGAATCTATCAAGGCTATGGGAGGTTGATTGGTAGGTTGGACTGCAACTGCCATTTGAATGCCTACATTCCGATCGAACCTCGGCCTGTCAAAGGATGCTATCGACATACGCCTATGGGCAGGTTCGGCGATGTAGTTGCACGCTTCAAGATGCGGTGGTACTCGCCGTCTTCCATGTCGTCGGATCGGTGAAGAGTATCTTCGAGCATCTCCGACTCTGAACTGCTCGCAACTTCAAGTTCAGCATCACCTACTGTTGCCTGGCCAATGTAGCCATCGCCCAGTCGACTGGCCTCAAGCACATCTTCCCAGATGTTTGCAAAATCTGGCCCACCGGCTTTGATAAGGTGAACGCCGAGAAAGTGGCTCCAATACCCGGGATGCGTACAAGACCACTTGACCATCTCCTTGCGCAAAGCATCCAGATCCGAGCTAGCGACAACCGCCCAAGTCTTTTTCTTGCTTACGGTGTGGACCAGCCACATGCACAGCGCCTCCTTCTCGGTATTTCCATCTGACTGGTCTGTTATGACGTCGCCAATGGCTTGCAGGAGGATCTTGACAAAGGCCGGAAGAAATGCCCTTTGCTGGGCCAAGATAGCTCTCAGTAAGCGATCCCATATTAGATATGCGCCGTCAAGTGGATCTCCAATCCTGTTTTCGCAATGTTAGCATGCTTCACAACACGCTGGAGACGGACGGCTTACTCTCGCTTGGATGGAACCAGCAGCTTATCTTGCACAAATCTCTGTACCAAGCTTTCTATCCCCTGTGCAGTGCCGCCAACGATTCTCACACACTCTTTCGCCGTTTTTTCTTCCACCACTGGTTTTTCTGTACTGCCTTTTTGCTTTCCTTTCTTCTTCAAGGCTAACTTCCTCTCCGTGCGGAACGTCTTCAGCAACTCCCGGATCTTTTCTAAACCCTCCTCGCTCGCCTCAATTTCCATCTCGACTTCAGGCACCACCTCCTTCAGCCGACTCCAATAAACTTCCCACAACCACCTCAAAGCCTCTTCCGTAGCTCCGACCAATCTCCTCAACCCAGGTAGTTCCTCGTGTGTAGCTTCATGCCGTAGCCCCACAAATTCCACAGGCATCCCAATCTTCCTCGCGATATCCAGCATTGAGCTCGGCTCCAGCATCCGTTCCCGAGATCTCCCTATATCGCAAAAGCCCGTGACAAATCGCGTGAAAGCGGCAGAGTAGACGGCACGAATGCTGAAAGACGACAATGAGGACTGTGATTGTTGTTGGTGATGTAGAATTGCGTCTGTGAGGAGAGCGGTGGATTCCACTGCGTGTGGGAGGTTTCCGCGAAGTTTCCATGCCATGATGCGGTTCACGGCTTGGAGACGRTCCGTCGTGGTGTTTGAGCTTGGGTCTGCGGTTGGGGCTGGGTAGAGTTGAGAGCGGACTCCCAGCAGGTCCGAGGGCGTGCGCCAGGGGGTTATGGTGTATTTTGCCATTGTGTCTTGCGGTGATGCGTGGAGTTATGTCGTTTTAGTCGAAGAATGAGAAGTTCAACGGGAGCAAGCCCGGATCTTTGTCTGAGCCTTATGGAAGTGCTTGATGAACTTCCTTCTCTCTTATGTGTGATGATCGTGCACTACTTGTTTTACGTTTCGCGTGATGATCAGTCAATTGGAGTCTCATATGGCAATAATGTCAGTCCAGTCCATCGGAGTCCAGTGGGACAGTGTCAGAGTCTCGTTTTCGTTTCAACTTCACGAAGTTCGTCTTGAACTCTCCGTGCTGTCATAGTCACACATGTCAAGGTTGCTTTAATGAACGTCCCGAGTCCAAAAGTGATTTTCACATGTCGTCTCATGGCAATCTATTTTAGCCTGGACCCTGATCCGCGCGACACCCCTCCATCGGTCCCGGACTCCCGCAGTGCCCTCTTCCGTCATCCCACGTTTTGAAGCTTCATCATGAACCTCACTCACATGGAACTGGCGTGCTGACCGAAAATGAGCGTGTCGCGAGCGCACAGTCTCAAGGACATCGTCAAAGAGGTCAAGCATCGAATGTCCGGTTCGCAAACAGATACTCAGGAAGACGGGCAAAACAAGATTCAGGGTGGGGACACTTTCGAGGTCCATGGCGTGCAAGACTCAAACGGCGGCGAGGTATGATGTACCTCGAATGATTCGGCGCACGGGTACTGACGACGTGCAAGCCAGAAGAAGATGGCGCTACGCTACATACCAGCGATTCGGAGGGACTGTCGGAGCAACTGGAGGTCGTCTTCAACCAGCAAAATGACAAGCGACGCCGGGCTTCATTAAGGGAAGAAGACGGGGAACAGGCAGCACGTCCATCCCGCCCACGATCTACGCGGAAAAGGACATCGTGCTTTGTGCACTCCATGCTGGAAGAGCGGTTCCGAGCAGGCACGCGGAACCAGAAACAAGCGAATGTGATTCCCGAGGACATGTATAAGATAGCGGACAAGCAGTCGACACCTACCACGCCTGATGGACAGCAACATACCCAGTCTCGCTTGCTCACGAAGGGCGAACTGAGCAATATGGTAAGCGTGCTCAAGCGCCCTGTACGATGTCTAAAAAATCTGCTGACATCTGTGCCTTTTTCTTAGGCGTTTGGAATTCGGGAGTTGTCGAAAAAGTTAAGCCGCTTACGACTTTTGCTCGACGTTCGTCAAATTCACATTCTCACCAAGGCTCATGATCAGAAGCTCATTGCTCACACCCGGCGTGTAACGGAGTGGCTATTGAAGCAGCGCAATCCAGAAGGCAAAACCTACACCGTCTGGGTGGAAAACACCATGCAGAAGAACCAGGCTTTCGACGCGGATTCTCTCATAGCACAGGACGAGTCTTTCAAAAATCGACTAAAGTTCTGGAGCAATGATCTCTGCGCAAAGAAACCGCACACGTTCGACATATGTCTCGCCCTAGGCGGAGATGGCACAGTTCTATACGCATCATGGCTGTTCCAGCGTGTGGTACCCCCTGTCATGTCCTTTGCGCTTGGATCTCTTGGATTCCTAACAAAGTTCGATTTTGAACACTACCCTACCACCCTCACCCGCGGGTTCACCGAAGGCATAACTGTCTCTCTTCGATTACGCTTCGAAGCAACAATCATGCGCTCCACCGCCCGTGATGACCAAGACGAGCAGAACTCTCGAGATCTGGTCGATGAACTCATCGGAACGGCCAGCGACGACATCAACACCCACCGCCCAGCAGGCACCAACAACATCCTCAATGACATTGTCATAGATCGAGGCCCGAACCCAACCATGAGCAGTATCGAGGTGTTTGGCGACGACGAGCATTTCACCACCGTTCAAGCAGATGGAATCTGCGTCGCGACGCCCACCGGTTCCACAGCCTACAATCTCGCTGCAGGAGGCAGCTTGTGTCATCCCGATAATCCCGTCATACTCGTCACTGCAATCGCTCCGCACACGCTTAGCTTCAGGCCAATCATTCTCCCCGACACGATAGTATTGCGGATCGGAGTACCATATGATGCGCGAGCGAGCTGCTGGGCGAGTTTCGACGGAAAAGAACGGTACGTATCGAAACAGACTCACTTCTCGGAATGCCCAACTGACTTGTATAGATCGGAATTGAAACCTGGAGACTATGTAACCATATCTGCCAGCAGATTTCCCTTTCCGAGTGTGCTACCCCTAGACCGCAGGACGGAGGACTGGGTAGACAGCATAAGCCGCACGCTGAACTGGAACAACAGACAACGGCAAAAAGCCTATGATGACGACAACAGCAATTCAAAATGATGAGCATGGGAGGCAATCAGTCATGGTCACTGGAATCAAATCCCAAAACTGATGATGCATCAATCTCGTTCAAGACTCAWCTCTAATAAGATCTTCTACATGCCTGCTTCGTAATGTCTGCAATCTCTGACCAAGAACAATAGGGTAATACGCAACACACAAAAGACCAAAGCAAAATGCGTCTGGGGCAGCATGGCTTTCACTCTGTAGCCGGAATGCTGCGCCTCTTTTCTCTTCATAATGACCCAACCATCTCTGTGCGCCAGTGGTAACCAAAACCTGGCAATTGCATTCTCCAAATAGTCTTGAAAAGTCGAAACAAAACGCAAAGGGCTGGACCCGGTGCGCTGAGCGAATGAAGGACAGTCAGCCGTCCAAGAAACTAAGGGGTATAAAACGTCGGCGAAAGGAGTTTACACATTAGCGAAAAGATGCAGGATCGTCATGTCGACAATGATATTGGCGCCAGACATGAATGGAAATCTCACATCCACATCAGACGACAGCCCAGGACTTCCAGTAGTTTTTCAGAAGATGCAGAACCTGCCTCTGGGTCATGGTGTCCTCGCACGCTAGCTGTACTGTCGTGCCGTCTTGCAGTTCCAACACGACCGAGTTGGCCAACTCTTGTCGGTCGAGATCCGGTGCATAGGGAGCATTAAATAGCTGCAGAGGAAAGCTCTTCATTGCGACTCCCTTGTGGATCTCCATGGCATGTGCAATGGCGAATTGCAGGTGACCGTTGTCGTTGATTGTCACGATACGGCGTTTCCACAGCTACAATTGTGTTTGGTTAGTTCATCAGTCCTCAGACAATGCAAAGGCAGGGCATCTTACCAAAGAGTCTGGAAATTGCACGTTGAGATCGCCAACTACAACGGCCGGAGGGGTGTCCGAATCGTGGGTTGCCAAACTGGCGCGGCTGCTCATTTTGGCACCCGCCCCACTTTCAAGGCTTCTTACACTGGCTGTTTCCATCACCGACTGCTGGCTTTGCCTCCGTTTGGGCCCACTCAATGTGCTGACACGCTTGAAAAAGCGACTTGTTCGCGTACCGATCTTATGAGTACTGTGTCCGTCGTTGACCGAGGGTGTTGATGCGCTCTGGTGTGGTGGAGCTGGAAAGTCGAACGTTTGGGGAGTTTCAGGAGATGCGACAAGCTTTGCACGGCGACCAAAGCGACTCGACGATGAATGCAGATTTCGCGCATCCCCTGAGCCACGGGATGAAGATGATAGCGCGGGCGAGGAGACAGTGGATTGCTGCGCTGCATCGATGTCAATCGGCGGCAAGTCGGTWTTCAATGGTGATGTTGGGTTGCGATTGCCGTTGATTGTTAAATCCGACTGTAGGAGTTGTGYCGGATCAGGTTCAGTGCGTGAGCGTACTATACGAGCCGTGACAGACACCGAATTTCGACTCGTCACAGGATCATGCTGAACGCTCCAGACAGGAGCGTTTTGTTCCACAGGGGAAGTGAAAATTGGGGCTTGACTTGCGCTGCTTGGCTTACTGGACTTTCGGAATGACACAGGTCGTGCTCCTGGCGAAGGAGCCTTGCGAGGTCCTCGGCCCTTGGCGTCTCGTTGTAGCGATGCATTGGGTGTCATCCCTGGTAATACCGGGCTCGAAGAAACACCGAAACCGGAAGCGTTGGCCTCCCTAGTTGAAACCTCATTGAGCGCCTGAATGCGCCTGGATATGCCAGATGACACCTTTCGGGGTGCATTCCAAGCCGAATCTCCTTTCTCCGGTGGGGATGAGCTCAGGAGTGCAGGGCTTGATTCAGGCGACAACTGTCCAGTCTCGCTTTGACGACTCGTCATATTCCGCGTGATGCTCACAGATCTCACCATGCTGATGTCCTCCATACTCGGCTGGTGAGAGAACAGGATCGGTCGAGCCTCCTGCACTGTGGCGGAATGCAATTCTTCTAGGAACTCGTCATCTGACATGAAATCATCTGGGTTGCCCGATGGCGTCTCGATGTGCAGGGGTTCGACAAGACCACGCCTTCGCCTTGTTAGGTCAGAGCTCGCAGGTCTTGATATTGGTTCCGCATTGCGCAATGTGTCGCTACTTGGGGCGTGAGCAAGGGTTTCTACTTCGAGGTTTGCGCCGGTGTCCGGGGTCGCCGGTCTTGAGCGATCCGCCATCTCTTGATTCGTGGTAGATGCGGCATCGCTGGCCTCGTGGAGTCCCGCAGTCCGCTCAGTAGGCGTGTGACTATCCCTCATCGATGCTTTGTCCTCTGCAGAATCGGCAGCAACGTCTCGTCCAGCCGTCACAACTGTCGATTTTGACAGAGCAGATCCATGACGCTCATCGCTAGCGCCGGGCTCTACTGGATGCTCATCGTTCGGGTTGTCGCGCAAAGAAGCAGCTCGCTCGTCCGCATCATCCGAGCTCGGTGTCCCGTACCGAATCTCGATGCCAGAATCTGCTTTGATGGATTGAGGATGAGTCTCGTCATCCGTGTGAGACTGCTCTGCTTCTGCATCTTGGTGTTGCGGCTTCTCGTCACTGGTCGTAGCGATCGGCTCTGGTGGAGGTAGCTCGGGCATCTCCGGTGGATCTTCGACTGGCGGGGTGAAGGATTGGGGCCCCTGTGACTTTCGGATCTGTCTTTTCCGAAGTTCTACGGCCTTCATCAAACGAAGACGATCTGGCGTCATTGCCGTCGATCTATGCGATGGCGCAGATTTCACACTTCCCCGGGAGTACGGGCGCGGATTGTACTCTACTGGAATTGGAGGAGGAAGAGGTAGGCGCATAGTAGGCTCGGCTCGCAAAGGCGCTGATTTGAGAGCAGGCGCGACTTGCCCTTGAGACTGCGGTCGGAGTGGCTCTGGCTTTCTCGACTGTCTGAGGCTCGCAGGCACGACCGAGACCCGCGCTGGCCGCATAACCTTCTCTGCAGAAGTCACGGGCCGCGGACCAAGCTTGACTTTGGGTTGGAAATACTTGTCGTATTTGCTGAGGTCATATGGATCATAGTCCATTGAAGCGTCTCGAATGCTTGAAGGTGCCTCCGATGGAGCTGAACTGATACTTGGAGGTGCCTCGGCGTCCTCGCCACGTCGGAGATGAACTGTCTGTKATGGCAGGGTGGAAGCCTCCTCTGGCGCTAGCTCCAACACGCCCAWTTCGACTGGAGGACTCTCTGGAGCGCTTTCCTGAACAGCGTCATCTGCCAATCTTACAGCCGCAGAGACTAGCAAATCGCTCGTCCTTGGAGGTGATGCGCTCTGTTCAGGTTCCGTCACCACAATGGACGCAACGGTTTCGACCCCCGGATCCGGCTGCGGACTCGCATCCTTCGTGGGGCTTTCAGCATCTTCGAGCACAACGCCAGAGTTCAAGGTCACCACCGCGGGTGTCATCTGCGGTGACATAGAAGGCGAATTTCCCCCACTAACCTGGAGTGAAGTCATGGGACGTTCGCCGCGCTCCGCCCTCTTCGAGGAGTTGTCCGCCCTTCGCGCTGCCTTGTAGCGCTGTGCAGCAGACAAGCTGGATGAGACGCTCGTGCCGTTGAGACTGCCAACATCCGCACCAGCATCTTCACCATCTTCGGTGATTTCATCGAGACGGCCCGCCGAAGGCGACGGCGATGCTGTGTGTAGTTGGAAGGTCTTGGCTAGCGCAGTGTCGTTGAGGGCTTCGCCCGTAGTGATCTCCAGTAGTGTTTCGTACGGCGAATATCGCTCAAGTATGTCCTGGAAATGGACCGTCGTTCGTGCTGCTCATATCACAAGTCAATGCGTGTCCAATGCTCGCTCTTCCTGTCCGTCCCTCTTCGCCTGCCTGTACATACCCTGCAGTAACCTGGACGTTCCCTCGGGAATGTACTTGATTAACAGCCGCCGTCGCCGATAGATCATCAACCCGTACAACGGCGAAGCCTGTGTGTAGGCCGTTATAGCGTTGCGCGCTTCCGAGACGCCATTCCGCCCGCGGGCCAGCAACTCGACACCGTCTCGCGAGACGTATTGCAGCAGAAACCTGTGTACCTCTCAGCTTTGCCTCACCGCACCTATTGGCCCTTCTCTTGTCCTACTCACCAGCCCGCAGCCTCGGCGACCGCCGTCTGATACGCTTCCCGCACGTCCGGACTGTCCAGACCATTGAGGGACATTATTTATATTGCACGCGCCCACTAGAGAGTCGCCGTTCGCGGATGTGGATCGGGGTCAAGAACTGGGGTATCGCAAAGGGAGGCGAGGCTGTCGAAGGTGCAACTGTCGCTGGGCTGGTCCAACGACTTGCCAGACATTACTCCTCGCTGTCGGTGTTGATTTGGTCTTGGTTCGCGGTGTAAGCCTCGCTGCGGCATGCGCAATGCCCAAGGAAGGGTGTGTACAACATCGGACATGCCTGTCTGTCCCTCCAAACTGCCTACATTGTTAGAGTTTCACCAGTTGGACGCTACAAGCCACGATGATCCACCTCCTCCTTCGGCCCATCTTGCGCCTGGCCAATCACCGTGCAGTCTCGGCAGCGATAAATCTATGCAAGGCTCGCGCGGAGGCCCCCGCTTGCCTGAAGCCTCGATCCTTGTCGCGGCAATGCATGTGATGTGTTCCAGAGTGCTGATGAGATCATGAGAAACAACATGTTCCTTTCAATAGCATCACCCTGCGTTTCAACACGTGCCGCACGCAGATGTATGCATCTAATTTCGACATCAAAGACACCGCATGTCGACGTGCAAGGGTGCCCGTATGCCCCTATCACGTAGCACGATGACCAAGCATTGCGGCGTCCACCAACGACGATGAGTCGGGCGGACTTTTATCTGGAGAGGAAGCGATCTGCGTGCACACAATTTGGACGATGCCACTCTCTGTTCGCATCGGACCGGGCGGACTTGCTCCGAGACGAGCATGAGGATGAGTATGCACTGCAATGTTGACTTTGATATCGCACGTCTGGTCTCCAGCCGAGCAGATGGTGCTCTCTTGGAGTTTGAACGATGCTGAATCGTTCGAGCAGAAACCGGGTTTTCGAGCACGTCCAATACCTGTACCTGACCTTTACAGCAAGTGCTTATGAGCAGGTGTCTGAAACCATTTCGATGGGGTCGCTACATTGCGCACTGCCGTGCCGCTCCGGCTGTTTTCCGCAAAGAAGATTACCACAGGGTTCACCGTGGTTGCGAGTCGTACCTCACTGACTTCCGTTATCATCCGTCCATCAACAAATTACAACATCAAGAACATGGCATCAAAGCTGCCAGATGTCACGTCCATCCAGGCGCTCCCTGCCGAGGAGAGAGCAGCCATCCTTGACCTCCTATTCGAACCAAGTACACAATTGCATAAGCTCTCAGTCCCGCTTCTACAGCAGCAAAAGTTTTCCTCATACGCCGATCTGATCTCGGCCGTGGGCGTACAATTGACCGAGCTCTCCGAATCTTCCTCCAGTTCAGATACGACTTKGCTGGAAAGCATTCTGGGCTCGCATCCACGGCTGGGTGCGAAGAAAGTCGAGAGCGCACAGTCGCAAGCGGAACAAGCACAGCTTCACGGTACCTCCGAGGAGTCTGAGCAGCTTCGCTCTCTCAATGAAGAGTATGAGAGGAAGTATCCAGGATTGAGATACGTGGTCTTTGTAAACGGTCGGAGCCGGCCTGTGATCATGGAGGACATGCGTCAGCGTATCGACAATGGTGATATGGTGTCGGAGCGAGCAAAGGCAATCAGGGTAAGTCTGATCACTTGAAGTCGTAGTTCCTCCACAGCTCCATTGAATGACATGTCCAAAGGCAATGTGCGAGATCGCCGCGGATCGAGCTTCGAAGCTGTCATAAGAATGAGGCTGAGATTACCAGAGTACGACTTACGGTTGCGTTTTCAGGCGACACCAGACCACCTATCCAACTTCATTGCACATCCTTCAAATCCATTGCGCTTTCGCTGCTTTTGAGGACTCCCGCGTCGGGGCTAAACAATGTCATGGTGAGCTCAACCGCTTTCTCAACCTTCCTCCTGGTTTCCATCCCGAATTTTGGCAAAGAGAGTGTAGGCTTCTGCCTATGCGTCTATCGAGAAGATGAATTGTGAAGTGATGATGGCCCGCTCGTCTGCCGCCACAGAGATCTTCCGCACGCATCCCCTGATTTGGCCTGCATGTGCGCACACCATTTCATGTGAGGCACATCATATACGAACCAAGAAATGGCTTGTCGCACGACACTGTCAACTCACGACTGWTCATACCGTACGAAGCAACCCCTAGAAGGTCCCTGAACCCGCTGCAGGCAATCATCTTGTCCGTTAAAGGGTGTGACTCCACCTATGCTGCCTTCTTCAAGCGGCCTCACCCTGACTGTTGTTAGGTTCTTGCGAATGGCAGATGAGAGAAAGCCGCGGTTGCAGCCCTTACAAGAAACAAAAGCTGCTGCTGGCATGAACCCATCAACAATGTACAAAAAGACACCTCCGGGGAAACGCAAACCCACAATCGCCAGCAGCACCGGCAGCCAAGACATCTCTGCGAAGMACACACCAATGACACCAACGACACCAGTGACTCAGAGTAGTAGCTCGGTGAAAGAACCATCATCTACAACTGGTGATGCCAGCAATGGTTCTGCCAGCTTCACAGACGTTCCCCTGAACAATGAAGCAGAAGATCATGATTGCGACGACGACTTCGAATTAGTTCAACACGCAGATGCTCTACATTCGTCTTACAACTCGCAGGCAGACCACAAGTGGAAGTACAATGACGCAGCGAACCAGAATCTCCTTCAAGAGGCGAAGAGTGAAGTGGCGAAAGCTGATGATGGCTTCGAGCAATTGACCAAGGATCGAAACGGCACGAGCTCCAGGAATGGCGCCGCAGACAGGCCAGAAAACTACTTGTGACAATCCTCCAACTTGGACGACAGACATGCTCGATAGACATGCTCCATCATCGAGCTGCGTGCAAGCACAAGCCGGATCGGTAGCATTGACGCTGTCGTACGCTCTCGATGCTACGCCTGGCTTCAAAGAACTTTCATACCTTGTTCAAAGGGTTGGCCGGGCATGTGATTTTGACCATATGAGCCGTTCCAGAGCAATTGGATGAGGGTGGAAAGGGGTCTGTCACGTTGGAGGAAACTCACGTTCATGGTACAAATGAAATGCCAAACCAAACAATTAAATCATCAAATTCTCTCTCGTGTGACAACTGACCTGTACTGTGTCCGTCTCTTCCTCGAAGAAGATCTGCTTGAAACCATCAACAAATAGTTGCCGGTAGAGCCGTTCAGCATTGACCACGGAGACGCTCGGCTGCTTCTGCCGATTTCAAACATCCACCTATCCAGCGAATCCACCAACATACATCAACATGAAAAAGTCGCCGCAACAGCATGTCTCCGTTTGAAATACCCTCGAGTCACGAGCAATAAGACAGAAACACGAGGAAGTCAGTTCGGAATCTCATTCTCACCAACCTTTTCCACAAAATGGACTGGATCACAGCAGCCCAAATCCTCGGCCTCATACTAGTCCTATGGCTCTTCACAGCCTACATGACCAGATCCTTCCCAACGCTCCAAGGAAAACGCATCCTCCTCCTCATCGCCCACCCAGACGATGAAGCAATGTTCTTCTCCCCAACCCTCCGCTGGCTGACCCGCCCGGAACTCGGAAACATCGTAGTGATCCTCTGCCTCAGTTCTGGCGACGCAGACGGTCTCGGACATATCCGAAAGGAAGAACTCACGAAAAGCGCGCTGCAGCTCGGAATCCGCTCTGCAGAACATGTGGTTGTCGTGGAGGATAAGAATTTTCCGGACTCCATGACTGCGACTTGGGACCCGAAACTCATCTCACAATTGCTCGCGAGATTGTTCGCTCCTAATGCGGCGACTATGCCTACCAACCAGGCGCCTACAGCTGGTATTGACGCCATTGTTACTTTTGACGAGGGCGGGGTATCGGGTCATCCCAACCACATTTCACTCTACAATGGCGCGGTCGCGTTTCTCAAGACGTTGATGCAACGGCATAGAGGTTGGAAGTCCCCGGTCAAGCTCTACACTTTGACTACGACCAATGTTGTGCGAAAGTACGGCAGCATTCTCGATTCGGTGTTTACGGTTCTCGCGTGCATAGCGAGCAGGAAGGAGRAGGGGGAATTTCCGACGCCATTGATGATGGTCAGCTTTGCTGGAGATGTGCGGAAAGCGCAACTAGCCATGACCACTGCTCACAAGAGCCAGATGCGCTGGTTTAGATGGGGTTGGATTGGAGTGTCGAGATATATGGTCATGAATGATCTCAGRAAGTACAAGGGCTTCTGATAGTTCTCTCAAATCGTTTGTTAGAAATAAATGTCTAACTGTAATCATTATGGCATAAACTGTTGGAACATGTGAGAGAGGCCCATCTCTTTTTCCGGCCCAAGGCATCCTTCGCCACGCTATGCAAGTACTGTCAAAACATTTCAAAGATCGGTACACCAGTATTAGTAGTTGTATGCAGAATTGCGGTGACCGTGCAGCATTCCAGAGTCGCTTTGCTCGAACGTGTTTCTCCTCTCATCGTCGTAGAGGGGAAAGTGATCTTTGACCTCCCAATTGCTCGTCTTCGCCCCAACCGAGAATTCGAGATCTTCCCGGGTGATGGAATCCCAGTACTGTGTTCGAGATCAGCGCTTTGTTCAGTAATATAAGGAGAAGATTCATACCTTGTAGACCATCATAACGGCAAGCAAGTTTAGCAAAGTGGCGAAGAACAAGCCGTCCACATAATGCGCCACGTTATCGCAGATGACTTCGCTGAAAACGTAGAGAATCACCTGCCCGATGATCAATGCTCCAACGCCGAAAGCGATATGCCAGAGCGGCCATCTCTCCTGCAGTGTCCCAATAACCAGAAGGATCTGCATAACCACATAGACGAACAAACACAGGGCACTGAAGAGGTAGACCACCACAAACAGACCGATTGTGTTCTCCGGTCCCAATCCTGCCCAGTTCTTAAAAGTCAAGAGCGACACTGCGAATGATATCAAGAACATGGCCACACTGCATGTCCGTAGCAACCAGACGGAGAGTGTAGTTCCATCCTCATATAGCTGGAATCCCACAAATCCATTGATCATCAAGCAAATGCAAGTCGCGGAAGCCAGACCGCATTGTACGGCGACAAAGTATGGATAGACGGCGCTCGAGGGTGGTAYGACGCCCGCGTCGACAACAAGGGAGCACATTGTGAGGAGCGTGTATGCGTAAAAAAATGACGTGATCTCTTTGCGGCCTGCGCAACAACTGTTAGCCATATATCCTGTATTCACAGCCGAAGCTTGTTCTCCGATAATGTTTAATCTCGCATACCGACTGCTGTGAACTTGCTCCGTACATGAATGATCATAATGACCAGCATGATAAGCGCAAGAATGTGTGCAAAGCTCGCAGCTCCCTGAAAGATCATGGTATTGGCCAGCTCCACGGTTCGCGAGTAGCAGTTCGTTTGAATGCTATGCGCTCCAGTGATGGGCGATAACGGGCCCACGAGCGGGCATAGCGGGAGTGGTGTTTTCGCACATATCGAGTCGAAGTCGCCGAAGCCCATTGCGGCGGCGTGAGTCGCCTCTTGCTGGCGCGAAGTTTTGAGGAACAGGAATTTTGGAACGTCGGGGTCGTGAAACGAATGTCGTGTCGCGGTGGATAGTGGTATGCGCTGTGCTGKTGGTGGGCTGGTAGGCCGTTGAAGTGGCAGAAACGGCAGGGGTGTGTGTTTACTAGGAGGTCGGCGGAGAGCGGATGCGGGAAGAAACGCGAAAGCTAAAAGCTATTTTTGGGCAGGGGTTGATCACTTCGCCTCCGAAATCACGAGTGTCCAACTTACCATCCTTCGCATCACGCATTTTCGCGGGGAACACAACACAATGAGCGAGGATGCGCCCCGAAATCGCAAGGAAAGACGGGCGGCAGCGAAAGAGAGCGGCAAGCCCGTGGAGCCTCCTACAAAAGTTCCGAAATTGAAGCTCGCGCAACCAGATCGCTCAGGGCCGAAAGGAAAGACACTACTCGATGTTTACGAGGACAAGAAATCACTGCTGGACAAAGGCAGACCCTTTGACGCCAAATACAGCGATGGGGTTCCCCGTGGCGAAAGCGGCAACATCCTTGACGTTGGCCTGGGCGAGAATGAACCCATTGGACTTGTCGGAGAGGCTGTCTTCTGGTCGGTATGCCTGGTGATGTTTCACTTTACTCTGGATGTACTCGTCTACAACCAATTTGCCCAGGAAATCGTCTGGCCGGCAGTCATCAAGCGAACATTCACCATGCTGCCCATCCTTTTCCTGGTCATTTACATGCTTCGATCGGATCTGGCCAAGAAGTTTGGTGTTGTCCGGCAAGTCTTCTTCCTGATTGTTGGTGTGGTGGCCGGATGTTACCTCATTCATGCTGGTAACAGATACCAGTATTTTGCTGTGATGAAGCAGGCGCCACCTCTGGGTACTTTGTGGGTGTATAGCGTGATCGAGATGGACCTGTGGTTCGCAGCTGGAAGCATTCTTCTCAATGTCGCCTTTCTCCTGTACGGGGGCTACTCCTTCTTCTGAGACTAGTGGACTGATTCGGCCGATGTCCTCGTTCACAAATCAGATTACTGGGTGGGACTCCCCGGACGCTGCTGGATCGATGCAATAGCATACGCACTTCCACGGCAGCTTTCATCGTGGGTCAGCAGGTTGCCTGCGTCCACCAATTACCACTGGATCAATCGAGGGGATAAATGAATGCCAGACGGAGGCTCGAGGATCCCCCACATTCATGGCGTTGAGCTTTGCAGTGCGAGCATTCTAAGGACTCAAAAGATTTTCTGGGATGCTGCTCTGGATCCCCCAGCTCTGGTGGCAGTAATTATCCCGTGTGAGCCGGCCAAAAGAGTAAAGCTATGTAGTATCCWGGGTACTCTCCCGCCATGCTACGTAGTTTGCAACATGCGGCGGCTGAACCTGGCGATTCCACCGATTGCATTGTGGATCTAACAGCTCGGAGCGAGAGTCGTGAGAACACATGAGGTTGGGCAATCAGTCATACTTACGGTCTGGGGATGATTCCATGTTCAAAAGCAGTAGGTCATTCCTCTGGCTGGTAGGCCAAGTATCCTGTTGGTCATCTATTTCAACATTGCCGCCCAATATCTAACACAGAATTTCGCCTCTTGCAACACTTAATTCAGTTCGATCTGGTGCCTTGCATAACCATGTTCTAGGTCTATGGGCTGTCTGTGCCGGTTTGTGATCTCGATTCTCAGCTCTCTTCATTTCGAGGCATCGTGTGAATCTTGGAACGGCTTCAAAACTCACAAGTGCTGGCCTCTTCTGTAGGAACTTGCCAAACAAGTTCATGGGATCTTCGCACTCACCCACTTGGTCGWAGAAGTCCCCTCGTTGCCTTTATTTCCCTTGTAGCCCTGAAACTGTTCGGAGCTCGTGGGCGACATCGCGCAAGGTGCGCAATGTGGCGCCGAATGCGAATTAGACAAGTGCCGTAGTCTAACATAGCTGATGAATCGTAAGGCCAGCGGCTTGACGTAATGCTGTCGTGACTGATGCCCAGGCAGTCGCGAGGAGCGTGGGTAATGGATGTAGGAATCTTTACTGACGCGAGCCGATCATTCGAAGTCACTTCGCGGCGAAGGAGGAGCATATCCTCTTCGAAGGAGGAATCCCGAGACAGTCCTTTCAACCCGAGTGAGCTAGCATGAAAGTCAGCAGTTGCGAGCAGTTTCCATGATCTCCCACCGATACATACAATGCCATTATCCACAACGGCACCCTTCTGAATCCAGAGTCCGTAGGAGCCCATCATATTCGCCATGAGCATGTCAGTAAACAGCCTGTCGCCTACAATTGCAACTTGCGACTCCGATGTCACGCCCGTCCCCAAGCTGCGAAAATGCTCCATGATTTCAGCATGACAACCCGGTTTCTTCGTATCGTGGCGAAGGACTTTGACTCCAGTATTACGTTCCAGTATATCTGCTTCCACATGGCCTTTATCTGATGAGGTTCCTGACGAATTCGAGACGATCAAGAGTCGTGATCCTGGGTATGCTTTGCGTAATTCATCGAATTTGGATTGATAGGGTCCGTAAACTTCATTCTTTTTGGGGATGGAAAAGCAATTATCTTTGTCGAGGACTACCGCTCTGATATCTGGCTTCTTGTCGCCATGCTTGGTTGTAAAGGCTGCTGAGAGTGGGACGGGCAGCTGGTCGAATGTTGCGATTGTGTGATGTGGAAGACACAGTGAGGGATTTGCAAATAACCTCAAAACGTTGACCGTCGCCGAAACGTTCATGATGGAGATGTCGATGTTGTGATCGATGGAGATGTCGAGGCAGGAGTACGGTAGCTTCACAAGTCTTGGCAACCATGTTCAATCCGCGCTAGGCAGCGCGCGGACTTGAATGCTCGTGGTCTGCTCTTCTTTCGCAATAGCTTGAACATCACTCGCAACTCTTGCGCATACCCAATCAATACTCCCCGCCAACATGACTTCCACCATTGGAATCCCGATCAAGCTGCTCAACGAGGCCACCGTAAGTGACCCACCAAGCCCCTCGGCTCATGGCGAACATGCGCTTACAAAAAGACGAGCAGCTGACCTTGCATCTCCCAGGGCCACCAAGTCACGGTTGAAATCACCTCCGGCCAGACATATCGTGGAAAGCTGATCGAAGGTGCGGATCGAACGTCGCGGAGAAGAGCGGATCTTGCAAGAGAGGAGAGACTGACGTGGGATACAGCGGAGGACAACATGAACGTACAGCTCGAGAACATCAACGTCACCCAGCGCGATGGTCGCGTTACGCATCTCGACCGCGTGTACATCCGTGGCTCGCATGTGCGTCTATTCATTGTACCGGACATGCTGAGGTATGGAATATGAAGTTTGGGGAGGGCGAGGACTGGGAACAAGCTGACTGGTGATGTAGGAATGCGCCCATGTTCAAGAGTAAAGGAGCGCGTGGACGGGGTGTGGGTCTGGCGAGAGGCAGGGCTACCGTCAACCGCGCGCAGGGCTCGGGAGGTCCTCGGGGAGGTGGACGTGGGAGAGGTTGAAGCACGTCTGTCTGTGCCACTGGTGGACTGTAGTTGCATCAAGGCGCGATCATGGCATGCAGACTTTCGGACAGAAAGCGTGGAGTCTGGCGTTGATGGGGCGGGAATTTGGCAAGGATTTGAGGAAGGGAGGCTCCAATCGTGAGGATGGGATGGGATGGAGATGGGTAGACGGAAAGCAGGAAGAAGCATGCGGCAGCTGGGAGACATGGGCGGCATCATTGCGCTCCAGTGCAGACATGACATTGTCTATACGACGATCATGGTCACCAGGCGAACCAGTCGTAAAATCAGCCTCCTCGTTGACAATCGCACTCGATACCTTGATAATTTGGCTGGTGAACCTGAAATTCCGAATCCATCTCAAACTTCAACCTCACCTATCTGTCAATGACCTTCAAATATTCCCACCCATCGATCGACATGTAACATATTTCTCGCCATCCATCTTCACGATGGAAATCAAACAATCGCGAAGAATCCTCATCCTCGGCAAACGTGAAGCCGGCGCGTTAGACATCATCAAAGGTATTCATTCCATTCCATTCCATCCCGATCCCACCCCTCCCCGCCCGCTAACCCACGTCCAGATCTAACGGGTTCCGCCCCCTCTCCCTCGCCAGATGGCTCCACAGCAGGTCTCACTCACGAATGGAATGTCCAGACCAACTACTACACCGCCAAAGTCCCCATCTGGGTAGACGAGCTCTCGGATCCAACGACCTGGAAATCCGACTTCCTCCGCCCGGAAGCCAAGCAAGTCATCGATGCGGTCGGGGCCTGGGTCTTCTGTTTCCAACCACAGAAAGATGGACGAGGCATAGGCAAAGATGCTGAAGAGGCGATGCGGAGTATACAAGAAGTGGTGGAGGAGCATGCCGGGTATGGCGGGGATTGCGTGATGCTCGCTGTGGCCAAGTCGGCGGGGAAGGAAGTCGTCCCTACCAGCGGCGGGGAGCAGGAGGACATTTGCATGCAGTACGGCTTCGAGTGGATTGACTATGCGGCGACGGGGAGTAATGAGTTTGGGGAGAAGGTTGGGCTGGAGCGGATCAAGGAAGCTCTGGAAGCCAACGAGTGGGATGCTGAGGGTGATGAGGATGATTTGGGGCTGGACTTGGAGAATCTGGATCTTGACCATGACCTTGGTTTTGCGCGGGAAGAGGCTGAAATGACGGCAGAACTATTTGGCATGAAGGCTGCTCTCAATGGAGATGACGATATTCTGCCGCTCTCTCAACAGGAAAATCAAGTGGATGATCTGGATAGGATCATGGGCAGACTTCTGGCCGTCAAGGAACAGAGTGCTGACCTTCCCGAGGCACAGCGGAGACGAATGGCTGCCAAGGCGGTGCAAGAGCTGTTCAAGGCCGGTGATCCTGCTTGAGACTACATTGATGGGAGAGTCAGAGCAAGACTACGTTGATGGGAAGACTGGGCTGTCGCGTGGAGTGATATCCATCCATGAACGGCGAGTTGGCTTGGGTGTGGATTGAGGAGCTCACGCCGACCAGCATCACGTTCGGATAACATGCCCATCTAATTCTCCAGAAACGACAATGCTTTTTCTACTACTACAATGTATATCGGAAGCCTGGAGTACGCTCGAGCACAATCTCGCCCCGTTCCGCCCGCTTGTTGGCTTTGGAGTAAACATAAAAGTTCTTGAGAACATGCAGAATGGTCACCACTTGCGTTGCAATTACAGTAGCGAGGGCAGGACGGTACCCTGGAGCGTCTTGCTGTCGGAAGATTGTGGCAGTAATAATTCCACTACATTCGGTCAGTACAATGWTATCAACTCAGACAAGGATGGAATACACAGACCTGATACCGCTCCCTCCAATCAACAAGATGGTCGCAAGGGACCTTTTCATTTGACCCACGACATTATTGTGCCTAGACAACAGTCAGTAAGCCGAGCGGTTGCAGCACAAAGGCCAACTTACATCAAAGATATGATGGTAGGAATGTTGGCATTGGCGCCACCGACYCCAAGATATGTCCCAGCATACCGCGCATTCGGGTTGGAGACAAACCCAACCACGACCAGTCCAATCAGAGCAACGACACTGTTGATGATGACGATGACTCCGCGTATACGAAAGTGGTCTCCCGCGAACGCTACGATGAACATGTATACAGCGCCGGCCACGAAAGGCGGAAAGGCGAGAATCTGTGCGTGAGAAGTCGAGTAGCCCAGTTCCTGTACGGAGATCAGCAAGTGGGAGATGACACCTTGGAGCTGGGTCGGTACTCACATCTTCCAAGATGATTGGGAGGAAGAGGCTGAATGAGTAGCCGACGGTCGCTGCAAGGAGGTAAATCCAAGCAAACTCCCAAATCTTGGGAGCGAGAGCGAGCTGGTCAGTACGAATTCTCAAAAGGAGATGATGGAGTGCTGATCTCACCTTCCAGTCACTGAGATATGTAATGGCATCTCTCCAAGTCACTGCCTCGAATTAGCACGCAAGGTTGGCCTCTCAATGCACAAGCGACCTACTTTTATCGACCTTGGAGTCGCCGCGATCTTCCTCGATTCGAGCCAGGATGAAGTTGGCTTCATCATCCGTCAAGAAAGGCTTCTTGGAAATCAATCCCGGTTCCGTAGCCTAGGACAGCATTAGTCGTGATTCCAACATCAAATCGTTGATGAAGGCCTGCCTTATCAGGAAACCCCTAACAACCGTCAGCCTGCGTCGAATTCTCTCCAACAACAAGAACATCGCCTACCACAAGCACCCCAACAGCCACCAGACCCAGAAAAGCAGTCACAATGCCCTCCAGAACGAAGATCCACCTCCTATACCTCAGATCAGCGAAAGCGGAAAATGTCGCTCAGGAACAGCACCTCCATACATACCATCCCCGAAGTCCACCCACCCCTTCCATCTGAGTGAGACCATATGCTAGGATATTTCCAACCCCAGAAGCTAGCAGTGCTAGAAGATAGAATGCCGAGAATCGCTTCTGGACTTCATATCGGACGTACCAGCACCCTTTCAACGAATCAATCAATCAATCAACAAAAAAGGATTCAACTTTTCACACATACCCAAGAGATACACGCATCCAGGATATAATCCCGCCTCGAAAGTCCCGAGTAGAACTCGACAGCCCGCCAGAGCTCCCCAGGACTTGACGAAACCCATTCCTATTGTCGTGACTAAATATTCCTCGCCCGGTCAACATTTTCCGTATACTCAAATCTATATGGATAGACAAAGAAGGGGCACATACCACCAAACCCCACAGCGAGCCCCCCTAACCATCCTGCCGGGCCGATTCGTCGAATCGCTAGACTGGCGGGATACTCGAAGAAGATGTACGGCAGGAAGAAGACCAGTGTCGTCTAGGCGTGTAAGTAAGGTTTTTGTCGTGGGTAATATGTCTACAAACACTCCCACTCTTAGAAGAAAGCAAGAGAGAGAAAGAGAGAGAGAGAGAAGAAAGAGAAGAAAGAGAAACATAACGTACAATCGTATATCGATTCCCAATCTCAAGCCCCAAATCCTCTCCTGCGCCCGCGATTCTCGCATTAGGGAGATTAACCTATTGCGAAAAAGAAGAAGAAGTTATCAGTAAGTAACTAACTGGTGATGGATATCTTGAGAGAGAGATAGAGAGAGGGAGCAGCAGAAGTGGGAACTTTCTTACTCGGTCAATCAAAGCAAAAGCATAAATCGCCGCACAAATTGGTAATAGTCGAATGTCGATTTTGCGAAGTAGTCTTCGGGTTTCGATTTGAGTATCTCGTCGGGAGGAGGAGGGGGAGGAGGCAGTTTCTAGGCGCTGTTTGTGAGGATGAATGTTAGAAGAGGGTGTATTGAATTTAGTGGAAGCTGATGTAGATGGATGAGGTATGTTGTATTTGGGATGATTTATTACATTACTTTCCCTCTCCTCATCATGCTTAACATCGCCTTCCATTTCGTTGGGGGACATGTTTATGGACAATTGCGTTATATCGTCATCAACGCTGTCCGGTAAGGTTATGATATAGTATGCTATTCAAGAACGGGCCATACATTCATGATGAAACAGAAAATCATCCGCGGATGATAACTTTCTTCCAATTGAGAGTTTGCGTCTTCCATCATCATGTCGATGCGATCGGCTGTGAGCACAGCGGGAAGTATATCTTGTAGATCACTTGGCTAGACTGTATATGGGTCGTGCAGGTTCATCGAAAAGGGTTTTTCTGACCGCTTTATGTACATGACGATGCTGTATGGATTTTTTGCTTTGGAGCAGGTAGGTGAGGTATCTTTGCTCTTTTTGATTTACTAGAGTAAGGAGATAGAATCATGAGCTTTGGACGTCTGAGAGACGTATAAAAGTAACAACAAATACAGCTCAGTATACCATCACAATTTCCTCCTCAAGAAACATCTCCTTACCAGCGAATTACCCATCACCTCGAAAAGGCACCTCAACTCAAGCACCACAAAATCACAATCAAAGTACCCATCTACTCCAAAACCCTAGCCCCCCAAACCCCCTCCGAAACCACAGCCCTCTCAAGCCGATCCTTCAAATAACAAACCCCACCCAACAAACTAACATCCACACACCCCTCCGTCTCAGCACAAGTCTCGAAACAATTCCGAAAAGCCCTCGGACCCCTCAATCCCGTATGCTCATTAATCTCACTGCGCATATCGCCCCCGGGACGATCAATCCCGCATTCAATGACAAAGGACTTTTCCGGCTCGGAATCAATCGAGTAGAGGACGGTGTTGTTACAGGCGGGACAGGTGGGAGAATAGATATTGCAGCGGTCGTTTTCGTCTTCTTCATCGTCAGCTGGGGGAGAGAGGAGGCGGGCGGAGGAGATGTTGCTATCGATGAGTCGGGCGCCGAGGGTGCGTTTTAGGTAGCATGCCGCTTTTTTTATCCCGTATCAGTATCGAGGAAGGAATTGCATGTTGATGAGTAGAGAGAGACTTACAGCCACTCAAGGAGATGTCAACGCAACCGGTCATGTTACTGCACGAGTCTATGCATGTTTCCAACCACAGTTCCCCGACGATGGAGTTTAGAGCTAGGGAGCCCATATCTCCTCCCGCGTAGTCGACTCCGCATTCTACCTGGAACGAGCGGCCATCGGGTGTTGTGTGGGTGGTCCCGTTACTGCCGGGGCAGCTGATGGGTGTTTCTACTCCGAGGAGACGAGCGCCGAGAAGGCCTGGGGCGGGAAGGGAGCGGCCGAGGAGGGATTTCAAGTAGCATGCGGCTGAATGTCATGTCAGTCAGTCAATGTATAGCTCCGTGATAATGGGTAACGGACTGCCTGAGAGGGAGACATCAACACATTTGGAATTGGAATCACAGGCTGCGATGCAGGCTTCGAGATTTGGGACGGAGAGGGAGGAGAGGTCTCCACGTTCGTGGTCGATGGAGCACTCGACTACGAAGGTCTGGCCTGAAGGGGCCGTGTAGAGGGTATTGTTGGAGGCGGGGCACGAGAGAGGGGTCAACGTCGGAGCGGAGGATGGAGAGGTGGTGCTGGTGGATAGAGTGGAGGAAGTGGTCGAGAATATGGGGGCAGGAGCGGCGGTGTTGGATAAAGTGACGAGAGTCGGGTTACTCGAGGAGGAGGAGGAGGAGGAGAAAGAGGAAGTAAAAGTGTTGCTGATGGAAGAAGACGTCGAATTGGTGAAAGGAGGAAGGATTATTGAGCGCTGCGCCGAAACGAAGCAGGCAAAGTAGAAGACGAACAACATGAGAACAAGCATGATGGAGTGAGAACTCGTCGGACTGAAGTGTAAAAGCTGAAGGGGGAAAAGATCTGTTTGATCTTATATCCCTCACCTACAAATGCCAAAGCATTCATCATGAGAAGCTTTCCCTGCCTGGGATTCGTCTTGGTGGTCTCCGAGCGACTTCCAGGCCCGCTTGGCAGCCATGCCATTCCGCAAGTTCTCGTTCAATGCATTCTTCTCAGCACGCGCTTTCTCCGCGTGGAATGCTGAGAGACTTCATAATCCACTTCCCACGGATCCAACTTCTCAGCAACGCTCTCGGGGTATCTCAAATCGTCAACAAAAGCATTTTTAAGCAAACATCAAAATGCGTGGTGGAAAATTTTTCCGTGCTCCACGTCCAAGGTCCTTCTTTACTGGCTGAGCTTGGGTTTCTTATTCTCGGGCTCACCAGGAAGAGCAGGCTCTTTGGTGGGAACGTCGGGAAGGTCAGGGAGGGTGTCGGTGGTGGGTGGAGGTGGAGCGGCTTCGCTTGCTTCCTTGGTTGAAGTGATAGGGTCTGTCTGCAGTTCTTTCTGGGTGGTAGCATCAGCATCCGCGGTGGTGGTAGCATCAGCACCCGCGATGGTGGTAGCATCAGCACCCGCGATGGTGGTAGTATCAATATCCGCGGCAACATCCACGGTGGTCTTCTCCGGATTCTCCTTCGCAGCATCCTTGTCGATATTTTGCTCATCCTTGGTGGAGTCTTCCTTCTGGTCATTCACCTCCTGCGTCACAGGCGTGAAGTATTGCCTGTGATGTGTTAGCGTGCACATGGAACCATCCACGGAATCCTCCATCACTCACGGAATAAACTCCTCGTACGCTCTCTGATCCTTGTCCATGAATTGACAAAACACGATGCGATCCATCTTCTTCGCGCGCTCCTCATCCGCCTCCAGCCAGCCCTTGACGGCCTCAATCGCCGCAACACATGCCTCTTTGCTCGGATATCCATAGATTCCCGTGCTCAGCGCGCTGAAGGCGATACTCCGACATGCATTCTGCACCGCCAAATCCAAGCTCCTCGTGTAGCAGCTCTGCAGTAAAGTCGTGTGCATCCCCTCCCGTTTAGCACTGTAGTAGACGGGCCCCACAGCGTGAATGATCCTCTTACAGGGCAGCTCATACGCCGAGGTGATTTTAGCATCTCCCGTGTCGCAGCCTTCGAGAGTCTCGCATTCGTCAAAGAGGTCGGGACCGGCGGCGCGGTGGATGGCACCGTCCACCCCACCACCACCGAGGAGAGAGTTGTTGGCGGCGTTGACGATGGCGTCGATATCAAGGGTGGTGATGTCTTGGGAAATGATGGAGAGCTTGGAAGCGTAGCGTGCGGTCGCAGTGGGCGAGGGATCCGAAGCGGGTTCGAGGAAGCCTTCAGCATAGAGCTGTGCGACGGTGGGAATGGCGGATAGCGGGGTTGGCGGAGCCATGATTGCGAGTGTTGTTGGGGAATGGAGGGAATGAAATGGTGGTAGTAATTGTAGGTACTTAGGGTAGCTTGGGGTTTTAGCATGTGATGGTGGCCCCAGCGGCCGCTAGCTATTTAGACTTCCCGCGTTCCGTTCCGCTCGGCTAGTGGATGTCACTTCCATTCTTGAAGGTCAGTAGGTAGGTAGCAGAATGTACACACCCTTTGAGATACGATATCATATGGTCATTTGTTAACAAAGCCTTCTTGTTGGAGTACAACGTTGTAAATATTCAAAGTTGCGTAGATGATAAGGTAGAGCTTGTCTTGGTGAAAGAAACATGGCCGCCATGAAACGCGGGGCAATCGATTGGACGTTTCGGAATTCGGAGTTGGCGGTGGGAGGGATTTCTTAGTGAGTCAAGCTTGCTTGCTTGCTTGCTATCCAAACATCTCAGGAAGCGACACCAAAAGAACCTCATAGAGACCACCACAACCATGGCCGAAGTTCCAGAAGAACCCAAAGTATCCAAGCGGGCAGCTGAAAAAGAAGCCAAGAAAGCGGCAGCAAAGGCCAAGAAAGACGCCGCCAAAGCTGGAAATGCGGACAATGCCAGCAACTCCACCACCAAACCAGCTGCCAATGCAGGCCCCGTCGATCAATTCAAGACGGGTTGGCTAAAGGGCGTCTACAATGAGAAGCCCGTGTCGGTGGTGCAGACTCGTTTCCCACCCGAACCCAACGGATACCTGTTTGCCTCCCCATCACTCAATGGTGAAGGAAGAGTGAAGCTGATTTCTTGACTTTTCCTCCAGACACATCGGCCATGCCAAAGCCATCACCGTCAACTTTGGTTTTGCCAAGTCATACGGCGGCAAGTGCAACCTCCGCTTTGATGACACCAATCCTTCAAGTGAAGAGGAGCAGTTCTTCACAAGCATCGAGGATATGGTCCGCTGGTTGGGCTTCACTCCCGCCCGCATCACTTACTCCTCCGACGACTTTGATCAGCTGTATGAGTTGGCGGAGAAGTTGATCACACGCGACAAGGCGTACGTCTGTCACTGTTCCAAAGATGCCGTGCAAAAAGGACGGGGAGGGAAGAAGGGCGAGCTAACCCGARGCGTGTGTGCGGATTGGAGCAAGAGTGTCGAGGAGAACATGCAGGAGTTCCGCGACATGAGAGATGGCAAGTACGAACCGGGCACTGCTCATCTCCGCATGAAGCAGTATCTCGGCGTGAACCCAGCAGAATACACCATCGACAAGGAGAACGACTCGCCCGAGACCAAGAAGGAGAAGATCAAGCTCAAGTCTCTGGCTGACAATCCCGCCTTTTGGGACATCGCCGCCTATCGTGTCAAGCAATGGAAGAAGGATGAGAATCATCCCGATCAGCTCCCACCTAATCATCATCACCGAACCGGCGACAAGTGGAAGATCTATCCCACGTATGAATTCACCCATTGTCTGGTCGACGCCTTCGAGGGCATCACCCACAGTTTGTGTACGGTGGAGTTTGAGACGCTGCGACCTGCCTACAATTGGCTGCTCGAAGCTCTCGACTACAAGGTCCCAGAGAGTGAAGAAAAGGGTCCCATGCAGAGAGAGTATGGCAGACTGAACGTCGAGGGCACCATCCTTTCCAAGCGTCGCATCGCCATGCTCGTCAATGGGTGGTCCTCCAAGAAAGCAGATGCTGTCGACGACGCCGCAGATGGGATCGATAACCTCGATCTGGAGGATGCCGACGAAGGCACGGCTGCACCTTCCACCACCACCACATCAACTACCTCAAGAACCAACCCTCCCGTCGTGCGGAACTGGGATGATCCTCGTCTCTTCACCCTCGTTGCTCTCCGTCGTCGTGGCGTTCCTCCTGGCGCGCTCAAGAAGTTTGTTCTCGATCTCGGTGTCACAAAGGCAAATGCCAACACAATGACACACAACCTCGACGCCAGCATCCGAACGTACCTCGAACGTACTGTACCTCGTCTGATGCTTGTCCTCGATCCTATCAAAGTCATCTTGCAGAACTTGCCCGATGATTATCTCGAAGAGCGGGAGGTGCCATTCGATCCCAAAGATCCCGCAAAAGGAAGCCACAAAGTCCCTTTTACGAAAGTCATCTACATCGAACGCGACGACTTCCGCGAAGAGGATGATCCAGATTTCTTCCGCCTGGCTCCAGGAAAGAGCGTCGGACTCCTGAACGCCGAGCACCCCATTCGCTGCACTTCCTTCGAGAAAGATCCAACTACAGGAAAAGTGTCCACCATCGTCGCAGACTACGGCGCCGACGTCCCAGCCGGCAAGGCCCGAATCCACTGGGTGGGTGAATCCGCCAAGCATTCATCTCCCGTAAAGGCAGAATGCCGTCTGTTCAACCCACTCTTCAAATCCACCAAGCCGAATGAATTGGATTGGAAGGATGGCGGATATTATGATGACGTCAACCCCGAGAGTGAAGTTGTGTACAAGGATGCAATGGTCGAGTGTGGCTTCTTGGAGGTGCAGAATAGGGCTCCGTGGCCGAGTGTTGAGGGCGAGGCGAATGGAGAGAAGGTGGAGAAGAGCTCGGTGAGATTTCAGGGGTTGAGGACTGCCTACTTTGCGGAGGACAAGGAGAGCACCGCCGAAAAGGTGGTTCTCAATCGCATCGTCACCCTGAAGGAGGACGGAGGCAAGAAGGCTTGATGCGGAGATGGGAGGGCATTGATGAGGAGTTGGTGTGCTGTGTTCAAGATACCCGGGGAGTTGTGGGAGTGTCGTACTATACATGGACTGAAGTTGAGAGGATAAGGCAGTCTCTTCTCAAGATGGATGTCTGTTGGAGTGTATTCGCCGGCTACWTGTACTGAGGCAGTGAGGATTCTTTACGGAGGTCTTTCATGCTATCTGAGTGGACGGACGGACGAATTCAAGGCGAAAAAAATCATGCAAACGATGCCCGATACCGATACAGAGAGAATAATCAAAGAATGCATTGCATGTTCACAAACCTACTTTCCTGGCCATATCAAAGTGTGGGACCTAAGGTATTCGACGAGCACGAGGTGAGGGAGTCACCATTATGTCAAGATCAATATACCGAGCAGCWTCGCCGAATGTCTTTGAATGTCGCTTGTTGGTGGAAGTACATATGCCTCCTCATTACTTCCCCTCTTTTCCACTCATACATCTACTACTGATTTTTTACTCTGATCGCCATGTGTAGCTTCCGCTGCATGAAGATGAGCACGTTAGATCTGTTAACATCGGGCCATAAGTTGACTTCAAGACCGATCAGGGTGGAGTTTGGCACAAGTTCTAACCGCTATTCTAAAGCGAGAGTGAACTCTGCAGTGCTTTTCATTCTATGAGTTGTTGTCTGATCTGGGGCTATGGTCTGAATAGACATGATCACATCAATTTCTCGATAAAGAGCCATGATTAAAAGCTACGAAATCAACATCTCCATTCGTTCTTCCACCATGTACGACTCAAACATGCAAAACCGTAAGCCCCGTAAAAGCAGAAGTAGCCCCCTCATAAACTTTCTCCTTCAGCGCAGGTTTATCAGGATTACATTTGAAAATTCGACCCGCCATATCCGCTACCCAAATCACATTTTTGTTCGAATCGTATTTTAGACCTGTAAAAAAATCAGTCATAATGATACCCAATAAAATCGCTGCGAGGGAAAGGGGGGGGGGGTTCTGCGTACCAATTCCCTCTCCAAGCCCCTGAGCGAGAATCTGTCTTCCTAATTTCTTCTCCGCGGGGGGGATTTCTCCGATTAAAGTCTTCTTGTTTAGGGTGTTACCTTTTTTTAATCAAGCGGTCAGTACTTGTCTTGTTCCGGACCCCATGCATGAGAAGAAGAATGAAAAATACTCACCAAGCGGTAACTCCCCCCTATCAGACCAAAAAAGCACATCCTCACTCTCATTCAATTCCAAATCAATAGGTTCCGSCAACCCCCCAATAACAAGTTCCACATCCCTCCTATTCCTCGCATCCTCCCCTTTCGGAAAATCAATATTCGCAGAAAAAATCCTTCCTAAACTTCCTTTTGAAGGCCCCTTTTGCGTCCAATAGAATTTTCCATTTTTAGGCGACACGGCGATTCCTACACACCAATTTCTTTGATCGTGAATTTTTTCAGTGTCTTTTTGAAAGTCGGCGACTTGGAAGATGGTTTCGTGGGCAGTGCCGTCGAGGTTGACGCGCATTACGCGCATGCCTTCGCGGTCGCTGAAGTAGAGTTTTGAGGAGGTTGAGTCGATGATGCATTGTTTCGGGGTGTGGACTGCTCCGGGGGGGATTATTATTTGGATGTCGCTGCCGTCGAGGTTGGCGGAGTGGACGGAGCCTTTTGAGGGTATATATATGTTAGAGAGAGAGAGAGGTCTGGGGGGTGGCGATTTGGGGGTTGTTCATCATACCGTCGTTCATGGAAGGATTGCCCATGTCTGTCCAGAAGATACGGTTGAGTTTCTTGGAAATGTCGATGCCGTCGGGCATATATCTATTTCAAGTAAATCAGTATCGATGATCTCGGGACGGAGAGTCTTCAGAAACGTTACCCCTTTCCGATAATCTCGGTCGGTTTACCGCCCTCGTCGACATTCAAGCTTAGAATCTGACCACGATGCATGACCTGCTCGAAATCCATCTCCTCATTCAACTTCTCCGCGACTCCCAAATTCAGAAAGAAAAGTTTCGTCTGCTCGCCCTTGGAAGGAACATCATAAAGACCTCCCTTATCGCTCTTCTTGCCAAGTTTTCCGGGTTCAATATACTGCCTATGCAACCAATCGACATGATCTCTGGAGATATTCCGCTCTTTGATGTAGTGTTCCTCGATATTCTCCACGGTATCCAAGCCGACTTGATCCATCATATGACAAGGTCCATCGCGAGCACTATATTGTTCTTTGAAAACTCGGTCGATTTCTGAAGGGGTGGAGACGCCTTCTTGAAGGACTTTGAGAGTCTCACGTTTGATGGCCGCCCAGATGCGGTTGAAGACGAAGCCGGTGGATTCTTTGAGTGCGACGATGGGGTGGAGTCCTGCTTCTTGGTGGCGCTCTTTGAGAAAGTCGATTAGTTCGGGGGTTGTGTGGCCATCGGTCATTAGTTCGACGATGAGAGCTTCTGGTGGCATCATGTAGTCTAGATTCATGCGTTAGTCGTCGCTATCTCATCATCCAGATCATAACATACGAGTGTTCCTAAATTACTTGTCAGCTGACCAAACTAGATCAACATCACCGACTTGAAAACTCACAAAACACGAGTCTTGGTCTCATCTCGCAATTTCCCAATAAGCTCCCCAGATTTGTACGAAGAAGAATTACTGGCCAGAATACAATCCTTTGGCGCATACTTCTCCAGCTCAACAAACGTATCTTCCTTCAACTCCAATTTCTCAGGAACAGCCTCGAAAACCAGCCATGACTCCTTCACAGCAGCAGCGAGGTCCTCGGTACCCTCCGCGCGACCAGGAGTAGTACGCTCTGTCAATGCCGAGAAGGCTCCCATGTCGGATTTGATGTAGGCTAGAGCATCATTTCTGGATTTTTCCGAGGGATCTCTGATGATGACATGGTAGCCTGCTGCGACCCAACATGCGGCTGAAGGAACACGCTTGTATGTAAGCCGTTTTGTAGATATCATTAGATGGAGGTTGGGCGAGCCATACCGATACGTCTGCCTAGGACTCCACCGCCTAGAACCGTGACTGGTCTCTTTTCATAATCTCTGGGAGGTTGCCAAGAAGACATGATGATGGTCAAGATATATAAGGTAGGATGTGAGCGAGCGTTTCTGATGAGGAAGCTGAAGGAGATGGCAATAGAAGTGGACAAGCAAGAACAGGCGTATGAAGTAAGACAACAGCTATATGCAAGAAGACCTACTGAAACTTCCGCMCGTAAGGCAAACCAAACTTCCCACGCTCAAGGTCAGCTCCAAAGGAGTAACGTTAAACAGCAGGCTAGAATCATCGTGATGAATTTTCCAATGATGACGATGGCGTCGAGCCATATTGTTTCTAGAAGCTTATATTCCGGGTTCCAACGCACGCACGTACGTAGTGTAGTCGGTAGGAGTATGCCGGCGAAGGCGTTTACAAAAGCTTTCTCGTGGCTTTTGCCTTTCCCATCCTCATGTCGGGATGGCGTCAGTGACGGAAAGAAGGCGTGGGAGTTACCCAAAAAGAAGAAGGTACGTACTAGGTACAAAGGTAAAGAAAGGTAAAGTCAGCCGTCAGCCACACACAGCAAACTCTGCAAGCTCCGGAAGAGGGCGGATTTTCCGGGATGATCCGGGTTGGAACCATGGCAGCGATCATCATGGAGAGTCTATACTAACAACAACATTTTGTTGTCATGTGAAAATTATTACATTTGTTGGGATAAGGATGAGTCCGAATGTAGTCTCATCTCCGGAGGCGTGGTTGAAGGGCATGCATGATGGTGATTTGGAATTATTGGATGCTGCTTTTCACGGAGGGAGTTCCAGCAGCAGAKACCGGGGGCTCATGGGCTAGAGGATCAATTCTGGCTCATTTGAGTGAGACACGCGCCGTCTTTGCCTTTTCGTCGAAGAAAGACTACTGTGGAGAGGGTCGGAGTTGTCTGTGGAGGTATCATTGCATATCAACTTGATGGGCTCCAAAGTATACATACATACACCTCTCGATACTCACAGAAAGGACAACAGAACATTGATGGGTGGTGTYGATGTCAAGATATACGCCGCATTAAATACCGATTGACTCTCTATAAAGACCACCAAATCACACCCCTCAAGACTGAAAGCTATCACTCCTACTAGGTCTCTCACTCCGCTTCGTCGTGCGAACATAAAGGTTCACAGGACGAATAAGCTGAAAAAACGGATCATACTCGACAGCAGTCTCCCCTTCTTTATGCCACTGATACCTCCAAATCAATTTCGGGAGGAAAATCTTCATCTCCTGCAAAGCGAAATTGAAACCTATGCACATTCTAGGACCCGTTGCGAAGGGAATGTAGGCGGCTTTGGGGAGATTTTTGACTTGGTCCGTTGACCAGCGATCGGGGTCGAACTTGGCCRGGTTTTCCCAGTATTGGGCGTTGTTGTGGATGTGGTGGATGGCGCCTTTGAAAGTGGTTAGATTTTGAGAATGTTCTGTCTGTGATTAGGTATGGGGGCATTGGACGGACTCACCGATGATGACACTTCCTTTTTTGATCTTGTAGCCACCGGGAAGGATGAGATCTACTTTTGCTGTTCGACCTGGTTGATATGAAGGGTTGTGGAGACGTTGCATCTCTTTGATGTAGTTGTCTTGGAAAGTAAGCTTCTCGATCAATTCGGGAGTCACTTCTGTATCGTCGGAGAAGTCGTTGTCGACGAGCTCCTGCAGAAGCCGTTCCTGCACTAACAAGCGAGGGTAAAAGAGTTAGCGGTGTTTTAGAAAAGGATCTCAGGTCGTCTCCTAGCAGTCCACAGACGCGCAGAGGTATCGTTGTTGGAGTATCTTTCAACCCTTTTGCCATTCAGTGTACTTACTGCCTGGATATGAAACGAGGCCGTAGAGGAGCCATGAGAGAAGAGTCGATGTAGTCACGAATCCAGCACCTGCAGCCACGATGACAGCGCTGACAAGGTTCTCCTTTGGTAATTTGTTTCCCTGACCATCAGTTGCACGGTTGAGATAATCAATGACATTCGCTGCCTTGAGTGCCGCTTCTTGGAGCTCGAGGTCCTCGGAACCAGAGGAAGCTGCGGCCTCGATGGAYTTCTCAATCTGCTTTCGCTGGTAGGATTGAAGATCTCTGAGCTTTTTGGGGTCGCCAAAAGGTAGGTTGGCGTACCAATCTCCGTGAGTGGCGATTTTCTTGTTCAAAGACAGACTCAAAGCAATAGCCTGTACCATCTCGTGCATTGGGGCATCGACAGACTCGAATTGTTTAAACTCCATGCCCATGACCAGTTTTCCAATGGCCTCGGAACCGAGTTTGAGCATGTACTGGTATGCATTCCAAGCTTCGCCGGTTTCTTCCAGCTGGTCGAAGATGGGAATGGCAGAGTTGATAGTTGCATTCATCGTAGGCGCATAGTGACGAACAGCCTTTGGTCCGAGGGCAGGAGGCATGAATTTGTGGACGATCTTCCAAGAGGGACTGCTGGTGTCCGCAAGGAAGACACCTGCTTCCTGATCCTTGATGGGGTAGAGAGGGTGGTTTGAGTTGATGTCTTTGGTGAAAAAGTCTGTTTCAGCAAAGACTATCTCCGCAAGCTTGGGATCGTTGATCTGATAGCTTGTTCGTCCCATGTTGCTCTCCTGGAAGATGGGTCCATATCGATCGAAAAGACGTTGATGATTTCCAAGGTGGTCGGGAAAGACTTCAAAGTAGTTTCCAAAGAAGGGAAGCCCATCAGCTGTGCGGAAGGTCAGTCCGTGATGCATCATTTTTTGATTTGATGATTCAAACACTCACCACCGGGAACTTCTCGCACCGAATGGCCATCAATGGTGATGCCAACTGGTACATCTGCCTCCTTCACCGCATCAAAGTCGGGCAATTGTTCCCCATCAGCCTGGAACGCAATTCCAGTTTGATCAGCGATAGCAAAGTTGCCGGCGATGACCAACTTCAACGAATCGAAATCCGTAGCGGAGGAGATGTCAACATCAATTGCAGTAGAGGGCTCTTCGCCGGCTAGGAAGAATGACTTGGACATTGCAGAGATGTATGAATGAGCTGCTCAGAGGAGAATTTCAATGTCAACTTCTGAAGGGAACGACAATGGCCATTATACGTGTAGGCTCTCACCCTAAGCAATGTGGCACATGCTGCTGCAGGCGACTCTCGCAGTTCGGTAACCTCATGTCATCCTTGAGCTTAAAACGCAGGGGCCAAGTCGGAGGTGATTGACGTTGAGGCGCCGTGCAAATACATGCTGTAGACCTAACACTGATTGGGGAGGTTCCGAAGGACTGGAAGCTGCAGGTTGTACGGATCGAGCTTCTGCTTTGAGTGTCAGCCGCGTCGGAGCAGATATGTGGAGTGAAAAAGTAAGACTGTACGTCCGTAGAGACTTAGAGAGCTTAAGCATTTGTGTTGATCGCAGCCAAGAAAAGCCTTCTCAAGACTTTCTCTGTATGGGCTGGTTCGGTCTGGCCCGCGGGATGATGCAGTTGGCTGCGTCGAATCCTTTGCTTGTGATTACGCCCGTAGAGTTCGAGGCAGGCTGAGGAACAAAGTCAATGCAATAGCGCCACTAGCCTCCCCGATCGGCGCCGCGTGCAGCGAGAAACCGATGGCGAAAATCATGGTAYTGATGTCAATGTTGTGCTCCAATCTGCCATAAACGACATACAGTCTCTTGGAAGAAATCCATTCCTTTGGAACATTCAGTCCGCTTCATTTCTACTCGCCAAGTCGTTCTGACATTCTATCAGGCCGAGCATTCCAGATGGCTCCATCACCAGAGAAGAAGGAACTGAAGGCAAACTGGAAGACTGAAGTAGAGGTCCCGACTTTGAGCCTCGCAGATGTTGCAAAGCACAACACCAAGAGCGACCTGTGGATCGTTATTCACGGCAAAGGTGAGTGACGCCTTGGCAACTCCTCAATAAGAACCAATCCCTAAGCATTGAAAATTAGCATATGATGTAACAGAGTATGTGAGGGACCATCCTGGAGGTCCAGACACTCTCATCGAAGTGGCTGGCCAAGACGCAACGAGTGCATACGAAGACGTCGGCCACTCGGAGGATGCAAGAGAAATCATGCATCCGTTCTTGGTTGGGGTTGTAAAGGATGCCAAGTCAGACTCCGCCAACAAAAAGCAAGAAGTTCACGTCGTTCGCCGTGGCGCCAGCAAGAATGAATCTCCAAAGAGTAGCCTGCTCACACCGCGGAACGAAGCGGCCATCTTCGCTGTGGGTACTGTGGCTGCCGTATGGAYTGCTCGACATGCCAACTTTGGCAACTTTCCATCGAACCCATTCCGATCCATCTTTGGGACTGGACACATCCAAGGCGGATTTACCTCTGGTTTCCTCCTTGCTAGCATCACCTGTGCGGCTGTTGGGTTCATGGGATTCCGGTACTTCAACAACGAGACCGCCAGACGCTTCGGTGGTGATTTCACATCGTATCCTGCTCACATGCCCGCCTCCAAGACGGTCGTCTCGACGAACCGACCCGCTGGAGTGCTGAAGTCGCAGGACTATCAGACCTTTAAGCTCACGCAGAAGGTGGAGCTAGCAAAGGACATTTACAGATTTGTGTTCGCCCTTCCTCATCCCAGCTCGGTCTTGGGACTGCCCATTGGCCAGCACGTTGCAATTCGCGGATCGTATGACGATGATGAAGGACACCAGACGGTCTCGCGAAGCTACACTCCCGTGTCGAACAACTCTGATCTCGGCCGGCTCGAACTGGTGATTCGATGCTATCCCGATGGCAAGCTCACCGGCAATTACCTGGTCAATCTCAAACCTGGCGATGATGTTGAGTTCCGCGGTCCCAAGGGAGCCATGCGTTACCGCAAGGGGATGAGCAAGAAGATTGGCATGGTAGCTGGAGGCACAGGAATCACCCCCATGTACCAGCTGATCCGGTCCATTTGCGAGGATAAGACGGACAAGACCGAGGTTTCCTTGATATATGCCAACCGCAGCGAAGCCGACATTCTGTTGCGAAAACAGCTGGATCGATTCGCGGAGCAAAACTCCAATTTCAAGGTTTACTACATGATTGATGAAGCTTCACAGGGCTGGCAGGGCGGCGTGGGACACGTTAACAAGGACGTCCTCAACGAGAGGATGCCAGAAGTGGCCTCCGATACCAAGATTTTGTTGTGTGGTMCTCCAGGTCTGGTCAATGCTACCAAGAAAAATTTGGGAGAGTTGGGATTCGAGGAGCCCGGCGCTGTGGCCAAGATGAGCGATCAGATCTTTTGCTTCTAGTGGACATGATGTCACAGTATAGCGTGTTTTGATTCTGATATAATAATGGGAGAAGGAGGGAGTGGCCAGACCGCGAGAAGATAGATTCTGTGTCAGGGAAAAGCCTGATTTGTTTCAAGATTTGTAATTGAACATGCCGTGAATCAAGATTTGACGCTCTCTTCGACTCATGCCATCAATTTTCAATCAAATGCCGACTGGCCGAATGCTGGGATCTAAAAAATAGGGTGCCGTCCATCGAATACCTAACTTCTACTGGCATCTTCGTTCCTGCTGCACACACTTCATGCCTACATAGTCATTTTTCAATCAATACTTCAAAGGTGACTGATTGATCTCCAACATCCAAAATGCCGGACTTTTCATCCAAAGCATACTGGGACGAACGGTTTACCAAGGACAACAAGCCATTTGACTGGCTGGTACCGGCTGCAGCTCTTCGGGATGTCACAGCCGATGTTTGGGACACGGAAGATCTACCCAAATGCGAGATTCTGCATATAGGCTGTGGAACATCCGACGCATCCGTGCTGCGTGGACTGGTGGAAACTCCCCAACAGATTTTGAATCTGGACTACTCGGACGCTGCTGTACAAGCCGCCTCGGAACGCGAACAAGAATTGCTCATCATGGAAGAACAGACGTCCGATTTGTTGGAAAGCGAAACATCACCCGATGATGAACAACGATCGATTCCCTTGCAAAGCATGCGCTGGTCTTGTCTGGATCTCCTCTCTCTCGACTCAACTCTGTCCCTACTGGAACGCCAACGAGCGGAATGTGGAAAATTGTTCGACCTCGTCCTGGACAAGAGCACAAGTGACAGTATCGCAAGCGGTCGTCATGTATCCTTGAATGTTCCTTACCCCCTCTCAATCAACGGCTGGACACGAAGAATTCTTCGCGGAGGTCTCCATGCCCCTGTAGAAGTCCATCCTTTACACGTCCTCGCTCTGCATTTGGCAGCTCTGACTAGACCCGGAAGTGGGAGATGGGTCGTGATCAGTTACTCGGAAGACAGGTTCCCGTTCTTGCCGCCCTTTCCACACTCTGCTTCCACAGGTCTGCTGGGCGATGATGTCATCCAAAAGGGCTTCACACATCCGCATCAGTTGTGGAAGTTGGAGAAGAAGGAGAAGCTGGATCTYGATGCTAGACGTGATGAGACCTTGGCCCAACGGAGAAAACGATTGTCCATGGGAATCGTATATCGGCCACAGCCAATCCATTGGCTGTATGTCCTTCGCAGAACTCAAGCCATCATCACGGATTGACGGATTCTTACCACTTGTTCTTGCTTGAATACACACGAGATATGATGATAGCTTGCGAGCTGCCGGGATGAATGATCTGGCCATGCAATGCGCCTGATATTCCGGCGACCGCGGTCAAAGTTTGAAGCATTCCAACCTAAAAAGATCAATATCGATATGAAAAAGTCCTGGAGGATGTCGTGGATAGTGGATGAGACCGCTTCCCGATTTTACGGTCACTCAGAACTACATCCCATCACTGCCATATTTGAATAGGATAGATGTTCAACGGCCTGAATCGGATCTCCGGATGATGGCGGCTGATATGCCTCTTGGGGTATCACGCAGGTTGCAAGGCAAACAAACAGATTGTTCAATGGCTTACAGCTGAACTATCTCTGGTCTTTTGTGTCAAGTTCAACGAAGTAATGGCCTATTCAGGTGCTAGCAGGTCCTCTTTGGTTCGATGCATGAGCCATTGAAGCGAGTTTCTTGGTCACGGAATAAAAGGCAGAAACCGTATGACGAACAAGTAACGCGATGGGCAATGATTTGATCTGATACTTCTACGAAGCGCATGGAAGAAGGTGATGCAGACCGGCGTCGTCTTCCAAAGGCCAGTTCTATGTGAATCKCGATTCTATTCCTTCCGTTCGTTGGAACATCAACCACATTCGATGCCCATCTTTTGCAACCAACGCGTCGGGGCGTCAGACGCGAACAAGAGCTCTCCACTCTCCGCACTTCTCGAGATCAAGTCAATACCTCGATCGAACATGTCTTGCTCATATTCTCTCACGGCTTGGTCGAGATTTCCCAATCCATATTCGCGGATCTTCCTCGCAAGCTGTGCACTATCTTGTAATGCGCAATTGACACCTTCCCCCTCAAAGGGAGTCCTGTCGAATCTGTTAGCGACGGAAAGTATATCATCTCATACCAATACCAACAAACGTACGTTACATGCGCAGCATCGCCAATCAAAGTCACACCTGGTACGGACTCCCAAGAAAGGGACTCGGTGGGCATAGCATAGAGAGGCCAAGCTCGAAAGTCGTCATCGCTATTTACGATAACATTGGTCTCCATCTCTGGCCAACCAGCACATAATTCCTGCATCATAGTTCGACGGGCTGATAAGGGGTGGGTGTCACTCCAGTCTTCCGGAAGTCGAAGACCTAATCCGACATGGTAGCTTCCATCGCTTAGGAACATGGCACTCAACTGCTGGCAATTTCCAAAAGCCATGTAATTGCCACGACCGGCGAGTTTGACTGCTGAGCTGTAATGTGGATTGTCTGGTCGCATGTGYGAGGTGATGTAGTGGAAACCGGAGTACTCTGGTTTCGCTGAGGTGACCTAATTCATTCACTTTCAGAAGAAGTATTAATTGGGCATCCATGATCCACATACCAGACTTTTTCGCTTTCGACCACGCCCCATCCGCTCCTACGACTAGTTTGAAGGAACTCTGGAAACTGCCGTCTGCGAAATGCACAGCCATGGATCCATTGGCTTCCTTCACGATTTCCTCAACACGCATGCCCCATTTAATCTTCTCAGCCGGAACAGACTCGAGGATCAAAGCACGAAGATCCTTTCGATCCATCTCTGGTCGATCAACGTTTCCGTCCGCGCCGAATTCCGCAAGGACTTTCCCCTCATAGTTTGCAAATTTTGAAGAGGCATCGTAGCGTGCCAACTTTTTGAACTTTTCGAGGAGTCCAGCTTCTTGGAGAGCGAGTTGTCCGGAATTGGAATGGATGTCCAGCGTTCCTCCTGATCCTGTGGAGTTTTCTGATGAGGCGTCTCTTTCGAAGATGATATAGTCGATACTGGCGACTTCTAAAAGACGAGCGAGTAATAGTCCGCTTGGGCCGGCTCCGAGAATGGCGATTGGTGGTGTCATGGTGAAGAGTGATTGCGGAAGTGGTCCTCATAATATGAAGCATTCAGGATGATCGAGTTTCCTGCTTATAGATATATCTTGTTTGTATGCGAACGCCTCGGAAGTTAAGGACGGCTGTAAACTCCGAGCTGGGCCCCCCGAACTTGGTTTAAATTCCGAGTCTTCTTCTCGCACTTTTATCCATCTTCCGAACACCTCGACGATGGCGGAAACCTCCGCGAAATACTCTGTATGTGGAATAGCATCACGGCAGCATAGGTGGAGTAAAGATTGACGACATTCACAGTGCGACAAGTGCCGCTTGCGCAAGGTATCTATCATCATGACGCTCAAAGTCGAACGAAGTTACATTGTACTGATCTCACAGCAGGTGTCCTGTTCCCGCGATACACCAAAGTGCAAGCGTTGCGTAGCTGAGCGCGTCTTGTGCAACTACTCACGTTCTGGAGTCATTCGCCGGAAGAAGAAGACCAAACGTTCCCCGGACCAACACCCCGAGGAATCGCGAAAGGTGAGCATAGATCAAGACGGGTCTGGATGTAGCTTGCCGCCCTCTCTTCTGGCCAACGATATTGAAGCTACTCGCGATCGCTTGCGAGATCTTGGTGCTCAGCAAGATTCTCTGGGAGCTCTCTCCGGACTATCGGAAGCATACACCGCGATCTGGCATACTGGGTTCGAAATCACAAGCAACAGTGGCGAGTTCTTCCTGATGGAGGATTGTGCGTCTTCATGGTGTCAGAGTAAGTCATCAATGTATATTCATCTCGAAATCCTCCTGTAACAATCCAGCAGCCTTTGTGAGCACACTGGAAAGAGGCCGTCCACTCTTCACCGCCCCACCGCCAGACGTCTTGCATTTCCTAGAAACATCCCAGCCACAATGTATACAGAACCGAGCATGGCTAGTAATGTACTACAGCATAATCCTCAGCATGGTATCTTCGACAGACCCATCCAACAATACCATCAAGACGAAACTGCGAGCCAACCTCTGGCTGGCATTGAACGACATCAGATTACTTCTCGAACCCAGCGAAAAGAATCTTCAAGCTTTGACATTACTCGCCAGTCACGTGGAAGAATTCACCACACCCTCGCTGTGCTGGATGCTCATCACCAATGCCTGCCGAATGCTGCAAGCTCTCGGAGTCAATCATCGTCGTTTGGATTCCCAGACGCGGGAACGGCGAATCATGATGTTCTGGCATTTGAACATGATTGATAAAGGTCTCGCRTTAAGTCTGGGGAGACCTCCAACTTTTCACAGAGCCATGGCTAGAGAAGTGCCTCTGCCGACTTTGGAGCAACTTTTACCTTTTCAACCGCATCGGAGTGCATCTACTAGCATCCCATCGATCTTTGGAGCGCATCWGCTACATCAGATTTTCCAGTCCACGCGGGTTCAAGCTGATATCTGGCATTGCTTATATGAAGATACTGACCTCAGCGACTGTAGCGTTGCGCTGGTTTGTGAGGATCTGGATGCTTGGTATTTACAAGCGAGCAATATCCTCGAAGCAGCGGCTTTGGTTGAGAGGCCTTTTCTGGATATCAAAGGCGCGGCTTCGGTGGATTTAGGTATTCGGACCGTGACTTTCTCCTATCATTATTTGCGTGTTGTGTTGACGAAGTCGAGTAGTGAGATGAAGAGGCAGTGCATTGAATCTTCGAGGAAAATGCTTCATCTTCTGGATGACATGGTATCAGATTCCGAGGAGCCTTTTAATGGGATTATCTGGCAGTTGGTTTGTCGACCATTTACACCGTTTTTGACATTATTCGGGGAGATTCTGGCTGGCGATGTTGGCGAGATGATGATGCATGAGAGGGAATTATCACTTGAAGCGATGGAGAGACTTCCGGTGTTTCTGAATAAAATGGCACTGCGTAATTCGTTGGCGGCGAAGTTGGAGCGAGTTGCTGTGACTTTTATCCAGCATGCAAGGTTTTTGGTTCGATTTTGTGGTGAGGTCGTCGTACGAAATGCTCGACAGGGGATTCACTGACGTTTTTGATAGAGTCATTTGATGGGGCTGCGTTTCCTCCTTCAATGCCAGCCCGTCTGTTGGACGGGAATTGGCCAAGTGTGGGCAGCATGCTACATTGGGATGCGCTCTTCGATCAGGCTGCTGCTCCTGCTTCCATCCATGACGCTCACAATACCGCGATGATTGACCTTGAAGAATGGACGACCACTTTCTTCGAAGATACCGTCTTTGATTGGATTGGATTTGAAAGTCAAGCTTGATATGTCCATTCTTCTCCCTCAATATCTACGACTGGCCCATATCAAACAACAAAAACTCAGCCGGTTTATCTCCCACACTTTCCACAGCAATTTTCCCAGGCCCTGCTGCTCCTCTAACATACGCACCATCACCTTCTCCCAACTCAACATCCCCAATCCTGATCTTCGCCCCGCCACTCTTCGGCTGCTTACGATCCGACATGATGACATGCAAATACACCTCCCTCTTACCCTCCTTAACAAGTTCATGTTCCACTTTTCTTCCCGGCGACAGAATCGAAGCCGACATACTCAAATCCGCATAAATCTCAATCGGTTCCTCAGGAGAATCCCTCCCACTATGCCTCTCCTCACTCTCCACAATCCTCACCAACCCATCCCTCTTCATCTCATCCGTATACTTTCTCGTACAATAACTAGGTTTCAAACCCCTCTTATTCAGCGTACTCCAAATTTGCAAAAAATGCACATCTTCCTCTTCATTCCGATTATATTCCGAATGACGAATCCCCGTCCCGGCATTAGTGAATTGCACTTCTCCGCGACGAAGTTTCTCGAGATTGCCCATGGAATCTTTGTGTTCGAGTTCGCCGCTGATGATGTAGGACCAAATTCCGAATTCAGAGTGCGAGTGGGTGCCGAAACCTGTGCCGCGGGAGACGCGGTCTTCGTTGATTACGCGTAGGGGACCGTAGGCTTGGTGGGAGGGGTCGTGGTAGGATGCGAAGGAGAAGGTGTGGAAGGTGTAGAGCCAGCCGTGGTCTGCGTGGCCTCGTTGGTTCCAGGGGCGTTTGGTGATTTGGAGGTTTGGAGAGGTTGTTCCATTGTGCGTTGCCATTGTGCGTTTTGTGGTGAGGGATGTTGCTGTTGAGGTGGTGGAGGAAGCTACTGTTTTGGAGAGTTTGGGGAATGTCGAGCGAAGAGGAGTGTAGAGTGCCAGGATGACTGCGAGGAGTGCTATGAGAGTTGCTACTGTTGTTTTATAAGGGAAAGAAGAAGAAGAAGCTGGTGATGATGATGATGATGATGATGATGGGCTGTTGTTGTTGTTTGGGGCTGTGGTGCTATGATCCTTGGAAGAAGACATTTAGATCATTGTGAGATGGGAATGAGAAATACTCTATATCACTTTGATGTCATTGAGCCTGGAAAGATCGATCCATTAGAGAGCGATTTGTGGATTAGACAATTGCTGACGTGCAGCGGGGCGTCTGATAATCGTTTAACGACATTTCTTTCCGCTTTGGGAATTTTAAGGGGCGATATCTTTTCCATTCACTCATAAAATTCCAGACAGGTGAATGTGCTTGGGTGAGGAATACAGACGAGGAGAATTTGAAAGCAAGAGAGAAGGTTCTTTTGAGAATCTTTACAACTGTGCGGTACATTTCCGGCATGGCATGGATTGGRCATCGTCTCGTGGTAGTGCTTACCATACCGGACTTCATTCCGGTGATTCTATACTTCACGACACCAGGCTGTGTCTTTTTCTTCCGCCTCATCATCRTCTTGTTTCTCGCATTTCATTATGTTGCGGCGAGGAATTAGCTTTCAGTCGAAGGACGTGTTTCTGGAAACAAGTCCGGCCATTCATCTTGCCTTGCTAATGTACAAACCAGCAGTACTAAACAATATGGACAACCCGGCCCGGACAGACCAACCTTGACGTTTTGCAAAGGAGTCAACGTCAACCTCAACAAACGACATCAAGAACAAGTCTAATAGCATCCAGATCGTTCATACCACGACTTATAATATTATTAACATCCAATTCTCCACAACACTCCTACATCCATGGTACAGGGCCAACCCTAAACCGCAACAAGTCAAGCGCTCTCCTGCACATCATCAAATTGTGGAGCAGCCTCGGCCGGCTTCCCCAAAAGTCACCACTACACGTCTCCCTTGAATTCGTCGCGATGTCACCTCCATTTCATTTCTATACAATAATTCTTCATCAATCTCCGTCTCCATGCTCTGGAAAGTGTCCCTACCCAGGGGCCGACCATTCCGAACCCTCCTTCTTTTAACCTTCACCCTCACAATATCCTACTACCTCTACACCATCCGCCACAAAGCCGCCCCTCCACTCCCAATAGCTGAAACCACCATCCCCCTCCCTGTAGAGCCACCACCACCCCCAAAACCCAAACCTCTCCCCTGTCTCTCCCTCCCCGGAGCTTCAGACCTCGTCATAATCCTCAAAACCTCGGCCGCAGAACTCGATGCAAAACTCCCCCAACTCCTCGCCTCGACATTAAAATGCTACCCAAACTTCCTCATCTACTCCGACCACACCGAAACTCACTCCGGACAACCCATCCTCGACGCACTTGAGAATGTCAGCCCGAAGATCAAATCCACCCACCCCGACTTTGATTTATATCGTAGATTGCAAAAAAGCGGTCCCGATGCCCTCGCCGATGAGGAAATGTGGAGCGCGGACAAAACTTCCCGGAGTTTGGATAAATGGAAGATGTTGCCCATAATCCATTCTTCCTTTCAGAAATACGGCTCCGGGGCGGATAAGAAGAAATGGTTCGTCTTCATTGACATGAAATCTCATTTCTTCCAGTCCAATCTCCTCCTCTGGCTGAACGAGTTGGATCCCACCGAACCCTACTTCCTCAACATCCAAGGCACACAAGCCGAAGCTTCCATGCTCCTCGACAGCGGCTCTTTCGTCCTTTCCCATCCCGCGATCGAGGCCGTTTCCGCGGAATACACTGCGAAGAAAGTGGCGTATGAACAACTTACGAATGAGAGGGCGACGGGACATTCCCTCCTGAGGCAGATTGTGGAGAAAGCGCGGAGTCGGACAAAGAGTTTGCAAATGACCAAGAGTTGGCCCATGTTTCATCCTTGGAAACCCGCGAAGATTGATTATTCGGAGCAGGTCTTTTTCGAGAGATTGTGGTGCTATCCGACGGTATTTCATGAAGGATTGAATACGGGGGAGATTATCGAGTTGTGGAAATTCGAGCAGATCTGGATTGAAATGCATCCCAAAGGAGAGATTATGAGGCATAGTGATGTTTTCAAAGAATACATCCTCCCGAGATTGAAGGCGAGGGGTGGAAAAGTGGAGGACTGGGATAATTTCAGCGGTGGGATTATGGACTTTGGAATTGAAAAGGGGAGTGTGGAGGAGTGTATGGATACTTGTGTGCAGAGGAAGAAGTGTGTGCAGTAWATGTATAAGCAGGGGAGGTGTTATTTCTCGGATGTGCCTAAAATGGGGGAGCCAGCTCAGGGGATGCAGTCGAGGTGGTTGTTGGCCAAGACGAAGCAGTGGGCGGATGATATGAAGAAGTGTACGGGAGAGGAGAGTTGGGCTTGATTTCGTCGAGGGATTTGGTATGCTGAAGATGCCTGTCGCACGGACCAGTCTAGACTCCTGATCCAAGCGGCCCTTGCGTTGGGGAAGTCGGCTCACACGTGGGAAGGAATGCAACCACAACGCAGGTCGGACTTGTCGACGGACCTCTCTTGCGTTGTCATGTGTAGAAGACACCCGCTTTCCCACCGCGACACGAAAGGGTTACTAGAGTCGCCGGCGGCCGTACCTTGTCATGCCAGGCTGGCGAGAACTTTCCACCTCTGTCATGTTCCGCCTTTCCGAAGCAACGGGCATGCTCTGTCTGCTTCTTGAGTTGGGATCTTGCCCAATGGGGGGGAATGTGTGCTTACGCGAAACAGGTTTGCTATTGAAGCCGGCCAGACATACATAGAGGAACATTCCTGTACATGATCGTATTGCTTGGCAGATATGGATTCTGTGGCACGACCATGCACGAACGTCGCTACCTGTGAATCGGAAACGACGTGAGATTTGCAGGTGTCTGATGTGGTGTTCTGAGGCAGGTATGCGCGAGAGTAGATGAGTTGGTGCACGACTTCCTTTGCACGCTTATATCGTTCGGACCGCAAACACTCTCTTTCCTCGCGCCCCTTACTCCGACTCTCACAGCAGCTCTCCACGCGATGCTCCTCCTATTACTTGGACTGCTGCTAAGCATCAGTAACGCGCAGTCTCTTACGGGGGGCTATAACCCTTCGATAGCAGATCCTACTCAGTCGTGCTTGAAGCGGAGTGTGTTTGTCTACACGTCGGCATCGTCCACGTACATGGTCACGGATCTTGGATCAGCCTCTCCTTCGAGCTGTAGCAATACTGTCACTCTTACCTCAACATCCATCTCGACTGTGACAGTTTTCTCCGACGGGGCCAATCAGACCATCACTTCTTCGCTTCCAGCGTCTACAATCACCATCTTGCAACCAGCCGCATCGAGCTTGCCCATTACGAATCAGACCATCGATTTTGATGCCGGCTCTCCAAACTACGAGACAGCATCTTCGGGGCCACAGGTCAGCGCCGATGTAGTCAGTGCGGGACCGTTACTGCCCAACAGTGGTGATAACTATCTGTGAGTACACACCTGGCAGCACTGAAGTAATGTGATCAGCTTTCAAGATCGCTGATACTTCCTAGTTTGATCACATTCAGTGGAGGAGAAGGAGCCACGAGAGCTTTCAAACGACAAGCCAATCAACCACAATCCTACAATGTCACCCAGCCGTTTCCCGCATCTGCGGGTAGGGTACATCGTATACACTCAGCGCCTACGCTTCCAGTGCTCAAAATGGGAACACTGCACCGGAATGTACAATCACGATATGCGCGGACAATGACTGCAGTCCAGCTCGGCCTGTGACTTCAACCTACGCACTCTACGCGCATCAATACGATGCAATTGCTACAAACCCGGATGTCACAGCAACATACATTGTCTCTTGTGAAGCAGCTGCCTTCATTGCTCTCGATGATATATTGCTATAGCTGCCAACTCGCAGAGTGGCCAAGCCACCAGGACCATCACCGAATAATACATCACTCAGACGAGGCTTCCTGTTACGCAGACTCAAGAGGCTGCCACTGCGACTACTGTTCTCTGGTCTACGGCGACGTCCACGGTTGAAATACCAGACACGCAGTATGTCAGCCTGTTCTCTACCGCACTTCTGACGACCACGAGTAAGCTACTATCCTACCCACGCTGAACACGATTGCATGCTGATCAGATGTATAGCAACGGTCCTGAGCATCACCACTGTAAACGTCACCTTGACACAAGATCGCCCTTCCATAGTAACAGTCACGGCACTGTCTACTGCCACGTCAACACTCAGTCAGCCAATGTCGGTGAGGACGATCACRTCGACTTCCACGGCGTTCATAACCGAGACGATGCTTTCCCTGTCTCTACTTCCAGCAACCGCACAAACCTCGACTACGACTCAGGTCGTAACCGTGGAAAGGACTACAACCCTCAGTCAGCAGCCTTCGTTGGTATATGAGACTTTGACTGCCACCTCAACGGCTTTCGTCACTCAGACACCATCGTTGCAAGTTCCAACTGCAGGCGCATCTACAAGGACAGAAACCACGACTCTTCAGCTCACAACGACCTCCACAGAAATTATGACCGAGACTTTGCTCTCCACGTCGATTCCAATCGCAAGCACAAGTACTACCACAGAGGTCACAACTCTCCAGCTTACAACGATAATCAGTCAACCGATAGTTACAGTTACATTAACATCGACGGCCTTTGCCACCGAGACCTTGCTCTCCATGTTGTTCGCCAACGCAAGCACTTCTACAACCACGGAAACAACGACTTTGCAGCTCACTACAACCTTGAGCCAACCACCGTCGTTAATCATCGAGACGGCAACGGCTACTACAACTTCGCAAGTGACATATACCGCCATATCCACCCAGCTTCTCAATGCCAGCACTTCCACAACTACGGAGCTGACCACCATTTTGCTTACTACAACAATTAACCAGCCTTCTTTGGTCGTAGAAATTACGACTGCCACGACAACTGAGTTGGTCCCGTACTCAATCACGGAAACATTCACACCCTCTGCGTTGATCAGTCTATTAACCACGACACTCGAGGCAATTACCTCAACGACCATCATCCTCGTGACACCTCCTGCGGTCACAGAGACATTGCTTTCAACCCTTCCAATCGAGACGCTCACACCGTTTGCCAGCACTGTTCAGCTTACTGCCACGGAGATCACATCGGTGTCATATCCCCTCACGCTCCCTAGAGAGACATATACGCCGTTTGCGGTAACTGATTTCATAACCACAACGCTACAACCTCCGACGGTTACCACCACACTGCTGGTGACGCCTCCACCAGTCACAGAGACTTACATATCGACACTCCCAGTACAGACTTTGACTCCCAACAGAATCACAGCGACCGCAACATTGGAGCGTCAAACGACAAGTCTGTCCGCCATTACAATCACACAGACCTTCATACCGCCGCCCTCGACAGTCACAATAGCTGTCGTCCAGCAACCGTCGTTCTATATCCGTGCTCTCTCAGCCTCCAGTAGAAGTTTCGGGATCAACAGGACATGTGGCTTCTATGATCGGAACGTTGCGCCTGGTCCGGGGTTTTTTTCCCCATTCGGTTTAAACTTTGTTCGCGGCGCGAACGTGAATGGACAGCTCTGGAGAATTGATCCCATCACTGGATACCTCTACACCGCAAGTGGGCTGGTCGCCATGGCACAGTCCCTGAACTCACAGGATTACAACAACCCCAATGCACATGCCCGGATTGATGTTGTCGTGGCATCGAACCTAGCGGATCCCAACAGCAGGCCTTATACGTGTAAATGGTCCGGAGTCAGCGGCGCAACGTTGTCGTGTGGGGTTTACAATGCCGTCAATGCTGGAGATGGGTCGTTGCATACCTTCGACAAAGTCGGGTTCCTCGGCATCGGTTTCGAGGGGGCTTTTACGGTCCATGAGAAGAATTATGGTGGACCTTATGGCTCCGTACTTGGGAATGAGCTGCAGGCTGTGCTCACTTTGGGAGAGTGTGAAGTGTAGTTTTGTAGCATTGAGAATTGAGATGGAAGATGACGTGTGGGACTACAAAAGGATGAATGTAGTGATTCATCTAGGCCCATGCAGTGGAAGAAAGCTTGTGTCTACGTGGGTGTTGTTCCTTTCTATTGACTATGTGCATGGCGAAATACTACCATCTTGGTGTTTGTCCTTGATCTCGGGCTGAAGTAGTAGTAGTAGTAGCAATGAAAACAAATCCAATCAAGAGCGATGAAAATCCAATTGCGTGAGCTACCTTACTGTCGACAAACTAAGGAGAGAGCAGTTGAGATTCCATTGTAAGAGGGAAAGAATTATCTGTTCAATTTTTCGTTTGAGAGCAGAATACACTTGGAAAATAGAAATGTTGGATCATTTCGATGCATTTCTCCAGCAGTGATCGATCACAAGGTGAAGTCTTTTGAATACTGTGAGGGAATGAACATGCGAGCTCTTATATGAAGGGCCTTGACTCTCCCTCTCCCTCTCCCCTTATTATCGATGGATGGATGGAACCTTAAGGTAGCAGCTGATGGATGGAGATATATCTCGCCTGAGAAGCGCTAAGCAAGAGGTTGTATGAGAATACCCCTATTTTATCTTCTTTCTGTCATTGGTTTTGTAGAACATGCCTGTATGTTCCGCCGATGGTTCTTGGGGTGTATGATGTCCATCTAGACAAAGTAACTTGGCGTCGTGATATTTCTACTGAGATGGGGTGTTCAAACAGATGATGATGATGATGATGATGAAGAAGAAGAAGAAGAAGATGTGTGAGAGGAGGRAGCGCGAAGGTAGGTATTTTGTTGGGACTTGATTTTTTGAGCTTACAGGGACAATCGACGTTCCAAAGCAAGACTTACAACAAACTCCCGCTCGCTTACTTGCTTGCCTGCTCGCTTGCATATTTGCTCGCTCGCTTACCTACTTACTTGCTCATTCGCTTACTCGCTTGCTTAGTTTCTCGATCGCTCGCTTGCGCCTTGAATAACCATCTCCAGCATAGGACAACTCCACAGGATATAACCACCACCCCCATACCAGCATCTATCCCATCCGTAAACGCCAATCCGAAGATGTAGTTGTATTGCCAACTCAATCCATCAAATAATAGAGACCGCTGATGCTTTCACCATGATGATTGCGTCGAATGGCCTCGGAGAGCAAGTTGCTGACATCCAAAACAATCAATTTCCTCGTGGAGCGACGCTTCTCATCGGAAATGGGGAAGGAATTGGTGACGATGACCGCCTCGATTTCGTCACATTCATCCAATTGCTGGAGACTGTCGCCGCCGAAGAGACCATGGGTGGCCATGCAATACACCTTTGTTGCGCCACCGCGCTTCACCGCTGTCTCTGCGGCCGCGATCCAGGAGCCGGCCTTGTCAATCATGTCGTCGACGATGATGACGGGTTTGTCGCGGACATTTCCCACCAGGGTGACGCGGGTTTCAATCTCGGGGTTGTGGAAGTTTTCTTCTTCCTCTTCGTCGGAATGACTCGCGTCCATGGTACCGCCCAAGCCGCCTTCGTGGTTTCCATTTCCATTGCCCCACTGTGAAGATGCCATGGAGTTGAAGGATTGAAGCATGTGCTCTGGTGGCTCTTCATCATCGCTTGACACCTTCCGATCTGCGCGTTGAGGGTGTGCGGTGGAGTATTGTGAGGCGGTTGGGGAAGGTGCATCATCATCATCGACAATGTGACCGTGAATGAGACGACCTGTGATGACATCTCTTGGAGCCTCATCTGAATCGTTGTCGGGATCCTCTGGTTCCTCGTAGCCGTCCGACTCGATGTGGTGAGGGTTTGTGGAGGTGGCAGCTCGAAGGATGCCCGTACTGCTCGGCTCTCCATTCGCGGATGGGGGTCGAGTGGCTTGTGCCAGCGGACTGGGCGCAACATCACCATTGGTGTGACTTCTCCGAACAGCAGGCGCTGGGTTGGAGGTGATGCCACGGTGCCTGTTGGGCAAGTTGTGGGGAGTAAATCGACCGTTTCCGTTCGTGTGGTGGTTCTGACCTCGAGCAGGGTGTGCCCAGTCGTGTGGTTTGGGATCGGTCGTGTCCCGGGGATGATGTCGGTTCTCGTCATCCGTCTCCTCGAGGGTCGTCTCGATGGTGTGGTSGATGCTCAGTCCTTCCAGCACCACCGAGTTGAACATGCTGGGAGGATACTTGGGCTTCCGCTGATCCGTCGTGACAATGCCAAAGCTGAGGTTGAGCTTGTCTGCCAAACTCGTGGCTCGCTTCGTTCCACCAGGGTTCTTGCTCACGACCACGCTGTCTTCCCAATGCTTGATGTTTTGTCGAACCCAGCGGGTGAGGAGGGGTYCGGCGGTGAGGTTGTCGATGGGACACTTGAAGAAGCCCTGCATTTGGGTTGCGTGGAGATCGATGGTCACGACATGATCCACGCCGGAGATCTTCATGAGATTGGCAATCAGGCGAGCAACAATGGCACCTCGATGGGCCTTTTTCTTGCTCTGACGCGAGTAGGGGAAGTAGGGCATGACGGCTGGGAAGAGAATAGATGCATCAGCGCGTGTATCCTTTCCATTCAACATCGGAGGTCGACGCACCAGTAATGGAGCGGGCAGAGCCACCTTTGCAGGCATTGATCATGATGAGCATCTCCATGACATTATCATTGATTCTGTCGGCAGCGGTCAGCATTGCTGTGCTGGTGGTACATGTCGAGCAGGGGGAACGTACTGCTCACTGCCACTCTGCACGATGAAGACGTCCTGGTCGCGCACCGACGTCTCTGGACAGGAAGGAAGATGTCAGCTTCAATCACCCCATCAAGAAGATCATGTGGCCATGATGCAGCAGCGGCATACTGATCTCCACCGACGTCTCTCCATTCGCAAACTTCTTCAAATCCACCAGGGCGGGCTTCTGCCCGAGACGGTCGCAAACGCTGTCGACGAGCCATGGATGACTCGATCCGCTGAAGATTTGACAGCCGCGCATGTTGGCGGGAGGATGCTCGTGGTCGTGGTCGTAGGGTGAGGTCGGCAATACACACGGCGGCGGCTGCCTTATGCAAGGATAAGTGGGGCGGGGGTGGTGGTGCTGGTGGAGCTGTGGAAATGCATCCTTCGGTAGTCGGTCACATTGATTGATTGTGAAGTGCAGAGAAGCTCGGAGCTGGCTTGAAGAATAATCACACCAAAAAAACGTCATTTTGACTTTCAAACGAGTGGCTCGTGCCCGCTTTCCACATGCGGACCAGGCACATGCAGGTCCACTTTGATATAATGAGGGGTGAGGTGAAGATGGTAGGATTGTGGATATTGCATCGAGTTCGAGTGCGTCGAGGAAGCTATTCTACAGTACATACATACATATCGCTWTGGCTATGGCATGGCTATGAATCTCATCGCATGAGATACCTCTTGTGAATCACTAAGAGACAAGGTCTTGGTACAAGACTCCAAGGCTCAGCATCTCCTGGTAAGCTGCTTGTGAAAGACGGCAATCTCATAGTCCTTTTTGGACACCACTGCCAGAAAGATGAAGCCGGCATTTGCATAGAACACTCTCAGCTTGTCATTCCCAGCCCAGCAATTGAGCAGCATAGTCCCGCCCATCTGGACATGCTGCTCCTCCAATACCCGCACCAGATCATCAACAAGCTGCGCTCCAATGCCACGGCCTTGACTAGAAGGCTGTAACATGACCGTATGAAGATACAACCATGGTCGAGGGCAGGAAGAGATGGTCACCATACCTCGAGGTCCCAATTCGTAGGAGACCTCGGCGTCGTTGGAGAGAAGTTTGACAAACGCACATCCCAGGATTGCTTCACTTCGAGGATCCTCAATGACAAAACAATGGCGGTTGGCACATGCTTGTKGGATGTCGGCTTGTGAAAGGGGCCCGATTTGTTGCAGGCTACCAGATGCAGTGAGGGCAGTTTGGACGTTGTTTGCTAAAGCAATGAGTGGTTCGGCATCTGCGTCCTGGGCGTATCGTGTGTGTGGTTTTGACATGGTTTGTGGCTTGTTTGTCCGTTGCTATCTAGGTCTATGTTGGGACATGCATCATTGTACATGATATGGCTGGCTACATGTATGTGTGGCCGATTGATTTGGCGCCCTCAAATTCCAAGAGCTTTCGTGTGCTCGCATCGCCATGTCAAGGCAAGCCAGATGAGGATGCACAAGCTTGTTGTCATCCGAGAGTGTGAGAGATATAGGTCATGCTCGAGCGTGTAAATACATTCAGGTGAAAAGTGGATCGTACCATGATGCACGTGTGCATGGAAGATGATTGATTGCCTTGTGAAAAGATGGAAGTGTCGTCATTGGGGGTCCCGGTTTTTGGGGACCATCTCACGTCGAATGGAACGAACGGGACACGCAACCTTGAACTTGATTATCCTTGCACCTGCCAACACAATCAGCACAGCTTCACCTCCACCTCCACCCTCCTCCCACATACCTACACACCAGTCCACCCTCCGACTGATCCATCGCACCATCATCGACACGGCAGAGTCAACAAAACAGGCCACCAACACCACACTACACCCGACAAGACACGACACGACAACAGCATGGCCCCACCGCCCACGACGCCCGGCCAGAGCTTGCAAGAGCGCCTGCTCGGAGTGGCCCAGACTCTGCAGTTTGCCTGGTTTGTCGGCCATGTCACGCTCCTGGCCTCGACCATCCGCTACAGCTTGAGCTACTTGACGTTCAAGTATTACAGCAAGTGGGCGCAGTTCAGCTACCGCACCGCCTTTGTCGCTGCCGCCGTCACATATGGCATTGTGGTGTTCAAGGGCTACCGCGCCCGCGCTAAGAGCGGCAAGCAGCCTGCCACCCCTCTGGCCATGATTGCGGACGAGAATATTCAGTATTTGGGTGCGTATTCCCCCAATCCTCCAATTCCACCCCAACAACGCTGACATGCATTCCAGCCATGGCCCTCGTCTGGCTCTTCTCCAAGCAGTACCCCCTCGCCCTCCTTCCCTTCACCATCTACAGCACCTTCCACGTCCTGACCTACACCCGCTCCGTCCTCCTCCCCACCATCCAGCCTCCTCCCGTCACCCCCGCCGGACAGAAGCCCGCCGCCTCGGGTCTGGCCGACACCATTGGCCGCTTCGTCAAGGAATATTATGACGCCAGCATGTCTCTTGTCGCCGCCCTCGAGCTCGTCCTCTGGTTCCGTGTCCTCGGTTCCGCCATCATCTTCGTCAAGGGCAGCTGGATCATCCTCGMCCTCTACACCATCTTCCTCCGCGCCCGCATCTCCCAGAGCACCTTTGTCCAGGGAACCATCAAGCAGATTGCCGCTCGTGGTGATGGTTTGGCCAACAGGCAGGACATTCCTCCCGTCGCCAAGCAGACGTGGGAGACCGCCAAGTCCGTCTTGAAGCAGGTGCATGACCAGACCGACATGAACAGATATGTCGGCAATGCCCAGCAGGCGCCAAAGAAGGCTCAGTAAATGATGGAGACATCATCCTCGTGGGAGCTGGAAATGGTTACGACATCATGCTGCAACGGCCACGGAAAAGCAAATTTAATCGTTGACTTTGGGCGGGACGGCACAATCGTGCGGGGAGGACCGTGGTGAAACGTTGAGGATATCACGGTGGAATTCAAGTTTGATAGACAGTTGGAGATTACGGAGAATATGGAGCGATGGAGATAAAACGAGCGGGAGACGTGATGTTTGTACTGTGCCATCGTGTAGTGATTAGCGAGCATGGGATTGTTGTATACGAATGGCGACTGCTCTTTCTTCTCCAGCATGATATCAAGGATCATTTGACTTGCCGATCGATTGACATGTATTGATTGACACTCCATACAATCAACCCCCTACACACCTCTAACCTTTCGATAACTAGGTGGCCTCACCGTCCTCCGAATCACCTTGCCCACATACACGGGCCCCAAACTGGCCGCGACAATGCCCGCGAACCGCCACCAAAATCCCAAACTCACCACATAGGCCAAATCAAAATACTCCCCCAAAGCAGGAATGGAGGCGAAATAAATCACCACGGTGCCGAGAATCGAGGCGATCATGGCGGGATGCCACGTCGTGACTTCCGTAGCCACCATGCAGATTTCATTCGTGATGAGCGCCGTATAACTCACGGCCACCATACGTTGGAATCCAATGGATGTGAGGGGTGTATAATCCACAGGTTCTCCTTGTCCTGTAGTCGTACTTCCCGCAGAAGAGACATCACGATATCCAGGAACAAGCAATTCCGCTCCCCCCTGAATAACAATTCCCTGATAAATCGAAATGGCGACCCAGATGAAAAAAGTCCTATAACTTAGACTCTTGCCCGCGATCAATTCCTTGTAGAGTTCCGGGTAGAGATTCGCTAATCCTTCATCCACATCGCGGTCCAAGACGAGGGAGAAGACGGGCATCATGGTGTAAATCGTGGCGTAACCCACCAGTAACCAATCGCGATAAAGCGCCACGGGCTCAAAGTCCGACGCGATGCTAAAGACGGTCTGGCAGACGCTCACGATCAATCCGCGATGGATGACGAATTGGGCGAGTTTGGCGGAGCGTTTGTAGGAGTTGCGGCCGTGCCAGACGAGTAGTTTGGTCAGGTGGGAGAAAGTCGTGATGCTGAAATCTGCGGCGAGGGAGGCTTGTCGACCTTCTTTGCCTACGATTCCGACTCCCACGTCGGCGGCTTGGATCATGGATACGTCGTTGCCGCCGTCTCCGATACATGCTATTCGCTTGCCCGTGAAGGCGCGGATCAAGACCGCCACGTCGGCTTTTTGGGTTGGGGAGCATCGACAGGCTATCACTGCCGGGAGACGGGTGGCGATGGTTATGAAGGATTCTCTATGCGTGGGCGAGGAGAGGTAGAGGGCTAGAGATTGCCCGTCGATCAAGAGGGCGGCGTTGGGTTGGGAGTGGAGGGGGGATAGCGCGTCGAGAGCTGCCGCGCGGGTTTTCAAATTGGAAATGGTGTGGATGTGTTGGCCTCGACTGACGAGTTTGGAAGAGATGGCAACGCAGCGCGCCGTTTCGACCTTATCCCCCGTGAGCATCCAGATTTTGATTCCTGCGTTTCGGAGGAGTTCGAGTGAGGGCTTGACGTGAGGTTGGAGTTTGTCTTCGACTCCGGTCACGCCGAGGAGCTCGAGGGAGCTTTCGAGGTGGGTCTTGACTACTGCGGCCATTGCGTTGTCGCGGCCGGAGAGGGAGAGGGCGGCTTGGGAGTAGKCGGTGGCGAAGGAGGTGTATTGTTGTGCGCTGAGAGGTTTGCGGCCTACGACCAAAGTGCGGAGACCTTCACGGGCCATGTTCCCCGTCTCTTCATCAAGCCAATCATTCGCGGCTACAATCGAGGTCATGACGGTGTCTGCTCCTTTTTGGAAAAATACAATCTCTCCAGAGTCGTCTTTGCCGGCGCGAGGGTTGCGGATGAAGCGGACTATGATCCCCATGCGCTTGCTGTCGCTTGTAAAGGGGAAGACGTTGAGAATCTCCACCTTGACGACAACACGCTCATCCGTGGTGAATTGTAATGATATGCTCTTCCGGTCTCGATGGGCTAATCTCAGCCCCACATTGGCCGTCCACTGCACGATTGCAATCTCGTCGGGGGAAGAGGCTTGGTAGGAGATGGTTGGTTGGCCGTCTTGGTCCTCTTCCACTGTAGGAGTGACGTTGTGGCAGAGGGCAAGAGCAAGCACCAGATCACGCACTCGCAGGCCAATCTCCCTCCTCGTCCGTGTGGTACCGCTGAGAGAGTTGATTCCATCAGATGGCGTGAACAGGGTTGTTACGGATCCGACTTCGACCGAGGCGGCAAAGGCCTGCTTCACATAACTGCTGACCTCCTCCATTGCATCGCCACCATAGCTGACCGTGCCAACGTGCACCTTTTTCAATTCCATCTCATTCCTCGTCAATGTCCCGGTCTTGTCACTCAGCAGGTACTCTATCCTTCCGAGATCTTCGGGAATGGTGCTGGTCCTGACAATCGTCCCTGGAATGCCCTTGTCGCGGTGGATGAGATGGGCGTACATGCTCTTTCCCATGTCCAAATTCACCCGCAGAGAGATGGGGACAATGGTGCTGAACAGAATCACAAATCGCATCGCTGCCACATACCAAGGATGCTTATCGGCAGTGGTCTTGACTCCTTCCAGAGCGACGAGAATGAGACTCAGCGCTGCTGTCAGGAGGCAGAGGATTTTGGTGAGATTGTTGATTTCATACTCCAGCAGGCCAGTTTTTGATCTGGACTGAGATGTTGACAAGGCTGCTCGTGTTTGTGATCCCGTGTATACCACAACCGCGTGGACTGTGGTGGAAGAGGCGAGGACTGTGTTTGCCCATGCGGTGTTGTCAATGGTGAGGGGACTAGACCCCATTTCGGATGTTTCTGGGGTGGTATTATGAGGATCATAAGATTTATTGGTCTTCGGGCCCAGGCTGATGGTCCCCACAAAGTCGTTGACCTTTTTGTCTGGCTTGCCTGCCGTAATCCTCAACCTGACATATTCACTTGCTGGCAGGTCTTGTGCAAGAGGCACGGCCAATCGTAGCTTCCAATCCGTCTCTCCATCCAGCTRATCAGTCCGTATAAAGGCCTCGCCGCCTCCACTGGGGTCCGAGGTGGTGGTTCCATTCTGTAGGTTTTCCTGTGCATCGACCGTCTCCAATTCGTTCCTTTCGTGTGCATTCCCGCCCATTTCCATCAACGCAGCATCGGGATCGGCATCCGAATTACTTCTCGATTCATCGACACTCTGTCTGAGCATGTCGGGCGAGAAGCTCTTCAGAATGACCACATCTGCGGGCACTCGTTGATCCTTGGTGAGCACAATCACATCTCCGACCTTGAGCAGGCGAGAGGGTTTCGAAATCTCGACCACGCTGGCCGAGGGGAGTTCAAAATCATGCTCTTGGTCGTCCTGGGGTACCGTTCCTCTGTCGTCATCCACGGAGACTCTTCTCCGCTTACCCTTTTTCTTTTCCGAAATGATCTTCTTGATCTTCCTCTTCTTGCTTCCACCCTTGAACCCACCTTCGTCCCATCGTAGCACCTTGTAGGGTTCGCTATTGGCCTCGTTGTCTCGCTTTCGCCTGTTGACATCGTCCAGGGCTTCCTTGCTCAGAGTAATGCACAGGACAAAGGCCAGAGGAGCGACATATGTCGAGAGGTATCCGATCCGCAATGCGGGGATGATCTGGGAGAGAGCGACCAGCAAAAAGTACATGTTGAGGAACAGCTTGAACTCATTGTAGAGGGTGCGGGGGAGGRAGGACCAGGGGGTGTATTTGGCGTTGGAGATGGCATTGGGCGGGAATCGTTGGGGTTGTTTCTGCCCGACGCTGATGATGCGCGTTGCCGTCTCATCATGCGCATCCTCGGCTTCCTCCTCCTCTTCCTGTGAGGGCAGAGCGATGGAAGTGTGTCGTTTGGTAAAGGGGAGATATTGCAAGAATCCTTTTCTCCGCTTCCGCCCATCCCTCAGGCCGTCCCAAGCATCATCTCTCGTCCGATGTGTAGGCAGCAGCGGGGCATCATCGTGTCGGTCTTCCATTCCCGAGCTGGCAGCACTGATCCGCTTCCTCGCCTCTTCATCCTCCTCGTCGCCCACCAACGCCCGCAAATCTTCCTCTTCATCCTCCCGCCGTCTCCTCCGCCCTCCCCATCGCAGATTTCTCAACGGGATCCGGGCGCCAAAGTCGGAACTGGCCTTGCGTGGAGCATTCCTCCCGCCCGCCGTGGAATTGGATTGTGGGTCGAGTTCGTTCAAGTCGAGATCCAAGTCGGATTCGTTCTCATCGTCGACGGGATCGTTCTGAGCGGCGGGTGCATGATAGCCATGTGGACTGCTCATACCTCATGTCGGGGCCAAGGATTAACAGTTGAAGGGTGGTAAGGTGTTCTTGGGGGAAATGATTGATCGAATTGGTGAAAGCAGGTCGACGAGGCCGTCAGTCATCAGGGCATGTGTTTCGTATAGAGGCCGTTAGGTGTTCTTTGTTGCTGCCTGCCTGCCTAGATGGACATTTATTTGGTGAATCTAATAAGATGAGGTGGCAGAGACGTGGCAGACCAACAGATCCCTAACCTAACCTAGAAATGACAACAGAAAGCGGCTGATCCGCTGAACTTCCATCCTAGTTCTAGTTCCATCCTAGCACGAGTTGCACGAGGTCGGCACGTCGCGGTCATCCATGATCGGCCCTCCTTTCAACAGAATTCCGTGACCCTGCTTCCAACACCTATCCGTTCAATAATTGTCCGGGGTTGATTGATGATTGTAACCTTAGCAAATACTTAATGATGCGCCCTTCTATTTAATCCCCGCCCTGTTTGGATCGATTGGAAGGATTTCACAAGGTACGCCACTAATGCGCGCATCAAGGATGGATGGATGGATGCAAGCCGAGGACGGGACAGGACAGGACAGCTGGTCGCAGGTACGAGGGACGGGAGAGCTGACGCGACGAGTAGATAGATACCTACCTAGCCACCGACTACATTTCCGCCCCCTCGCCACGCCAGCCACGCCACATCCACCGACGATGGCTTCACATTGGCATCCCGCCGCCAGGCCAAATGCCGATGGCGAGGAGAATGCCCCGACACAGCAAGAAGATCATGAAAGTACGGATTCCATCCCCCGGGACAGGAACACGGACATGGACATGGACATGAAAGCACCTTCGAGCCGGAGAGCGTCGTGGGCGCAAACGGCCATGGAATCCGAGGCGGCACATGAATGGCCGGATGATTGGTCGACGCGAGACTCGGACTTGATCACCACGTCGGAGGATGTTGCCCCTCTCGCCCATGTGCTCGTAGCAGAAGAGGAGAGTCATGAACCGGAAATGGACACGGCACCTGATAAGGAAGAGGAAGACTCGGCACCCGTGACGGGCGACCAACACGCCGACGGCTACGATTATCAAGGCGAGGTGTCGCAAATGGACGAGGCCGTGGGTGAAGCCCCAAGTGCCCCGTTGCTGCYGGATGAAGAAGCTCTGCCGACCGTCGAGCAGACGGACTCCACCCAGCAGGAAGATGATTCCATGTTGGACGATTTCGATGCCCCTCTCTCCCCTGCCAAATCTCACAGCACACCGGCACCTCTGGATCGGAGCTTCACCACAAACTTCACCGAAATGCCTCGCCAGGACACGGAACAGGACGACGACAGCCCACAAGCACAGCCGGATGTCGCAACGAGTGAAGGCTGGCCTTCAATAGGGGATGACAAAACGTTTGGAGAGCTACTGGGGGATCATGTGCCCGCTGCAGCAACGCAGGAGGTTGCTAAAGAAGGGCTTGCAGAAGAAGTCGAGGCCTCGAGGGATGTACAGTCTGCAGACGATGGCTGGGGTGCTGCGGGAGAAGACGATGCGTTCGGCCAGTTACAAGCCCAGCCACAAGCTACAGATGATGATGTGGAAATCTCGCGAGAAGTCCACCCGGAGGTCCAACAACAGCCACAGGACATGAATGATGCATGGGGAGCTGCAGTGGACGATGATGCATTTGGCGATTTACRGGCACAGCAAGGACCAGAGCCACAGCAGGCAGACGATGCATGGGGGAATGCGGTGGATGAAGACGCCTTTGGAGACTTAGTGGGCAAAGGAGATTCCACTGCGATCCTTCCAGATGTGTCCTCGGTTGACGCACCAGGAGCCAGACCGGAGGAGGATCTAGCTGCGATATGGCAAGCTGCCCTGGACGACGATGAGCTACTGGACGAATCAAATGAGCTCGATCCCTCTACAATCTTTGGAGATGACGACGATGGCTTTCTCCTGGACGACGGTGATGAATTATTGACCTCGACGCCAGCTCCTGCCCAGCCTCAAAGAACGACTACGAATCCATACGTGCCCACACAGTCTTCAACGCAAAATTCACCCCAAGTAAATCCTTACGCAGTGCCAAATCATCAACTCATGGGCCAGACCATCGGGAGAGGGGGCGGAACACCATCCACCGGCCTGTTCGACGTGTATGGTCATAACCAACAAGCGCAGCCAGATACTTCCCAAAGACCCGCTGCCGTGTCCGCACAAAGCTTCGCCTCCAAATCCAAGGGTGGCTACGAATCTCCATATGACCTCCCAATGGACGTGGTTAAGCAGCCTCGTCAGCGTCCACGACAAGCTCAAGCACCGGTCCCTGGGGCTCAGGTCGCGCCAACACCTCCCCCACGCACTGCTAGTATGATCTCTCAACCTGCAGTAGACACAGCCCCTCCAACATCGGGTGTTCCATCCGCGAATACTCCCGTCCCTGCAAAGACAACTCCCAGGTCGAACAGTGGTTTCTTCGAGGATCTCCCAATCGCACCCAAACCGCGTGCGCGTCCATCGGGAGCATACACGCCGCAGCCGGCTGGATCAATGCYACCACAACAGCTGCCGTCAAGAGGTCCCATGGCGCCGCCCATGCAGCCCCCTCAAAGACCGGACGCGCCTCCTCAAAGACCGGATGCCCCGCCTCAGCAACCTGTCTACGGTGGCTTTCAACAACCAGATCGCCTGCCCCTCTTACCGGACCAGCCGACGGCCGCACCGCAGAATCAGATGCAGCCGCCGGCAGTGCCATCGCAGAATCATCGATACTCGCCTAGCCTGCCAACACCGTCTACAAATCAGAATCGATTCTCGCCTGCGCCGCCATCGCAAGGACCTCCCGGTGGCGCTTCACGATATTCACCGGCGCCGGGGGCCGCGCAGAAGAGGTACTCTGTGGGACCAGCCACCACACATGTCCCTCCTGGTGTGCAGCAAGGCCATGCGTTTGCGCCGCGAACCAGTAGCCCGCTTGCATTCCACACCGACAAGCCTCACCCTCCTCTCCCTCATGAGCTTCACCGGAATGCTCCATCTTTGCCCTCTTCGCCCCCCGTGGCCAATGGAGCTCGGACGTCAATGAGCATGTCGCCCGATCGCGCTGCTGGCATGACCTTTTCTCCTGTTGAACCACGCACGCCCGCGTCATATCTTGCTAGTCCACCGCCACGTCCACAAACTCAATCACCTCCCACCGTCATGAAGCAGGCAAGGTATTCAATGCCGGCCACAGAGCGATCGACATCAATAAAAGCGACCCCCAAGATACACCTATCGCATCGAAGACAGTTCAGCCGGGATCTGCCTTTTGTAGAGCCCAACGATGAACGAGCACACGATCCCCTTCAAAGATGGAAAGGCCAACCAATCTTCAGATGGGGAAATTCCGGATCCATCATCAGCAGTCTGCCAAAGCAGACCCCTTTCTATGCCGCCGGTCATRGCATCCCAAGCATTAAGTGCACGGCGGGTGACATTTCCATCCAAGACGCCACGAGCTTCCTTCCGATGGACGACCGAAATGCCAAGTTCCCCGGGCCTCTCACCTCGAAAGCAAAGGGAAGAAAGAAGGACGTTCTAGCCTGGATGTCGGGCAAACTCGAGGATCTGGAACGATCAGCCGAGGCTGTGCGAATGGACTTCAATATGGATCCTGATCTCAAAAAGCGTGTCGAGGAGAAGCTAGTCCTCTGGAAACTTGTAAAGATCTTTGTCGATCACGACGGCACACTCGAGGGTAGCCCAAAAATCGAGGAAGGAGTACGGGCCGTCTTACTCCCCAACTTGACCCAAATGGCTCAGGTCATGGATTTGCAAAGCCCGATTGGTCCATCCGGCGTAGAGGCAGATCCAGTTGATAGGGCAGTGGTCGTGCAGATTCKCCAGGCTTTGCTTGAAGGCCAGCGTGAACGCGCTGTTTGGTTGGCCGAGGAGAAGAAGTTGTGGGGTCATGCCATGCTGCTGGCTTCTACAATGGGGCCTGAAGTGTGGAAGCAAATCATCCAGTCCTTTGTCCGCTCCCAAGTCAAAACCGTCGGGAGTGATGCCCGGAGTCTTGCTGCGCTGTATCAGGTCTTTGCGGGCAATGCAGAGGAGTGTGTGGATGAGCTCGTCCCGCCATCTGCTCGCGCGGGCTTCCAGATGGTATCAAAATCCGACGGTGTTGCTACGGGTAATCCACTTGAAGGTCTGGACCAATGGCGCGAGACGCTGGGTCTTGTGACTGGCAATCGCACGCCCAATGACACACAATCGATGCTTGCTCTTGGAAAGCTCTTGAGCGGGTACGGAAGAGCAGAGGCGGCACACAGCTGCTTCCTTTTTGCACGCCATTTCGCCAAACACACCGGTGCGGATGATGTGGAAGCCAGCTTTGTTATTCTCGGCGCGGACCATACTGTTGGAAATTTCGCCAATGACATTGATTCCATTCTTTTGACTGAGATCTACGAATGGGGATCCTCTCTCTCGGCTCCGAGCGGAACGCAGGCGTACATTCCGCACCTGCAGTCCTTTAAGCTCATCCACGCTCAAGAACTCGCCGCGCATGGCCTCACGGGCAAGGCACAAGCATATTGCGACCACATCACCTCCGCCTACACCTCCACTACACGGCCGAGCCAATACTATCACCCGACCTTTACTCAGTCCGTGGCAGATCTGAGCGCTTTCTTATCACAAAGCCCGCATGCTGCGCAAGGGTTGATCAGCAAAAAGGCCATGAACAAGGTCTCATCAGGCGCTGCAAGCTGGTTCACTAAATTCGTGAGCGGCGATGATGGCGCTGATGCTGTTGGCGCGAATGGTGCTGGTGTCGGAGGACAAGACAGCTCGCCATTCGCACGCGTCAATGGAGACTCACCTATCAACCTCAGTCCCTCGGCAAGTGGCACCAACCTCTACAATCCCATGATGGGCACTGGCATGCCAGTCACCGGCCCAATTCACGGTGTCTCGACACCTTCCAATTTCCAGCAGCCCACCACTTTCATCCCCARCACATCGGCGCCGASTAAATACGCGCCTTCGGCAGGTGGGAGCATCTCTGGAGGAAGTAAGTACGCGCCTGGTGGTGGACCAGGAAGTCTCGGAGGGCCTGCCGAAATCCACTCTCGGCCTGCATCCACCAGAGGTTCGCGGAGTTACACACCCGCGCCTGTTTCATCCTCTACTGGCACTCAGCCACTCGCTGTACCGGGTCGACCGGCTGGGAACAGGGCGGCCAGCGCGTATAGTGCTGAATCGAGGAGGGGTAGTGCGCAGTTTGGAAGTCCACTGGGCAGCTATCAGCCGAGTCAAGGGAGCTATCAACCTAGTCCTCAAGGCAGCTACCAGCCAAATTCAGCACTCGCGGCGAACAATTCTGGTCCTTCTCAGCTTCAGGGCGGTGAGAGTGCAGGCATGTACGGGTATCAGCCGCAGGTCACGTCGCCTGCTGAAGGTAGTCAGGCGCCGTACGGATATCAGCCGCAAGTCGCTACTCCACAGCAACCTGAGGAGGAGGAGGATGAGGATGAAGARGAAGATGCTTTCGCGAGACCACCGCCGTCTCAGCCTCATGGCTTTGAGGCGTCAGGGGAGGATGACGCTGAAGGTGGTGGATACGCTCCGCCATCTGCTACTGGTGGATATGAACCACCTTCCACCACTAGTGGATACGGATCACCTTCAGCTGATACTGGAAGTTATGCTCCCCCGGCAGCATATACCGGCGGCTACGAACCACCCTCCACAGAAACCTCGGGMTATGAACCACCCTCAACATCAGGAGGTGGCTACGAACCTCCTTCCTACCAACCCTACAACCCCGACGCCGAAGACTCTCCCGAAGAACCCAAGCCCAAAAAATCCATCCTGGACGATGACGAAGACGACGCCACCGAACTCGCCGCCCGCGCCGCCGCTCTCAAAAAAGCCGCGGCCGACAAAGCCGCCGACGACGCATTCCGCAAGGCAGCCGAGGCCGACGCCGCCCGAGATGACAAGAAGCACTCCAGCAGTCAATCTCTTGGCGGGGGCGGAGGGGAAAAGAAAGGGTGGTTTGGAGGATGGTTCAAGAAAGATCCAAACGCCCAGGGACAGCAGGGCAACGGACCCATTCGAGCGAAGTTGGGAGAGGAGAATTCCTTTTATTATGATGAGGATCTGAAGAAGTGGGTGAATAAAAAGGGAGGTGCGGAAGCTGCTACGGCTAGTAAGGCCACGCCTCCTCCTCCTATGAGGGGGCCTAGTGGACCTCCGGGTAGTCGAGTTGGTAGTGGAGTTGCGGGAGGGCCCCCTTCGAGGAATGTCAGTAGTGGATTGGTATCGGGACCGCCTTCAAGGATGGGGACTCCTGCTGCTGATGGCAGCGGCGGTGGGATGCCGCCAAACCCGATCTCGGCTTTGCCACCTGGAGGACTGATGAATGGCGGTGTTGGTGGGGCGACGATCAGTAGACCCGGCACGGGAATGAGTCATGCGAGTAGTTTGGATGATTTGTTGGGGCCACCTGCTGGGGGGCAGAGGAAAGTTGGAGGGACGGTGAAGAAGAAGAAGGGGGGGAGGTATGTGGATGTTATGGCCAAGTGATGTTAGGTTTGAGGGGTGAGGGGGGAGGTATTTGATACCTTCTGGAAGCGGATTGGATTGGCGTTTGATTGAATTGGCATTGGCGTTGCTTGATGGATGAGGGAAAAGGGATTTGTATAGGTTTTTTCTTTTTCCCCCTTTCTTTTGGGGAAGTTTGTATGAGTGAGTGAGAGTGAGAGTGAGGATTTTTGGAATCTCGAAATCCTGCTGCTGTATTGTGTATGGATTGATAGATGGATGATGATAGGGAGGAGGAAGTTTGGAGGTGTATTTTGTAGATATCTTATATTATATTTCATCCAAAACCGGAATGAATTGTAAGACGCTCTTTGGCTTGACTTTATGAGGAAGATGCGTACGATACTCTATTTTTCGTGAAGAATGCTCTATAATCATCATCATCATCATCATCATCATCGTGTCTTGTACAATGAATTGGAGATGGAGACGAATGGGAAATGTATGTGTATAAATTAGGACCATGTAGATGGATGGATGATCGGAATGGAGGACGGAGGGTGTTCTGTCCTCCCCGTTAGCGAGCGGCCCGATGGATGGAAATATGCATGCATGCAGGTCAAGGGGCAAGGATGCAAGGTACATACATACATATAGGTTTACCTCACAGGTACAGTATTCCATTCCATATCTTGCCCGATTGACAACCGTGCTAACAAGGTTGGTCATCATCACTGTGTTTGCATTACAATACAACGCTATGTATGCTCGGAAACGTCCACTATTGTCTAAAGAAAATGTTGATTTGGGGCATGCAAAGAGACGCACGCAGTATTAACGTAGAATTATTAGATTTCATTTCCATATTCGGTGGTAGTAATATGATGATGCTTCTCCTCTCTCTCTCCCTCTCTCTTTCGATTAAAACTCTCGCAAGCAAGCAAGAAGAGCAATCAAAACAGACACGCTATGCTTGATTTGAAAGCGCAACATATATCGTTGACATTCCCCATCATCTCGTGTGTGTGTGTGTGCGTGATTGCGTTTGTCGCAACAACAACAACGACAACAAAGCACGCACATTCAACAACAACCTTGGACCACCCCAATCCGACCGAGCTCGCGAGAGATATCCATCCAAGAGCAGCATGTAGACGCCACGCTAAAAGACCAGCTTTTTCCCCGCCCCTTTCGTCCTTTTTTCTCTCCTTCTCTAGGAGGAAAGATTACAAAGACATTTCCCATAGTAATAATAACATGTATCCAAACATGACGGGCTCCCTCCTCCAGGTCGTGAATGATGCGTCAAAACACCAGATGCATGTGCGTCATTCGCTTGCCAGCCGTAGAATCAGAATACAAAGTTTGTTCGTGAACTCAAAGTCGTGTGCTCAACAGAGAGAGTGAGAGAGTGAGAGAATAGAGAGAGGTCCAAGCATCTCATAAAATGCCTGAATCTTTCAAAGCATTTTGTAAAATCGTCTCCTTGACGGCGGCAAAGACGAGACGGATGTTGGAGGTATCGGTCGCTTGTGTGAGACTATGATTCCGTCAGCAGGGTGTTGTGAGGATTGCAAGATGAAGCTTACTGGGGATAAAGGTTGAGATGTGCGCGGTTCACCTGGTTGAACCTCCATAATAGATACTTGGCTGCTCGGTTCACATCATTTCCTCCTGAGTAGTCCGGGAAATAAGTACCCAGAGGTGACTTGGCCAATTTCGCTCGGAATAAATCGACCTTGTTCAAAAAMAGGATGATTGAAGTCCTCATGAACCATCTCGAATTCACGACTGAATCGAAGAGTACCAGTGATTCCATCATACGGTTCTGCGAATGGTCAGTATCTGACAATGATGAGACACGGATCACATACTTGGCTGCTCTCTTCTAKCAGTACTTGGTCATACTCGCTGAGCGCCACGCAAAAGATGATGGAAGTCACATTTTCAAAGCAGTGAATCCATTTCTTGCGTTCGCTTCTTTGGCCACCCACGTCAAACATACTGTGAGATGTTAGTCGGGTTGCGTGATTCACCGTCGGCATAATCCACGCACTGTATGCTGAGCTGGCCCATTTGGAATCTGGTCTCATAGATACCGGTCGTTTTGGTTCGCGCTCGCAGGACATCGGATTCGGTTGCAATATAATCCGCCGCAGCTATTCGAGGCGCCTCGTCAAAAAAGCTGTCGGTAATCAGTATCCATCAGCAAGGCCATTCCACACAGCCCACGTACTATGGTGCAGAGTCCATCAGATAGAACTCGTTTTGATGGTCAAAGATCTTGGGTATGCAAGGATCCTTCCATATGGCTGCGACAGCCACGCCGACCTTGGGATTCAGAGCTTGTTGCGGATCGGGGTCGACAATGTACTCCATAATGTACTCGCAATGCTCCTTGTTCGTCGGGATCTCGACTTCAATCTCGAATTGGCGCATGGCTCCCACCAAAGCTTTTGCACAGTCTATCAGGTTCTTGTAGATGGTATGCCGGTATAGCACGAGCTCGTCCACGCTATATCCGTTCTGATGTATGATCTTCATTTGCTTTACGATTGTCGACTTCCCACTCTCACCCGACCCTTTGCCGGACATTAGCATTCGCAGGAACATACCAGCTTCACTGACGGAGCATACCCAATAGCAATATCTTGCATTCTCGCCGTAGTTTCTTCGAGTCCTCTTCTAGCGAGCGGTCGATCATTTGACTGCGCTTCTTCTGATCGCCCTCCTCATTGTTGCCGCTGCTCATGCAGGCACCCATGGCGAACTGCCGGCGCCGGGCTCGCCCAGCCGCTGGAGCGGGCTCAGGCAATGGATCTGGGAACCCCAAACCGCCGCGAATTCGTGGGCTCTGCCACGGTTATGGAGTCTTTGGAAGGTTGTCCAATGGTAGCACGGCGAGTCGAACGATTCAAGAGGAGTGGAGTGAGGTGAGGTGAGGTGGAGGAAGCGCGGCGGGCAGCGGCCTGCGCTACAGTGTAGTGCGGAATGCAGCTGCACCGCGCGTGGCTTTGTTATCGTCCCGGGGACCTGGGAGACGGGTGCATGCGGCGGCGGCGGTGTGGTCAATCGTCGTGGTTCGGTGGGCGGAGGCAGGGGGTCCGGTTAGTCCCGAGGTGGTAAGTATCACACCTGACCGTGAGGGCGTGAATGCGGTGGACACTGGACAGGGAGATGCSAATGCGATGGGACCGTTAAGCCGGGAGTAGTGCAGCAAGTGATCTTGGGTGACGACTAGTTCTAGCTCGCAAAGGAGCTAGCGTACAATTAAATGGTCCATCCAATTGACACAACAATCATCTTCCCATGATCATCAGATGCTCCGTCTTTCTCCCTTTCTTCATTCTTTCTTTTTCTCTCTCTCTCCCGTTGCTCCTCACACATTCACCATGAGATCATACGGACGACTGGAGTCGGGCGTCGCATAAGGGATCGCGTCGGACTCATGTGCCAGGCCGAGTTGGTCGTGGGAATTATGCACTGGAATAAATGAATAAACCCAACCGCCCAAGTAGACGACATCCGGAGAGGATGGCATGTGCCTCCCAGGACTAATTACCTACTACTTTGCTAAGCCTTAGGGCACACAAACTGATCAGATCAACGATTCCAACGAGTACAGGCATCCATTCATGGACCGTCTGCTGGCTATGAACGGCAGTCAAAAAAGCTACATGTTTGAAGTGGCCGAACCTCTACAAATCCGGGCCGGAGGGAGACTTTCCGACATTCATCTGTCGTTTCCCCTCCCGCATCGCCATCGGGAGGGAAACCGACATTGCTTACTCCCAGAAGGAGCAATACAGTAATCAATACTCCACTTGGAGTGCCCTGGTAGAATATCTTCGACGAGGAGCAGTTCGTCACACAGCCCGAAGCCCTCGACCAGGTACAATTCCCCGCGCGCACGGATCGCTGGAAGCAGCACCGTCGCCGTCAATCTGCCTAGTGCTCACCCGCACGTGGCAATCAGATGTGCCTCGACACGACGGCAAAATCCCCGACACCCAGGGAATGTGACAACGAAATGTACATGGCCGGCAAAATTCGGTCCATCTCATGTGAAAGCAGCAATCCGCCTGTTTTAAAAGCATCGCCCTGGCATCATTCCTCTCCGATGCCCCCCGTACCCACCCATAACACCCATACCCATGCCCATACCCATTCCTCTTGGCATGACAGCGCCACAGTTGATGCCGCCACCAAATTGCCGGCCGTCGCCCAATCTTCGTGAATGACGGCCACCCATACCACTCGTCCCAAAGCCTCCAACACTGAGGTCCCCTCCCATGCCAAATTCGCTCACACCACCTGCGTTCAACAATCAGCACAGCTCACTTCCATCCCCAAGTTCTCTTGCGCCTTTGATTTCCCCTTCCGATATGAAAGTCAAGACCAAGACTGCAGTCCAATCGAATACCAGCTTGCAGTCACTTAGTAGGGCAAGTGCGGGATAGAGAGAGAAACATACCGCCAAAGCCCTGACCATTCCTCCTCCCACGCTGACTCTTGCGGTAAGACGTGAAGGGGTCTTCCATTTCGCCTTCCTCATCCCAATACGCATCATCGTCGTCCTCTTCATCTTCGAGACCCATCATCATGTCCCACCAGCCCGGCGGCATTCCTCCTGTGTTGCCCGCCATCCCCATGCCACGATTCGCGAAGCCCAACTCTCCACCTTCGCCGTAGCCTCCACCCATTCCCATACCACCACCACCAGCCATACTCAACGGCCCTCCCAYGGTGCTTGAGCATCCGCCACCCGTCATACTCAGCGGCCCTCCCATGTTGCCCAGAGGACTTGCTCCCATTCCGTGAGGATATGGATATCTCCCTGCACCATACGGAGAACCTTGCATGCCATGAGGAGCCATTCTCAGAAAATTCATATTATGCATAAAAGGCATCCCACCAGGTCCCTGTGCTGCTCCTGCAGAATCGTTTCAGAGAGTGTCATCTGCACGCGAGGGTCGATCTTCAACATACCATATCCCATGGCTCTACGACCCGGCATCATGCCATTGCCGCCACCCATCAGACTCATCATCTGATAGTACTGGGGATCCATCATTGGACCCATCATATCGGCTTGCTGTTTGCGGCCCTTGAAGAGAGAAGACAAGTTCGTGTCACAACGTAAAGACAAGGTAAGGTTTGTTGCAGGTCACGCGCTCAATGGAATTGAGAAGTGTAAGAAAACCGGGAATGCAGAGGCCAGACCAACGCTTTGCTTTGTAGACGGCGCAAGTTGATCGGCTGTCATACATGCTGCTCATCGGTACGACGGAGTGCGGGATACGATTTGCTCCACGAGTACAACATCAAGTGGGATGATGGCTCGAATGACTGGAGTGGGTGTGTGATGGATTTCTTCTGTGCGAGACGGAGGCATGCAGATGATAGGTCACCAATTTGGAGCAAACATTTCACCCCGGTTTCACGGTGTGTGTGCGACGATGGCTGATGAAGGAGGTGGAGCACAGTATGCTTCCAAGTTGAACTCACTGCCAACCACCGTATCAAGAGTATTCGGCCGAAGTAACTTTTCGACGTCGCTACCGTCTGAGTGAGCTGCTGCTTGTCACATAGATCGTCGAGAAGTTATCGTCACGGTCGTTGGTGTGCTTTCCTTTGGAGGTGGGTGTTGGAGTCCCACGGATCCTCCAAGAGCGGTACGCACTTGATGCTGTTGTGTTTGAACAACATTGTGGATGTCAACGAAGCGGTTCGGTCTACGACGTGGGCGCATCTTCACCGAGAGTTCCTCATCTGATGTCGTGTTGTTCCATCATCGTCAGAATCATCCCGCGATGTGATTTTTGCTGTGCTAAGGTAGGTAGGTATTTCGGCTCACATTCTTCGGCTCCCCAACGGCCACTGCACGTGCAGGCGCATATATTGTTTGCAGACCGCTTCTTCATTGATCAATCACCTTTTACACTTGATACAGTTGCAACAGAAGTCATCGACCTCTGCTACATGTAATGCACGCCTAAGACGAATCGCCACGAATACGAACGCGAGATTCCGCCCAACTCTCACGCCTCCCCGCCATCTCCGTCTGCGTCCGTCGTCGATCGCATTCGTGGATTCTCGACGCATTGCGAGTAAACAATCCTTCCATGATGATGATGGGGAGGAGATGTGGACAGCGACACTCGGCACCGACCACTGATCAACGGAACCGAATTGCGTCTTTACAACTTATTGACCTCGTCGACGAATGGCCGAGCTGAACAGTCAGGTAGAACTAGACATGGCGCGACACGTGACGCGAATCCTGTGGAGCTTGGCTTGTACACCACTCACTCTCACACAAGGCTTGAGGCTGAGGCGGGATAGACACCCTACCTGAAGCGACCTGGTAGGTCCGTGTATATCTGCGGAGAGGAGATCTCTGCTTTTCCTCGGCTGCTACACTCGTTCTTTGCAGCTTCCTCAGTTTTGGTCTGCAAATCTCTTCAGATCCCATCATGGACCGGGTACACGAGATGTACCAGGACATGGCACAGGACCACATACACAGCGTGGTGGACTTTTGCACGGGGTCTTTGCGGTACAGTTCAATAGTCGCACTGCTGGCCGCCATCCTCGCGGCCATAACAAGTTACATCATATACCAACTCTACTTCCACCCCTTGGCATCATATCCCGGACCTTTACTCGGACGACTCACACGATTATATGATGTGTACCACGCATATATCGGCGACAAACATATCCTCTTCTATCACTTACACAAGCAATACGGCACGATAGTGCGATTCTCGCCAAATTCCCTCTCAATCAATGACCCAGCAGCGTTGAAGGTCATCTACGCCCATGGAGCGAATGTGCAAAAGTCAGAGTTCTACAAATGCTTCCGAGCAGCACCACAGGCCATTTCTACTTTGCTCGCAACGGAAAGGCAGCATCATGCCCGCAAACGCCGGATCATGGGCCAGGCCTTTGCGGACTCTGCGCTGAGAGGTTTCGAACAGTATGTTGTTGGACATGTAGAAGACCTGGTCGACCGGATCGGAGAAGCGACCAAACAGGCTTCCTCAAGCACGAGCGGCGAGAAGCAAGGCTGGAGTTTGCCCATGGATATGGCGAGTTGGTCTAATTGGCTCGTCTTCGATATCATGGGAGACTTGGTTTTCGGTCGATCTTTCAACACGCTCAAGAGAGCAGAGAATAGACGTGGGATATACTTGCTGGGAAGGGCGGCGAGGAGAAATTACGTCGTTGCTGCTATGCCTACGTTGCTCTACACTGGACTGGAAAAGGTGTTTCCCTTATTGAGAGGGCTCTATCTAGATCGTTGTCAATACCTCGCGTTTGGTAAGAAGCAGGTCATGGAGAGGACAAAGGAAGGTGGTTTTGGTCAGCCTGGTAGTCCATCAATGGAGTCTGGCCGTCGTGATATCTTTTCCTTCCTGCTTCATGCTAAAGATCCGGAAACTGGCGAGGGAATGCCCATGGCTGAGTTGTGGATGGAAGCAAACACGTTGATCGTCGCTGGTAGCGACACAACTTCCACGTGAGTCTTGATGTTGCTGCGTTGGAAATGTCTTACTGACACAACAAACGTGTCGCAGAACCCTGTCGGCCGTTCTTTATTATCTGCTTCATAACACTCACACTCTCCGCCGTCTGGAGCAAGAAGTCAGAGGCGCATTCTCTTCCGCCGATGAAATTGTCACGGGCAGCAAAATGCAATCCTGCACCTACCTTCGCGCTTGCATAGACGAAACGATGCGAATGACCCCACCAGTCGGAGGAATTCTTCCTCGAGAAGTTCTCCCAGGAGGCCTAGCGATCCCAGCTTTAGGAGTGGACTTGCCAGCAGGGATAGATGTTGGCGTACCCATCTACGCCATTCATCATCATGAAGAATTTGTAACGGATCCCTTTACGTTCGACCCTTCCCGCTGGCTACCTGTGGCAGAGGGCGAGGAGGCGCACAAACAAGACAAAGACGCCCTGATGGCCGTCTGGAATCCCTTTTCGCTTGGACACCGAGGCTGTCTGGGCAAACCTTTGGTGTATATGGAACTCTGTATTGCCATTGCCAGGATGGTTTGGGACTTCGATATGCGAGTTAGTGCAGAGCAGTATGTGAGCGAGTTTTTGAAGGAGGATATTAAACGGGGGAGGAGAAGGAAAGAAGAGTATCAGCTGCTAGACTGGTTCATGAGTTGGAACCAAGGGCCCTGGGTGGATTTCAGGAGAAGAAGCATGTGAGAGAACATGAGCGGGTGATACAGCATCATCATTACCGGGTCACCACAGCGTATCTCTGTATCGAAGGTATGTCATTCCTGTTCACCAAAGGTCCGCCATCGCTAGGCTACCTTCGTATCTTACCTACTCTGGGGACCATAGACCAGGAGTCCACTTACTAAGCCACTGAGCTGGTTGATACTCTTGCTTGATTTACTAAGTATTCCTGAGCATACAACGCTGTACGGCAGACTACGGACTTCTCAGCTACATGTACATGTTCCCCGGAGTCGCGGAATGGTCATTCTGAGTGAGCATATTGGAAAGCAAAAGATTAAGCATGGGAATTCACGGCTTGGCGAACACTTTTCCGCAGGTACCTTTAAGGTTACAATGTGCACTTTTCGTTCTTCCTTCCTTCTCTCCCACCTCCATCTAAATCACAAAATGACAAGGCCTACCTAGTATGTCTTACTTCTCATAACCCGACGCTCGTAAAGATACATGACTGACCTGCTGAATAGGTTTCATACAGCAGATATGTACTCCAGCGACATGCAAATAGCAAACCACGAAACTCAACCGGTTCGCGAATGGAAAGAGGAGTATTCTCTATACTCGACAAGTCTGCCATGACGCGCCAATTCGCATCCGGCAAGAAAAAGAAACTCGAATGTATCATAAGCATGGGTCAGATTCTATAAGACGGACTTATCTCGTACGTCGCTGGAAGCTTCGCGGTGAAGCTTGTGTGGGATGTTTAGAAGCCAGATCCAGATCCAGCGATTCGCAGACTGCTGCTCGTAAGAGTTGCGCCTATGGCTGTGATGCTGCTGAATCATTGGCGGGGTGTTTTTCATGCGCGAGTGAGTCTTTCCGCCCCTTTCTGCTGAAGGGTGGGTATAGGGGAATGGAAAATTCTGGGAGAGAGGAGACTCCCTAGATACAGTCTACTACTCGTACATCACAAGTCAGATGCTCAAAGAAAGTGAAATAATGTTCATAGAATGATCAAGGTCTCCCAATTCTCATTCCTTTCATTCCCAACCTTCCATTCCACTCACTTCTGCCCATCCAAGCAGCCTCCCCGATATGTCCGATTGCACGCATTCATTACCGCAATATGAGTCTCCAAAACTTTCGTCAACGCACTTGTTTTCGTCTCATTGGCAAGTTCTTCGACAAGCTCCTTCCGAACAGCTCTGGCTTTGGCTTGTTCATGTCTGATCTTTTCGACAAGCGATTTGGGTTGCACGATTGCGAGCAATTGAAGGCCACGAAGATCGTTCTGGCATCTATAATGCTGGTTGTAGAAGGGCTGTGTTTGTCGGAGTAGTCTTAAGCGCTTGATCAAGTGGTGAGTTGAGTCCGCTTCGATTACGGTGGCGTTGTCGATGTTCCGTAATACATGTCCTCATAAAGGCTGAAGTACTAGTCGACAACATGCTATACTCATAATCGTAGTGATGGAATACTCCACGATAGGGGAAGAAATACCAAGGCGGCGAGGATAAAGCCGCTGTAGTTAATGGGCAGTAGATAGCCATCCTATGAGCAAAATGCAAATCTCGCTGCGGTCAATGAATGCATGGAATGAATGACATGGAGGGAGAAAGATAAAGAAGAAAACGTTCATTGCTTGCCTCCAAACTTCATCGACATCCCCTAATCAAGTAGTAAGAGCAATCGTGTAAAACAACGTCACCCATATATATCCCAGCTGCAAGCGTAGTAAAATACTGGCTGCCAGCGTCACCCTCATTATCAATGAGGTAAGTGAAGAAAGCCATAAGATTCCCACTGAAGCTCTCAATAGCGTCGTCGCTTTTCGGAAGCAACAAGAAGACGGCCACGTCGTCGTTGGTACTAATGAAGGGCCTTGGGTCAGGTTCAGGAGAAGCGGCATGTGATGACAGATAAGCATTTGAACCAGCAGCATCATCGGATCACCACAGCGTATCCCTGCATCGTATGTCATWCCTGCTGTAATCCTGTTCACTAAACACCAAAAGGTCCGCCACGGCCAGGCCAGGTTCTCAGAGAAATGATTCGCTGCCAACGCACTGATACCTGGCTGCTCGAGAGGACTCTGCTGGTCTGTGGGACCTTTGTTTCACAGCAACGCTATACAGCCAGTTTCGAAAATTCTCATCAGTCGCCTCGCTAAACAGCCATGAAGCAGATCAGAGTGACATCATTGGAAAATTCGGCGTTTCTGTTGCAAGCGTAGGTATAAGCGAGGCGGGTGCTGGGGTATACCTTACGGAGTAAAGTAGGACGAACTGCCCGTGGGCCGTGGGAAGGTTGATCGGGCTTTGCGTGTTTCCCGCCGCCGGAAGCGGTCTTGACTCCGAGCAGTTCACGCATTGCAGCCTCATCGAATGTTCCGCGTTTGCACTCTGCAGACAGGTCCCGCTCGAGAGGCCACAAGGCAGAGAGGGTAAAAACCCCACTGACACGCAGGCCGTGTGATTGGTATTTTTCTTCTGGCACAATTGCGGTAGACGCGCGATGTGACAGCAAAGGTGTACGTACGGAGTATGCCTGCCCGCTGAAGCCGGCATGAGCCCGGGGAAACTCGTCATTTGGCGGGATGGCARGCATCTCTGCGATAGTGGTCCTTCTTTCCTGGCCGCTGCTGGCTTCGTGGTGAGAGAACGATCAGCTGTTTGTTGGACAGAATAGGCAGTGGAAACGGTGGAAAGTGGAAACGGCCCGTAATCGGATATCGGAATATCGAAGATCGTCGCAACAACATCAAACATAACGAGTCCAGCCACTAAGAAGTTACGGCGCTTGTGAGCAGGAGCGACTTTCGAGTGAAGTGAAGCCTAAGTGAAGTGAGAAGTCGAGGGAGATTCCGCGGCCTACTTTCCACAAGGCGCCTTCCACTTTCCTCCACCCACGACATCTTTTGAGTGGACGAGTAGCCCCACGGAACGGAACGACTAGCACGACAACTGAGCATCTTCCACTTCTCGACCACCCCGCGACCATTCTCAACCCGACACCAATTCCACCTCCGTCCGACAAGACGCGAATTTGCTGCCGACCACCCCATCCGCACACCGGCATCACCTTCCGCGAGCTCGTCTCTTCCACTCTCGCCCTTCCAGCTATCTCCCCGCCACCGGCGCGCATACTACAACATGGCTGAATTCGTGAGAGCGCAGATTTTCGGTATGACAGTGATGACAAGCTCTTGGCCGCGATCACCGTGTGCTAATCCTCCATGCAGSCACCACGTTCGAGATCACCAGCAGGCAAGTGGATAAAAACGCAACCTCGCCGTGGCGGGAGCAAGAGATGGAGGAAGAGGTTGAGACACTGGGCTAACGCCCGCACAGATACTCGGACTTGCAGCCTGTGGGCATGGGGGCTTTTGGGCTCGTATGGTGCGTAAAAGATGTGGTGTGGATGGGCAGAGACACTTTCAACTGACCAGAGACACAGCTCCGCCAAGGACCAGCTCACTGGCCAGGCCGTGGCTGTCAAGAAGATCATGAAGCCCTTCAGCACGCCAGTTCTCTCCAAGCGGACATACCGTGAGCTTAAGTTGCTCAAGCACCTCAAACACGAAAACGTGATCAGTCTCAGCGACATCTTCATCTCGCCGCTGGAGGATATGTATGTTGGTGAATTCGCACTCTCCACAAACATGGCTTACCATTGCTCACAGCTATTTCGTGACTGAGCTGCTTGGTACGGATCTTCACCGTCTTCTGACCTCCCGACCACTTGAGAAGCAGTTCATCCAGTACTTCCTCTACCAGATCTTGGTGAGTGCGAGTGCTCATTGCTCGCGTGATCACATTCTGACCAACATAGCGCGGCTTGAAATACGTCCACTCTGCCGGTGTCGTGCACCGTGATTTGAAGCCCTCGAACATCCTTGTCAACGAGAACTGTGACCTTAAGATTTGCGACTTTGGTCTTGCGCGTATTCAGGACCCTCAGATGACCGGCTATGTCTCCACACGTTACTACAGAGCGCCTGAGATCATGTTGACCTGGCAAAAGTATGACGTCGAGGTCGACATTTGGAGTGCTGGATGCATCTTTGCGGAAATGCTCGAGGGCAAGCCACTTTTCCCAGGCAAGGATCACGTCAATCAGTTCTCCATCATCACCGAGCTGTTGGGCACGCCACCAGATGATGTTATTTCGACCATCTGCAGCGAGAACGTGAGCAAATTACAACGATTCGATGAAGCGGACGACACTAACGATCATCCCCGCAGACCCTCAGATTCGTGCAGTCGCTGCCGAAACGCGAACGTCAACCGCTAAAGAACAAGTTCAAGCACGCCGATCCTCAAGCTATTGAACTCCTCGAGCGTATGCTTGTCTTTGACCCACGGAAACGCGTCAAGGCGGGCGAGGCGCTGGCGGATCCATATCTGTCGCCCTACCACGACCCGACCGACGAACCTGAAGCAGAGGAGAAGTTTGACTGGTCCTTCAACGATGCCGACCTGCCTGTCGACACATGGAAGATCATGATGTATGCGCTAAAAGACGACTGCGCCAACAAGGGCTGACAGGAGGCAACTAGGTACTCTGAAATCCTCGACTACCACAACGTGGACTCGGCCAACAATGGCGAGGATCAAAGTAAGTTTTGATGGACATGGTCTCTCTACGGCGGAGCGCTTACATTTCTCGACACCCAGACAGCGGCGCGTTGGCAGCATGATGGAACGACGAAACGTTTTGATGGGCTAGTGGTATGACGGCAACAGTGATTATGGGGACCAAGAGACACCCGGGCTTCTCAGGACTGAAGCATAGCCGGATTGATCAGAGACGGAGGATATGTGCAGCAGCACAGGCTACAGAACCAGCTGCTAGAACGCCAGCGAGCGGCAGACAGCTGGTCAGGGAAATGGCACTTTGCAGATTATATTATACGCTCAATGCTGCTCGCAACAAAAGGATTGTTTATCATGACACGGATTTGAGGATGTCTATCTATTACCTTGTCATGTGCATGTTTCCGTGATGATCTGCGCGGGGGCCTCGGTAAAGCCGAAGATCGTACCTATGCATGGAATGCAGGTCGTACTAACTCTCGAACTCGTACTTCCGAACATCACATCGCCACTCGCAAGCATGGTGGTTCCCATACGGACTGGCCTCCTCAGGCAAGCAGCGACCTGCCTCCGCCAAAATCGAGCGACGCCCGTCCGCACTCTCTCCCGCGATGCCGCCATCCGAAGACTGGCGTCCACATTGGCCATCCTGGAGCAGCGGGATGGCAAGCTGAACATGTCCTCGCTCGCCTCTGTCACCGCCGCAATGAAGATGGGAGGCAGCGTCCATGGCTTCTTGGCTGGATCCAACATCAAAGCCGTGGCCGACGAAGCCGCCAAGGTTGAAGGATTGGAGAAGATCATCTACGTGGAGAATGGCGACTATGACCGTGGCCTGGCGGAGAACTGGGCCCCGCTGCTCGTGGAGAACATCAAAAAGGGTGGATACACACATGTCATGGCGGGACATTCAGCATTTGGCAAGGGCTTACTTCCCAGAGTGGCRGCAATGATGGACGTCCAGCAGATTTCAGACATTACCGAGATTCAAGGAGAAGACACCTTTGTTCGCCCCATCTATGCTGGAAACGCCATTTTGACTGTTCAAAGCGCGGACAACCCGAAGATTGTCACCGTTCGAGGAACCGCTTTTGCATCTGGAGCAGCGGAGGGTGGCAGCGCTAGCACAGAGGAGGGAACAGATCCCAAGGCCGAATGCCCAACACAGTGGGTTAGTGAGGATCTTGCGAAGAGCGATCGCCCCGAGCTTGCATCGGCGGAGAAGGTGGTCAGTGGAGGGCGAGGATTGAAGTCAAAGGAGGAATTCGACCGTCTCATGCCCCCGCTCGCAGACGCACTCGGTGCGGCCATCGGCGCCAGTCGTGCGGCGGTGGACTCTGGCTTTGCGGATAACAGTCTGCAAGTTGGGCAAACGGGGAAGAATGTGGCTCCTCAGCTATATCTCTGCGCGGGTATCTCGGGTGCCATTCAGCATTTGGCGGGAATGAAGGACTCCAAGGTCATTGCAGCGATCAACAAGGACCCCGACGCGCCTATTTTCCAGGTCGCGGACGTGGGACTTGTGGGTGATTTGTTCGAAAAGGTACCCGAGCTTACTGAGAAGCTCAACAGCGCGTGAAACCACAAATCGAACACTTGAACAATCCCACTCGTCATTAATTTCATCGTCAAATTCGTATTGTATCRGATGTTCTCGTGCTTTGTTGATGCAGCAGCTGGCTCCGGCGGCCAAGAAGTCGATCATAAATCTAGCGTAGCTTTGTCCCAAGCTTGTTGCAAGCATACGCCGGTATTCTGTACCTCGATCATCGATCATCCGTGTGTTGGATGCATCCAAACACCACCACCTGCGAACCACCCCTCGATATGCAACTCGAAGCATGAGATCTTCCACTTCGGCCGCCAGAACCTGTGAGCCGACCTCGCCATCGTCGCCATGACCTTCCAACCACTCCTCTGCATCGTCGACTTTCACCATCACAAAGGTCCAGAGATCCAAGAGTGGATAGGTGCCGAAGATGGGATCGATCCGGCCGCGCAAAATGACTGGGGACTCATTCCATACATGGCTTTGCCTGACGGAGCCCATCAATCAGAGGAAGAGTTCAGCTACTTCAGTCTGGTGCACAAAGCCACAGGCCAAGGCGAGACTGTCGCGACTTCAGTTTTTGGGATAAGCTGTATGCATCAGATCGATAGCTCTGAGCTGCTCTTTCGCCCTCCAGAAGTGACGCGATCCGCCGTGCAAAAGGCCGTCGTGGCGATTACGGATCGACCACAGAGTTTCAGTGCACTGAGGGAGCGACTGAGTGTGGTGACGAGAGCCTGGTTCGCTCAGAAAGACTTTCGAGATATAGAAATCCTGCAGGTGGGTCAGTGGCATAATACCAACCGACCACGGAAGTTGTGTAGGGGGATATGTGCTAATAGGTGAGGCTTTTAGCGCTTTCAAGAGAGCTTGGCCAAGGAGGGCACCAGTCATGATGTGGATGATAGAGATCAGTTCTTTGGTCTCAGTTTGAGGGAGCTGCTGCACACGTTTAAATGGACAACTCTGGTGCTGTTGAAGTGCTTGCTGCTGCAGAAGAAGGTGGGTCAACATAGAGGTGGGTTTGTTCACATGACTGACTCTTGCAGATACTCTTCTTTGGCTCTCATTGTGAGCGTCTCTGTCAGGTCCAATTCTCCCTCATATCTCTAATACCAGGTCTGGTACGAAATCTGGGAGATTGTGCTGATCCTCAAATGGACCACTATGCTCAGACTCGCACAATACCCAATAGCGTCCGCACCAGTGACCGGACTTCTCTTCTCGCATACGTTGGACTACCACTGCAGCTGTTTGGAAAAGGTGCAATGTTCGGCCCATACACACCGCTCCAGCAGCTAGACCTCATCACCGACCAGGAGACTAAGAGTTATGTGGTCGGCAGCACAAACAGTCTCCTCCTTTCACAGAAGGAGCGCTATTGTGATTTACTCCTCAATCTTGACGAGAACGCCATGACCATTCTTACGCCAAGTCTCAAGTCCGCGTTGTCTTTGACAACGGCCGACCGAAGATGGATTGACTTTCTCACACAAGCTGTTAACGATACTTGGGATGAGAATGATCCTTCTCGGCCAAGCACTCATGGTCAGTTTAATGTCTGCAGTTTCAACGTAATCGACTCTGATAACCCGCAGGCTATGCTGGGAGCGAGGAGTTCATTCGTCTCCAGTTTGAAGAATACATCATTGCTCTACTTTCATCAACCAAGTACCACCAGTACCTAGCCGATCAAAAATCTGGAGACACAAAGACCCTCTTGTCAGATGTGGAGGGCGACCCATCTTCCGACTTCTCAAACACCTTCATCGAAGCATGGCAGCACTCGGAGAACTACGGCCTTTGGAATCGCACAACCGACAGCCACCTCTTCGATATTGTAGAACCTCGTCATCCATGCGCAGGAGGCCTGACCATCGAAGACGTCCAACGTCGTCTAGCAACCCAAGTCTCGGAACTACATTTAGACGAGCGTTTTAACCAAACCCGCGATGTAGTAGGGAAGAGATTGGCCGATGGAAGAACACAGGTGACATCGGCTTTCAACAAAGTGTGGGCCGACATCGAAGTCATGAGAGAAGCGCAACGACAAAAGTCAGAAGAAGCGAGAATAGCTGCTGCTGCCAATCCGCCCGTCGACAAGGCTGCCCAGGGTAGTAGATTCGCCAAGCCAGATATGCAACAAGCGCAGGCGAGTGTTGCTGCTGCTGGTCAGAGAGCGGGTGCATATTTCAGCTCGTGGGGATCTTGGGCTGCTGAGAAGCGGAAGACTGCGTGGGCGGGTCGTGCGGCTACTTCACCCGCAGCTGGAGATGGGAGTTCGGAGGTTGCTGCTGGGAGTGTCAGTGAGGTCAAGTCTGAGGTCAAATCTGAGGGGAAGGAGGAGATTGTGCCTACGAGTACTCGTGAGGCTTGAATATGTAGGTCTCTTCATCAGGATATGCTTGACCTCAAGAGTGAGGCACATAATGCATCATGGCACGGTATCTTGACATCAAGAGCGAGTCGCATAACACACATCATGACACGCGTTTACCCCTCCTGAAAAAGCATTCTGGGAAGGGAAATACTTGATTAAGAAAATCACAATTTGATTAAAAATCACGGACCTCTTGAAAGAACCCCCCCCCCCCCCCCTCCTTTCTCCGAAAATTCTTTCCGCCTCCACATTTTCATTCCGAACGAACATTTTCTAGTACCCCCTCTCATCTACTACTCTGCGCTAGGGTTAGGGTTGGGGTAATACATGCTTTTGCTGTGGCTATGATATAGCCTTTTGAACTCTATGAAACGTTGTAGGCATTGATGCAGACGGTACTCTACGTTGGTTTTGGAGTATATGGAGGTGTTTTGTATAAAGTGTGGCTTTATCCTGGCTTTTTGCTTTTTTATGGAATRGCATGGAGAGACGTCAGGTCTTACAAACTTTGCTTAGGCGACACTTCATTCTCGGCTTCGAAAGTCATTAACGGAATGAGATGGAGGTTACGAAGACAGCGCATTCGTTCGTCCCGTTCTATCTGTCCTTCACCATATGTTGATCTGAACACGATTTAGCCCGGCGTCGCTCTCACATGCCCGATCTCGCTCCGTCACTCAATTCAGCGGGTCTTGGCACATCACGTGATACTAGCGCGGGGGATGGTTGAATCCCGGCTTGCCAAGGCCACCCCTTTCTGATACACGCACATGCCACCTGCCGGTCCCTCCTTTGTTGTTACCATGGATATCTCATACTAGATGCGCGGGCTGTATCACGGTGGACGTGTACAAGTAGCCGCCTTTCTTCGCCCCAACCTTTGCTTCTTTATACTTGCGCGTCTCCCCCAATCCGCTCTCAAGTTTTCACTTTCGCTAACAAATTCACAGACCTTGATGAGGAAAAGCGAGCACAAGAATCCGCCTTTCCTAGACGGCTTGCCTACATTGCACATCGTGGCGTGGGCTGTCTATGGTTGTCCTTCGGGGCCGCCTTTGTCACAATTTTTGATGGACACCGTGCAAGGCACACACTTTCATCATCCATCAGTCTCGTACTGGTGCTTGGAGAAGGCGTCTTAATTTCCATCTCCCATATCATCAATCGTCGTCGCGTCATATCACACCTCTGGCGCGTCTTTTCCAATGTTTTGTCCGTCGCGCTCCCCCAGTTCACGGCCCGCCCGGTCCGCTGGCAGGGTCGYAGGCGATGTCCGCGCACCCGATTCCCAACTCCCACATCCATCGCCCTTTCACAGTACAAAGCAAGCAATTGGCAACGACGAAGCTGAGGCGCAAATACCCTGCGTTGGAAGGACCCGCGATGGCTTGCTCGTGGCCCAGTGAAATCGGACATGCACTGCACGCGTTGCCGCTAGCAGAGAGCCAAGCTGGACTTCATCAAGATGCCAATGCATGCCCAGCCTATCTGGCTCGCTACCTGGTCCAGCAAATCGGCATTGAAGACCGAATGAGGAAGGAGAGATGTGCAAATGGCAAGTACGTAGTATATAAGTGCTGATGATGCGATCGATACTCGTCGTCACTTCCAATCTCAAAAGATGAAGGCTTCACTGGTGACCGCCTGCGTGGCTCTCCTCGCTTCGGCTTCTGCTCAACTCGTCAACCCAACAATTGCTTCGATCAATGGAGATCGCTACCTGTCTCCATTCGCCGGGCAAACAATCACCGGACTTCGAGGACTTGTGACAGCAAAAGGGCCAAATGGTTTCTGGATCAGGTCGACTTCGCCTGATAGGGATCCCCGCACATCCGATTCAGTCTATGTCTTCGGGAGGAACAGCGTTGGCAACGTCACTGTCGGAGATGTAGTATCGCTGGACGGGACAGTTGCCGAATTTCGTTCGAACAGAGACTACCTCTTCTTGACGGAGATTGAGCAGCCCAGCAATGTCATTGTCGTCTCCTCTGGCAACCGAGTGGAGGCGCTCGAGATCGGAAAGCGCGGTCTCACTCCCCCGACAGAGCTGCATACCTCTTTGGATGATGGAGATATTTTCGGTGTTCCCAACAACAGGTCTCTGCTCTCACAAGTCAACCCTAGGCTAGAGCCATCTCGCTATGGGCTGGATTTCTGGGAGTCTCTTTCTGGGGAACTCGTCACAGTACGCCGACCACGCGTGCTCAATCGGCCCAACTCATTTGGCGATACATGGGTCGTGGGGAATTGGCCAACTACGGGTGATAACAAACGAGGAGGCCTCACCATCACCAAGGGCGATGGTAATCCCGAAGCAATACTCATCGGCTCTGCCCTCGACAACTCTACCAACCCATCAGACTCGAAGCTTGGCGACGAGCTTGAGGATATCACAGGCGTCGTGGCATATGCTTTCGGTTTCTACCGCATTCTCCCAACGACTGCCGTGGCTGTCAGGAAATCACAGCGACCCGCGACGGCAAGCGCTTCGACGTTGCGTTCCAACGGTCGCTGTGATGGAATCACAGTCAGTCAATACAACATTGAGAATGTGGCACCAACTTCAGCCAATATCCCTCAGATAGCGGACCATGTTGTCAACTTCCTCAAATCACCGGATCTTCTTATACTGCAGGAAGTGCAAGACGATGATGGTCCTACTAACACACCGATTGTCGACGCAAACATCACCATGGCTGCTATTAGGGACGCAATCACTGCAGCAGGCTCCTCCTTCCAATACGATTTCGTAAGTACACTTTCGTGATCATCCTTTGGATGAATCTAACATTGCACAGACCAACGTCAACCCTGTGGATGACCAAGAAGGTGGCCAGCCTGGCGGAAACATTCGCAACGTTTACTTCTACAACCCAGCAGTCCTTCGCCTCGCGAACCTCAACCCTGGCTCCAGCACTCAAGCGACAGAAGTACTCCCAGGCCCACGCCTCAGCTTAAACCCCGGCCGCATCGACCCTGCTAACTCCGCCTGGACATCGGCCCGTGTACCACTTGTTGCGCAGTGGGAGACCGTGGGTGATCGCCGTGGCTCGAGCACATTCTTCACCGTCAATGTCCACATGACCTCCAAGGGAGGTTCTTCGTCACTTCACGGTGATGCCCGCCCTCCCGTCAACAACGGCGTGGAGATTCGAACCGCACAAAACGCAGTCGTCGCAAACTTTGTYAGACAGATCCTGGATAAAGACAAAGATGCCGCTGTGATCGTTGCAGGCGATTTCAACGAGTTCGCCGTAGTGGACGCGCTCATTCGATTCGTCGCTGCGTCCGGCCTCAAAAGCATGGATGATGTGGTCAAGCGACCGGACGAAGAGCGATACACCTACTTATTTGACTCCAACAGTCAGTCTCTCGATCAAATGTACGTCAGCCCCAAACTGTCCAAGGGCTCGCGATTCGAACATTTGCATCTTAATACCTGGCTGGATTTCGATAGTCAGGCTTCGGATCACGATCCTAGTGTCGCTAAAGTCAATGTTTGTAAATGAAGGGAGATGGATGTCTGTATCGATATTCAGGAAGAAATAATAACCTGTACGTCAGCTAGCATTAGATAGCCTGTCAAGATGACCATCCGATAGAAGGTCGCTAGCAGATGTTGTTCTCGGAAGAGTGATGTGATGGTTTTGTGCCTTCAGTCGTCAATCTCGAGCTGCCTGAGCTTCCTGCTCCTCTCTGGGACCACGTACAAAGTTCCGACAGGCAAAGGCGGTGCGCAAGAAGTACACTACCACGGCACTTCACTTCGTTTTTCTCACCCTCACTCAGTTCCTGCATTCATCACAAGCTTATGCACAAGCTCGTTGGTCTGGGGTTCCCGGCTCTCATGTACCCACCTCGCGCTCTCAAATCAGACATTCTCCTGTCGCTACTGCACACATCACAACATCATAAAACACACGATAATAGAATGTAAGAGACTTCTCCAAATCCCCCTGATAGGTGGCTGAGACTACAGGAGTCTTGCAATCGTCTATAGTGTCCAACATCTTTGTCGTTCTACCTCAATCTACATGCTGCCTTTACCACACTCTCTCGATCTCTCTAATACGATTAGTACTCCATCAAACGAAGTCTCTTCCCGACCTCGCGACGCTGCGCGATTCTCTCGCTCGGACGTTCAGCCGCGTCATCCTTGGCCTTAATGGCTTGYATCAGCATGCCCGCGTCGAAGAAGCCATCTACAGAACAATCAAGTCAGCTCATCCATCGTTCAAGAAATATATAACATCACGGAGCACTTACAGCCACCATATTCGTCATCGCTGACGGCACCGGTATCAGCTTCTTCAGCTTTCGGTGCTGCACCAGTACCATCAGCTTTGACCACGCGTCCACGACTCTTCATGTTCTGAGCCTTGGGTCGCTTCTCATCGACCTCGCGAGCACGAGTTGCGTTCTTGTCCGACGTCGTGCTTCTCCTGTGGGTCTGTCGAAGCAACTTCCTAATCTCGAGGAAGTAGTTCTCGAGTGCATCGATGTATCGCTTGGTTTGCCTGTGCTTGCTGCTGGCACAGATGGACACGCTGCCATCCTTGATAATGTATCCAATACCGAAACCCTCTCCACTGGTGGGACCGAATCCGAAATGCCTCAAACATGGGTTTCCACAGTTGGAGGTGCTCAGGATGGTGTTGTTGATCTTGTCCCAACCACCATCGGCGAAGAGAGCGGGAAGAAGTGGCTGTGGCTGTCTTGAAGAGGCCATTTGCAGGCTGTCCTGATCACTGGCCACGCTTTCTCCGTTAGGAGATGCAGCAGAGCTGTTCGCCTCACGGTCGCTCGTCGGACTGCTCCATCCATTTGTACTTGTGCCATCACCGTTGAGGTCCAAATCACCGTCYACTTGACGCTGCCAAATCGACATCAAAGCGTAGAGGTGACGGTCGTGACCCTGAGCTTTGGCACACTCCTTGGTCAGGGCAGAGTGCTTCTCACAAGCCTTTTTGAGTGCCTCGACTTTCTTCGCCGGTGCAGCATCAGCCCAGAAGGTGCGTACAAAATCTGCACTCTCCTGTGTGACCGACCTCACTGCCTCTGTTCGGCCGTGGTAGAACATCTTCGTCATCGCTGGTTCGTAAACGCTTTCGATTCGCCCGTACATGCCGTAGTATGCTGCCTGGTAGGCCATCTGTACAAATGCGTCTGGGGAGAATCCGTGCGAAGTCATAAAGGTCTTTCCGTATCCTTCGAACTCTAGAGTCTGAAACTCGTTCTGCTGAATCAGGTCTGCCAGGCGAGTCTCTGCGAATCGAAGAGCAGTGGCGAGCTCAGGCACCATGTCCCACTCCAGTTTATGGGGCGAAGTGCTTACATCACCGAAGCTCTTGGGATCGCGCTTTGATGGATCTGGCGATGTCGAAGCCCACATCGAAGGAGCTTGACCGTTGATCGTCCTAGCGAACCGAAGAATGGTATCCGTGTAGATGTCCGAGGCAAATCGAAGAACAGTATGACCGTCCACACCGGTGTGTTCAAAGTTGATTCCTGCGCTACCGTTCTTGCAAACGATGATCTGTAGTTTGTCGTACCATCTATTCGTACATGTGCCGACTTGCACACCGCGTTCAATCTCAGAAGTGCCGCACAGCATATTTGCGCACAGGGCAGCGCTGCTGGTGGGCTCGGTGTAGTCCAAACAGAGGATAAACAGAGCCGAGTCGACAATGTTGAGGCAATCGCTGTTGTTAGAGCCCTCATCCTTGCCGATAAGCTCGCGAAGACTGGACCAAATCTTGCGGTTCTCAGTACTCAAGACTCCAACAGCGGACTTTGCAGCTTCACCGACTGGCGTCTGCTCGGAGTCATTGTTAATGACTTGGAGGTTCAAGCTGATGTCCTTTTCGGTCATGATAAGATCGCTGTTATCATCCAAGACGTCGAACCAGTAGAACTGGCCTCTCGCTAGGACAACAATATGCTTTGCGCTTGGGTCCTGTCCAATCTGGCACCCATTTTCTGTAGGAATACGAGCGGTTCCGAACAGGCGAGAGTATTGGTACATATCCATGGGCTGGCCTTTGATCTGGTCGGGTGGCAATTCTTCCTTGCGGACTGCGCGCACAAACGACAGAGCCGATACGACGAGTGACGCAGCGCGAGTGACCTGGTTGTTGCGAGCAGGCGTCGGGTCGTCTTCGAGAAGAAAGAATGGATTCAAGTTGAGCACGACCGGGTTGTCGAAGTTGAGGTACGAGTCGTACCCTATTGAGCTGCGTCAGTGATCATGTGCTTTCGACTAGAATATGCAAGACTTACAGAACTGTTCAATATAGCTGGACTTGCCCTCGGAGTAGGCCTTCAGCTTGGCTTGAAGATCCGGACCCTCGGTTTGAAGAAACTCCTGAACAGCCCGTTCGCTATCATGATGCTCTCGTGCAGTTTGCAATGGATACAGAGAGGCCAGATACTTTTTACAAGTTGATTCGAGATCCGGAATGGGTAACTTTGGAAGCTTTTCCTGGGCAGCAAAGGTGATGCCTGGCTCCTTTTCAGTGAGTACATCGCTACCCAGGGGATTCTGCTTTTCTCTCGAGAAGCTCTGGGTGGCATCCTTCGCGTTGGCTTCTGACCGCTCGGCCATGATTGCAGAATCACGACGGTTGTTGACCTTTGCAAGCTGTTCGTCTATGGATTTAAAAGTTCGGACTGGAGACATGATGAGTGTAAGCAGGGGCTTCAGCTATGTAATGGCGAAACGAGCGTGGCAATGGATAGGCCACGCAGAGTGGTTCGGTAGAAGTAATGGCAGTCTTGTTGATAGAAGTTCGGCATCGAGCAGGATCAAGATCGAATGGACATGACAATTTTAGGGTGTCGAATGAAAGGTGGTGCAACCAAAGGTGACGTTGGGGAAGAAGTCAAGTTACTTAATACTCCCAGCGGACAGCGATGGCTAGACGAACGACTGTTGACGTCGCCCCGTTTCGGTTCATATGCGGATGCACGGCTTTCATGCAGGTAGGTGTATGGGATTCGCCGCTGACCCGAAGCAGCATAGGATAATAAGGCTGGACTGACCTGGATCGTGGTATGCACCTCGGCCAAGCAATGACCTTGAAGGAGGAGCACTCTCTCTCAGCGACTAGGGAGGCCGACGGACCAGAGGAAGTGGTGAGGGCTGTCGGAGCTTGGAGCTAGCCTGCAACGGCTCGATGTTGCTGGCGGAGCGAGGGATGGATGGATGGATGCAACAGGGCACCTGGTTCGAGATGCAACCGAGGAGGCTGGAGTCGACGGGATATGTGAGTGGGACGAGGACGGTCAAACATTGCGAGCGATCACGTATGAAAAAAGAGCTTATATCTAATAAACGGTCGGTTGTGAGCGCCGTGACGTCTGTCGGTTGCGCGGTTGTGTCTTGTGCCCAGAGCCTCGTTGCAAGAAGTCCTCGGACAGGTTTGTTTTCTGCCTGCCGCGAAGGGAAGCCGATGGAATGTGCGTGACTTTGGGGTTGGAGCACGTGCGATGCATGTTTAGTCTCGATCCTGCCGTCGTACAGATAGACAGACATGAGATGCATGTGATGCATACGTCTACTACGATCGTGCCTATGAACTGTTGTGCCAAAAGACAGGGACAGACATCGCCAAGGCGCTAGTGTGGCTTCCTCTCGTCCGCGATGCGATGCGCTTGCGAAGGTCCGTGGCATCAATACATCACCAAGGCTCGACTTCAGGCATCCGGCGGCGGCGAGGATGCTCCGTCCCGATGACGAACATACTGACCGTCCTCCCTGACTTCGACACATCCCCCTACACACACATCCTGCCGTCATTGGAAAAGGCGCTGGTTTCGACAGCAGACCTGCTCACTCTCGACGCGGTCGATATTGCCAAACGCGCGCAAGTGCCACCCGGCGAAGTGAAGAAACTCGCGGATGCACTGCTCAATGCTCTGCATACTGATGCGCCTGCAGATGATGCCGGCGCCGCTGCAAAGAGCGCGCCCCACAGTTGTGTGGACGTAGCACGGCGGTGGGCAACGATTAGCACCCTCGACGATGATCTGGATCATGCCCTGGGAGGTGGCATTGCACTCGGTCAATTGACGGAGATTGTAGGTGAAAGGTCAGCGCTTCTTATTCATCATGTTTCGTCACCTCCATCCTGACTTCCATGCAGTGCTGCGGGTAAAACCCAGCTTCTTTTGACCCTTCTTCTTGCTGCCCAGTTGCCAAGTTCTCGTCCACGTGGAAGCGAACAGCGCTCCGCTCTGTACATATCCACAGAGGCTCCCCTTTCAACTGCACGCCTAACTCAAATCTTGAAGAAACACCCAAAGCTTTCCGATTTGTCTGTTGACGAACGTCCATCCCTGAATCGGATTCACAGCACACATATCCATGACCTCGAAGCTCAAGAACACATCATCCGTTATCAAGTGCCAGTCGCAATACAAAAGCACAACGTTGGCCTTCTTGTGATCGACTCCATCGCCGCTAATTACCGCGCTGAGTTCGACAAAGGGAGAGCCGGCAATGGCGCAGAGTCCATGGCAAAACGCAGTATCCAGCTTGTACGGACAGGAGCTCTGCTACAGAACATCGCTCGGACGTACAATGTCGCAGTCGTTGTCGCTAATCAAGTAGCCGATCGTTTCTTGAGAGTTGAATCCACGCTTCAAGCGCCGAGCCAGGCGACACAGGGCACGCGCCAAGGCTCACCGGCTCACAGCATCGGCAACACTCGGAGCGCGTCAACACAACCGCCTTCTACATTCTCTGTGTTATCGACAGACGATCCACTTGCGCTTGACCATCAGCAGCGCTTCTTCACGGGTTGGGGAGATGACCCGTCCATCACCAACATAAAAACGCCTAGTCTGGGCTTGGTATGGACCAATCAGCTCGCCACTCGGATTGCGCTTCTCAAGGAACCGGTCTACGAAGACAAGATCTATGCCGCTGGAGATGAAAGGAATCTCATCGGCTGGACGCGATCGTGCAAGGTCGTTTTCAGCGCATGGTGCGGAGAAGGCAACACAGTTTTTGAGATTTGGGAAGGTGGCATCCGCAGTATCAGCTCATCTGGACGCCCTGGGGTGGACGAGGCAGCACCCTGAAGTTGGAAAGCACTACATGAATGCTGTACTTTCGGCAACGACGACAGCATCGATAATAAGACATTATTCGATGAGAAATTTAGCTCTCCGCAAGGCTGCTCCTTTTCGCGCCGAAAGCTACCTGCTTACGAGCGTTGCCGTCGACACACTGCAAGGAGAGGCTGCAATCTTCAATTTCACTAGTCCTTGCCCGCGACCACACTTCCCATTGAACCGCCTATCTTTATCACGATCCTTTTCCGCCAACCTCAAAGATTGCCCTCGAGGCGTATCCAGTGGCCCTTCACCGATGAGCCTTCGTATTGACCGCACAATGACCCTGTTCGAAGAAGCATTTTTGATCACATCGTCCAGTTGAATGGGCGATGGAGTATGCTCACACCTCAGAGTCTAGCCGCACTGTCATCTCATTTTACCTAGAGTGATCCTTTCTCATCTTGACGAGCTGCGGGTTCGAGCTACCTCGCCGTAAATGCTGCTGCTAGAGGATGGGAAGATTGCTTCATAGGGTTAGGGCTGGGTGGAGACATCTCGTCTCGGAGACTCCGTCCTCTCATCATCACGTCTACTTCATCGTATAAATCTAGAGCGTGTGGACCCACCCTTCTCCTGCAGTCGGGCACAATAGACGATGTGCGGTCTGATGTACACGACGAGGCACCTTCAGCTGCGGATCACAAAAGTCACCATGTCGTTCAGCTGCCATGCGAACCACGCACGTGGCGGCGTATCATTTATTCACCCATTCAACCATAGGAAGTCACCATTGGCCTTCGATCTTGCAGCGGATATTGCAATCCCTTACGTCGCACATGGACACATCTCAAACAATGCCGATGTCCGTCCTCTCGTTACGCAAAGCGGCCGCCAACTTTTGATCGTTTCACAACCCAAAAAGTGCCAGACCGCTGGTTGAGAAGACTTTTACAGCTCAGTTGAAAAGGATTCATCACGCGCGTATGCGAGAGCAATAACGACGAGTCGCGAATAGGCCCGAATTTTTCGCATCATCATGCTTTCTATGAGAACAACCGCTGGCGACTCGCCATTTGATGTACCATGGCCAGTCAAGGATGTAGTATATGTTGCCATTGTGGGCAGCGTCATGCTTGCCGCGCTTCTGGAATGGATCCTATGGCTACTAGTCTTCCTCTACTGCTTGGTTAAAGTCTCCCAAAAGGCCAGTCACGGACAGGACAGATGGGCGGTAAGAACACTCTGCGTGCTCAACATGATCTTCTTCATAGGGATGCGCCTAGTGTTCTTGCCAATCATGATTGTCACTCTACCGCTACCATCTCGGATTGTTCGATACTTTCCAGAAGAGATGGTGACTGTGCTACAGTACTTTGCCTTTTGGTCGTTTGCTGGACTCCTGACTATTCCTTGGCTTTTCTGCGTGTAAGTATACATACACCATCTCGATGGAAGACAGGAAAGCTGACACCGCAACCCACCAGGTACCAGCTTGTCACTCACAATATCGGTCGAGAGCGCAAGTTGAAGACGGTACTCGACGAGCACACAGCACCCAAAGTGGTGGTCGTGATGCCTTGCTACAACGAAGCCCCTGAGATCTTGCTTCGGACGGTGGACTCGCTGGTCGATTGCGAGTATCCGCCGTCATGTCTTCACATCTTCCTTTCCTTTGATGGTGATCAGGAGAATGAGTTGTATCTCAACACGATCAAGAGACTTGGTGTTCCCATAACACTCGAGAAGTATCCGAAATGCATCGATGTGACTTATCGCAGCTGTCGCATCACGGTATCACGATTTCCACACGGTGGAAAACGTAGCTGCCAGGTAAACATGCAATTTTCTACCTCACTTRACAATTGCCCATCGACACTGCCGCTGACATGTCTCCACAGAAGCGAACTTTCAAGCTGATCGACAAAGTATATGCYGAATACTTGCGGCGAAACGATAATCTTTTCCTGCTCTTCATCGATTCAGATTGCATCCTAGACCGAGTCTGCATTCAAAATTTCATGTACGAGATGGAGCTGAAGCCCGGAAGCGAGAGAAACATGCTGGCAATGACTGGAGTCATTACTTCGACAACGGTCAAGAACACTCTGATCACAGTGCTGCAAGACATGGAATACATTCACGGACAGCTCTTCGAGCGGTAGGTGCGCGATTGGTTATTAGAAGTAACATAGTACTAACGGATCATCTAGCTCGGTCGAATCTGGGTGTGGAGCAGTTACCTGTCTACCGGGCGCCCTCACCATCCTGAGATTCTCTGCGTTTCGCAAGATGGCGAAGTTTTACTTTGCTGATAAAGCCGAGCAATGTGATGACCTCTTCGACTATGGCAAATGCCATCTCGGAGAGGATCGCTGGCTGACCCACCTGTTCATGATTGGAGCAAAGAAACGATATCAAATACAGATGAACACTGGCGCGTTTTGTGAGTACTACCCTTGGAATCGTTCCTACCTTACTTGTATCTGGCGATCTCTGACATGATAACCATCTCTAGGCAAGACTGAAGCAGTACAGTCATTCAAGAGCCTCCTCAAGCAGCGAAGAAGATTTCATCACCAACGAGGTGTGCATGCTGACCGACATAAGACTTTGGAAGCGATACCCAATTCTTCTCATCATCCGCCTGGGTCAGAACACTATTCGAACGACTGGTCTATTGTTCTTCATCATGGTCATATCGATCATCACGACAAGCCAGAAGATAACGAATCTGCCCGTTGGATTCATCGCAGTCTCATTATGCTTGAACTGGTTGTTAATGGTATTTTTCGGAGCAAAGCTTGGAAGATACAAGATCATGCTATATCCGATCATGTTTGTCATCAATCCGTTCATGAATTGGATCTATATGGTGTACGGGATATTCACAGCCAGCCAGAGAACGTGGTGAGTCAAGAAGCCCATCTTCCGCTGTCAATGAATGCTGATACTAATTCGACTTCAGGGGAGGCCCACGCGCGGACGCCGGGAAAGCCGACGCAAAGACAACAGCAAGTGAAGCTATTGCCATAGCAGAGGCGACGGGAGATGATCTGAATGTTGTACCAGAGACTTTCAGATCAGTCGWTGAGGCGGCGACTCAAGAGCTATTCAGAGCACCACTGCTGCCATCCCGTGATGTCGAAGGTCGATTCGTCCCTGCAGAAGAGCTTCCTGGAGGTTACTACCGACAGACCAACGGCTCCGGTGTCTTACGTTCTGACATGACGAACCGTGATCCGGAGACGGGTCTTCCTGGTATTGGTTCAAGACGAGAGAGCAGCACAGATTCATTCAAGTCATCTGCCAGCTCGGTTTACACCCCTCGAAGAGTCGAGAGTATTTTTGATCCGGGAGATACACTGGCATACTTCGCCCAGCAAGCATTACAACGACCACCCGGGGGTGCTCTCTTCGAGATGGACCGTCCCAGATACCAAAACGCACCACCCATTTCCCTGGCGAACAGGCATCATGCTTTGAGACGTCGAAGCACATCGGCAGGACCTATCGGCGATCGCGCATACCCTGCGGCACCCGCTGACTCTCAAAATCAAAATCCTCCACCTTTCCGTGGTCGAAGCGTCTCGATGGACTCTCTCCGCTCGAATGGCTCAGAGTCAACAGTCTCGATGCACTTCGATGTACCTCGCTATCACCACAGCCCGCAGAGCACAGCATCCGCAAGTCACGAGGAGTCAAACATCGAAGCCACATCACCAGCACGACATCGTAGGAGCAGTGCCCCAGCGGGACCAGTTCCTCCAGTATTAGGTATCCATACTCGCTCCCAAGGTCGTCCACAGAGCCACAATGGCCGAAGTCCACTGGCGCGGAAGAGTTTTGTCCGTTTAGCAACGGATGGCCTGCCACACCCATTCTCTGTAGCTGACGAAGGTGAGACAAACGTATCGAGAAGAATGTCGAGTGATGATGAGGGAGGTCGACGAAGAAGGGGGAGACGGAGGACGCCAACGGCTTATGGGAGGGATGGTCGACGAAGATTGAGCAAGCGGGCTCGAGACCCTCATAGTAGGGAGTCCAGCCGAGGATGAATGAGTAGATATCGTGCAGGACGCCGAAATCAGCATATCGAAACTTCTCAGGATCTTCTCAAGAGTCAAATTTATTCTCTCGATGTGGTCGTCGTCCTAGGAGCCGCTGGAGCCCTTCTCGTTGGCAATGTCGCTCGTCGAACGATGGAGAGACCTCAATGGCAGAATTTTGTTGCCAAGGGTCTTGTGCCCTCGTGGTGATTGCAGCGTCATTATATCGGAACAAGCCTTTTAATCAGCGCTCTTCAAAGAACATTCAACACAGGCAGGTCATGAAGTAGCGTCATTCCTTCGACGCTGTTGCGCAATGGCTACGAAGAGAGGAGCATTGCAGATGTCCCGGACTCGTCGCGCGTGCATCGTCTCCTATTCCACTTGTGCAGCATCTCGACGCATAGGAGTGGTATTCGCAGCCTGGTAGACCACTACTTGGCAACGCTCTCAGAAAACACCGTCGAGAGCGACATGTGAAGGGCTTCGGTCCGCTTTCAGTCAATTCCACCCCGAAGCGTTGAGTGCACTAGAATAATTGAAATTCAGGCTTTGAATCAGTGTAGGATGACGGACGAAAGAAGCTTGTTCGAAGGCATGAAAACAGTATTTCAAGAACTTCGTTCTGATCGGAAGTCGTATATACCAAACTGTAAAGCACGCAAAACATGTCCAACGCAAAATCAATCATAAATCCAACTCCCGCCATCTTTTTACTTCTTGTCGTGACTCGTAGCATCGCAAACGTTTTCGTCGATCGTACAGCACATCCACCTCTCGCTTGGTCGCCTTTCCTCTATCGATCCTCCAATGCTGCAAATGGGTATTTGTGGAACTTGAAACATGAGCGAACAGAAACGCCTTAGGCCGCAGCAGTGATGACCTTGGCGTCAGTCTTCTGCAAAGCCTCGTAAGCCGGTCGCTTTACAATGCCACCGGTGACAGGGAGCTGACTTCCCACACCGGTGAGATAACTGTCAACCTCGCGAGCAGACTGTCGGCCCTCGTTGATGCCCCACACAATGAGAGACTGACCACGGCGACAATCACCGGCCGCGAAGACACCCTCGAGGTTGGTGGAGTACTTGCCGGGTGCTGTCTTGAAGTTCTTGCGGCCGTCAAGCTCAATCAGACCCTCAGTCACTTTCTCCTCAGGAGAAAGGAAACCCATGGAAATGAGAACAAGTTCAGCGGGGAAGAACTCCTCGCTGCCCTCAATCTCCTTCATGTCYCATCCGCCGCCGGAGTTCTTGGTCCACTCCAAACGCTTGATGTTGATTCCCTTGACGTTGCCTTCGCCGTCGTCGACGAAATCCTTGGACATGATGCAGAACTCACGAGGGTCTCTGCCCATGTGAGTCTTGACCTCGGTGTGGCCGTAGTCCACACGGTAGATACGAGGCCACTGCGGCCATGGGTTGTCAGAAGCACGCTGCGCTGGCGGCTGGGGCAGCAGCTCAAAGTTGATGACTGACTTGGCACCGTGGCGAACGGAAGTACCAATGCAGTCGTTTCCGGTGTCTCCACCTCCAATGACAACGACGTTCTTGCCCTTGGCGGAGATGTAGGCATCATCGGCAAGCTGAGAGTCGAGGAGCGACTTGGTATTCTTGTGCAAGAACTGCATGGCGTAGTGAATGCCGTTCAGCTCACGGCCGGGAATCTTCAAGTCACGAGCCACGGTCGAACCGGTAGCAAGAACAAGGGCATCATTCTCCTTGCGAAGGCCGTCAAAGGTTACATCGTCTTGTCCGACGAAACATCCGGTGACGAATTTGATGCCTTCAGCAGCCATGAAGTCAACACGGCGCTGGACAATGTTCTTGTCGAGCTTCATGTTGGGAATACCGTACATGAGCAGACCACCAACACGATCGGAGCGCTCATACACAGTGACTTCGTGACCAGCCTTGTTGAGCTGATCAGCACAAGCCAGACCAGCGGGACCAGATCCGATAATGGCGACCTTCTTGCCAGTGCGGAACTTTGGTGGAGTTGGAACCATCCAGCCCATCTCGAAACCGCGGTCAATTATGGCGCACTCGATAGATTTGATTCCTACGGGGTCCTCGTTGATGCCTAGGACGCAGGCACCTTCGCAGGGAGCAGGGCACACGCGACCAGTGAACTCAGGGAAGTTGTTGGTCATCAACAGGCGGTTGAGAGCATCCTGCCATTGGTTTTGGAAGACCAATTCGTTCCATTTGGGGATAATGTTGGAGATCGGGCATCCAGTATCGGACTGGCAGAATGGGACACCGCAGTCCATGCAGCGGGCTGCCTGGTACTTGAGCTCGTCCTCGTTAAGGCGAGAGCTGAGCTCGGCCCAGTCACGAGTCCGGGTCTTGGCAGTGCGGTACTTCTCTGCACGACGCTGGTATTTCATGAAACCCTTGGTTTTGTCGAGGACAAGCGCAGATCGCTTCTTGTCGGCCTTTTCATCCGGAAGACTCTCCTCGAGATCCTGCAGGCTCTGCTTCTTCTTCTCGGCAGCATGATCATGTTCTCTAGACTGCTCGTGAAGGTTCCGAACGGAGTTGCCTGGKAGGATAGGGAGAGGATACTCGGCTCTGCGAGCCTCTTCCTTCTTCTTGGCCTCCTCTTCCATGACGCGCTTGTAATCAGTAGGCAGAACCTTGACGAAGCGAGGCAAAGCGCGGTTGAAGTCGAGCAAAATCCTGGCGGCAAGCTCGGAGCCGGTGTAGTGGTGGTGGTCCTCGATGAGGCCGCGGAGGAATGCAATCTCGTGTGGGTCGTCAAGAGTTGAAAGCTCGACCATCTCCTGATTGACTTTGCCCTCGAAGTCGTGGTGCAAGTCCAGCACGTATGCGATACCACCCGACATTCCAGCAGCGAAGTTGCGACCGGTGCTTCCGAGAACGACAACGCGTCCGCCAGTCATGTACTCACAACCGTGGTCACCGACACCCTCAACGACCGCGGTGACACCAGAGTTACGGACAGCGAAGCGCTCAGCAGCAACGCCGCGGAAGAAGCAAGTACCCATGGTGGCTCCGTACAAGCAAGTGTTGCCGATGATTACGTTCTCCTCGGCCTTGAAGACAGAGGAGCGCGGTGGGTAAACGATCAGCCGTCCACCAGACAGACCCTTTCCGACGTAGTCGTTGGCATCACCCTCGAGCTCGAGTGTGACACCTGGTGCAAGGTATGCACCAAACGACTGTCCGGCGGAACCACGAATGTTGGCGTGGATGGTGTCCTGTGGCAGACCCTTCTCGCCATAACGCTTGCTGATCTGGTAAGACAGCGTCGCGCCCAAGGCACGGTCAGTGTTGACAACGTCGCATTCGRTGCGGCAAGGAAGTCCCTTCTCAAGTGCAAGCTCAGACTSGGCGATGAGCTTGTTGTCCAGACGCACGTGAAGCTTGTGGTCCTGCTTCCGAACGTTGTAGGTTGCGACGCCGGAGCGAAGGGTGTGAGCGGGCGTCAAAATCAACGACAGGTCGATGTTCTCGGTCTTTGCGTTCCTCAAATCCTCGCGGACCTTGAGCAATTCGGTGTGACCGACCATCTCATTGACGGTGCGGAAACCAAGTTTTGCCATGATGGCACGAAGCTCGTTTGAGATGTAGTAGAAGAAGTTGATGACATGTTCGGGAGTCCCCTTGAACTTCTTCCTGAGCTCAGGATCCTGGGTGGCAATACCGACAGGGCATGTGTTCAAGTGGCTGTGATATAGTTAGCATACGTCCAATTTACGGGATGAACCGCGAGTACTCACCATTTACGCATCATGATACAGCCCATGGCGATCAGCGGAGCAGTAGCAAATCCGAATTCTTCGGCACCCAAAAGACAGGCAAGGGCGACGTCGCGTCCAGTACGAAGCTGCCCATCGGTCTGGACCACGACGCGACCACGGAGATCGTTGAGAACCAGAGTCTGGTGAGTCTCGGCAAGTCCGAGCTCCCATGGCAGACCGGCGTACTTGATACCGGTCCATCGAGATGCGCCAGTGCCACCATCGTGCCCTGAGATCAGGATGTGGTCCGCCTTTGCCTTGGCTACACCCGAGGCAACAATACCGACACCAGTCTCGGAGACAAGCTTGACTGACACTCTGGCTCTTGGGTTGGAGCACTTGAGATCATAGATCAGCTGCTTGAGATCTTCAATGGAGTAAATGTCGTGATGAGGTGGAGGAGAAATGAGACCAACACCAGGAGTGGAGTGTCTTGTGCGGGCGATTGGCCCGGAAACTTTGTGACCTGGAAGCTCACCACCCTCGCCGGGCTTGGCGCCCTGAGCCATCTTGATTTGCAGCTCGTCGGCATCGGCAAGATAGTTGCTGGTGACACCAAAGCGACCAGAGGCAATCTGCTTGATGGCAGACCGCATCGTGTCACCATTCTCCATGGGCAAGCTGCGCTCTGGATCTTCACCACCCTCTCCGGTGTTAGACTTGCCACCGAGCCTGTTCATGGCGACTGCGAGGGTAGAGTGAGACTCCATGGAAATAGAGCCGTAAGACATGGCGCCAGTCACAAAGCGGCGCACAATCTCCGTCCACGGCTCAACCTGTTCGACGGGAATCGAGTTGCCGGCTTCGAAGTCGAAGTCGAGGAGACCACGAAGCGTGCAGTTCTTGATCTGCTCGTACTCCGATCGGGAGTATGCCTMGTAAGACTTGTCGTTCTTCATCCGCACAGCGTCCTGAATGTTCGCGATCGACACAGGGTCGTTAACGTGGGGCTCGCCGCCATCACGCCAATGATACTCGCCCGTCTCGGCGAGACCTGGGATCTCGATAACGTTGCGCGATGGGAAGCCCTTCTCGTGCAGCGCGAACGCGTCCTGTGCGATGAGATCGAAGGTCATACCACGAATGCGGGTGGCAGTACCAGTGAAGCATCGGTCGACTACAGAGTCGTCAATTCCCAGAGCCTCGAAAATTTGAGCTCCCTTGTAACTCTGAAGGGTGGAGATTCCCATCTTGCTCATGACCTTCAAGATACCGCCATCACAGGAGTGTTTGTAGTTGCCAATGAGCGCCTCTGGTGTCATCTTCTTGCGGATCAGACCTTCGCGGTGAAGCTTCAGGATACACTCAATGGCGAGGTATGGGCAGATAGCGTCGGCACCATAGCCGACGAGCACACACATGTGGYGAACCTCGCGAGCCTCGGCCGTCTCCACAACAAGGGCGGCCTGCGATCGCCATCGGTTGCGAACAAGGTGGTGGTGAACCATACCAGTCGCCAAGAGCGAAGATACAGCAACACGCTCGGAGCTTGTGTTGCGGTCCGACAGCACGATGATCTTGTCGCCGCGCTCAATCGCCTCGGAAGCGTTCTCACAGATACGGTCGAGCGCATCGGTGTAGCCGGCAAGACCGTCGGACTTGGGGAAGGTGATGTCGATTGTAGCGACAGTCCAGTCCGAGTGTAATGTTGGGATGCTGTTGAGGGCGTTGAACTCTTCAATAGAGAGCATTGGAGATGGCAGATAGAGCCTGTGGCATTGCTCCTTGTTCATTTCCAAAAGGTTGCCCTGCGGTCCAACGTAAGAGCCGAGCGACATGACGACTGCTTCTCGGATTGGATCGATGGGAGGGTTGGTGACCTGAGCGAACAACTGTCGGAAGTACTCAAACAGCAGACGTGGCTGCTGCGCCAAGCACGCAAGCGGCGCATCATTGCCCATGGACCCGAGTGCCTCCTTGGAGTCAGCGGCCATAGGAGCGAGCAGGRGAGTGACCTGCTCGAGCGAGTAGCCGAAAGCCTTGAGACGGGGATCCTCCTGAACCTTGGTCTCAGTCAGCTTGTGAGACAGGTCGCTGCCGCCGTCAATAAGCTTCTGGTAGATGTCGGGCAAGACAAGCAGTTGAGCGTCAAGCCATGACCGGAAGTCCTGGCGATCTGCGACCGTCTGCTTCAACTCGGCATCGTCGATGATTCTCCCCGCGACGGTGTCGACGAGAAGCATGCGGCCAGGCTGGAGTCTGCCCTTCTGCACGACAGTGGATGGGTCAATGGCGATGGTGCCTACTTCGGAAGCACAGATGATTCTGTCGTCATCCAGGACATAGTATCTGCAGGGACGTAGTCCGTTGCGGTCCAACGTAGCACCACAGTAGCGACCATCAGAAAATGTGAAAAGCGCTGGACCGTCCCATGGCTCCATCATGCAAGCAGCCCACTCGTAGTATGCCTGCTTCTTCTCGTCAATCTGGTCATTGCCTTGCCACGCCTCAGGCACCATCAGCATGACGGCTTCTGGGAGCGAGAGCACTCCGTTGATCAGGAGAAGCTCCAAGACATTGTCAAAGGCTGCAGAGTCCGAACCGCCGTCCTCAATGATCGGGTACAGAGAGTCCAGGTCCTCTCCAAACACGTCGGACTTGAGAACGCCCTCGCGAGCACGCATCCAGTTTTTGTTTCCTCGGAGGGTGTTAATTTCGCCATTGTGAGCGGCCCATCGTAGTGGCTGAGCACGGTCCCAAGATGGGAAGGTGTTGGTACTGAATCGCGAATGAACCAGAGCGAAATGACCTTCGTAGTCGACGTTGACCAAATCGTGGTAGTAGTCGTACACCTGGACGGGGGAAAGCTGTCCCTTGTACACAATGTTCTTGTTGCTCAATGAGCAGAGGTAGAACCAGTTGTGCAGTCCGATGATGTGTGTAGCACGCTTTCGTAGAATGTAAAGCTGGCGCTCAAAGGTCTGCTCGTTGTACTTGTCGTTGAAGTCTTCCTTGGGCTCCTTGCCGTCGCCGTAAACCGACTTCAGCACGACAAAAGGCTGCAAAATGATGGGCTCTCGTGACTTGGCAGCAGGTCCGAGCAGAGAGCTATCCTTTGGAACCTCTCGCCATCCCAGTACCCGTAAGTCGAGCTGGTCTGCGATCTCTTCGAATTGATCGAGCGTCTCCTTCAATGTCTCTTCCTCTGGCTTGAAGAAGACGTTACCCACGGCGTACTTGCCGAAATCTGGGAGTTTGTAGCCCTGCTCTCGCTCAAAGTTCTTGAGGAAGAACTTGTGAGGAATGGATGTCATCACACCGGCGCCATCACCATCTCGTGCGTCAGACCCAACCGCACCACGGTGGGTCATGTTACAGAGGAGGTTCCGTGCTAGATGTCATTAGCCCAATGTCCATCGTTGTCCCCGTCTGATACATACCATCGGTAACAATCTTGTGGCTTGCAACACCCTTGATGTTCGCCGCGAAGCCTACACCACACGCATCTTTCTCGAGCTCCGGGTCATAGAGACCCTGCTTGAGTGGGAGAGCGCCCGCCCAAGACTTGTTCTCGGGCGTGTTTTGGTACTCATAGATGTTTGTGGTTTCTTCTTCGAATTCATCAATCACATGTTCGGCTTTTACATCTTCGGCGAATGATACCCGTCCCATTCTTTCGGCAACAAGCCGAATGGATCGAGTATGAGGTGGGGATCAGTGTGGGGCGTCCCTTTTAGGAGCTTGTAGAAGATCGTGTCTCTGCGGGTGTAAAATTAGTCGCTGCTCCTGTACTAGGTGTGTCTCAATGCTGGTGGAAGTCGCAGAGGTGCAAAATGCGTGGTAAAAGAGGAAGATGGATGATGTAAATGAACTGAATCTTTTGCCATCCAGCAAGGGCCAAGTATCCTGGGATCATGCAGGCACGGCTGGAGAGAAACCGGTTCGCTAGTGGTGACGCGCGGGCAATGTCCGCTCCGATGCTGTAATCGTCTCTGTGGCGATCGTTGCAAGAGGTCGAAGGAAGTGTCGTGAGCGTGCGTAATGAGCGATGGATGGGTGCTGTCGTGGGGGATCTCAGAWCCTCGCGGATTCGTGGGCATGCATTGGATGCACGTGGCATGGAGTTCCACCGCTTGTGACAAGAGACAGGGGACAACTCACCGTGAGGATGTATGTGCCTGCTCGTACTGAGAAGGATTCGTGGAGACTCGGATTTGAGGTGAATGTGTTGGTGTGAGAGGAGGCGAAAGAAAGTCGAGAGGAAGACCTGCGGAGTCGGAAGGGATATATCCACCCCACTCGTTAGCCTGGATTTGTACAGCAGTGTTATTTTGTTTCTCCACTCCCCGTTGTCTCCTCTTCTGCATTGCACTCTTACGCAGTTGAATGGAGTAACGGGCGGCTTGGTAATTGTCTGCTAGGGCATTCTACTCTACTGATACCACCTATTTGACCATATCAATGGGATTCTTTGTTGTAGTTCAGCAGACCACTGTGAGACCCTCGGCCTCATACGATCGACATCTCACAAACGACAAAGCGACCACTTCTATGACGCTGCCTTCTCCTCTCCAGGTACTCTAAACAGACCTTTGACCTGCCATGCTGTCTGGCTCACAGAGCTTGCCACAGTGATTGACATTCTTCCCTGCATCCCACCTCCTCCACGACTGCCTGCCGACCTCTCCGACAGCTCGGCCACGCACAGCTTGTGAAAATAAATCGACCGACCCCGGACCCCATCCAAATAGACTCGCAGCTATGCGACTCTTGTTTGGACCCACGGAGCACCGGACGGCTCCTTCACAGGCCACTGTACAGATGCAAAGCACGTCATTGGTGGACTGGATCTGGCCAGCAAAAATGACTTTGCTGTCTGAGATTGCCGTGCGTGAGCTTATTCCCAGGGTAATGATTGGTCCGACACCTCACAGCAGGGCTTCGGTAGAGTCATTCTTGGATGTCAACGGCTTGGTGCCTTATCGCCTGCGTGAGCCCTGTATTTCCTCAGATCTCGTGAAGCACATGGCACAACACTGCCCWTGAGGCGATCTTCTCCAGCTTGTTGGTTCTACCGTGAGCCTCTAATAAAGTTGCCCACCTTTGTTGGTCTGGTCATTGCTGTTTTTGTTGCATAGGGTTTCTGCCGAACCATCCACGATCCATCTGTATCCTCATAGCAACAGCGATCGGTCAATGCTCGGCGTGTCAATCTTTAACTGCTTCGGAGAAACTCGGAACGGTTGAGATGAGCGCTGAGATGAGCGCTGTCTCGAGGCTGTGCTGCGGCGAGATGCGATCTTCCACTTTCTTCAGTCCCTGGTCATCGTAGAGCTCGACCCCGGTCTAGAAATTTGCCATGTCTCCGATGTCGCTTTTTCATTGACTGATCGCGGGCCAGCCAAGCCGTGAGCGACCAAAGGCTGGTGGGATCGAAAATTGCCGGCTCGCCTTGCATTTTAATTGACGACAACGCTGGCGAACAGGTGTCTGTAACGCAAAAGAGCAGTCCCGCCGAGAGTCAAGCGTTTCATTAAATCCGACTCCACAATCGTGTTTTCGTTATTGCAGAAAGTACCTGCAGACAAGATGGACAACCTTCAATTTCACCTGGCCTTGGCGGACCAGAGACGAGACCTTTCACGTGAAGACCGCTACCAGAGCTCCTACCATACTTAGACTCCTAGGTAGTCCTGACTCTGGCACTCACTGAAATGGGTCTGCCGGTGCGATGGGAAATCTTTGCTCCCGGTCGTATGCCTCCTTCTCGCCCCATGCCATATCGGACGAAAGAGGAAGAACGTTAGCTCGTAACGTGGCTCAAGTCGTCTCTCAGCTCTGCGTCCCGCCGCAGATCGCGTCAGACACCTGAGCAGGGGTTTACTCTGTGTCATATGCCTCACTAATGCGCATAAAAGCCAGGAAACGTATTGCATATATTCGGGGAATGGGGAAGATCAGCAATGCATTTTCACGTTTTCATTATGCGCTACACCGTGCAGACTAGCGAACGGAGCCGCATGCCTTCTGTGGCCTTGGTATCATTTCAGCGTTGGTTGAGCCTCCCTTCCTGACGCCGCCATATGCAAGATCTGTGCTAGGTCAGAGAGTCTTTGAAGACTGCGCATGGAGCCGCCGTACGCACCTCTGTAGCTGCTAAGCGAAAGGTACTTTACGGAGACAACAAGATTGAGCCTGACAAAGAGGACTACTCCGACATGGCATCGTCGTCGTCGCCCTGGAAGTCCTCGTCATCCTCCTCATCGTCATCCTCGCCATCCATGGCCTTTGCAGCTTCGGCGTAGTCGATGTTCTTGCCACGGGTACGGCTCTGCACGATGTTGCTCGTGTCGATCTCTTCCATGTTGTCCTCGTCGGCCTCCTCAGGCTCGCCCTCACCCTGAGATAGAGTGCAATCAGTGAATGCGTCTAGTTGTAGCTCACTTGTTGCGGGTCGCTCACCTCCTCTGCGGACTCATCATCGTCCTCGGACATGGCCATGGTGTCCTCGGTAGCCTTGCCCTTGCCCTTCTGAGACTGATCGGTGATATCCATGCTGCTGTCACCACCCTGCACAGCCTCGTTGGCAGATGGGTCCTGCACGTTGTTGCTCATTGTGATGGTGGATGGTTTGCGCGAAGCTGCGGTGTTGAAGCTTGAAAGATGCTACTGTCAATGTCAATTGAGAAGAGCAATGTCTGGGACTTGGCAGAACCCACAGCAATCAGTGATGAAAATGCGACGTATTGGTGCTCGTTGAAAAAGTGAATGTGTGGTGTTGGAGCTTGGAGGTTGGTGTGGTGTCGCGAAGAAGCCAATCTGGAAGCCCGTGCTTTTTGCGCGAGACGCGTCTCCAGAGGGCTCCATTTTCGCGACACACCTAAATCACGCCTACCCAGCAAACATGACAACCGCACTTCGTGGGAGACCGGCTCGTAAGTGTATCATTGCAGTTGAATACTTGTAGCTATGATATTAACATATCATCAGACGCCCCAGGACCAACTTACTTCAGCTACACGCCGAATGGGAAGAATCTTGTCACGGCAGGTCTCAATGGAGCAGTCCGAGTATTCGAACATGACTCCGACGACGAGCCTGCCATTATTGATGTCTCCTCCGAAAATCATCTGGCAGTGGTGGCCACGAATGACTTTTTCATCATTGGAACCGAGGACGGCGAGGTCGTCAAGTACTCTTTAATCACCAAGAAGCTGGAAAGCATCTTGATACGATGCTCGGGAGCTGTACGCGATCTCGCCATCTCTCCTGATGGGCAATGGGTTGCAGTGGCAAGCGAGTGCGTTCGAGGTTTTCCCAAAGATGCACGACCAAGCTAACCCTCTATGACAGCGAACTGGAGGTGAAGGTCGTCAACACTGGCGATACAGATCGCGTCATGTATCTCCGTGAGCAATTCAGACCTGTCAAGCATGTCTCCTTTGACCTCAGCGGTGCCACCCTTGCGGCATCGTGCACCGACGGCATTATCTACATGTACTCCCTCAGCTCAGAACAGCCWCAATTGATCAAGCGTGTGGATGGGATGATCGGCATGCAGGGGAGTGACTCGGAAGCGAGTTCTCTAGCGATCTGGCACCCCGATGGAAGAGCGTTCGCTGTGCCAACACCGAGTAGAGGTAAGTACATTGTGTACTGCGGCTCCGGAACTGGTTGCTCACGTTGTATCATAGATCTCCAGGTTGTGTCCCGCAACGACTTTTCGCGGCAAAAGGTGTTTCCCGCCAGCCACAAAGCAGACATTAGTGCATTGGCATGGTCTCCAAACGGTGCACTGCTCGTAAGCACAGCGGTGGACCAAAGCTTGACCCTCTGGGACACGAGAAGTCAGAAAGTTCTGAAAACGTACACCGACGTTCGAAGCACCATTTTGGATATCCAGTGGCATCCAAAGGACAATGTCTTGTCGTACACCAACAACAACGGCGAACTCTTCATACGGGAAGACTTTGTACCAGATGCGCACAGGAAACTCTTGAGATTGGAAACCCAGCCCGCTCCCCTGACCAACGATCCGCTCGCCGAAGTCTCCGGCAACGCCCAAAGACCGACCACGAATGGCCACAAACGTTCAGCCCAAGATGATTATCTGGACGATCTTTTGGGTCCTGACGCCATGTCAGAAGGCGGCGATGGCTTCATTGAGGACGATGATGGAGCTGGATATGTAGAGGAGCCAAACCGCTTTGGTAAACGTGCAGCAGAGCCATTGAGCGGTCCGCAAGCAAAACGAACGACAGCTTTGGGTTCTTGGCAACCGCAAGTACATGATTCTTTCCAGTCAGGCAGCACACCGTGGAAGGGCAATCGACGATACTTGTGCCTGAACCTCRCGGGGTTCGTCTGGACCGTCAACCAAGATACTCACCATACCGTTACCGTCGAGTTCTACGATCGACAAGAGCACCGAGATTTCCACTTCACGGACATTTATCGATATGACAAGGCCTGCCTCAACGAGAAAGGCTCCTTGTTCTCCTGTCGGGCGTCCAGAGAACAGCCCTCGACCATATACTATCGGCCACATGAAACGTGGACAGCGCGAACAGAATGGAGAACGCAACTTCCTGCCGGCGAGGAAGTGACTTCGATGTCGCTGAGCGATTCCTGTATTGTCGTCACCACCTCGACAGGTTATGTGCGCATCTACAGCCTGTTTGGGTTGGCCATGAAGGTCCAGCGTCAGAAGAGCACTCCAGCGGTGACGTGCGCAAGCTGGCGCGACTACGTAATGACTGTAGGCAACGGTCCTGTCGGCGGCGATGGGGTCACGCGACTCTTGTACACCATCCAACACGTCAAGCGCGACGAGATCTGTCAGAATGAGGACATTGTCGCACTCGCGGAAGGCACCGAGCTGCGGAGTGTGTTCTTCAGCGATCGAGGCGACCCTTGCATCTACGACAGCGATGGCGTATTGCTTGTATTACAGCACTGGCGTACTCCCGGTCAGGCCACATGGGTTCCACTCCTGGACACGCGGACACTTGACCGTCTTGCAAGCGGCAAGAAGGAGGAGAGTTACTGGCCAGTCGCAGTCGCAGAAGGCCGATTCCATTGCATCATTCTCAAAGGTGGAGAGCAGTACCCATACTTTCCCAGGCCATTGCTCTCAGACTTTGACTTTAAAATCCCCATCACCTCCGATGTTTCCGAGGATGATATTGATGAAGAGAGCGTGCGCCAGAGAGACTTTGAGGAGCAGTACGTTCGTTTCTCCGTCCAACACTCTCTTCTTCGCGACCTTGTGGAGTCCACCAACGCGACGACCTCGCAAAGGGCGGAAGTCTCTGCGATGGAGCGCGAGGTCGACAAAGTTCTACTACAGCTTGTGGCAGGAGAGTGCAGACAGGGGGAAGAGCGCGGGATGAAAGCGCTGGAGATTGCAACGCTTATGCGAGACAGAACTGGCAAGATGTTGGAAGCTGCCGGCAAAATCGCATCGCGCTTTCAGCATGACATTTTGGGCGAGAAAATCAACGAGCTTGCTGAAAGACGACTGGTAGGGTTGGTGGATGACGATGATGTATAGATGAACATGACCGCACCCGTAGTGGACACAGCAGATAGGATCCAGCGTACTTTTGCAGCGGTATTCAATTCTTCATGCCCGAAAATCAGCTTTCCCTGTCATGGCTTGCGAGGATTGTACGTACGGGTGTGAGTAGCCTCCGATACTGTAGTAGATGTGACACTCCGGCCCTGGGACATCAAATTCGTTCGCTTGGAGATGGTTCGGTGTACACAAGACAAGACAAGACAAGGTTACCTGCATCACATCAAAAGAACCAGACGCGAGCCATCCCTCTTACAGAACTCGATCCATTAGGTTCTCTCACTCTTGCCCTACCGCCTAGGTAATCACAACTCCTCCAGAATCCCATCATTTCTCAGGGAAGACACAACAACAACAACATTACAACCCTCTCATCCAACCAGCATAAACCAACTCACGCCCGCAAAGAAAGGAAGAAAGAAGAAAGGAAAGGAAAGAGCGAGATTCCCCATCATGAGCCCCGTGTAACCAACGCACGCATGCACGCACGCACGCACGGGGCAGCAAACAAAAACAAAACATCCTCCTTGTTCTCATCACATCACATGTCGTACCGTGCCGTATACCCACCCCCACCCCCGCCCCAGACCCCAGAACAAATGCAATCAGGAGACAACAACCCCCCCTGTAAGACCATTCTCTTGCACCACAGGTTCACTCTCCTCTCTTCTGCAAGTTTTCTTCCGTGTCACTCATGCAGGGATGGAAGTGTGACCTTCTTCGAAAAAGCAACTAAGGTACCTAGGAAGAATTGTCATGCGGCTATCCGTAGGAATCGGAAACGATTGCGGTCGGGAAGCCGTCGCCGTCCGTCCGCTGACCAGCATGGTTCTTCTTCTTCCTCGTTCGTTCGTTCGTTTGAGGGCGCAGTAGTGGGTTGATGATGTGATATCTGGTAGTACGAGAGGCCGCCTGTGTGATTTCGGTGCCTTTTTTTTTTTCTTTCTTGCTGGAGGGGATATATATGTAAGAGGGCGGGTCTGCTGTGGTTTTTGTTCTCTTTCCGCTTGAGGTTTTTAGACCTGTTGGACTGTGTGTGCTGGATCTTCTATATTTTCTTGCTGATACAAGAGTGACAAGAAAAGAAAACCCGCTTACTTTAACTTACCTTTGACATAGAACAACAACCGCCTCCCTCCACAATGTTACCCATGCCAGCTCTCTTACAAATGCAACTCCTGCAACAACAAATGATGGGAGGAGGAGGAGGAGCCGAAGGAATAGGAATGGGAATGTCCCCCTACGACAGCCTCGACGACGAAATCTACGAAACCATCGACCCCAGTCTCCTAGCAATGTACTGGATGGAAGGCTTCGGCCACGGAAACGCGCACGGCCAAATCAACGGCCAACTCCACGCCATGGATCAAGCTTCGCAATACTATCAATATATGATGCAACAAATGGCACATGCGCATCGTATGCAATTGATGGGATATCATGGACCGGGTCAGGGGATGAGGAGTCCGAGGAGGAGGGCCAAGATGCAGATGGCGAGGATGATGAGGTTGAATAATGGGG